TTCTAGATAGCGGCTAGATTATAAGTTCTAGTAGGGAAATCTCTATAGAAGTCGTTCTTGCCTAGTGTTGTTAGCTACTACTACTATACGACTACTACGCTACTACTACGCTACTTACGGTATGCTTTCTACTAAGCGATTTCGTCTACTTCGTCGCCTTCTTCGTCGTCTTTAGTAAAGAACTAGTTAAGTAAAGGATCCTTAATAGCTATAAGATTAAACGTAAGGTCTNTCCTACTACTACGCGTACGGCTNNNATCCTAAGAATCCGACTTAGTAGACCGATAACGGTATTTTCGGTTATATAGGTCCTCGAATGACTTCTAGTACTTCTTCTTATACGAAGGATTGTCTTGCTAGTAGTGATTGTCCTATATAACGTCCTTTAGAAATGGAACAAGCAGTATAGCATGTGCATAGGTATCCCTAAGCGAGGTCGTTGTTTCTATATAGTACTTCTTTAGCTTATCGGCTATAGCATTAATACCTTCTAGGAAATTAGACCTCTATGTTATAGATTTGCGCTTAATCTTTACTCTAGCCATTTCGAGAGTACTAAGAAGGCCATTATATGCTATAAAAGGTAGGTAGATGGTCGTAGCTAGACAAACTAAAAGGGCTTTAGTCTAGTAAGAAAACGGTCATAGTAGCTCTAGTAAGTAATTCAATTGCTTCCACTCGTCTTTAGATAGCTTTAGATACTTAGGTAGCTCCTTATAGCTATATAGCTTCTTAATCGCGACAGCTAGGGTCTTAAANCGAAGAAGCATATAGAAGGTAGAGTCGAAACGGGTCTTAACGTCTTATATAAGCTTTAGAGGACGAAAGGGTAGTTTATTTAGATTAGGGTTTGCGTCCTAGAGTTCCTTTTAGATAGCGTTAAATAGATCGATTCGCTAGCTACTTAAGTTAACCTAAACAGTGGTTTTCCTTGTCTTCAAAAAGTTAGCTACTACTACGCTACTACTACGCTTACTACTACGCTTAACTTACACGCGTAACTGCTACCTAAATAGGATTAACACTAGCAAGACCCTTAAAGCCTTTGCTATCGTCCTAGTTCTTCTTTACTTTATCGTTCTTTAGTGCTAGACTTAGCTTACTAAGAAGCGCCTTCGGTGCTAGCTATATAATATAGACTAGACATGGTATAGCAGTTAGTATATCCTCGTAATTATTAGGTTCGCTCTTAAAATTAGAGTCGTCTACTAGCTGTGTTAATATTGTAATGCTTAGCACTAGTCCGATAGCTAGTAGTAGTAGCTTCTCTCGGACTTTAATTACCGTACGTACTAGCGCTCGATAGAAGGTTTTGTTATTTCTAGCATTGTCGCAAGTAATAGACAGTATACGGTCCTTAATGCTATACTACTATAGTGTTTCGTAGACGTGTTTAGATAGCCGTACGCTAGTATGTCGATTACGAAGCGGTATAAAGCTAAGAAGGTAGATACGAGTATGCTAATTAGAATCTAGGTAATNATAGACACTAGCGTTGCTTAGCGTAACCTAGCTTCACTTTGTAGCGTTAACATAGTTATATAGTCGCTCTACCGTAAGATATTCACTTAGTCCTAACTAAATCTATTAGGGAGTCCTAATCATTTAGGGTAGTATAGGACTAGACCTACTTATGTTTAGGGTNGTATAGTATAGGACAAATGACGTCATTTTCCCTATACCGCCCCAAATCCTAATAGGATTTCCTATACTACTACTAGGTCTAAGCGGGACTTCCAATAAGATAGAGGAGGACGATATAAAGTCTCTTAGGTCGACTCGTTATTGTAAGAACCTAGTTCTAGGTTTAAGGCTAAAAAGCTCTATCTAGCTAGGTGTTAATAGTAGAGAGTCTATAAAATCTGGCGGTAGACTATCGGATTTAGTAGAGGGTATTAGTTCTACAAAGGAGGAGTCTTTAAGAGAGGAGTTAAAGAGTTGTTAAGGGTTTGCAAATAATATAGATAGAAGGTTAAGGGTGTTATTAAGATTAGTCTAAGTAGGACTAATAGGAATTCTTAGAGTTAGGTAGCCTTCTATGTCTATTATATGTTCTTTTATTAGTTAATGCCTTAAACACGTGGTAATTAAACTTAGAATGCCTAGTATAGGTTAGGGGTTAGCTATAAAGGCCTCTCGGCAACTATTCGTATAAACATCGGTAGATTATTAGGCCTAGATCTAGTCTATATATGATCATGTTGCCGGGTTTAGTAAGGCCTAGTATGCGTAGAAATGATGTTGTTTTAGCCGTTAGGGCTATATTGTGTTTTAGGGGGAAATTTGTTGTTATTGTGGCCCTAGCATGTTTAGGCAATTTCGGGTAAATCCGGGTAAATGCCGGGTCGCGTCCTAAAGCGGAAATGCTTGTGCGATCCGGGCTTATAACCTGTTAAAAGGTGACACTAAGCAGAGTAATAAGTGGTAAGAAAGTTAATTGAATTCAGTTAGGGTAAGGCCCCTCTTATGTAGCAGTGACAGGTCAATTTCAACAGCGAGATGTGCTCTATTATAGTATATAGGTACTTGTCGGAACTACGAGGCTTACCAAAATGCCCTTTAGCCGTCATTAATCGTATAACCTCCCCGTGTGCTAAACTTTGTCGCACTACGACTGTAGAAATGCACAGTTTTTAGTAATGTTAGGGGTACCCCTATTGAGAGCATAGTATTTAGCGCCTCTCTGCGGACGATTATATCGATCTCAAAAACACTGTGCATTTTTACAGGCCGGAAGACTCCTGGCGTGGTCACGGGGAGGACATTCGGACTTATGATCCTGGTCCATCGAAGCCTGACATCACGATGATCTCCATCATTGAGCATCCGACATATATTGCCATGTGCACCCAAAAAGTGCGACTCTTTCGTACCTTTTTACATTATCAATCTTCGCAATCTGCATCAGCCTAGACTCGAGATATCTCATATACAAAAAATGTCTGAGATGAATGCCATCGTTGTGGAGAAGTATGGTGGTATTGAGAATCTCGTGCACAAACTAGTGCCGAAACCAACAAAGTTGGAGGAGTATGATATACTTGTGCAGTATGTTCCATTGTGTTCATACCCTCGAAGTTGTGCTTCGAAGCTGATCGATCCGCAGGGTGAAAGCTGCCAGCGTTAACCCGATCGATATGAAAGTACGTGCCGGTGTATATGACGACTACGCAGGTGGGTTGTCTTGGACTCATCACATCCGCATTGGAGAGCATACACTGATCAACTACTAGACTATTATGATCATGTGCCTAAGCCCAAGCCAGGCGAAGGAGGCTACCAAATCATTGGCTTTGATGGAGCCGGTGTGGTTGAGCAAGTTGGCTCAAATGTCAGGGGGTTTGCATCTGGAGATGAGATATACTACTCGGGCTCACCCATCAGACAAGGCTCAAACGCAGAGTATCAGCTAGTCGACTCCCGCGCGGTTGCAAAGAAGCCTAAGAACCTCGACTTCATCCAATCCGCAGCACTGCCTTTGACCTGGATCACAGCATACGAAGCCCTAGTCGAGCGGATGGAGATTAAGAAAGGCGAAAAAGCAGGTATCTTGATCATCAATGGTTCAGGCGGTGTTGGATCGGTTGCAAGCCAAATTGCCAGGACAGTCCTCGATTTGCCTGTCGTGGTTACCACAACCTCTCGACCTGAGACTACCGAATTCTCGAAATCGATGGGGGCCACACACACTGTAAACCATCGCGAAGACCTACCCTCCCAAATCGAAAAACTGGAGCTGAAGGTACCTATCAAGTACATCTTCATCACACACTCCACGACTCCGTATATGGAACCCGCAGCCAAGATCTGCGCACCGTTTGGAAAAGTTTGCTCGATCGTTCAAGCCAAGGACATCCAGATGTATGGCACTGAATTTATGGCGAAGTCATTGTCTTTCATCTGGGAGCTGCTTGGTACGAAGCCGTGGTACAAGATCGACCTGGAAAGCCATGGCAAGATACTCGAGGAGCTCAGACAGTTGATTGAGGATGGTAAGGTCAAAACACACCTGCAACAGAGCTTTCGATTGGATCTGAAGGGCTTGAGGAAGGCGCACGAAGCCATCGAGAGTGGAGGCTCCATGGGTAAGAACGCCTTGAGTGTTGACTTTGGTGAAGGAAGTGCCCCATTTACTTAGGATAGACCCAAAGCTTGCTGTACTTTATGAAAACGTCCAGAGAAATAGAAGCATTGTGACAATTAGTAGCGACGAGTCCACGTCCTTTTTCGGGGACAAAACTTGGTATCAGTAATTGGTTCCGTAGTCGGAGACCAAGCAATCTGGCGATTTCTTACGTATCGACATCTCTTAGCTATCATCATCACCGCTTGACTCCTCTTCAAAAGGCCTGAGCGGTGCGACTTTGACATGATTCTCGCTCGACGTGGGGTGTTTCTCCGTCGTACTCGTAGTGTCTGAGGGTTCCTTTCCAGCAAGAACTGGCTTTTCCTGGAGCGGTTTTGAATACAGCACAGGAGCCTCTAAGCCTCTTGACACACTCACAGCGGAGGCTTGCGGAATGGGACCAGAAGTACTTGAAGTATCCTGTTTCTCCGCTTCATCAATTTTCTTCAGGAGGAACAACACTGTGCTATCCCGAGCCTTGTCGAACTGCCGCAGTCTTTCAAGAGGCATCGAACCATAATCAGGAGCTGGTGCGGGAGGTCTTGAAGGAGCCTTCTGCTCTGTCTGTGGTAGCGCCTGCTTTGTCTTTTCTTCTAGCAGTTTCCTCAGTACCGAGATGTTCTGGTCCCGGTCCGTCAGCTCCACGATGAGACTCATTTTCTCCATATCTTCGTCTTCAACTCGCCTCCGCTTCTGGCCTTCGCTATCTTCCTTCTGCCGCCAAGCCCGAATCGCATCCCCTGCACAATTTTCGATGTGAGCGAACCGGGCAGGACCAAGCATGACCCCACCATACCACCGAGCAACTACTAGAGCGCCCTCGACACGCATCTCTTCGATGATTTTCAATACGTGACGGCCTCCATAGCGCTCTCCGTCATCATCTGTGCCTGATTCCAAAGTCCGTACACCGCCGACCAAGGTCCTCTGAGATGATGGTTTACGCCATGCCAAAATACGGTGTGAAGCATCCTTGATGCGATCTAGGTTCTGCAGTTCCTTTGCAGGCATGGTTGGTGAGAAAAAGGCCTGGAAGGTAGATGCGCGGTCTTCGATTGTCTCGGAGGTCCAGAAATCGTGGTCCGAAACATCCGTCACAGGAGATGGACTTCTCGGTCGTTTTGACATTGTTGATGTGCTGAAGGAAATTCCTTGTGGTACTTTGTGCAATTGATGAAGGTCATCAATCGTGGAAGGCAAGATGGGAGACACGTGCCAAGCCGTTCCGAACCAGGCCATGTTTGAAAAGAGACGTCGATTACATCGTAGCCGACCCAACATCCTTACAAAATATTGCACATAAACTCTCAGGGCATCACTATTATTGGTTCAGAGACACAAGATGGAAAAGATACACTTGCAATGCATCGGATATCATGCTCATAGAACGCCTTGTAAGAGAAATGGTATAAAAGTTTGCCGATTACCCTGCGTTTCCACGCTTGCCACCACGCTTTTGTCGGTCGATGTGACCTCTGAGAATCTTGCGATGTTCGACCAAACTTCTCTTGCCCTTCCTCTTAGCCTTTCCAAGAGTCATGAGGAAGTTCTTCTTGCGGGCCTTCTCCTTGTTGGTTGTGCTCTTACCCTCGGCCTCCTTCTTCTCCTTACGCTTGGCAGTAGTAGACATGTGTTTCTCGTCACGATCTCCCTTTGCCATTGCAATTTTCTCTGCTTTGGTAGCACGCGAAGAAAGTGCTGCCAGACCTTCAATCTCGGCAGCGGTGAGAGGGTCGTCAGCATGACGTCCAGAAGCAGTCTGTTGTTGGCGTCGTTGCGAGGGCATGTGCTTGGACACGGCTGCACTGGTCCGTAGTTCTTGCAATTTGGCGAGGTCTGCGGGTGTAAGGATACGAGTTGTGGCCAGCTTTGAAAATTCGGCGACAGGGTCCTTGGGTGCGTTGTCGACGTCTTTCTCTGTGTCCTTTGCTGCATCCACATCGGTCTTTTGCTTCTTTGCCTTTGGCTTTTTATCTTCGTCTTCACTGTCGCTGATGTCGATTTCTTCACCATCACTCTCAACATTGATCCAGCCTTCCTCTCCTGAATCGTCGTCTTCTTCGAGATCCCACTTGCTCCAGCCTGCTTCTTCATCTTCTTCTTCATCTTCTTCGTCTGCATCAGAAGCATCTGGGTCCAGACCCTTTTCAATACGTCTCTTTCTTCTCTCCTCGGCCTTCCATTCCTCAAGCAGTTCAAGGCCTTCAATTCCGCCAGCCTCAACCTGACCGAATTTCCTGTCTTTCAAGGTGCCCTTCTGTATGCCGATCGAAGCGTCCTTGCCTCTGTCTCTTCTGCGCAACATCTCAGGACCAACCTCACGGTACAAACTCAACAGACCCTTCGCAGCCATCATGACACCCTTGTCCTTGCTCTTTCTGTACTCGACGAGGTCTTGGAGGAGAGTTTCGTTCATGGCAAGAGGTTGTCTGACACAAATTTCTCGAATGGCATTCAGACCAGCTGATGCAACCTCGGAAGCAGCAGCTTCAGAGACGAATTCGTTGGCGATTTTCTGTACGAGGGGCTCAAGAGCATCCGGAGGAACCAGGTTGTGGGTTGACTGGGCGAGCGATGCGAGGAATGAGGTGACCTGGGGTTGCTTGGGAGTAAGGTACTTGATGAAGTAGGAATAAAGAGGGATTAGAGTCAAAGTATGCAGACCCACAAGGCGAGACACAAGTTGCAAGACGATCAACTTCTGATCAAGCTTGAGCTTGGCCTTGGGAGTCTGGGTGTTGAGATGTTGGTGGAACAGTTTCTCGGCAAAGCCCTGAGGATCGTGCAGAAGGTGCAGAGCAGAGAAGTTGAGAGGATGCGGGGCCTTCTTCTTCTTCTCCTTGCGCTTGACGGTGGCGGCGGCTCTCTTGAGCTCGTTGACCTTCTTCTTTGTCTTTTTGTTGATGCCGGCCTGGTGGCGCAGCTTGCCCATGTCGATGTTTTCTTCATCGTCGCTGTCCTCCTCGGCCTTCTCTTCACGCTCCTTGTCTCCGCCCAAGAAGAAATGAACACCTCCAGAGACGACTTTTTCATGCTGGGACAGAGCAGCCTCCTTCATGATCTCGACAGCCTTTGCATCTGTCCAGATCTGTCTGGCCCACATCTCACGGGTGATGCGTACAGCCCACACGCCCTTGGAAGAGGTGGGGTCTGAGGTCAGCAGGTTGTAGAGGACGGTTTGGATGGTGCGGTTAAGCTTGTGGTTTGTAGATTTGGAGTTGGAGGTGCGTAGGTCGGAGATGATTTTGGTGAACAGAAGGGTGCGAAGAGACTTGCTAGGGGTGTCGACAAGCAGGGGGAAGAGAGCGTTGAGCAGGCTGTGAGTGCACGAGTTAGCAAAGGCGTCGGGCGCATGGTTACAAGGCCGTCTTACACAGCAGAATCGATGATGTCCTTCTTGCGCAGCAGCACCAGACTGCCAACGACCTTGTCGCGCAGTTCAGGCTCTAGCTCTGCATGGTGTAGACGGAGCAAAGCCATGAGGTCGGTGGGAAAGTCGGCCGTCAGTTTGGGATAACAGTCGGCGCAGTGGGCAACGAAATCGATCAGCTCTCGGAGACTGACGAGGCCCTGCGAGTCGGTCGAACTGGGCGCCTGCATGAACAGCTGCAGAAAGGCCTGGTACTGGCTGTACTGGTTGTTGAAGTCATCCTTGTATGATCTGCCATGTGTTAGACTGGTCGCCCTTGTGTTTGATTCGCATTGCAACCTACGCCGGGTCTCGTCGGACCTTGTACTGCAGATTGGGCAAGTCGGCATCGACTTTCTCGAGCGCTCCAACCTTGCGCTTGACCATCTTGTCTAGATTGCACGTGGGTCGTCGTCGTCTTGGAAATTGTATTTCTTGATGGCCCCGAGTATTTTCTCGTTGCCGGGCGGTGAGGACAAATCAGTCAACCCCACAAACTCTATTCTCCCTTCGCATCTCGCCAGACTTGGCGTGTCTCGACACTCTCCATTACTCTCGCTCTTCATGGAACCATTACTATCGTCACCTATAACCGTCACCTATACCGTCACCGATCTTCGAGCTACTCGCTCCTGCACCCTTCTCAGCTCTTCGACACTTGCCAGCCCCTTGTTGCTGGCCTCAATCTCAGCAGCCACATCCTCGTGATGTCTAAGCAACTGCAATTCGAACCTTCCCAGCCTATCCTCGTTCAGCACTCGTCCTGACGGTAAGAGTGCATCCTTGCCAATCCACTCCCACCAGGGAGCTCGAACTGATTCGTCTGCGCCTCCTGTTGTAAGCCTGGAGTTGATGGAAAACTCATTGTGATGCTTGTGTCCATCATGGAGTTTCCAGTATTGCAGTGACTCGGGCCTGTATAGAAGTCTGCCGTCTCGGCCGAGTAACTTACGTAACCACTGCACGAAGCGTGTCCAATTGCTCGGTTCTGGCTCTGATGCTGTGCCTCCAAGATCCATACGTGCCCTCACAGAAGCATGGATGAACTCATGCGTATCTTTCATAAGCACACAGTCATTCTTCTGAGCACATGTCAAAGAATTGGTCACCCTGTAACGGCCAGGTGTGCGCACGACTCGACCGGCTAGACTTTGTGGAAAGGTGAAAGAGTTGTAAATCGTGCCCAACGACCACCCTCGTGCGGGCGGATGGCCTTGGTACCAAACCCTGTTTAGCTCTTGTTGCGTATCGAGGTAGTCATCGTAGAACTCAATCCAGTCCTTCTTGTCCAGCGTCATGTTGTTTGCATGTTTTGCGCTTTCTCCAGAGAGTTGATCCATCATCCATGCAAGTGATATATCCGCTGTAGAGGTGTCATCATATGAACCGCCCACATTTGAATGCGCTCCGGGGAACCAGGTTTGCCTCAAGAACTGTGACAAAGTTAGCAACAACTCCTTAGGGAACTGTTGACAAGAACTAACTGTATGATTTCCCGTGGGCTTTTCCCACACGGCTGGCGAAAACGGTGCCCGATGTTCATCGAGAGCTAAAGCCTGGAACGCGTTCTCTATATTGTCAGAGAGTCTTGTATCCAGCCACTTGTACTCGTGCAAAAACGAAGGTAGTCCTAGGTGCTTCTGGAGAACAGGATTAATCGGGATACCGAGGGCACCTGTCGAGGTCAATATTTCAAGTGTGTCGTCGTTTGATCTTGTTATTCACCAACAGTATCCCAGCATCCTATTGCTCTGATAGGTACATCGCGTTGCTCGTTTTCTCGGATCGGAACGATATGTGTCAGTCCAAAGCTTCGAAGCACTGGCAGTAAAGGATACATCAGTATGGTCTACAGAACTCTCAAAGAATACCACCTTCCCATGTGCTGAAGCTTGTCATTCGCGCACTTGTAAAAATGCATAACACTTTTCGGACCTAGAGCGACGTCTAGGGAGAGAGCATTAAATAGCTACTTCTCATGACGAAGCGCTCCATTTGAAAAGTATCATGCATTTTGATGAAACGTTACGCGCATTGCTACTATGGGAGCTCGAAGTATCAAACTTCAGTTGGTGAGAGGTGACCATGCTTGGCCATGGACATCAATAGACTTACTGGCACGATATTCATCCAGATACTCGTAGACTTTTGTTGGGTCGTTCGATGGGGTTTGAGGGATGTGCCTCTTTTCCGGCTCCAGGGGATCACGATAATGTTCCCAAAAGGAAGGGCCTGGCGATTCTGGGTTGCCAGCGTCGGTCCAATCAAGGAACACTTCATAGAAGTGGGGCAGTCCTCTCTTATTGAGTAGTCCAAGGTTTCCGATCAAGCCCCCAAGACTTCTCGCTGTGAACGATCCACGGGAGAAACCAACAAGAAAGATCGAGTCGCCAGGGGAGTAATTATTGGCAAGGAAGTAATAAGCCTCACGGATGTGTTCTGAGAGCCCGAGCCCAGTGCCACCTCCTAGTAGTTGATCCTTGATTCCGAGTCCAGTCCCTATACCAGCCTGATAATAGACTATCTGGGCATGATGTTCGCTATCTTCAGGTTTGATTGCTCTCGAGATTCTGGTCACATTAGATGGGTTCTGTAGATGCCCCGGCTGACCCCATCGGCCTTTAACCCAACCAGAGTCACTGTCCTTGGAAAGGTTAGTTTATTGATATACATCGAACGGACCGATAGCTCTGTACCTGCCATGTTCCTAGATATGGTCAGTAGGGAAACTCCTAGGATCGACCACCTTACTTACCATCAAGAGCGCAGATGATCTTTTTCGGCTTCCGAAGAATCGCTCGACCGGCCGTAGGAGATTCCACCATAATGTGTGCGACTCTGACTCGAGACGGGAAGAACAGCTGTGCAAGCCGTACAATTTGCCCTCAAAATGATGTAGGACAGTGTGGAACGATGAAGCAAAAAGGAGAGGCTTGAGTCACGAATATATACACAATTGAACCAGCGGAACACTTCGGCGGGAGTATAAGGCATCCATGGCCTTGCAGACAACGTGTTGGTTATGCAGAAGGCGATCGGGCTGTGGGGCTGATCTGCGGCTGAGGATTTGGCGTCTACTGTCTTAAAGGGTATGCGATACATTGTTAAGGGTAGCCTCCAACAGAAGCGTAATAGTCAGGGCCTTCCTGCGGACGACTATACCGATCTGAAAGCAATTGTGCATTTTTACAGGCCGGAAGACTCCGCGTGACCGCGGGAGATAGGTAGCTAGAAGTGTCAGATTTTGGCACACGGGGAGGATAGATGATCGAGGCTGGACAGAATATATGAACTGGTCATGCATGCCAAGCGAAAGATGGATCGGCTTTTAGGGATGATTCTTGGACCTGAGAACCTGATGCCGTCTCGGACGCGGTACGCTCAAGGAGCTGTCTCTCAAGGTTTCAGTCAAGAAGTAGAGACCTGTCGCCTGAAAGTAGACCTATCTCCAAAACGTCAGACGGTCGCTTCCTCTGATCGACTTACTCTTGCCCAATTGTATTGTGCATTTTGACAGTAACATCACCGCATATAGCTGCGGCTGGGGAGATGATATGACAAGAAACGCACACGGAGACGCCGTAAGTCCAGACACATATAACGCACATTGCAAGCAGAATCACGTTAGCAGCGTTCTTCAGATGCAACTTCACCTATCTGGAGTGTAGTACGTTCCTCCCAGCCGAGTGTGCGAAGGACCCTAGCACCTGAGAGGCTGAGAATCGCATGTCTACTCAGGTAAAGTTGACAATTGCGTAAGATGGCGTTCGCTTGTGTTGGTGAAAAAAGCCATGGTGATTGAGAATCCGAAAAGAGACAAAGGTAAGGTACTCTGCACGGGTGGGCCCTCGCCAAGCAGTTTGACCGGAGTTTGAAAGTGTTTGCAACAACAGCGCTTCTGGGGAAACTTGGGCTGACCGCAACCTATTTTGAAGTTGCAACCACAAAATGGCCGCCACAATGTCGAGACGAATGGCAAGTTGTTCGCTGCGGGATATGTGAGAAATTTAAGGCTTATTCTGTCTCAGTTGTCCAAAGACGAAGAAGGTGAAGAGACCGAGGTCCGCCGTGAAGACCAGGACAAGATCAATCGCTTCAGCACATTGCACCAGAAAGAAAAGCTTCTACAAGCAGACCTGAAAACCAGAGAGGTGAGATCAAGGCTCAACATGAGAGTACAAAATTACATGGTTGACTTGTATATTGTACAGAAGGAGAAGGAGGACCTCGAAGAGGTCTCCTCGGAGCTTGAGCTTGCTGATGAAGACGAGAAAGTTTCGTGAGTTACACAGAGTCTACATTTCGAGGCGTCAACTTACCCTTTGTAATAGATACAAGATCGGTGACTCTTTCTTCTTGTTGTCTCTGCCCGAGGTTCAGGAGTTGCTCGCAGCATCAATTGAGAAAATTGACAGCGACGTGACAGCTGTCGAGGAGAAGCTCAGCGAACTCAGGGAAGAGATGCAGCAACTCAAGACGGCACTGTACGGTCGATTTGGTCGCAGCATCAATCTTGAAGCATAGGTGGGAGTTACCTGGCCTTAAAGCGACCAAGAGAAGCCCCAGCGAAACATCGTGGAGTCGCCTGCATGACACGGATACACTGGAAGGACTTGAACAGGCCGACTATCAAGTCGCGCCGGCCTCAAGATGTAACATTCAGGGGTCGGCGATATGAGGGTTTTCAGCGCATAGTGCGATGAGACAGCTGCAATGCATATGGCAGAAGCCCGGAAATGGCATGGTCTGCACGAGCCCCTCAAAATAGCGAGGTGCAGGCGCAGCTGCTGACGGAGGACAAATAGACTCTCTGGCTATGTACAGGCTACTTGTCACAGAAGCACACGCGGCCAACGTTGCGGCGTTCTCTCATTTTCACAGAGTATCGGCCCTTTGAGTTGTAGAGGAAGCACATGTCGCAGCCCACGGATCTATTCCGCACCCAGAAATCGAACCAAATCAAAATAGTGATCATTAGTGGAATGTTGTTGGTTCTGTCCACGAAATGATGTGGCTCAGCGAAGCTCGCGCGCTGAGAATAGGAGTCATACACAACGACCTAAGATATTGTATGAGAATAGAATCAACACTGGGTCGCCATGTCTAGTCTCGGAGTTTTACCATGAACCATCGCAATGCATCTTGGTAGCCGGTCTAGGGCGTACCTCAAGCTTGACAGAGCGCTTCGAGAGAGAGACGAAGTCGAATGCAAGTGCAATTTCCCTTTGCAGTGTTGAGGAACATCTCAATTGTGTTTCAGCATCAGGGTCAATAATGGCTACCTACTAATTGCATGACGATCGAATACTCCAAAAGGAATGCGGCTGTGCTGTTGCAGCAGAGTATCTGACTGCTGCTCAGATTCGTCAAAGATTCTTAAAAGAGGGTTTCGGAAGAGGACTGATCGGATTCACTGTCATTAACCAGGCCATTCAGAGTGTAGTTCTTAGGGCTCGCATTGCGAACCAACCAAGTTGAGCAGATGCGACTCTCAACTGTCAAGAACAAAAACGTTGGTGGGAGAAAGTCTGAAGACGACAGCAACGGGGACTGACGGGGAACCCGGTGTCGGCCGTACAGACACTGCCCTGGTCTGCCGCCTGCGTACGAGGCCAGCCTCGAGGAGAGTCGAGAATTTCAAGCAGGAAGCTAAATTCACAGACGTCTGATGAGCGGTCTACCTAGTTTCAACGCACAACAGCTTCTTGAAAAAAGTCAGTTGAGTCAGAAATCGATTTGTAGTACTAGAGTCGGCGTCGAGGGGTGCCGTGAGTCCGTGGAAAAAGCGTTTGGTAACTTGGCAAGGCGTGGAGAGAGGGATAAGCATGTGTTACGGAGACAGGGCTGATTGAGAGCGGTGCTAGGGCTGCTGATCCGTAAGAATTTGGGTGAAAGCCTCCGCTGCGTCGCTGTCAGAGCAGCGGTTCGAACTGGTCTGTGTTGCGGCGAGGCTGTGCGCCTGTTTCGGGAAGGGGCGCCGCCGTCATCGTTCCTTCCCTGGTCGATTCTGCCCGGTCGCAACTCTTCGTTTCCTCCTTCTTCTCCTTCTCCCAATCTCCTTCCATCAGCAATCTATCGGCATCCTCACCGCGCCAAACCCCATCTCCGGTCTTTTCATCGCCAAACTCGCTACAACACCGCCATCGTTTCGATCCTTATTCATTCGCTCTTACCCGAAAAAGGCACTTTCTCAAGGCACTTGGTTTTGCTTGGCACAGGCCGCGTCATCCACAACGTCGGCATCCGCAGTCTCCATAACTTCACACGCATCGCTCCTCTGCCCCCTCGCCAGTAACCAGCATCATGGCCACTGCTCAATTTGCCCAGATGGGCAGCCTCCCGCATGCCCTCAAGCCGGATCTTGATATGGAGTCGTTCTTCGACTTCAATCAGGGCACTTCTCTCAACTCTCCTCAACTCTCGGGTCCTACCCCCCGCCCCTCGGTCGATGCCTCGGCCTTCTACAGCGTCCCCTCGCCCTATGAGGCAGACGACACCCAGATGTTTGCCGGTCCCAGCCATGAATACGATCGCTTCAAGCAGCAGACCGGCCTACCGGTTGGTTCCGTCGCCAGTTTCTCTGCCTTGAGCCAGCCCGTCTCTGACACTTTCACCCCCAGCCATGCCTTTGGCGGTTTCAACTCGGGCATTGACGACATGACCTTTGACCACGGCTTCAATGGTTCCTGGTCCTCTGGCATTGATGCCGATGCCGACATGAACATGGACTTCAATGCTCCACAGACCATTCCGACCATTTACTACCCCCAGGCTGGTCCTTCCCAACCTCGCTCCGCCGATTTCGTCGATCCCGCTTCTATCGGTGCCAGTGAGGCCTCCCCCAGCAATGTCGGCAGAGTCTGGCCTGGTATGCATCAACAACAGGCCCAGCAAGCAGCCATGGCCAAGGCTCAGGTTCAGGCTCATGCCCAGCAGCAAAGAATGCAGTTCGAAGCCCAGCAACAGCAGCAGCAGAGACGTATGGCACAACAGCAACAGCAACAACAACAACAAGCACAGCAGCAACAACTCGAAGTCAAGCCTAGCAGAAGTCGCGCTTCCTCATATCACACCGACCCTCACACCGAGGAAAGCATCACACGCCTTCTCAACCAGATGCGTCAAGGCAGTACCGGTCCTTCTGCCAAGGACGACTCGGCCAACGGCATGCTTCCCCACGTCGCTCGCATGCGCAAGGAAGAAGAAGACATGGACGAGGACGAGCGTCTTCTCAACAGCGAAGAGGGCAAGAAGCTCAGCAGCAAGGAGAGACGTCAACTCCGTAACAAAGTATCTGCCCGTGCATTCCGCTCCCGCAGAAAGGGTACGTCCCACTATCATCATCAAAGACTTGGAGCTACGCTAATTATACGACAGAATACATCTCGCAGCTGGAAGGCGAGGTTGCCATGAAGGCACAAGAGGCCAACGAGCTCAGAGTGGAGAACCGCAGCCTTGAAGAGGAAAATGGTCGCTGCCGTCGTCTCATCGAGGTTCTGCTGCGTCATCCTGCCTACGCTCCTTTCATCGAGGACATCAGCAAAGACCCTAGCATTGCTGGCCCCTTGGCTCAAGCTCAGCAGGGTACCGCTGGCTCGGTTCCTTCGCAGCGTCAGGGTGAAGCTCCCCTGGATATGTCTCTGCTGAACCTGAACAACGGTCTTCAGGTTCCTAGCAATTTCCAGTAAGAAGATGCGGCGAGTTGGTAGAAGAGCTCAATGAGCTGCTCATTTTCTTATGTTGGCGACGTTTTGGCCAAGAAAGCCCACACTCATTCGTTGCCGCTTGACATGTTGTGGCATAGCATTCCCCTTTGTCAAGTCATCCTCTCCTTGGTCCTCAATGATTCACTCTATTCCCCCGCCTTGTGGCCGTGTTCTCGGGCAAAGTTGGCGTCTGGTTGTCAGTTTATTCTCCTTCATGATGTAGATATTGCAATTTCTTTCATAGACTTGGAACTGGAGTTGACGGTCTGAATTTTATACAGAGAAAAGTTTCATGAACATGTGTGCGCAGACGTTTATGCCATGTGCTGCATCTATGGGATGATGACAAACACGATAGAGCGTGTGGCTATGTGAAGTGAACAGCGGAGCTGGGATTGAAGTGATGGTGTAAAGACGTGAGGGGCGGACCGTGCTCACAATCGACAAGAAATTCGGGCTTGATGGTCGTCATGAGCTCAAGCAAGCAGCACGCGCAGAGCGGCAAGAAGAAGGACCCGTAACGCTTTCAATGCAGTCGACCTGTTGAGGAACCAAAGGTGGCTACCAATCTGGCATCTTTACGGAACCTGTCTTCGAGTGTATATCCGGTGGTGCAGTTCCAGCGAAGGGCAGCGGCCAACTACAAAGGTAGCCATCGCGCTGCACGATTGCGCTTGGAAGGCTTGAAATCCATCTCGGCCGACAAGCAAGCCGTCTATGCTTCGGACTTAGTACAAGGCCTCTTCACTGATCATCGGAAGGCGCCAGAAGCCACAGAGCAGCATACCACGGCTCCCCAACTACAAGCACTGCGAGGCCTCCTCCATAGCTCGGCTCGTTCACAACCCAGTCGCTCGCCCAAGCTCCCGTCGTGGTACAAGAGACCGAGCATCATCTTCCCGCCATCCACCGCCCTCGACATCTCGCCCAAGCTCCGGTCGTGGTACAAGAGACCGAGCATCATCTTCCCGCCATCCACCACCCTCGACATTCCCAAGGGAGGCTCGACGGACGACATCCAGTTCCGCAAAATGCGCTCCTTCTTCCAGTTCGTCACGACGCCCACGGCCGACACGCCTGGCACCACGCTTCTGTTGCACTTCGATAACAAACGTTACTTGATTGGAAACATTGCCGAAGGCACTCAGAGGGCCTCGATCGAACAAAAGGTCCGCCTGCTGAAGGTGTCTGAGATCTTCTTGACCGGAAACACGTCCTGGGAAAAGACTGGCGGCTTGATCGGCATGATCTTGACACTGGCCGACGCCGCCGCCTCTAGTGCTCAGGCTAGTCTGCTGGAAACAAAGAAGAAGCTGCTGAACAGGCTAGAAAGAGAGGGCGTCGAAATCAATGAAGATGACATTGCCGCCCAGGCTGCTCGCGAGGTCAAGGATAGAGTGCGGCTTTCCATATTCGGTGGTCCTAATCTCAACTACACTCTGGCTACTGCTCGTCGTTTCGTCTTCCGTAAGGGAATGCCTGTAGATGTACACGAGTACGGTCATGCCACTACTCAGTCTACCCCCTTGTCCGATCCTACATGGTCAGACGACAATGTCCAAGTGTGGGCATTGCCTGTTTCTCCTTCCCCGAAGACGTCAAGCGGTTCGAGTAGTCCGCGAAAGCGTAGCTATGATGAGCTCAACGGCCGGGAAATTCTGTCATCTCGTCCATCGCTCAACCAGACGGACAAGGAAAGAGCTCTGATGATGTCAAAATCGGTGGTTTCGGAAATGTTCGATTCCTCGTGGCGAATGGACGCGCTTGTCGAGACACCCATCAACCAAGTCCAGATGCCTGCTACTCTTTTCGTTCGTAATCCCCAAGACCACAAGATTGTCAAGTACACTGGCCCTATGCCTGGGGGCAAACAGCCTGTTCCGGACATTACAGTCCTGGTCCGCAAACCTTGGCCTGGAGCTCTTATTGAATCTCTCCCACCAGCCGAGCCCGTAAAGGTAGCCATGTCCTACATATTCCGCAACCACGTCCAGCGAGGCAAGTTCCAACCACAACGTGCCAAGGAGCTAGGTGTTGAGAAAGGGCCCAAATGGGCAGCTCTTGGTAAGGGCCAGAACGTTGAGAACGCCAAAGGAGAAACAATAACTCCAGATATGGTGTTGGGTGCAAGCAAGCAAGGTGGAGGTGCGGCAATCGTCGACCTCCCCTCTTCCGAATACGTCGAGGCCTTGGTCTCACGCTCTGAATGGAAGTCCAGCGAAATTATGGCGGGTGTTGGCGCCTTCATTTGGATGCTTGGTCCAGGCGTTGCATCACACCCAATGCTCAAGCAGTTCATGGAAGAGATGAAACACATGAGGCACGTCGTCTCTTCTCCAGAACTCTGTTCGAACAGACTGTCTCTCGATTCTGCCGCGTCCGCTACTGTGAGATTGAGTCAAATCGACCCTACACGTTACAATACCCCTGTGCATGACAACAAGTCTGCCTCGCAGGCACTCGAGTCTTTGGGTGGACTGAAGGATCTTGTGTCAATCGCTGATCGCGGGCAAAAGATACAGTTGGAACCATCGATCGAAGTTCAGGACAACGAGATCAACACTTTGCTAGATGCGGACGCAGTAAGGGCAGAAATGTCGAAAGACGTTCTTGATCTGGCGGTAAAAGCTCGCGAGGAAGTGAAAGCTGCCAAGCAAGAACTGGATGCTTGGGCAGACAGCCTTCCACAGAAAGATGTCGAGATCACAACACTGGGAACTGGTTCAGCTTTACCTTCCAAGTACCGCAATGTTTCTGCGACACTTGTACGTGTACCAGGCTGGGGTTCTATGCTTCTCGACGCCGGCGAAAACACTCTCGGCCAACTGAGACGTGTCTATGCCCCTGAAGTGCTCGACGAGATAATGAGGGAGCTTCGGGTGATTTGGATTAGCCATATGCATGCGGACCACCATCTTGGCACCGTCTCAGTCATCCGAGAATGGTACAAGGTGGTGCATGGATCACAACGGGCGGCAACATGCTCGCCAGCAGATGATGCCGACTTTGACGCAGGAGCTCTGTTCAGCAACCAAGACCGCCTATCCGTCATCTCAGAGTCGGCAATGTTGCACTGGCTTGAAGAGTACAGTCACGTCGACGACTATGGCTACTCACGTCTGGCACCTTTGTGCCTCACTCCCAACTTTCCTCAAAAGAACATCCAGTCGAGCCTTCACTGGTTCATCCCTCCATCCTCGACACAAGTTCGGGGTGGAAATTCCCCCCGGGCACGAGAGCCATGGGCTGATAAGATTGCTCGAGCTAAGGTGTTGCCACAAGCTCTGAATCTTCAAGACATCCAGTGTGTCCAAGTTCAGCACTGTCACGGTGCTCGAGCTGTTTCTGTTACCTTCCCTTCGGGCTTCAAGGCTTCTTACTCTGGTGATTGCCGTCCTTCGAAGCCATTTACTCAAATCGGTCAGGGCAGTACTGTGTGCATCCACGAAGCCACCTTCGATGACGAGCTGCAAGGCGATGCCGAAGCAAAGAACCATACCACTACGAGCGAAGCTCTGAGCGTGGCTCTTGGAATGGGAGCAAAGGCTTGTGTGTTGACCCATTTCAGTCAGCGATACCAGAAGGTTCCCGTCCTCGAATACACTGAAGGAGAGGACGCTATCCAGTCACTTGAAACGACGGGTGATGAGATGATGGACATCTCCACAAGCACCGACGATGAGGCCGAAGCTCCAGTGGTCGATGCTGTTGCACCACAGGCCGAGATGGCGACTTCCGTCGACGCAACAAACGCAAAGAAGGCTGCCAAACACATCAAGATCAAGGCAGGAAGTGACATGAAGGTCTGCGTTGCGTTTGACTACATGCGAGTCAAGGTCGGACAGATTGCAGAGATGGAAAAGTACACAGACACACTTGTTGCCCTGTTCGCAGAAGAAGAGTCTGAAGAAAATAAGCCGGAACCGCCAAAGAAGAAAGGCAAAGGCGGAAAGACACAGCGTAACAACTAAACTGCTTAGATCATCCTCATAGACGTTTACTGTATATATTGAAACTCCACTATTCGTTCGTTATCGTCAACCTTGCGGAAGGAGCTCACATGCACGTTGTCTGATGTTGAGTGGAAACCCCGTTTGTTGCAAGAAGCTGCCCATCACGACAAACAGCGAGAGGACAACTCAGAGCGAGTGCGAGAGACACTCGTGACACGTGGCCCAATCGAGCTAGAACCAGGCAGCGCGTGCCGAGAGACTGACCCTGGCGCTATCGCAGCTTCCACTTTCTCGGTGGCCGAAGCTTGCCAACACAGAATGCTGTCACAACTGATCAGAGAAACAAGAAAAACCACGATAATCATGTTGTGTCATGGCCTTTATTGTGTCTGGGCTTGCGCCAGGAAGTTGCTCACATCGATGCTCTTGTGTTACGGTACAGTTAGGGCCGAATCCAAAAGCGTGGTAACGAGAATTTGGCAGGAAATGATTGCTGCATTTCCGTCACGCAGCGTTGACCAAATCGACCACATGGAATTGCAAGAGGGTTCCCGAAAATGAGCAGATGTCCAGTGAGGGCGTGGAACATTTGAGCTCTCAGTGGAGGCTCACCTGTTATTGAAGAACTTTGTGCATTTTGATGTGTGTATCAAGACAGTGGCTGGATGCAGGAGAATGTGGTATTCACTGGAGCTAACGACAACATGGTGCGGGCAGATGAAATAGCTAGCTTTCTGGGGGTGGGGATTGTCATGTCGAACCTCAAGCCGCAGCGACACGTAGTGTTGCACCCATCAAATGCACGATACTTGAGAGCAATTGTTTAGCGTCTTCGTCTGGCACCGACCAATGTTTTCTGTCCTCTTTCACCAGGTGAATGACTAAAAGGAGACTTGATGTTAGGCTCGTATTCTTTGGTCGCTATCGCGTTATCCGTACTCAGGCTCTAGTCAATACCAGAAGACCCTTCTAGTAACGACCTGCAAAGGTGTCGATCTTCTTGCTGCCAACCTCTTTGACTGCTTCGGAGATCGGAGTATCTCCTCCAACGACATCAAATGCTAGTCCGATGGTCGATGGGTCTTCAATGCAGCGTACTATGACTTCAGCTACATCCTCGCGTGAGATACTCTTGCCTAAGTGGACCTTGCCTGCGGCAACAGTGCCAGAACCTCTGTCAGTGTTTAGTGAACCTGGTCTGACGATAGTGTAGTCGAGCTTGCGGCGGTCGTTCTGGGTGACGAGGTCTCGATCAGCGGCGAGTTTGGCCTGGCAGTACACCCCTATGGCACCCCACATCCGATCACTAACGGCGGTATCATCGGGTATATACCTTTTGACGTGATTTAGCATGGGCTGGCTACTCTATTGGCATATGAAGAGACAAACTTACCATTCGGGTGCCGGCTTGTTTTCACGATCACGAATGTCTACGGCACTGACGATGACGAATCGTTTGACTCCCGCAGCAGCAGTGGCATCGAAGACCTTGACAGCACCTATCGTACTCAAGTCAGCATGCAACAAGATGTATCAGTACAACTTACGTACCTTCGTGGTCTACAGCCTTGGTTCGCTCAGGGCTACCACCTCCAGCCCCTGCACTCCAAATCACTACGTTAGGACTGTACTTCTTGATAGTTGCCGTGAGGTCGTTGACACTAGAGTCTTCGATGCTTTGCACGATTGGCTTGGATCCCAATGCTTCGAGTTCGGGGATTTGGGACTCCTTGCGGATGATCGAGTGGACAGTATAGGACGAGGCCACCAGCTTGGTTGTCAGATGGCGTGCAACCTTGTGAGCTCACGGTATCAGCTTCTCTCAACCAAGCCCTAGCACAATTGATTGTCTTGGGGACTTCTTACCTTGCCGGAACCTCCGAAGATAAGTGCGGTAGACATGATTGATTGAGCTATAGTAATTAAAGTCGAAGTAGCTTTTACAGCCGAAAAGAGAAGAGGTAGAACACGAAGAACGAGATATTGAGATGTATGGTAAAATATTGCCCAATGTCTGTTCAAGAACATGCCATGCCGTCCATCTCATGATGAGCTCTGTGCTTACAAAGACGAGTTTTATGACGTAATAGCACTCCAAGATGGTGTTTTACGACAACGAACGAATAGATTGTGAAGCATCGCAGGAATACGGTATGGTTTGATCATGTCTCATTGAATTGGAACGGCTTTCAAAGCCCACCGTAATAACCAAGTGTAAAAAATAGTCGACTTCGTCCACAGAGTAGCTTGGTGTTCTTAAACCTTGATGGCAAACTGCTTCATGTGCTCGTAGTCCTTGACGTTTTCTGCAACCGTCTTCTGGATGATCTTGGCAGCCTCTTCGCCGTACTTCTCGGACCACTCAGCAAAGAGCTGCTCGTCGCTCTTCTCTGCCTTCTTCTGTATCTGTTGTCAGAAATCGCCCACGAAAGCTGGTGCATTGGACTTACGTGAGTTCTGGGCTTGAGCTCAGTGGAGTGGATAGCATCCTCGTGGAAACCTCTCCACTTCTCAAAGGCCTCCTTGGCGTGGGTATGGTCCTCTTCGTTGTTCCAGTTCAGCATGCTGGGAGAGTATTCGATGCCGACACTCTTGCAGAACTGCTCGAGGATAGCCGTGGGGTTGTCCAAAAGGTCGTCGGCGTCGATAACACAGATGTCCACAGCTCCGCTCTTTTGTTCGCCAGCCTCCTGTCCAGCAAGCTTGGGTCCGATTTGACCGCAAGAACGCAGGTAGTCGAAAAGACGACGCTGCTCGTCGTAGCCGGCTTCGGAGGGCATGAAGTTGTAAAAACCGGTAATGGCGTCGAGCGGGGGAATGGTGCATCTCCAGTAGCTGGGAATGCTGTGCTTGGGGTGGCGGATGAGGAAAGCGAAGTGGAACTTGTTCAGGATCTCGGCAGGGACGACGGTGGGGTTTCCAGGCTCGGCCTCGGTGGCGTAGGGGTAGGGAGGAGAGCTCTCTACTGCACCATTGGTATTTGAGCCCGAAGAGATTGGGACGGCCTCTGCAGATCCATCGACAATGTCGGTCAGAGGATTGCTGTCGTTGGTGCCGACACCGCGCTTGACCTTCATGAGAGACGGGGCAATAGATGCCGGCTTGCCGTCGGGAGGGGCCAGATAGTGGGTGATGTCCTTGATGAAGATGCGTTTGCCCTGATGATGGTGAGTACAAGGGCAATTTCAAAGGTGGCTCCTCAATAGATGATAGGTATGAAGGAGCAGAGCTGCTTCCCAAAGCTGTAGGGGATGCACACCTCTTCGTTCTCTTTCATAATGTTGTCAAAGATGGTCTTGTATGTCGAGGTTTCGAAGCCGCTCTCAGCACGAGCTTTCTGGTCCTTCTCGTATCTGTCGCTAAGTCTCTCGGGACCAAAGTAGAAGGCATCGCCAAAGGGCTCGTGGACGCATTGCAGTGTGTCCCGCTGAGTCATGAAGACCTGGTGAAGAACGTCAGTCGTCGAGTGAGTCGATTGCTATGGGTCAATCAGGGAGACGCACTCGCTCGAATGCCGTCGAGCATGCTCTGGGGTGAGTCGCAACAAAGATGGGCTTGTTGGACATGGTTGCGGCTGTGGAGAGAGGGGTTTTCAGGTCTCGTTCCAGGCACGACAGGATGGAAAATCTACAGATGTATGTAGAATAGAACGGGCAAAGAGAAAAGGGATCGAAGAATGCGGGAAAGCAGTCGCGGGACTGAACAGAGATTTAACAGATATTATTAAACGGTAGCCCAATGGAGCGTAGAGCCAAAGTGGTGACCAAAGAGGTGGTCTTGATGACGTCTAATTCGTGGCAGGGTGGAGTGGGTGTTCCTGGTGGGCCCGAGGCGTTCTGCGAGCAATGCCAGTCGCTGCCCTGGCATGGCGAGCCGTTTTAGTGGCCGAGATAGCGCACTCTAACATGGCGAGTGTTTACGATGCATGTCGACAAGGTTCGCACACAGCACACTTTTCCATGGTCGCCAGGTCGCCAGGTCGCGGGGTGAAGAGAACCACCCCGCTTCGACTTTTGTCGGCTGCGTCTAGCCTAACGTCCATACGAGCCGCCGCAATGCCGCAGACCCCAATGCCTCAACCGAATGCTTTGGCTTTCGCTGCGACCATGCGCCGTGTGCACTGCGCACTTGACGCCAGTTGCAGAGCCGCCTTTTGACTGTCGCCAGTAGGCATGATGCCTGGTTTTTTTCGTTTTGTTTTAAACGGTTTAAAACATCTTGGCGTTTGTTTTAATGATCATTAAAACGTTCATTAAAACCGGATGGTATAGCCGGCAGTTGGTAGAGGAGGTAGAAGACGCGCACGTAACAACTTTTAAGGACTAGCCTATAGGGTCCCCCGTAGACCAACATTTTGACCCCCTCTAACAACACTAACACATGCTATTAATCTATACTCTCTTATAGGAAGTCAGATAATGGTGTTCTATGCATTTAAGAAGAACAATCAATTAATTTAGACCAGAGGTAGTAGATTAGTGGCCGTCGAGCAGATAAGTTCTAGGTTAAATATGTAAGCTTCCCCTTACCGGTTGCAAAGTTTCCTACTTAGTCTAAATCGTTCAAATCTGCGATAATAACTAGAGCTACAACTATTAATGTGTTTGCTTTGTTTACTTTATATCTATTAAGACTAGGAAGGACCTAGCATTAAACTAATGTCGTCGTAGCTAGGGTAGGCCTATAAGCTGCCTTAGGTCTCTACTTAACATAGACAACTATTTCTAGAGCAGATGTATGTATCGTAAGTGACTAGCTTAGTAGCAGCTAGCTCGTAAATAGGCATCTCTACTATATAGATTATAGGGTCGGAGTGGTCCTCCTCGGATTTATTAAAGTCCTAATCATCTAACTCTGCTACTAGCTCTATTATGTCTAGTTCTAGTCGTTCCTCTACCTCTTCGGAAACGTTCTACTAGCTTACTATCGGCTAGCTAGGAGCTCATTAAAAGAGACGTGCGTTTATGCTAATAGTAACGAGTTTATTTAGTCGGTCGATCGAGAGGTTGCTCTAGAAGTCGTTCTTAATAAGATTCATAGCTAAGAAGGAGCGCTTATTTAGGACTAAGTTCGTAATAGTAGAGAAGATGCGTATAGTAAGGGCAGTAAGAGGTCCTCCCTCGTACCTTACTATACGCTAGAAAATGAGAGGGTTAGCAATATTACCCTTAGTCTAAAGGTCTTTATTAAGGCGAGAGAATAGATGCTTACACTCGCGGAAGGCGTAGAATAATGTTACCGCGTCTCTAGCATGTTTAGCATTACTAATATAATGCTTAATCACCCTTATTACCCTCTACTAAACTAGCATAGTTATAGCTATCGGTTAGGTAGCTAGATCGAGTGCCTATACTGCCTAATAAAGATCGTTGTGCTAACGCTAATATCGCTTATAAAACATGCCCCTAGGCTTAAATATCTCTATAACCTTAGGACTAAGAGAACACTTAGATAGGGCCTTAATCTAGTTCTATATATTAATCTATCGACTATTAACCTTGCCGAGGTAAGCACGGTTAGATTTAGACATCTTTTAGGCCTCGTAGATAGGAAGTAATAATGCCTTTAGATCTCTAATTCCTATCCAAAACGAGGAGTCCTTAAGAATCGCTATAACCTTACTTAAAGACCCTAGGTTTGCTTGTTTAGTAGCTCTTTTTGATGTCGCTTAATAGAAGCTTAAGACCCTCGGATCATAGAGCTATATTAGCAGTGCTTCCTTGTTTCTAAGAACTAATATAACGACTCCCATTTATAATCCCTACTAAGTAATAACACTTAGAATAAAGGCGCGCACTCGGCCGTAATAGCGGATCTAATGCTCTCGTAGAAAGGTAAGGTAAAGCCGAGACCGCTTAAAGAACTTTAATATAGTCTAGCACTAGCCGAGGAGGTGCTTAATACGAGGTATTAATGCGATATCCTTAACTAAGAGCTAGAGACTATAGGAATCGTAAAGAATAAAGAAGATATGCCGGAACCGTAGGTCCTTAACTATCTTAGTATACGTAGCTCGCATAGTAGAGTAGGTATTAGTAACTATTAAATTAATGCGTATATGGTTACTACCATAGAACTCCATAATATAATTAATGGCCTATTAGGACAGATTTCTAGCATTTGCTGCTATGCTTCTAAGGCTCTTAATGCCGAGCTAAATAGCACCTACCCTAGTAATATAGACGGTAAGGGAAATCACTCGCGTACTACTAATATCGTCGCTCTTATCTATCGAGAAGTTAAGGAAGTTCTTACTAGTCGTAAGGGCCTAGACGCGCTGCTTTATACGCTCGTATTTAGCGTCGAGAAGTGGCCCTACAATAGTTGCCCGATTAGGAGGTGTATATGCCGGATTTAGAGCATAGATAAACTCCTAAGTAGCAGGTTTTATGGCCTTATCGAAGTCGTTAAATGGACGGTAATCCTTAAAGATACCCTTAGCTAGTAAGGCATTAAGTCTCTGCTTCTTAGATGTCGTTATCCGGGTGCTAAAGCCTACGAGTATAGTATTTAAGTCCCCTTATAGTTAAATATGCGCATTATAGTTGTCGCACCTAGCAAGGTGTTTAGCCTTACGAGAGGCCGCATTAGAGAACCGCTTATTACACCACTTATAGACCACTCTATCGACCTTCTCTTTACCGATTCGTGGACTATAGTTAAACTATGCGTGTACGAGGACGAGGGGTAGTTTCATAGCGACGACGAGGGTCAGAATAGCGAGGGCGACGAGGTAGAGACTAGAGAAGGTAGTTAGCACAGGGAATAGAAGGATAAAAACATTAAAACGTAGAAAAACAGGTTTAAAAACGAACGTTCTAATAAAACGGTTTTTTTGAGGTTTAAAACATAAAAACATCAACCCTAGTCGCCAGATCAAAATTGTGGCTTTCGCCCAACGGAACGAGGCTTGTAATAATGCAACATGCTATTTGGAGAGAATGGTCAAAGAGGCTACAAAGGTGGAGCTGAAGACTCGTGTGATTACTGGCTTTAAACTCTCGACTTGCATGGACAGGTCTCAGCAAGGCGTGCTAAGGCCCGGGGGTATTACTGTACAGTGTACCGGCGTACAACAAGCATGTACGCAGTACTAGGGACGTCAATTCATAGCGTGTCTGACTTCCAATGACCACAATACCACGCCGACAGCAGGGAAAGGCCGCCTCTGACGACCCCAAGTCCTCGACAGAGATCAGGTCGGAGGATTGCGGCTCCCACTCTGCCTTGTCGTGTGTTTGGTCATGGCTGTGTGGATCGGCTGGGATTGGCCGAGCATGTTGGTCTGCAGACATGTGCAGAAGTTCGGCCAGTAGGAGGCAGACTAGATGGTGACATTTTTGGCGAATGGAAACGGAGACAGATATCAATCAGCGCCAGCACTGAACTCGGCTTGATAGTACTTCAAGGAGGTCAGCATGAACTTGTAGCGGGATTCAGCATTGGACAGCGCGGGCTCATGGTGTGATGTTTACCTCTTGGACTTTGCCAGCGAGCCTTTGGTCGCGCAACGAGGAGCGGGGGATGGACCAGTTGTTCGTCTTCCACCACCACCTTCTCAGACGTGCGCCGATGCTCGAGCCAGAGAAGTTGTGCGACGTGTTGTGGACCGTGTTCCAGTTCCTCCAGCCAGCGACTACCAATGTCCAGAGCAGGCCCTGGGTCAGGGGCATGAACAGTTGGTCCCTGAAGGTGATCCAGGCAACGGATTGCCAAGTGTCAGCATGCTGAATGCTGGCGAGATAGCTCTGCTCGAAGCGGAGGTCGGGCAGCGGAGGGAATTGCTTGCTGCGCGGAGAGGGTCTCAGGACCGAGACGGGGATCTCGTCGTCGTCAATGTCGTCGGGCAGTGTGTCGAGGTCGGGGTCGTCGTCGAGGCGCACAGGCTGCTTCATGGAGGCTGCCGTCGACGGGTTGGCATCGTGGGCGGGCGAGGGGTGTCTGTTGATCGAGGCAGTCTGGATGGTCTCTGCGAGCTGGATGATGGGTTCGTCGGCCATTGCGCACGTCTTGTTGTGCAGGTTGATGTGGTTAGTGTGCTCGGCGGGCCGTGGCAGGTCGTGGCAGGTCGTGGCAGGTCGTGGCAGGTCGTGGCAGGTCGTGGTTGCTGGTGAATGACGGTTCGACCAGGGTCGCCAAGTGTCCGGAGTAGGTTTGCTCGGTGCTGAGGGTCGTCATGCTGCTCTAGCCTCTAGCCCCTCCAGCTTCTCTCAATGTTCCATCATCTTTGCAAGCACAACACACACACCCACACAAGCAATCATGGGCAACGCAAACTCCCAAATGCTGGAGAACCTGGTCCAGGGCAGCAACTGTGAGTTTTGCCCGCACATGGCCGCCCTTCGATCCTTCACCGTGCTGACCGCCAACTGGAACAGTCGACCGCGATGAAGTCGACCGCCTGCGCAAGCGCTTCATGAAGCTCGACAAAGACAACTCGGGCACCATTGAACGCGACGAGTTCCTCTCCCTTCCTCAGGTCTCCTCCAACCCTCTCGCCACACGCATGATTGCCATTTTCGACGAGGATGGCGGTGGTGATGTCGACTTCCAGGAGTTTGTTTCGGGTCTCAGTGCCTTCAGCTCAAAAGGAAACAAGGAGGAAAAGCTGCGTTTCGCCTTCAAGGTCTACGACATTGACCGTGACGGTTACATCAGCAACGGCGAACTCTTCATCGTCCTCAAGATGATGGTTGGCAGCAACCTCAAGGACCAACAGCTTCAGCAGATTGTCGACAAGACCATCATGGAAGCCGACCTTGACCGCGACGGCAAGATCAGCTTCGACGAATTCAAAAAGATGGTCGAGAACACCGACGTGAGCAACAGCATGACTCTGGATGCTTTTTAATCTTCCGACCTTTCGACCTTTCGACCCTGATCCCGCCACTCGCCATCCATCATCCACCATCTACCATCTACATCCACCATCCATCATCTTTCTCCATTCAGACATGAGATACCACGGCGTCACGGAGTTTCCATCATAGGTCTGTTTCCAGACAGCGAGCGGTCCATCCTTTCTAAATCAATGCCTTTTTTGTTTCTCGTTCCGTTTGCATTGTTTCCGTCACCACCACAGCCCTTGTTGTCAAACTATCTTTTACCTCTCCGCGTGTGCAAAACTCAACCCCCGTCGACATCCTCATGCAATCATTTCTCAGAAACGTCAAAGCCGCGAAGATGCACGATGCTCTTCTTCCATCATGGTCGTCCACAGGGGTGAGCTATCTGATATGCACTCATAGGACACGAGTCTGATCCCGATATCTCAACCGCTACCTACGTGACGGACCTCAGTACATGAGGAGCCTGTGGACAATGTCTTTCCCGGAATATTTCCTCACCATGTGCTAAATTCTGTCACTTCTCGCCATCTCCCACGGCCATGCCTGGGGTTGTTTGGTCTGCAGAAATGCACAATGCTTTCGATCTCGCTCTAGCCGTCCGTAGAGAGGCGCTAACTATCACGCTCTCAATGGAGGCTACCTCTGAAATTGTTGAAATCGTGCAATTCTACAGCTATACGCGTGACAAAGTTGAGCGCACATGGAGGTGGTAGTACTGAAAGCGGTCCAGGACGATACCCCTCTACACACACACTATGCTTCACCACGAATTATCTTGAGCGCAGCCTCTCCTTTCGCCGCTGTTGTCAAGTTCTCCCATCCGTTCTCTGTAATCAGAAGATCATCTTCAATTCTTACTCCACCAACTGGCATAAATCGCTCCAGTACTGACTTATTGATGTATTTTGAATGTACTGGCGAAGGCAGGAAAACCGTCTCAAGCGCCTCGCGGTTGAAGTAACTGCAGTCTAGTCAGCTGTTGTTCTTCAATGCACGTGGAGAAGTTTGAACGCACATCCCGGGCTCACACGTTATGACCATTCCTGGCTGCAACCCGGGCGCACCTGTCTCGCTGAGTGCGCTGGTCCATACTTCGGGAACAATATTGGCCGACAAAGATCTGAGCTCCTCGTGTGTCTCTGCATTGGGGATATGTTGGATGATCTGCTGTCGACTTAGCACACGCCTATTTCGAAGCTGCGTTGGAGAGAATACCTCGGAAGCGACGCCGTTGTCCGCATGAGTGGCGGAGCTTTTTGTAAGCACTGTCGACACGTCATGCACTTCCAGACCCATATGGTGACCGAGGCCGTGAGGAAAGAAAGCAACAGATGTTCCTGCCTTGTAGATGTCCATCTTCGAGCCATTGTGGAAAATGCCTAGCTCGAGCAAGCCCTCAATGGCCACCATGTGTGCGAGGTATTGGGCATCAACGAACCGCTTTCCAGGTCCAAGCATATTCATGCACTTCGTTTGCATGCGCTGGACCAGATCATATATTTGCTTAGATTCCGTGGAGGGCCAGTTGCCAGAAAGTGGAAAAGTTCTTGTGACATCCGCTGCATATCCCTGCCATTCAGCTCCAGCATCGAGACACATCATTTCACGATCTCCAAAGTCCTCGTCGTTCTTTGTGTAGTGTAGTACGGCGGCATTGGACCCAGATCTGGGATAGGTTAGCAAGAGGCATTCGTGTCTGTTGGAACAACCACCTACCCAGCTATGATATCGTACGCCTGGTGTTTGGCACCGTGAGCAACACAGACTTCCAGAATTTCGGCCTCGACCTGTGCCTCGTTCTTGAACGAACGCAGCTTTCGTAAAACCATCTCGTGGGCCGCAGCGCTGATCTGGTTGGCCTTCTTCACTAGTGCAACCTCATGTGAATCTTTGATTACACGACATTTGTCCATTGCGGGTTGGAGATCTTTGGTATTGATCCTAGAGGAAAACCTTTTGGAAAGAGCATCGTTGTGATGTAGAAGATAGAGTTTCCCTTCATCTTGGGAGGCCCACTTTTTGAGAAAGTGTTCAAGCGATGGTGTGAATCGAGCTTCATCAATATCGTATTTGTCAAGTGCTTCCTGGACGTTTGATCCTCTACCCGTCCACACGACCTTACGTGGATCGATTTCTGCCAACCACAAGACTAATTTGTCTGAGGCGATATCGTAAGTAAGAAAGCAATCGGACTCTCCACATCCGCTCAAATACAAGAAATAACGAGCTTGTCTGAAGGCACGAGGTTGATCACTGTCTGGCCAATTGACAGTCTGTGTACCAGAAAGATAGATCAGACCCTGGTCCACGTTTAGAGCTTGAGCAACTCTCAGGGCATGTTGCTTCGCTTTTCATCGTTAGAGAGCCTCTACTATACTGCTTCATATTAAAAGACTGACCAGGATATTTGTCCAGCTTCGACGTAGTCTTGACGGCGATGTTAAGACCACAGAATGCAGGAACATTAGGAGCATCCCGATTCCTAGGAGAAAATCCTACGGGCTGGCTTGGAATATGCTGGCTCGCACGCATTGTTTCGATGTTCTCAAGGTTTACAGGACACAGTTGAGGCTTGTCTCGAGTGTTATCTCCTCGGTTGGCAGATCAATGATTACAGTACGTGTGCACAGACCTCTCGACGTCGAAAACGTGGGGATGCGTCAGGCACCTTTCTTCTCTGCCAACTGACCTCCCCGTATGCTAGAGTAAATTTTGTCAATCTTAGCCGCCTCTCGCGATCGTAACAAGGTCATCCAGGCTGAAGGGATGCATAATGTTTCTAAGATTAGTGTAGCCTTTCACTGAGAAGCGCTAACTTTCACACTTTCAGTGGAGGGCTACACTGATCTTAAAAACATTGTGCGTCTCTACAGCCTGCGCGTAAGAGAAGTTCAGCACACGGGGAGGGAACATAATTAGCTTCCACACCAGAAGCCAACATTGCTTTCCCGCAGCTACATTGCAAGACAATATATCCAGACAGAATACTCTGTCTCGGTTAAGGCAAGTTCGCTTTGCGACAGGGTGCAAATCTCCAAGACCGAAGCCTCAACGTCATGAAGCGCCAACATAGAGCAGTCGCGCGCTCCAATCGTGCGCGTCCATCAACAGATCCCCTCGCGCCTTCCTGCGTGTTCCCTGTTTCCATATCTGCAACATCTAGAAGCTGAATTGCAACACCACCATGATTTCTTTTCCCCTTCTTCTTCCTCCATCACCTCTCATCCGCCAGCTTTACCTTCAACGACCTCATACGACAGCGCTATCATAGCATCCATTTCCTATCCTTTCTCGCTTCCTTGCTCTCCCTGGTCGTCGTGGGTACAACGAACCTGTATGGTCCCATAAACCATTTATCCATTTCCATACACTCCTTATCAACGTTGTTCACCTGGTTTCATCGACCTGATCCTCTTCCTGAACATTGAGCATGAAGCATCACCTCGTGGCTTCTACCTTGGCCATTGCCTCTCATGTTAATGCCTTGCACTCGCATCACATGAAGCACAAGCTTGTCGCTCGCCAAAACAACGCCGCGAACACCCCACTCGTTGTGACAAACAACTGCGCCGAAACTGTCTATCCCGGCATTGCCACTCAACATGGCGTCGCTCCTGGGCAGACTGGCTTTGAACTCACTTCCGGATCGACCGTCTCACAAAGCGTCTCGGAAGACTGGCAAGGACGTATATGGGGCAGAACGAACTGCAGCTTCAACGCACAAGGCAGATCGAATGGCGGTGGTCCAGCTTGCACTACAGGAGACTGCAACGGCGTAATACCTTGCCAAGCAGCGGTGAGTTCTCATGGTCGAGAGTCCCCGGTTCCAGAGCTGACTGTTACCAGGGTGCTATTCCAGTGACGCTGGCCGAGTTCACTCTGGATGCTGGCGACGGTCAGACTTACTACGACATTTCTCTAGTCGATGGGTACAATCTGCCATTGGCTATTGTCCTTGTTCCTCACGGCAACTCTTCGTTGGACGACATTCCCCCAAATCTTACCAACCCGTCCTGCGAAGGCACAGGCTCTTTGCTTGCTCCATCCAACTTCAACCCTTACGGCAGTGGGACCTTCCTTGGCACCAATTCTTCGTACCCTTTGCCATTCGAGACGAAGGTCACCACAAGTAATGCTAATCAGTGGTGCCCTTGGGACCTCCAAGTCGACGCCCCCTCGAAGCCCGGAGACAATGTATATCCTTATCCCGACGGAAACATCCAAAGACCTGCATTCGATCCTTGCTTCTCTGCTTGCGCAAAGTACAACTCGGACCAGTACTGCTGCCTTGGCAAATACAACGGGCCAGATCAATGCAGCCCCAACTATTACGCCAAAGCAGCAAAGACAATGTGTCCTGATGCATACAGCTTTGCTTATGATGACCAGTCGTCTACCTTCATCATCCCATCAGGAGCTGGTGTCGAGGTTGTTTTCTGTCCAGGCGGTAGGAGTACAGTCATTCTCTCTACAAAGGCAGCACAGCTTCGCGAGCTGGCCAATACAGGCTCCGTGTCAAGCTCAAGCGGCTCAAATTCCACAGCTTCCAGCTTCGCGATCCCGAATCTTGATGCTCGACCATGGTACACTTGTTTGGTTTTCGTCGTGGGCTTCCTCTGGTACTGATGATGGACGACCTGCAGAAGGTCTCCCTCTTCGGGTTGAACTCCTTGTTGTAGCTCAGCTTGCAAGGCATGTCATGTTCAACTTTGAATTACCGTTTGGTTGTAGCTCTACTTTATGTCTACGCTGTCTCATTCAACATTCGTCTTTCCCTAATGTGATGATCTCTGGATTCAGTGACAGCTTCGTCTGTCATGGTCATCACAATTGGTTGTTGGGGTGACCCTGCTGGTAATTTCATCAACCTCAATCTTCTCAGACTTGGTCTGGTACCCCCCGTGTGCGTGCTGGACTTTATCACACCTATGCTATTGAGACTGACGAGTATTTTTAGGTTAGAGTGAGCCGTCACTGAGAGTGTGAAGTTCAGCGTTACTCTGCGGAAGGCTGGACTGTTTTAACAAACACTGTACATTTCTGCAAGCCGCATCCACCTCACTAGTTTGTTACGAGCAGTTGACCTGACCGAAGTGGGCATCGAGCATAAGAATGATAGTTACTGCATCGGATTGTAGAAGTGTAAGACGAGACATGGATTCTATAGACCAGTCATAAAAACGCAAGACTTGGTGAAAATTGCCAGCTTCAAAAGCGGCCAAAGAAAATCCCACACCCAAAAAGAAGAATATAAAACATTAAAATCATGTACAATTTAAGAGCCCTGTATCGCTCCATAATATACGCCAACGCAGGTGCTCAGATTACAATTTATGAGCCAGTTCCGCCGCATCCACTCCAACGCCTAGCGTACTGGGCTGGATGGTGTTGCTCCCTGGTTCCAATCCAGTTCCATCCAGGGGTTCGTTCGATACGACATTGTCCAGTTCCTCATTGCGTTCGCTCTCCTTTTGACGTCTCTTTTCCATTTTATGGATGGCTTGCTCGGTGAGCTGTTGCCTGAACATGCGCTCCACCACATCCTTCTTGCGAGTAATCCTATCGCCGATACTGATGATGATGCCGCCAGTGATGTTGCATGTCAGCGAAAAACACAGGATGACGGTCGTGAGAGCAAAGGGGCGCACGTGGTAGGAGATTGCCCACGTGCAGGTGCCCAGAGCGATCTGGAGAAGCGAGTGGCAGTCGAGCAGGACGACGACAGCGACGAGAAGTCGTAAGGGGAAGGCGTGGTGGGTTTCGGTCTCGTGAGGCTTGTAAAAGGTGTGGGATTTCGAGAACTTGTCCTCGTGGTGTTTTAGTTTTCTTTGTTGTTCTTCTGTGAGCATGCTTTCTTCCGATTCCCGTTTGTCCATGGATCTGGTAGACTTGGCATCGGCATTGAGAGCAGAAGAAGTTTCGTTGATGGAAGCGGCTTCAGCTGTGGAAGCAGCCTCGAGGTCAGCGTCGATTCCGGGCTGGACCGGAAGGTCGTTCTCGTTCTTGAGCTTCGGCAGGTTACGCTTCTTGCGGAGATTCCATGTCAAATGGTGGTAGTGGGCAATGTATATCATATGGTACGTGTCGACAGCTCGGAAAGGAGCCAAGCCATCACCAACAATGGCGAAGAGAGCGACCAGGACGTTGTCGATAATGTTGATGATGTACGATTGGCGACCTCCGACATTGATCCATCCAATCAAGAAGAGAACCCAAGCGAGACCGAACAAGGTGACCAGGGTTGCATATACAGTGACAAACAGACCAAGGGCTGGAAAAGAAAAGGTTAGTCAAGGAAAGATGTTGGTTGCAGGACATGAGAGCAACAGCAGCAACTTACGGCGGCGAACATATTGACCAAAGCCCTTCATACCTCGCTTGAAGGCAGCACGGCGAGAATGCAACATGTGTCTAACGTGATCATTCAGTTCCTGCTTCTCGGCCAGACTCCAGCCCTCGAGACTGAGGCCATGCGGGAGTACGGCGTAATGGTCCTCGGTATCACTCAGATGCGAGGCAATGGTGAAGGTCCTGTCCATGCCCGGGCGCTGCTCGACATCTTCGGCATCAGTCTCGATGCGAGGCTGGGTCATGACGGACGGGGGCTTGACAGACGGGGCCTTGGCAGGCGGCGGATGGTCGCGGAAGAAGGTTGGCTCACGGGTGAGGTTGTACGTCGGACGACGGTTCAGGAGCGAGCCCAGATCGGGAATGAAGAGAGAGTTCTGGACATTGGTGAGAGTTGCAAGGGTAGCGACCTCGGGGTCTGTGGAAAAGTAAGCTTGACGATGGCGCAGAAGAGGGAGCTTGTGCAAGACGAACCGACGACATCGAGAATGTCAACCAAGTCCGAATCGTACTCATTTGCCCAAGTGCCTCGACGGGGTCTCCGGCGAGGCGTGGCTTCCGGGTCGTCGTCTCCGTGTTGTTGTTGTTGTTGTTGGCGCCTGAAGGGCTGGAGAGCGGCCACACTGGCTCTCTTCCAAAGGCCCGGACGAACAGCATCTCCAGCGTCTCCCGCGGCAGCCAGTTGCTCAATGTCGACGTCCGGGGGCAGCGTCGTGGACGGGCGTCCTGTCTCTTCGTCCAAGCGGGGCATGTGCGTCGAAGCAGGACGTGCAGCGCCTCTCGGAACGCTCAGACTGTTGTTGTTGCTGCTGCTGGGGGCGACCCATGGTGGACGCTGAGGCTCCGACGACGAACGACGCCTGCCGGAAGGGTCTGCCGATGGCTTTTGGGCAAAATCCGTCGTCGCAGTGGTATGTTGAGAGCTCAGGGTGCTGGCGGATCCTAGGCGGCGCAGTCGGATGCTCGGTTGACGGCGGTCTTCCAGCGTGGGTCGTCGCCTGTCATTGCGGGGGGTGGACAGCTGGGAATGCGATTGGGGTTGAGGAGGAGGCGATGGCGACGACATGCGCCTGTTGTTGTTAATGTGGTTGGGCGCGCTCGCTATCGGCTGCAGGGCGAGGGCGTCCTGTCCAAGCCCAAGCCCAAAGTCGTCTGCCTTGGTGCCGTTCATGCTTGCATCGCGGACTCGTACGAGAGAGAAGTGAAAGGGTGCTGAGGATGATGTCGCGACCGAGTCTTGCTCCTACCTGTGCCTGTTGCCGCGGGAATCTCTCGAGAGCAACTAGGACGAGGGACTAGGTTACTAAGGGCCCGGATCAAGGGTCAAAACACCCAGGCAAGCCTCGTTCTAGAGCCGCGCATTCTACGACAAAGTACCTTTAAAACGTCCTCCCGCTAGCCACCTCCGTTGCGTCCGCCTATGACGCACTTTTCTACCAACAAATTTCCACCCCGTCAGCTTTGCCTATCGCTTTTGCCTGCTTGCTGCTTGCCAATCTCTGCAAATGCTTGTTTTGTCCCCTGCGTACCGCTCTTCGTACAGAGCTACCGAAATAACCGGTTTTTTTACTTCCAATGGATGTTCATACAATTCTGAAATAAGGCAGGATTCTTTTGATAATCAGGTATATGTCCACTGAAAGCGATACTCCCCCTTGGCCTTGATCTCTTCGGACCTACATTAAAAACCAAAAATCATTGTGCCTTTTAACTGCTATGTTGTAAGGAGCCTTTGCTAGGCTGAGAGCTCGGTTCTGGTGCAATTCCTGTGCCCCTACATCTACGTTGTTCTATCAGTCCAGGGCTCTTTCACTTGCGTGTTCACTTGTTGGCGATGTTGGTGTCTAGATCGAGCACAGAAGCGGATCTGTTAGTTCGCTCGAGTACCAGTCATACAAAGAACCAAAACGCAGAAACATAAGTGAACGAGAAAAAAAATCTAATGCATTCCCTGAAAGACTCCTAAAAGTACAGACCGAGTCGAAGATTATGTAGTAGGATCCGAAGGTAGTACTAGTTCCAGCCATGTCTTCAACCCGACGAGTGATAAATGGCCGAAGATGGACAAAAGGGTGGAAGTGTCCATATGTGATGCCCATCTCCCCTTTGCCCGAACATGTATCCTGTTTTGGTATTGTCATAAACGCATCTGCCACTCCTCTATCAGAGCTAGAGACACTTATTTGGCGATTTCCACACCTCCCTCTGCGCCGATGGCTTTCTTGATGTCGCCGTAGATTGCAAATTGACCAGCGGTAATGGTACCGACCATGAACAAACGGGCACCGATACCAGAGTACGAACCCTAAAGTTACAGTTAGCATCAATTCTTGACACAAAGCCAGCAAGGGAAGAGAACTTACGCGGAGACCAAGCTCCTTGGCGATCTTGATCAGACGGGAAGTGGTGCCCTCACCGGGTGCGCCCTTGGACTTGTTGATCTTGGAGAGCATGGTGTCGGCGGGCTGAGAAACGAGGGCGGCAGCGAAACCGGCGATGAGACCGGAACCAAGGTTGATGGTGGTCTGCATACCGGGAGAGGCAGTGGCCTTGTCGACGCGCTTGTAGATGGCCTCGGCAACCTTCTCGTAAACGACGAACTTGGACATGGTGTAGGGAACCCTGGATTGGGGGTCAGCATTTGCGCGCCCGACACGATGGTGTGACAAGACTTACTGCTTGAAGAGCATGGGGCCGAAACCTGAGTAGAAACCTCCAAGGCCCTCGGTCTTGGCGATCTTGGAGAAACCAGAGACGAGACCGGAAGCGAAGGTGGGCTCAGAGACGAGACGAATACGGGTAGCCTCGAGAGGGCAGAGGGCAATGTCGGCGAAGAATTCGGCAAAGGCGGAAGAGACGAGGTAGACAGCGGTGCGGTTCTGGACAGCGTTCTCGTAGCCGACCATGGAGATGGCCTGCTGCTTGAAGAACTCGTAACCACCGAACTTGAAGGCACCCTGGAGGAAGTAACCAGCGAAGGTAGGGCCGACACCGGTCAGGAGAGCGCCAGCACCCTCGTTCTGGATGACCTGGCGGAAACCACCAATGAGACCGCGGTTGTAGGTGACGGGGTCAAGCTGGATTCTGGTCTTGACGCTGTGAAGAAAATCGAGTCAGCGGTGCTTGTCGCCAATGCTTTGTCGGCGCGCGCGCGAGAGGGCTACGCGCGCGCCGGACGGGACGACTCTTACACATCGACGGGGGTGAGACCACCGTGGGTGACGGAGCAGCAGACGGCACCGGCAAAGGCGAATCTGGAGTACAGAGCAAGACCGCTGAGCTTCTGGGGAGCGGCGGCCTTGACGTTCTCCTTGATGGCATCCACCTTGGTGGAGCCGGTGGAGGTGGGAGGGGCAGTACCGGTGGCAGACATTGGACCAGGGATGAGGGGAGTGGAGATGGTATGGACTGGAGTGTAGGAGGAAGAAGTGCAAGCAAGCCGATTTTTAGATCAACTCCCGCTCCTCAACACAACGCTCGGCCAATCATTGCGACCCTACATTCGGAACAACTCGGCCAAGCCCAATTCTGGAAAATGACGTCCCCAAACATTGCACTCAAGCGTGAAGCACTCTGTCTTCCAACCACCTGCTGCTCGAGTTGACCCGCTTACCTTCACTCGGTCACGTCAATCATGATACTTCTCTCACTCGGACATGAATGGTACCGTTCAAACGAGGTGTTGAGCCTTTTATACACTACATAAGGTAGTCGCTCGGCGGACAGCATAGCCGACAGCAACCATGGACGGAAATCGAGATTGCCGAGCCCACCTCGCAAGCCTCTTCAGCATATTTTCAAGCCGCATAGATCGACCGTCCGCCCGACCGTCTCAACGCCATCACGACCAAAGTATAGAGCTGCCATTGCCTTGACAAATTCTCCGTCACTTTGACTCCATTCATCCAATCCCATCCTTCTCAGATCTTCACTGTGGATGGTGATTGTGCTCTCGTCCCCGTCGCGCCTCTCAGCCTCTGCGACTTGTACAATATCCGCCAACGTGCTTATAACCAATGTAGTGAGGCGATGTGCATATGCAACAAGAGTCACTGCCACAGACTGCAGTCTCTCATCATCGCCGTCCGAGTCCTCTTGGCCAAAAGACCGCTTCCTGCCGCTTCGCAAGCTTTGCCTGCTTGGAGCAGGGAGAGGCAGATCGTCCAGCAATCTTGCATCTTGACATGCTTCGTCGTCAAGTAGGGCATCTTTCTCTCCAGCAGAGGCCCACCAGAGAAAACTTGTGTAGGCAATGGATGCCCATGAAGATGGCTCTGCCAGCTTTGCTTCTCCTTCGAGCTGAACATACTGATCCTGGTCACTCCTTTGATCCGGTCTCGATGGAACCAATGGCGCGTTTTCATTCTCAGTGTCATCGTCTTCGATGGCTTCTTCGTCTTCTCGTTCGTTCTGAAGGGCTCGACGTGCATGCTGCACTCTGTTGAGCTCCCGCTTGAGTGCGTAGTAGCGTCTCAGGTCACGCTGGGTTGCCTTGATGTCTTCGCCAGTGGAGGTACGAATGTGAGGCCACTGCTTGACTCCAGTCACGACAGCATCCCGCGATGGTAGCTCCACGAGAACATCGTATAGCTTTGACTTGGTCTCCAGTATGTCGTCTGTGGTACATGCAATCCATGAATTCTGTGGCTTGGCGTCGCTGGCCAGTTGTGACAGATAGTCGATATCATGGATGCCAATGTTGAAAAGGGGCCTGAGAGGGTACAAGGCACCCCTGTCTTGTAACGTGTCGGCTACCGAAGGCGGGATGTTTGACAGAACAGATAGGTTGTAGACAAGATTGCAAGCTGTGTGGACAGGTGCAGGAGACATGACCAATATCCTCTTCTTGAGGAGCGCGGCTCTTTGCAACGGGAATATAAGAGGTCCAAATGTGTCAAGGTGTTGTGCTAAGGACATGGCTGGGTGGTGATGAGACAGGGTTGGATTTCGGGAATGTAGACCTGCAGCATCAGACAGTGCACGTTGTTTGCGCTGGTTCGATGGATGGTGGTCTGTCGATGGTTCGCCATCTCCGACGTCTCGTTCATCTTCGACGGCTATTCGGTTCTGTTCCCAATACTCTTGCAAGACGTCGGTGTTATTTGTGTCATCAACGATGTTGCTGTGACTCGATCAGCCTGGTACATGGATATAGACGGCTTGCAGATGGTGAGATGCATACTCGACCAGATGGCGGAGTCGCTGGGCATGTAACCAGCTACGGCCAAGGCGCCCGGACGGTTTTACGAGGACACCGACTGCAGCGAAATGTGCATTTCTCTCAGACTCGTCGGCAGGCCGGTTTGCGAAGGCGCTGATGCCGGCATACTGTTCGTGCACAAAGTAGACAAGATCCTCGTCGCAGTTGTGAAGGCCAGAGGGAAGCGACTTGTACTCGACGACGCCGTCAAGCTTGACTAGACCTGTCAGTCAAGAAAGTGTCGAGAGGTTGAGAAACTCACGGCCGGTGATTTCGCGTTTCCATGCTATCGTGTACCTAAGCCATGGCCGTCAGTGGAACGTTTCTCGAGCTGGAGCTCATCACGCACCCTACCTTGCGGTCGAAGACTACAAGAAAGAGCGCAGCTATACGTGGCAATGCCACTTCCGGGCTCTTTGAGCTGTCCCGGGCTACCATGACCGCCCAGCTAAGAAAGAGCTACTCGTTGTTTGTTACGTGGGAAGATGAATCTCCGAGTGACCGAGTCCATCAATGTCATGCACGACAAGGGCCCAGCCGAAGATCCCGATGATGTGGGGGACCTGGTAAAGACGCCCCTCTACCTCACTCACCTCTTTGCCTAACAATCTCGCACATCATCAAGCCTGCTCTATTTTCCTCCATATGTGCTTACATCTATCGGCAATTTGATCTTACAGGTTGACACCGAATCAACACCAGATTGCAGGACCACGTCCTAGATTTGACATTGGAGTGTGGTTTCCGACGCCCACTACACCCAAGTCGGAGGTATACGCATCATCATCAGCCTCAGTCGTTTGCCCTGCTCAAGACAAGTTCGCATCATCTTTCTGTACAACAGGGGTCAATCGACACATACCAGGAGAATGGCAGCAGCAGAATTCATCAATCTGGTTCGCGGATGGCCAAGTACGACACTGCTCCCTACAGAACATCTGAGCAGAGCGGCTCAAAAAGCATTGGCTGACCCGTCAATCGCATTCCCTGGCATGCTATATGGTCCCGATGAGGGATATTGTCCACTGAGAGAAACCCTTGGGCTTTGGTTGACGTCTTTCTACCGACCCGAGAAACCCATTAGTAAAGAGAGGATTACAATCACGGGCGGTGCCTCTCAGAACCTAGGATGTCTTCTACAAGTCTTTACGGATCCTGCATACACCAGAGATGTGCTATTCGCTGCGCCTGCATATATGTTGGCCTTCCGAATCTTCGAGGACAATGGTTTTGCAGGAAAGATGAAAGCAGTTCCAGAAGACGACGATGGTATGGATATGTGTGCCCTACGAAAGGTATTAGAGGAAAGCGAGAGGCGTACTCCTGAACAACAGGTTCGTTAGCTGAACGTTATGTACAATGGCTCTCTGTTGATCGGAATCCAGTTATCCAAGCCCTCAAGGCCATACTCAAAATACTACCGCCATGTAATCTACTGCGTACCGACATTTTCGAACCCATCTTCCCGAAGTATGCCCTTGGAGCGCAGGATTGAGCTAGTAAAGCTGGCTCGAGAGTTCGACGCCTTGGTCGTCTCGGACGATGTCTACGATTTTCTGCAATGGCCTTCAGACTCCAACATCCCAACTGGCATTACTAAGGCTCTATGGCCCCGTATTGTTGACATTGACCGCTTTCTAGACGGAGGAGCGGAGCGCAGTGGAGCCGATGGCTTTGGCAACGCAACAAGCAGCGGAAGTTTCAGCAAGATCTGTGGACCAGGCATTCGTGTTGGCTGGTCTGAGGGATCTGCTAAATTTGCATACGGCGTATCTCAAGCTGGCACTTCCTGTAGTGGTGGAGCACCCTCTCAGCTTACGTCTACTTACATGAACATCTTGGTGAAGGAAGGTACCCTGTCTACCCACATTTTCGAGATATTGCAACCAGCATATGCTGCACGTTACAAGACGCTGATGTCGGCAATCGAGAGGTACCTGTGCCCCCTCGGAGTCAAATTGCCGCAGTCAAGACGCAATGTCGTGGGAGGCTACTTCTTATGGTTGACTTTGCCTAATTCGATCAATGCAGATAGCTTTGCAGAGAGGTGTCAAAGCGAAGCTCGAGTCATCGTTGCTCCTGGGAGCATTTTCGAGATTCCTGGAGACAGCAGTGTTAAGTTTGACCACTCCATCAGGTTAACCTTCAGCTGGGTCGATAAGGATCTGATGGTTGAGGGGGTCAAGAGAATCAGTGGAGTTCTAGAGAGTTGTTTAAGAGGCGAGGGTCCGATAGCGATTCGAAAACAAGACGACAAGGACGAGAAACCATTCTGAGGTCGGGTTCTGGGAGTCCAGCTCAGCATGGGATCCTGCCCTCCCCGTGTGCTAAACTTTGTCACGCGCACCCTGTAGAAATGCACAATGTTTTTAAAATCAGTGCAGCCCTCCACTGAGAGTGTGAAACTCAGCGCCTCTCTGCGGACGACTAGAGAGATCTTGAAAATATTGTGCATTTCTACAGACTAAATAACCCCGGGCATGGCCGTGGGAGATAGCTAGAAGTGACAGAATTTAGCACACGGGGAGGGCAGTGGATTAGAAACAAATTCTAGCTTCTACTGTGCTTTCTTTACCTGGTCGTCAGAATGCAGAGCAAATAGCGATCCAAAGTATGTTGTTCACCGAGAGCAAGATAACTGTATACTCTTAATACCGAAGTCGTCTCGTTATGGTCGGTACCATTATCGCCGGTCAATTTGCAATCTACGGCGACATCAAGAAAGCCATCGGCCGGAAGGCGGTGTAGAGATCGCCAAATAAGTGTCTCTAGCTCTAATAGAGGAGTGGCAGATGCGTTTGTGACAATACCAAACTAGTCTCTTCGTCGGGATATGGACAAGGGTAACCCTGCCGGTCGTCACCTTCTGATTGCATAGAGTTCAAAACGTAATCTTGAATGCGAGCTGAAATATACAAAACACCTATAGATCCTGTCACAATGAAACGCCATCGCCATGCCTTTTGAGACTTTTAACCACCCTCTTATCACCCTCTACTGTAACATTCCCTCTAGACTCTCGCCAAGAATGCCTTCGATCTGGCGAATCCAGGCAGTCGTTTCTCTTTCAACATCCTCGTCGTCATCCTCTTGCAGCTCGCTGATGAATGGTAGCATCTCGGGCAGGAGAGCGAGCCAGTCTTCACCGAGCTTTTCGGTCAATGATTGTTCACACTTGACGGCTGCCAACCTGGTCAATTCGTTATCGTCTCTCATGAGCTTGAGGATAGCCGAGTTGAGTGTCTTGTGATGCTCCGGAGATGCTGCGGCGCCTGCCAGCCCCGTAACGGCAGATATGATATCGAGCGAGTCTCTGACCTCAGGCTCATTAGCGAAGGTCACTTGATCCAACAGAGGCTGCATGATGGCCTCGAAATGCGCTGGAGCTTGCCAGAAGTCGTCTTGATCGTTGCTGAAACTTGCACCGAGTGTCTGGAGCAAAACCTTCAACAGAAGCTGCTCGTTCTCTCCCACCGGCTTTACACTCTGGAGAATAGAAGCAGCCTGCTCAAGCAGATAACCGGAGTAACCTGTCACGATAGACTAAACATTGCGTTAGCACTGGCAAATCAAGGATTTGCAAAAGACACTCACCTTTAGTGTTCCAAAGAATTTGCCCAAGAACCCATACACACTAATAAGACGAAGAATACGGCCAGATTGATCCTTCTTGGGCAAGCCCTCGCCTGCCCAAGACACGAGGCGAGTGAAGAAAGGTCTGAAGACTGTATCATTCAATCTCATGATAGCGTCCAAAGACAAGCTGTCCCTTTGTGCTTCCATTGCGGCAAGCTGCTCACTGTCAGGCGATGCAGGTTGTTGTGAGAGCAGACGACGAAGATCAAATGACTTGTTGAGTATTGCGAACAAAACCGAGGCATTCTTGATCAATGCCGATTTAGGGTGTGTCTTGATGACTGTGTGGACGGTAATAAGAACCTCCTGGCAAGCCTGGTAACCAAGGACGACAGCGTTGTCGAAGGTGCGCTCTAATGCTGTCAAAATGGTTCTGGCATCGAGTTGCTTAGAAAGCAGACTAGTGAACTGTACACGGCTGTCTGACTTTCTGATCTCCTCGGCTCCGCTGCAGGCAGATTGCTGTGTAAGCAACAAAGCTTTGTCCAGAGTTTCGGCGGAGAACATCCAGGAAATGTACTCAATTACGTTTGTCAAGAACGAGTAGACGGCGTTGTGCAAGCGAGCATTGCTGGAATCAACCTTGGTGGCATACTCGAAGTAATCATACGAGGTGCTGAGAATCTGAGGCAGAATGTCCACAAGGTCGTCCCTTAGGACTTCGACCATAGTGGCAAGGCAAAGCAGGGAGATGATGCGAAGTTCATCATTGTTGCTGCCAAATGCGTGCTCAGAGGCCACCACGCGAGCGGCAGACATGATCCTGTCGGTGTCCTTCTTGCCGAACTTCTCTGAGATAACATCGATACATGAGATAGCACTGTGCACCAGCTCCATATGGCCCTTCTGGCTGATGACTCTTGTCACACTTGGCAAGACAGAGAGCATTGCGCTCGCCGCCGAGGTATCTGCGAGCTTAGCTTCGCGACCACGCTGCTCAAGTGAGCGCAGGACCATAAGTCGAAGACCTTGTTCGGGTCGTTGCAAGAGTTCCTCGGCCGTGCGGATGAAATAAGGTGTCGGCAGAAGGCTCAGGGCTGCTGTCAATACTTCGTTCGAGGCAGACTGTAGCTCTGACTTGTCTTGAATGAAGCTCGAAGAAGAGAACTGCATGATCTTCTGGAGAATGTCAGCAGCGGCCGATTGGAGACCACCATGAGCGCTGCTATCCTTGTCGAGAGCCTTGAGAATCTGAACATGGAGAGAACGCTGCTGTAGGAGTAGTCCAAGAGAACGCAAAAGGTGTGCCACAGATTGCTCAACCTGGTCCGACGTCTTATCGTTGAATCCAAAAATTGCTTCGGATACGTTAGACTTGGGCTGAAGAGCATTGGTGACTAAATCAATATATTGGGATGCAGCAATGAGTTGAACTTCAGGAGAGAAGGAACCCATAAGCTCTGCGGAGAAGGTCGGAACACGTTTGTCCGTTGGGTACTTGTCGAAGAGCATGGCGGTGATGGCAGGTAAGAAGTCCTGAGGACCAAGAGCATTAACAAGATGGCTGAACAGACGCAGACGGCGGTGGAGGGGAATGTGCTCAAACGCAGCAGTAAAGCTGAGCAAGAGCTCAGCGGCACCTGTTACAAGGTCCTGATTCTTCTTGCGAAGGGAGGCGACAAGAGGAGGAACTACTCGAGAGACAGTCTGATCAATCACATGAGCCGAGTAGTCGTCGCTTTGTCGGAGCAGAGTGTTACTCATGAATGTGAAAATCGGCATCACACTGTGCAACACCAAGTCAGGAGCCCAGCTTGCTAGACTTGAGATGAGGAGCAGAGCAGCGTTGTGGATCTGAGCATTAGTACTAGTCCTAACACACTCGACGATGAGGTCTGCCCTCAAAACGGAACGGTCGACCTTAAGATTGGGGTTCTGCTTGAGCGAGTCGACGATTGAAAACAGGCAACCAATTACCAACTGCTGCAGATAGACCAGATTCGAGCCGAGTTGAGTCCTGTAATGCTGAAGCTCGCTCAGTACGTGGAAGAGACTCTTGAGCAGTTCTGGGTGTCTTTCAGGGTGAGATCCTTCGATCAGCTCAAGCACGAGAGTCAGCCTACGAATAACACTGTGCAAGTCCGAGACATTGATGCTTTGAGACTTTGCCAATTCGGATCTGCTTGTTCTCCTGCGCTTGGTGGCCGGAGGCTTGTCTTCCATCTGAGCAATGCTGGGAACAGATTCTAACATCGATGACAAGACCTCAGTGGACATGGGAACCTGACGAAGGAGGTCGGTAGCATCCGATTGTCTGGCTTCAGACAGGTCGTCAGGCTTGTCGTCGAGTGCAAGATCGAGAAGGAAGGTGGAAGCAGAACTCTGCGCGATTGGCTTCATGGATGACCACAAAGCTCTGAATCGCTGAATCGCCAGTGTTGACAGGTTTGCACTTTGACCGAGTTCTCCGTTTGCAAGAGTTCTCAGGCAAGTCAGCTCCTCAGAAGTTCGACTGGTCAAGCAATCGATATAAGCCTTGTCAATGCTCGCTACATCTGTATGAGCAGAAATGCATAGAGTGGACCGAGTCTGCAAGTCAGACTGAACCCAAGCCTGGAGGGAGGGAATGAGTGTCTGCACTCTGCCAGAAGAAGCAGCCTTGCCAACAGGACTCAAGAAGGACAGGAGCTGGGCCTTGACGGTGATCAAGGAAACCGAAGCAGCGTGCTCGCAAAGCCAAGAAGCGAAAGAGATTCTCAAGGCCGACTTCAATTCAACAGACGTGCTAGATGGATGACCAGGCTGAGTTTGAGTCGGACCATTGAGGCTGCTGACAAGTACTCGCGCGATCTGGCTGGGGTCAAGAACGCACTCCTCCAGGTTAGGTACAATTGCATCGGACAGAACCTTGTAAGCATTGGGCCCAGTCAAAGACGACTTCTTGGAGGCTGCTCCGTAGATGCTTTGAGCGGTCCACAACTTGATGGACTCGGTCACCTTTGACTTTGATGGATCAGGATGATATAGAGCGGCGACAATAATGAGGAGGTCAGCAGCTGCCTTGCGCACAGCCTCTGATGCATCGGCCAGGGCGACCATGGCAAAGGGCATCAATGCCTGCATATCGATAGTTTCGGAGGAGTGCGAGTTGAGAAATGCAGTAGCGGAGCGAAGGGCAGAGACACGTGCAACAATGGGATAGACTCCGGTCCAGAGTCTTGCCAAGAACGACAAGTATGTTGGCGAAGATAATGCAGCTGCACCATTAAGGGCTGGCTTGCTGAGAAGAAGGTCCAAATCCTTGTTCTGCTGGAGCAGGATCAAGAATGTACGGGCAAAGGCATCGAAAGGAGAAACATCAGCGTTTGCAACGAAAGAATAATCCTTAGGCAAAGTCTCGGGCAAGGCAGAGAATGCCTGTTCTAGCTGGTCAGCCTGAGTAGCAACGAAGCCATCCGTCATTTCGGTATCAGCATCGGCCGAAGGAAGAGCCAAGGTTTGGCTCGGGGCAAGGGCGATCTGTAATTGAACCTCAATGGACTCAAGGCTTAAGTCAAGGCGAGCAGCTTCTGCTTGCACCAGTGGCAAGGTAGACGGCGATTGACACAGGGCAGAGAAGATGCGAGCAAGATGCTCTTGAGAAGCGGCGGACTCTGACAAGACTTGCAGTTCGGAAACTGCAGAGAACAAGACTCGAACGATGGCAGCTTTCTGCGGCAGAGTGAGGATGTGCGAAGTAACGGCGTTCTCGATCAAATCGAAGGCCACAGCAGCCGGAGCTTCATCGAGCGAAGTAACTGCAAGGCCAGTGAGAAGTCTTCCAGTGTGTTGTCGTGTCTGAAGGTCCAAGATACGCTCTTGCAGGCCGGAGAGGTTGAGAAGGGCTTTTGTGACGGAACGCGTCAGTTTCAGGGATTGACGTTCTTCGGCAATGATTGCTAGGGAAGCTATGCCCTGTTCTAGGGTCTGTGGGGTCCAGCTACGAGAAACGGCGTCCATGAGGCTGTCCAACACTCTGTCATCGAGCTGCGTCTTGGAGACAAGGATGCAAATGATCATGCACGAGCCCAGGTAGAGCTCAGGCACATTCTTGATGCGCAGTGTCTGCTGAAGCACGGGGACGACGCGCAACAACAGGTCCTCCTGGCGTTGGCTGCGGACATCAGCACGACCCGACATGGCGGCGTCGAGCATGCCGTTGATGGTGGGAGTCATGATGCCGGCCCAGAATTGCAAGAGCATGGTAGAATGATGGGCCAGGTTAGAGGCACGGATGACATAAGTGTTGAAGGCTGTGAAGAACGAAGGGTTGTTTATAGCGGCGTAGATCAGAGCTTGACTGGGCGGGCTCGAGAGGCTAGGGATGTATGGTTGCAAGAACTTCAAAGTCGGAGGCAGAGTCTTGGGCAGGATGGACAGCATGGTCGGGAAGAGCGGGTTCGCGTGGTAGGGCAGGAAGGTCAACACGAGAGATTCGGTGTTGTATTCGTGCACACTGTGGCCATGTTAGCATGCACCGAGGCTGCACGGGGACCCACGGGCGACACATACCGGAAACGACGGACGAGCCACTCTACCGCCTTGAGACCCGGTCGCAGCAGTAGTCTGGAGCCAACAAGACCCAAGAAGCTCTCGATGATCTGGTCCAAATCCTCATTCTCCTTCTTGGTCAGGTTGATGCGCTCCTCGGACTTTGACTGCTCGCTGAACAGGTTGGCGGCAAAGGGCGCAAAGCGGGCGTCCAGCATGCATAGTTCCTGGAAGGCCTCGGCGCATATCTGATAGATGGTTTCGAACGTCTGGTTGGCGGCGACTCGTGGGTCGAACAGCAGTGACTTGCTGTGCTGTGCCCGCTGCGCCTTGAGATCGAGTTGGTCGGTCGACTTTTTAGCGATTTGCGCCAACTGCTGTTGCAAAGCTGTGGCCATGGTGCCGTTCGGTGTCGCCTTGTGGCCCAACTGTCTCAGACCGAACACTTGCACTGTTGAAAACAATCGGCTTGACTGAAGGTAGCGGCGACAAAGTTGATTTCTTGCAATGCGCCTTCCATCACTCTGCTAACGCCCACAAAAAGTTCCAGCTTCTGCCAAAAACTCGCTGCTCTTGGCATGTAGAACGGCAGGTACGCCGAAGGCGGTGAATCGCTCAGTCAGCCCTCCGCCATACGCCATCCGCCATCCGCTTGCCCTCACGCATTGCGACCACATGGTGCAGACAGCCGATAAAGAACAATCCACTTATTATCGATATTCCTAAACAGTGGCACTCCTACATGTCGCAACCGTCTAGAGATGTCCCAAAGTTCTCGAGTTTTCGCGCGAAAACGCTTCCTGTCCAAGAACAACCGTCAATACCTACAACTCTCAAGCGACAACGCAGTTCGGAGAGCCCCCATCACTCCGTGAAGCGTCATAAGACTCCTCGTGTTTCAAACAGTCCACCTCACGATCATGGACCATCTCGAATCAAATCGGCAACATCGGAGCCGCATTCCCGTAATGGACACCATCAACGGCGGCACTCTCGCGTTCCTTCTGCTACCAAACAACCACTTCTAGTCCGCCATGATAAGGATTCTGATCTCTTTATATTTGATGGGAAGGGCGACCGCCAGAACGTTGCTTACCAAAGCTTGCATAAGTATAGCATACCACCTTATCAGCGGGTGGGTTACGGAAATATATTGGGCCTGGATCTTAGGTTCAAAATCGACCGAGCTGAAAGTACCATCGACAAGGTTTTCATCATTGACAAGTCTGCCGCGTCGAAGCAAGTTCCTCAACGACTCCTGCTCAAGCGTTCAAAAAACCAAGAACTTCCCGCTTTGCTTGCTCATGACAAAAATGAGCTAGATCTGGCCCAAGACTTTGTTGTGTTTTCACCTTCTACTGACATCGACGCTGATCCGGTGTCTTCTCCCAATGATCCTGGTTCGTTCAGGGATCTAGTGTATCCGGAATCACATGCGCCTCAAGTGCAGAAATCCTCAGACTTGGTTCCGACTGCTGATCTCCAAGCTCGTCAGCGTAACATTCAGCTCATCAGAGCGACAAAAATCAATCCCTCCGACCTTCAGGCCTGGCTTGACCTGGCAAGTCATCAGGAACACCTCGTCAGTCCTGCTTTCGATGCTTCGTCTATGATCAACAGCGAGAGGAAGACCTTGGCAGATCTGCGCATCGCTGTGTACGAAAAGGCACTAAAGCAGTTTCCTGAAAATGAAGCCCCCTTGCGTGAGGAGCTGCTCCTCAGATTGTTAAGTGAAGCTTCTATCACTTTGGAAGCGCAGAAATACAAGCAAAAGCTACAGGATACCCTTCAACAGCATCTGACGAGCTTTCCGATCTGGACCCTCTACTTGAACGCTTGCCAGGCGAATCCAGTCGAGTTCCGCTTCGAGGATGTCAAGGCTTTCTTCATTCGCAGCCTCCGCACACTCGGTTCCAATAATAATGCTAATCATAACCTTGAGGCACAGCACATGATACTCTACCTGACTTTGCGTTATACCTTCTTCCTACGAGACACGGGTTACGTTGAACTGTCCATAGCCACATGGCAAGCTCTTTGCGAATATCACTTATTCAGACCCGAGCACCTTGCTCATCTTGGAAGAGATTTCATCCTTGCCGATTTCGAAAAGTTCTGGGAGAGCGAAAGACCACGGTTTGGTGAAGAAGGTGCACGAGGGTGGTGCATACATGATCAAGATGACGGTATTGATCCAGAACTTCGAAGCATCTTGCCAGATGGTAAGTTAGCTTCGAGTCTACCTTTCAAGTCCTTCTCCACTCTCGAAAATACGATGAATGAACTGCTGCGATTTCCTGGAAGAACAATGGATCAACCTGGCAACGAAGATCCATTCCATGTCGTTTTCTTTTCCGACCTTCAAGAAGTACTGGCGGCGACGACAAGTGCTTTGAGCCGCGATGGTTTTCTTGACGCCTTGTTTTGTTATCTAGGTCTCCCTGAGATGAACGATACATCCATCACTCAACGTCTTCCTGCATCACGGCGCAGGTGGCGAAATGATGTCTTCCTTGATCATGGACTATTGCACTCTGACCTCGCGATCAGCGATCACAGCAATCTAGACGAAAACCTCATGCCGTGCTACCAAACATCAACTGATTTGTTGTTTTCACGTGCATTTCAAGGTCTTTCCAGGTCAAGCACACCATCAGATGGGAGTTCTCATGACCAACAAACCAAGCCGGACGTGGCTCGGTTTGCACAAAGAATACTATCAAGTCTAGTACAGCTGTACCCATCCGACGACGGCTTGGCCGAGTATTATCTGGCGTTCCAGCTTTCTTGTTTCCCTAGCGAGGCATCCCGGGTTGCTAAGAAAATCTTGAAGCAACGACCGTCAAGTCTCCGACTGTACAATGCGTGTGCTACAATCGAAGCAAAGTTGGGAAAGACTGACAAAGCGATTCAAATCTGGACCGGCGCAATCAAGATGAAGGCTAGCTTTTCAGCTGCAGCACAGCAGGAATTCGTGTTGCTCTGGCGAGGATTGATCTGGTGTGATCTCGAGACCAACAACGCAGAAACGGCTGTATCTCATCTCGCCTCTTTCGGATGCGGTGACGCCTCGATTGACAGTGAGTCTACGTCAATGTCAACTGTGACATTATTGAGATTACGCAAGGCCTTCAAGGACGGGTTCGAACACGCAAGTAGTCAATCTCAACCCCATCTAGCTGCTCTAAATGCAGAAATGCTAGCGCTCGTGGCATATCTGACCGAATCCGATGGACTATGTGCATCTATCAACACGATACAAACGCAATATCACGCATCGACACAAAGGTCCTCGGAAAACCATATTCTTCTTGAACTGCTGCATCAGATCAAAGCGAGCATCCTTTCTTATCACGTCCGGCAGAAAAGAGCATACCGGCCTGCATTCCTACGATGTGAGCTAGAGGCAAGCATCAAGCTTTTCCCAACCAATACCATTTTCCTCGAGATGTATCGAGACAATGAAGTGCGCTTCCGGCTTGATGACAGAGTAAGATCAATACTCAAGACCCAAGTCTTGACCAATAGCCAGTCGCCTCTTGTAGGATGGACATTCGCAATCAGCCAAGAATTGCTTCGATATACGAACCAGTCTTCCGGAGCTACGGCAGAATCCGTGAGATCGACATTCAATCGTGCATTGTTGGCCGCTGGTAGTCCGGTTCGGTTCTCTCAGCTACTTTGGATGAAGTGGTTCCAGTTCGAGAAACAGGCGGCCTTGAAGGAAGCAGTAGTGACATCAACATTTGCAAAGCGCAAGAACGCGGTTGAACAGCAGCCTTTGAGGAAGCTAAAACAGGTTTTCCTCTCTGGTCTACATACTCTTCCTTGGTCGAAGGATTGGGTACTAATAGGGTTGGATACTTTTGACAGAAACGATAAACTAAGCTGGGAGGAACGAGATCTGAGGCGACTATACAACGTTCTCGCTGAAAGAGAGCTGCGAATAAGGGTAGAAGGGCTCGAGGCCATCTTGGTAGAAAACGAATAAGAAATTTATTATGCTCGCTGACATTGACAGCCTCTCGTAAGCTAGCCTCAGGCCAATATTGGATAGTGCTGTATCACATAATCATTTGCGAGAGGCTTGGCGGCAGCGTCTTGCGAGGAGTAACTCCGATATCATACTCGATAGTATTGTAGAGTTGGATGGACAGAAGAATGCGCATCGCTGTGGTGGGAGAGTTGATGAGACAGATTCCGATACACGTAAAGGTTGTGAGAAACCAATGAAGGTGCTTGGTCGGCAAGCTGTATACGCGCGTCCGACAGCATTCCGATGTTCTTGGCGGCGAAGCAACGGTGATGCAGTCGAAAAGAGCAGTTTCATAAAATCGATCATGGTCATCTGCCGAGTTCCCAGAAATTGTCACCGAGATGGATCACCAATGCAAGAAATAAGTCCGAAAAGCCTTGCCTTTTCGCAAGTCAACAAGCAAGTGCTGCCTCCCTATATGCTAAAGTATATGACTTCAACTTAACTCTCAAGCCGCCGGCGATGCGCATCGTTCTAGCCATCAAAATGCACAATAATATTGAGTAAGAGGACGTCGTCCACAGAGAGCGGCTATCTAACGCCCTCTCCTTGGGCCTAGCTCTACTTTCGAAAATCATCGTGCATTTTAACAGCAGTAACAAACTTTAGCACACGGCTTTGGGGGAGGCCCAGGTGATCAGGTCTAAGAAACGCCCACAACAAATAGACGCCTGACAGCTTTTCGCCATGCGCATGAACGCAGAGTGCCCGCAACAGCGACTCGATTGGCTTCTGAGATGAGGACGTGTCAGTCAGGGTATCGGGAACCTTGCTATTTCTGATGTCGAATGTGTCACGGACTGTTTCAAGGACATAGCCCCCTCTGTGCTCGTTGGTCGTCGTGCAGACTTCGCCTCTCTCCCGGCGGAAATTGTCCACGGGGTTGCGTCATGCATGCACGACCTCCATCAGTGTAACAAAGTGCCAAAAGCACGCTGGAACTCGGCAATTCGTGTTATCCCTTCTTCGTCCTCTCTACATTACAACCCATCCGAAGCATCTAGTTGTTTCGGTCCCTTCGTGATACTCATCCAAGGTTGCCTTCGTGTATATACATACCCCGGAATTTCGGCAACCACCATAATGGGCATGAGACTACAGAAGACGGCATCGTCCTTCTTCCAATCTCGAAGCTTCTCTGGGCACTCTGCTCGCAGTGCTCAGAGCTCACCCACAGCTTCTCCTACTGTCGAGAAGACTGGGTTCCTGCCTACGCCAGAGCCGGAGGCCGAGTATAGACGTCCTCTGTCGCCTAACACTCGATCCAGACCGTCATCCCGTCTTCGGAACGGAAGTCCCCCTTCATCTACGTCTGCCAGAGTCTCCAGCACGTCTACCACAAGCACGTTAGACCCATCTACCACCGAGAGGGATGATAAAAAGAGCCAGCGAAAGTCGTGGTTTGGGCGAAGTCAAAGTACCGAACGAGTAGACCAGAAACCTACAGCATGGATCCTTGGCCACCCAGAATTGCACTCTTACGACATAGCTGGTCTTACTCGCTCGGAGCATTTACCGGAGTACGTATGAAACGATAGAAACGTTTTGAGAGGATGACCACCTTGTGTGATCTTGATCTCTTGGGCTGCGCAACGACCACACATAACTTCGATCGTATCCTAAAGTATTACTCGGACCACTGAACGTCTCTGTTGTACCCATGTCCTCTCTTGAGGCATTCTACACTTGGATGGATACATTCAGCGCTTCGTGTAACTCTTTACTGCGATGGGGGGTAGATGCTGGTGTCCACGTCGGCTTTGTGATCGCTTAACATCCGAGAAACATGCTAATTTGGCACTGAATGTTTAGACTATGGGACGATTCTGCAGATTGTCAAGTCTATCTGTTTCCAAGAACCTCTGGCAAAGGCCCCTCGTTCCGCATACAGTCGGCGCTGTTAGATTCGTCTAAGCTGCTGTCCGAGATGGTTCTGCCACTCGAAACAGGTTCGTGAACAGCGTAATGCCCGATTGACTAGGCCCCTAGCGCCTCTGTACGAGCAGACACTGATTGTAGCTCTTTCAGTAGTAGCCAACCTGAGGCTAGATGATCCTAGCACACCTCCGACAACGCCTAAGAGTGGATCTACAAATTATCTGCTTTTCATGCCAATTGCGCTGAAGTCTGATTCGGTATTATTACCAACATCTAACTCTCAAGGCCTTTCAGAAGATGAGGAGACACTTGTTGCGATCCGTAACCTTTTCGCCTTCCTTACTGGTCAGTCCCTGGTCGCTACTCGAAGCAATCCGACCGTTTTCTCCGTCTTCATGAGACTTGCAGAAACTATTAGAGAATTTGGGTTCTCGAATTTTGACGGCTCTACGTTCGGCGACATTGTAACGTCCAGTTTTGACAGCTACGTGGACGAGCTTGGCCTGGCAGACCTTGGGTCAAGTCGCGAGAAGACCATTGAAGGGATTGTCCTGGGAGAGCGCATGAAGAGTATCAAGCTATACAACGAAGCTTTTACACACGCTGTTGGAAAGTATGACGAGCTATTGAGGTTGCAAGATCCAAAGCTCAGACTTATCAGCCCCATCTCGTCAAACAGACTCGGCCGCGCCGCAATGGATCTGGATAAGCGAACGGCGAGTGTTCGTCAGACTTTGGAGAACTTCGATTTCCCTGCGCTATTCAGCGGGACTTTGAACAGCAAGACTGCCGATGAGCGCAAGGAAGTCGATTTCAATGGCTTGCGAGATTCGTTCTTTGCCACCCGGAAGTTTGTTATGTCGTTTTACAAAACTCGCTATGGTTCATGGCCGCCGAAGGCGTCGAAGAGAAACGAGCTCGAAACCAATGGCCTCAATCGTATCGTTTGTCAAGATTTGTACCGCGATCTATGCGCAATGTACGATCTGCTGGCAGACCGTTCGAGCCTAACGAATCGTACCGCAGACGGCATCTTGATCGACGACAGAGACACAGCTGCACCACACGTTCGTGCGCTCCGGGCAGTGCTTAGCGAGTACGATCGTTCATCACCACCAGGTACGTATTGGAAGTACAGCCTCCCCGTGTGCTTAAGTTTGAAACTGTCGCTGCTGTAGAAATGCACGATGGTTTTCAGGAGTGGAGCTAGGTCCAAAGAGAAGACCTCCAAGTATCGCTCTCTGTGGACGACGTGATATTGCTCAATATCATCGTGCATTTTGATGCGTCGATCAATGCGCATCGCTGCGGCTTGAGAGTCAATGTGACAAATGTTAGCACATGGGGAGGAGATAGTGCAAGACAACAGACACGTGGTGTCAGAAGGCTTTATGGTCTCATACCAATCTGCACGCAATCATAACACTGACCACTTTCGTCTAGTGAAACCACCGATCCCATTTGATCTTCCGATATTTCCATCCCTGAGACAGACTCGCTCAGGTACCGGATGGGGAGACGCGAAGAAAGAGGCAAAGGCGATGTCGAAAAAGCTCAAGGACGATGACATTGCAGAGATCATGACAGCTTCACACAACACCGACGTACCTCCTTCTCCGTTTCTGAACTCCTTCAGAGAGGTCGAGCGAAAGACGGCACGACACTGCACCATTAAGCAGTTGACAGAAATCCGCATGGGTCAATGGCTTTTCATGTACGCTGTACTGCAAGCTTTGCCAATGGTTTGTGTCGACGGCCCACAGCTCCACCATACCAAAGATGTCGAGTATTTCCTATGCGAATCCCCCAAGTTCGGTGTTCCATGGGCCCGAGAAGATGCGCTTAGAAACATCAGTTCTACTGGGGCAGCCAAGACAGGAGGTATTGCTCACCTTCCTGCTGATGTCTTCCATCATGGCGTCGAAGGTATCTACTTTCGGAGCCATTGCTGGGAGGTAGCGGAGAAATGGAGTACTAGAAATCCAGCACTATCTTCGGCACTTCGTTCGCAACATCAACTCGAAGTAGTGTTAGATTCTCCATCCGTCGTCAGAGCCCAGCTACCAGCCAACAGAAGCGCAAGTCCTGCCATCAAGGTCCAAAGTCGAAAGACTGTAGGCCTTGGCTTGGAGCTCTCATCCCCTGGACCGGCTACTGGTGGCAAGCCTCATACGACAAGACCAGTCAGCGTATATGATCCGAACTTGACGTTTGATTCGATCTTGGGTAGCGCGATGGATGGTGTCGACAAACAGAAAAGTTAGGCGATTTTACCGAGAGTTTTGGCCGCCAGCGTGTGTCAGAGGAACGGGCGAAATTTTACACGAACCTGTGACAGTTCGGCCCATGAAATCCGATTCCAGTCTGTTAGCTCTAGCTATTTGTATCACACGCATAAGCAGACTGAACACCAAGTTACGAAGTCTCGTTTTGGGTGAACTGAGAAACCTAATCATGCGCATCAGGGTTGCCACAAACCACAGGCACTAAATGCTCTACCAAATCACCAAGAGCATAGAAACGTGGTAGTTTTGAGATCTGTATTGAGAGGGCGAGCGAGCTAGCCACACAGGCATATCAGAGTCATCAGAACCTCGGTGTCTTTTGAAAGCTACCTAGTCGTAGTGACCATAGGTACGTGAGATTCTGGGATCTCACGCGCTTGGTATTCCAATGACGGGGTTTCTCATGCCTGGTGCTGAAAATTGCACCGGTGCTGAGTATTTGCAAAGAATCTGGCGTGTGATTATTGTTTCAAACAACGCCATACTTACAATACGGATTCTTGTGTCAAGATGATAAACGCTATACCTGCAACTTCTCCAGTCGCCCACGTGCTCTCGTTGGACGCGACTTGAATTCACAAATCACTGTGCAGTTCTACAGCCATAAGCGTGACAGACTTTGGCACAAGGGGAGGAAGCATACGTAATGGTTGTGCGGCTGGTACGGGGTGACCTACTATCAGAGCAACAATTAAGGTTGAGTCTGACAGTTAGCACGAGCCTCCGCCCCATCTACACTATATTGGAGTTCACGCGTGCATTGAGGTGGCAGCCGAACGCGTATTCTTCTCGAGAGTCCGTGTCTTAGTTTTGGCACCGACAAGTGGAGTGCATGAGTCGACTTGGTCTCTCATCAAAGAAAAGCTGCAAGGTTGTTGATCAAGCACGTGCGTGACATGAGGCCTGGTTGCGCAACTTCTCTTTTATGTGTCTTGTGCTGGCATATAACTCGGCCATCGCTGCGGGTTCAGACGTGTCATATTTGAAAGAGAGCCGCCCATCCCAGCATGGCGGCAATGGTTTTATTGATCACGCATTGCATCAACACGGCATTGCCGACACGAAGAAACTTAGAGCGAGGCCTGCAGTCAGCAAGTTCTTGGGAGATGCTTCAGCCAGCCAAGCACTGAGGTTGGAATGGAGATAATGCGGACGAGCACAAAGTTTGTCGGGGTACGTGCGTAAGTTGCGGCATCGCGCACATGCCAGCTGCGCGCTCGCACGCATCTGCATACAAATCAGGGTTCAACGTGCATCGAGCTCGGGCTCTTTGTTTGATAGAGTCGGAGACTGCGAGGAAAAAATCGTAGTCAGGTCAGCAGATCTGCTACACGTGAGTACTAACAGCTTGTAAGTAGCTCAACCAAAACTGGATCACCGTCTTCCGAGTCAAGCGTTCAACACTCAATCTAGAGAAGAAACGGTTGAGCACATGCGCTTCAAAGACGGTCCTTCCTTTCCGAGGCTTCGAAATCCATGCAGCAAGCGAGCGCTAACATGCATGTAAACGCCGGCAAGTTGCTCGTTTTGCGACCTGCAGCTCCATCATACCATTGCCTAGCCTCTCAGACCTGTCTGACAATACTCGATCGCGAACCATAGTGTCCTGACGTCGTACCTTGTGAGCAATAGCGGACTAGTGTTGACCTGGCGAGTTCTGACTCGAATCAGAGCAAATTCACCCAGGTATCAGTTCATCAAACAACCCGCCAGAAGGGGCCCACCATTCAGCAAAGTCGAAGCGAGCTCGCTCGGGTGACGGAGACGGTCCGCCGTGGCTTTGGAATCACGAATTGATCGCCGCAGGCATGTTAGGCAGAACTTCATGTGTCGGCACGAGACGGCTGCGCTTGCGGCCGATGGCTTGATGCAGGAACAGCGGTTGGAAAGAGGCAGTATCGATTGGCGAATTCCGACTTGTTGTGATTGCAAAGCTTATGCATATAATACATCAATGTTCTCATGATGAGAACCATTGTTCAAACTGTTCTTGCCTGCTATACGCATCTGCTGTCGCTCTTCGAAAATCTCACCAGATGTATTGAATGGAATGATAACGCCGCAAAGCACTCGCCTCTGGAACACCAACGCTGGAAATCAATTGCTGAAGAGACGTTTTCCCTCCCTCTGGACTGCAACAGTGCAATAAAGCCCCTTTTCAAAATCCAGAATCGACAGTATCTTTTGAATCCTGACTTTTCAATCCAGGCATGAGCCTTCTTTTTCCCAAAACATGTTGTTTCCTCCTTTTGTCTAATATTAAATGTGTTGCTCTTCGGGGGTATCGGATCGTCATAAGTCGTGGATATAGTGGCCTTGCAATGGGCAAGTCTCATTGGGCTCGTGCTTTTTGTAAGGTGGAGGGTACTGTGCGCCGGACAACGATGTGGCGGAACTGGAAGCCATTTGAGGAGATGCTTCGAGATCATCGGTGTGGTACGGCGGGAGTTTGATCATTCTGTATTGGTTGTCTTCGTCTGCGCCATCGCGACTTCCCCAGGAGGTCTGCAAGGCAAGGTGGTCAGTAATGTCATCGCCGTTTCGCAAGAACAAGCAACATACAGCAGAAAGCGTCATCAACCCTGCAAGCTTGATGAAACCATGCACATGACCGAACAGGATCGAGATGGGCAAAAATAGCAGATCAGCGGGATAGCGAATCCAGTGGCCATATAGCTTGATCGACTTTGCAAATACGAAAATCCAAATACCGACCGCAGTCAGAACGGTCTGCTGGGTGTCTGCAGGCAGCTCCTCGGTTGCTTTGTAGCAGAGAAAAAAGAGCAGCAGATCCGTGAAAGCCCATGCTGTCAGTGTAGTTTGGAAAACTGCGTATGTTGTCCAGGGCGTTAATCTACGAATTCTCAGTTGTCAGCTCATCTCCAGAACCGCACAATTGAACAGAGCTCAGGCATACCTCCAGTAATGTCTTTCAACAAACATGCTTGTCAAGTTACTTCTCCAATTGCTGCGAACCCAGCGAAGGCACTGTTTCAGATACTTCGGGCTGTCTTCGAGAGTGGTTTGTACTTCACACGCTTTGTGATATTGCATGGTGATCTTCCAGCCATGCGTATACATCCAACGAGTGATAAAGTTGTCGTCGTCAGCATTGAGTTGGAAAGTTCTCCATGTCTCGTGTGTGAAGCCATGGGTAAAAGCATCGTCTTGCAAGATACATGTACGATACGCGACGGTCCTGCCCGAAAGACAAGGTAGCCCTCCGTCAATGTGAAGACATGCAGAGCAATCAAAGTTGCGTCTTTCTAGGTAGAGTGATCCAAGAAAACTCCAGATAGTCATCTTTTTTGGACGCATCAATCTCTGAGATGTTCCCACTCCACCCATCTCATCGTCTTCAAATGGTGCAAGGATCCATGCAAGAAGCGTTGTGGGCCAGATCACGTCGTCATCTGCGAAGACGGTGATTTTGGTCATGACATGGGGGATAGCAGCACACATCTGGCTACGCTTGTTGGCTTTCGCAACACTCAATACGCGGATCTTGCTGCTGTTCAGCGCAGCAGCGGTCCTCTCGGCTCTTTTTATGTTTGCATCGATTGTGACAATGAGAATCTCGAAAGGCTGGGTTGCCAAACATGTCTTTATCGTGCGGCAGAGGTTTTCTCCTTCACCTTCGATGGTCGGAATGATGACGGTGACATCTTTGTTGGAGTAATTAGGTCTGTCTGGGATTGGGGTCGGTTTGTATGTCCAATTGGAGATGAGGTTGACAACCAATCGAAGATAACGGAAGATGCTGGGGATGTTGGTAAGCACATTGCAATAGTGAGAGGAACGAAAACAAATGCTTACAAAAGCAAAATTGCAGACCCCGCCCAAGAAGACAATAGCATGACGGAAAACGAAAGTGGAAGCAGAGGCTCTTGTCGTTCAAGGATAGGAAAAGGAGGCTTGCAGGTCCGCCGGGGGGACGAGGTATATGAACATGGTGAGCTCGGCTGCGTTGCAGTGCAGTCTTGGTGGATTTACTGAAATTTTGGTCTAGCAAGAGTTCGCGTAGTGGGTAATAGTGGCATGGCATGATGAGATCAGAAGGTAATGAGAGGCGTCGGAGAGTCGCCGGTCTTCTCGCTGAGGCGCCTGCATCGAGCTATCACCCGCCGATACCACCCACTATCCACCTTGATTCTTCAGAGCAGCAACCGGCCAGCCCGCTTTGAAGGTGGGGAAGCATTGGACATGCGCACGCTCGTGCCCACAATAGGCTAACTTAGTCGCTCAATGGCGAATGAGGGGTCTCTCCGTCTACCGCAAGCCGCTCGGCGCAAGGCCTGATCGGCGCTCGATTGAATGTGGTAGTTTACTTATTATTGAGCACTTGTCTGGCACAGGGCAGAGGAGCGAGCCACCACAATCCTCTTGTCCACAATTGAGGTCGTGCATGGGCCTCCACAGCCGAGCGAGCAAACACGACTGCAGGCCAAGGTGCTCTACAGCACCTCATGCAATGACTTGCAGCTCGCATCTTCTGGTATCTCGATGCTTGGGTCGGCAGTGTAAACAAGAGTTGGTCCATGAGCAGCACTGTCCGCACGAGCATACAATCGGCGATAACTGATCACTCAAAGGTCACGGCAATCGCTATTTTACGGCGGCCCTAACGCCAGCCACTTTTAGTGTGGATGGTCCAAGCATTATCAGCAATCCACAGGTCAACATTTCAAAAAATCTCCGGTAACGAACATGCGAGCATTCGAGAGAAAGAAGCACAAACGGCGACCGGGAAAACATGTCCGATCGACTGGTACATATCGAGCACCATGTCTAGCAGCGTCGGTTGATACTAGTCCCGAGGACAGCATACCATTTCATCGCACAATGTAGTAGTCACTCTGTTGCCGTGAGCCCTCGATTTTGCATGTAAGTCTTTAGCGTGGACCGATAGGCAATCATTCGCGCGCTCAGGCGCATAGTACATGTAAGATGTACCATGTATATGCAGGTCGACCGTCAAACGAGAAGTGCATGCCGACAGACGCGGGAGCTGATACCAAGCGGAGGAGCTTTCTTAACGAGCGCATGTCAACTCTAATCATGTCCTATCAATACTTGTAAGGCCAGCATCTCTAGATTTTAAAGTGCTCAATAACATTAGGGACTTGGAGAGAATCTACTATAAGTGCGGGTTACTCGGTCTCTTTCTGGACAGTCGTCTGGATCTCAACAAGTTTGTGCATTTTTGAAACTATGTACTCCGTAAACGTTAGCATTTGCTATGGGAGTGGCCACATGTGCTGGATAAGCAAACTTCGTGTGCTTGATATCAATTTCCGCCGACTGGCGCACGGATTATCTGACCTCGGACTGAACTGGACCCTCGGTCGTCTTCAGTGAGGGTCCATTTTAGAGCTGGTTTACTTGCTTAGTGGGGCAGGACCGGCGGGTGGTCGGTCGCTCGAGCGGACTCGAAGCTAGGCTACTCGTTCTACATCACGAGACGGAAGCTACTGTTCCATGTTTGTGCTCGTGGGCAGCACAGCTGATTCTCAGGCCGTTTTAAAATTCAGACATGTGAGCCGGAGTAAGTCGATGATATCTGGGGTTGGAACTGTGGCTTCCTTGTAACTGACGATGATCGCTGGGGGGATGTACGTTTCCCGTTCCGAAGCGATATGCTCGCTTTTCGATGGAAACTGGCAGTATGGCAAGGTTTCTGGGAGCGGGAAGGTTTGACGACATGGGATCATCGTTTGAGGATTGAGATCAATCAGACCCCACGAACTACAGTATTCGCTTACTCTTAGAGTGAAATACATATTACTGCACGTGAAGCCAAGACAGCATGCCGTCGGCTCCGACGTCTCCATGCTCAAGAGAAAAGAGACGAATCACATGCGATAGCTACAATCATTTCCGAGCCGTTTTGGCGACTGGACTTGATGGCAGCCACACTGAACTCCTTCCAAAGGCTTTGGATCGACGACACCTGTACAAGTTTATGTTTCGCATTGATGAAGAGGTCAGGTATATACACGAAACTTACGCCAACCAACCAAAGGAGGTGCTGAGACAGACACGTCCTTTTCTATATCTATAGATGACGACAGAACAGGCGTTATACAAGATACTTGCAGCAGCCATTTGCGGCTGAATATTGAATTTCTCATTTTGCCGCGTTGCTTCTGACAGCCGGGCTTGAAAGTGTTGAGATCCAGGAGTCAGACGGATGAGCGAAGTACAGAGTGTGGTGCCTCCAATCAGTAACGACGTGACTGATCATTTTTCCTGGACGATCAGAAAAATCGACAAATACTATACTACAGCACTCGCAAATTCCAATAAAAGAAGCAGCCAAGCAGTAATATAAATGACATTTTGCGAGAGCTATTCAAAGCATCAAGAAGACAGCGACATCGAACTACAACGACAAGATCGGGAGCTGCCATATGAGCTGAGCGTTTTGTAGGCTTTCGGTCGATGTGAACGACGAAGAGCGGACTCAGGCCGAGAGAGGACAACAGACTCAGGCTCAGACTCAGGCTCAGACTCAGACTTAGACTCAGAGCGAAAGAGGACGGCACTTGAGCATGGTTGAGCTGGTACGGATCGGGAGAGACGTCGGATGTGAGCAACGGAGAAGTGTACTTGCGATAGAGATGGCGATGACGGGACGAGGGGAGGAGGAGATGAGGTTGGAGTGGACAAAGTTCAGCGTCCGGGGCTTGTCGGGCTCGTGCCTTGGCAAGAGTAGGTAGATTTCTACGGCTGCGCGTCTTCAACAGCTGAGCGAGTCCAACCCACGCACCGTCACGTTCCCATCTTCCGCCCTTTGTCGCAGCGCCAGCTTTTCATCATGTCTTTCTCGGCGTCCCGTATGCTTCTGCGCACCCCTCAGATCGGCCGCATCGCTGTGCGCCACGCCTCGACCACATCGGAAGCTGCCAACGCTGCCTCCAACGCTGCCTCCAAGGCCACAAGCCAGGCCTCGCAAGGTCTCTCAAAAGTCCAGTCGTCGGCCGAGTCGGGCATCTCAAAGGCTGCCGGAGCTGCCGGCAGCGCCCTGAACAGCATTGGCGGCCGCACCGGCCAGGTCATTAGCTTTGTCCAGTGTACGTGCTACCTGCTACCTGCTTTGGCACGCCGACGTGGATGGTGTCGGTCGTCTCGCCCAATGCACAGTCGCTGACCCTGCCGTCCTCTCTTATAGCCATGATCCCCCCTACCGTCTACTACGGCAAAGTCGGTCTCGAGCTGGCCAAAATCGTCGCCCGCGGCCAGAAGATGAGCCCACCGTATGTCCCCGTCATTGGACGATGCATGTACGCCCACGCTCACCTTGTATCGCAGTAACGTCCAGACTTTCCAGACCTACGGCCAGAACCTTTTGAGCGCCGTCAAGAACCCCGGCGCCAACAGCCCGTCAAACCCCTTCCAGGCCATGCGCAACATTGGCACATCTCAACTCATCACGGCTGGTGTTGTGGCTGCTGAGATGATTGGCTTCTTCACCGTCGGCGAGATGGTTGGACGCATGAAGCTCATCGGTTACCGATCAAGCTCTCACGGCGAGCACCACTAAGCCTTCGGACAAGAAGCGCCCGACTATACGATACGAGAGGCGAAGGAAGCTGGAGGGAGAGGCATAGTGGATGGAAGTCGGCTATGCTTGGGCGCCGGGGGGGGCGGACGCTGCAAAAGCATCGCAAATGCACATATATGGAAGTGACACATGAGCCAGTCTCTTAGCCGTGTACAACAGCCTAGATCGCCATTTTTTCTTTCTTGCCTGGACTCTTCAAAAGTCTGTTTATCAATCTTCTTATGTTTTCTGCTGCCCTTCAGGACTGTCCCTGATTAGAGATTGTGTGTTGCTATCACGTATGAGTGCGAAAACATTGATGAGATATTAGTATGTGACAGCTGCTAGACTGGGTTCGGAGATAATGACGGACCCGGGACAAGGTGATGGGACGGAGCAGGAAGCTTGGCCGACGCCAGACAGAATTTGGATATTTTTTTGTCCCTTGTTCATCTTCTCTGCTCACGAAGGAACTTGTCACACACAACACGAGGCACCGGCCATATGGATCCGTTACGACTGCTAACAAGGTCGACCAAGTTCGCGAAGAAGCCATCATCGGCTGCCACGCAGATACAGACCCCATCCTCTGGACCCGCGTCGAATCCGCAACTCTTTGATCATGACGATGACTCGCAACCTTCGAACCGGAAGCGCAAGAGAGGAAGCGAGCCAGTGTCGGCTAGTCTGGACTTCTTTGGCGGTGGTGCTTCGGCCAAGGAGAGAGAGCACGACTCTGGCGACGACCAACCAAGACTGCAGCAAGAACAAGCCCTAGTACCTTCTGCCTTGAGCGCTGAAGAACGCAAGCAACTGCTCGGCCGCCACAAAGTCAAGCTCACCCTGTTCCACCAAAGCAGTGAGGCGCCCGCAAAGAAGAGAAAGAAGGAAAAGGGCGACAAGGACAAGAAGCAGTCAAAGAAGTCGGCCGAACAGGCGACGCCTCTGTACCCTGCTCCTGTCGAAGATTTCAACACTCTTGGGCCCAGATACCGCATCTCAAAGGCGCTGCTACGGAACATCAAGGACAACGGCTACAGCACAACGACCGAAGTCCAACTCGCCGCATTGCCGCTGCTGCTTGGCTCTCGCGCAGATCTGCTCTCGCCCGACCAAACGCCTTCAGAAGGTCAAGAAGAGGCCAGTGTGCTGGATGTCGACCTCCTGAGCATTGCGCCGACAGGCAGCGGAAAGACCCTGGCCTTCATGATTCCCCTGATCCACGCCCTGGTCCTCTCACGTCGTTCTCAACCGCAAGCCGGTCCCCAAGCCATCATACTCGCCCCGACCAAAGAGCTCGCCAGCCAGATCGCCAACGAGGGCAGGAAGCTGGCTTTGAATACCGCCATCCGTATTACCAATGTGCGCAAGGGCATGCATCTTGGCTCGGACCAGCCGACCTCCACAGACGTTTCCGAGAAGGACATTCCCCCTGTCAAGGCCGACATTCTCGTTTCAACCCCTGCCGCCCTGAAAAATGCCATCGGAGACGCGCAAACTTCCTCACATGCTCTTTCTCAAATTCGTTTCCTAATTCTCGACGAGGCCGATGTCCTCTTGGACCCCCTCTTCCGAGATCAAACTCTGGGTGTATGGAACGCCTTATCGAATCCCAATCTCCGTCTTGGTTTTTGGTCTGCCACTATGGGCTCTAATATTGAGGAGCTCGTCAAGGCCACCATCAAATCCCGTGCGGAGACTCTCTCTGGTGCCAGCACCAGCCCTGTTCCGATCGCTCCATTCGTGCGTCTAGTTGTTGGTCTGAAAGACTCAGCTGTACCCAACGTCGATCATCGTCTAATTTATGCCGCGACCGAGCAAGGTAAGCTTATGGCTCTCCGTCAGCTGCTGCATCCCACATCAACGGGTGTCGACAAACAGCCCGTCGTACGCGCTCCCTTCCTCATCTTCACTCAAACCATCGAGCGAGCTGTGGCTTTGCATTCCGAGCTTCTCTACGACATCCCAGCTGAAGCAGGTGGTATCTCGCGTATCGCCGTTCTGCATTCAGATCTCTCCGACACCGCTCGTGATCATGTCATGACACGCTTCCGCAAGGGTGAGGTCTGGATTCTCATCACCACCGACTTATTGTCGCGCGGTGTTGATTTCCGTGGTATCAATGCCGTAGTAAACTACGATGCACCATCGTCTGCCGCTGCATACGTACATCGTGTTGGCCGTACAGGCCGTGCTGGTAGAGAAGGCGGTGTTGCTTTGACCTATTACACAGACGACGACGTGGCATCCATCAAGACAGTCGCCAATATCATCGTCGCGAGCCAAAAGCAAAGAGGCGCGGCCGGTGGCACAACAAACATCCAACAATGGTTGCTTGACGCCCTGCCGACACCCAGTAAACGTGACAAGCAGCAGCTCAAGAAGCGTGGTATCGAGACTAGAAGATCTGCCTCGGGCAAGGACACCAAGACCGGCAAGCCCAAAGCACGTATCAGCACAAAGAGCGGCTACATTCGAAAGCTTGAGAACAACAGGAAAGGTGCTGTTGCAGCGAGTAGGAATCCTCAAGAGTCAGGCGATGCATCCGACTCGGGCGAGAGCTTCGATGGATTCGAAGAATAGACGAAGTGCGTAGATATACCCTCACACATATTTCAGGTTGTCCTGACCACCCTTGTATCGTTCCGCTGAGCATAGGCTGTGCTTCCTTGCCCACGTGCTGTGACTCTTTACAAAGGTGAGATCAGTATCGATGAGGCACAATTGATTGGCTGAGGAGGAAGACGACATCCAAATGGTGCTTGTTCGTAGAGTGTCTATTGGAAGTTTACAAAAGCGCCACCGTCCACCAATATCTGTGCGCCAGACTGAGGCTATGTGTCAGCTTTTGGCAAAGAACTCCTTGTTGAAGTGAAACCTACCACATATGACGAAAGGCTTGAAGCAAGGAAAACAGCTGGACCAGCAAGATCCTGAGTATGTTGTCAGCGCAATCCATCTCATCATGGCCAGAGAACATACATGAGGCTGGCCCAATCGGCGCAACGGGATGCGACCTTCCATGTACTCCTTCTTCTGCGGATCTGCTAGGTCCTCGTCGTTGAGCTGAGTTCGAATCGTACCCGGTAGCAGGGCATTACATCTGATACGATATGGTCCCAGAGCACAAGCACAGCTTTGCATAAGAGACAAGATACCTGCCTTGGTCGGCGTGTAATGTGTTTGGCCAGCACCACCAACAAGAGCGCTGATGGACGACACGCCGATGATGCTGCCACCTTGAGGGGACTGCTCTTTCATCTGGCGAGCCGCTGCTTGGACGGCGAAGAAGGCTCCTTCGAGATTGATGGATACTGTCGACTTGAGGAGATCAGGGCTCAAACTACAGACAGTTGGTCAGATAACATTACTGCTTTTGCCTGAAGCGTACACACCCACCTTAAAAACTCGGCAAATTGGCAAACTCCAGCGTTGCTCACAAACACGTCTAATCTGCCAAACTCGGACACGGTCTTGGAAACAAAGTCGGTTCCAGTCTCTGGTTTCGCAATATCGCCAGGCACAGCAATGAGCTTTGCACCAGCACCCGCCTCCTCTTTCATGCTCTTGAATTGATCGTCTGATTTCGAGTCCGGGAAGTGATTCACCGCCACAGCTGCTCCCTGACGCAAGTATTCGAGTGCGATGGCTCGTCCAATGCCCGTCACTGCACCCGTGATAGCGGCGACCTTTCCAGCAAGCAATGTAGTCATCGTGGCAGCTGGGTGTGATGGTGTCTTAGATGAGGCTTTGGTGTCACGATCGAAGTTACGCGACCAAGAAAACGTGCTAGAAGAAGGAGAAGGGCTTGTCTTTTCTAGTAAATCTTGCTCGTCTAGGTTCGCATCTCTACCCTAATCGTTGTGGAGATGTCGTGGAGATGGCGGGATGTCATTGCACCGAGACCCCCGAAGGCGGGGCACGGCGGAAATGCTGCATTAAAGTTGCATAACATCCAAACTGCCCTCCCCGTGTGCTAAATTTTGTCACTCTCATAAGTTAGCCACCTCTCGCGATTGTGACTAAGGTCATCCGGGCTGAAAAAATGCACAATGCTTTTAAGACCAGTGCAGCCCTCCACTGAGGGTGCGAAAGTTAGCGCCTCTCAGTGGAAGGCTGCAACCAATCTCAAAACCATTCTGCATTTCTACAGCATGCGCGTGAAAATTTTCAGCTCATGGGGAGGATGTGATGTAAAAAAAGGAAGCCTCTGTGAATAGGAGAAGTCCGGACTACGGACACAAAGTCAAGTATTTTAAGATGCATGCTGCGATAAAAGGTTGAATCCGCTTGGATGAGTATAAAAAGGAAGAGTAAAAGAAACAAGAAAGTGGCGGATTATAATTACAAGGAATACAGAATTACCACAGATTGGTAGCTGCAGCGGCCCATCCCTCCTTTCATAAGTCGTGTCGTAGTCAATCAGTCAGACGGTTTTTGAGATGGCGAGGAGAGGCATGTTACAACTCTCGGAGCTAAATCATGTCGCACCGGTGCTCTGCATCGATTCATTCAAACTGCCGTTTCGTTCTGCTCCTGGTTGTGTTTCGTCAAGTCCACCAATGCCCAGTCCGCTCGATTTCGGCCTGGACGAATCTTCCAACTCATGGACGACTTTCGGTGTGACGATCGTGTCTTGTAAAGCAGGCGGGCGTTCATTACGCGCGCGCGCTTTTGAAAGACTTATCGTGTTCTGGCTATAGCTTGTGGTGACCTTAGCATTCGAAGCATCGTAATCGATCGTGGCTTTCATGAGCGCAGCCATCCACAATCGACCTTCTTGCCTACTGTTGACGGCAAAATAATGTACGGTCGGTTTTGTAAAGTTGACGGCTTTGCTTAGTCCTTGGCGTGGCGGGACCAACTTGAAAATGAAGAGGCCTTGTCCGTCCGCCGACGGCGCTATAGTTCCTTGTGGAACCATTGGCGAAGAGCCGGCTCCTGTTAGCGCAGCGTGTAGACCTGTCATTTTTTCATTCTCGGCGGGCAAGACACGATGTGACGAGATGTCAATCAAGCCCTTCTCTTCAGTGTCGTTTTCGGAGTAGTAGTATGACAATCTACGACCGCGGAGCACAAACAGACGAGGTTTCCATGAGCCTACTAAGCTTGAAGACTTCTTCTTCATCCAGCCACTGTAATCACAGTCGGCGATTTGTTCAGCTGGAGACTTCTTCTCGAGACCACGAGTGTACGCAGAAGTGGACTTCTTGCTCTTCACTTTCGGCCTCGAACGCGCAGAAGTGGGTGGGGGAGCAAGAGCGCCTGAAGAGCCAGTCGATACTCGAGATTGGTTGTCGGACTTTTGCAGATCGAAGGAACGAGTCTCAGTCGAAGGAGTGGTAGACCCGGTGCGGGCAGGAGAAGCTAGAGGCTCATGCTTCAAAGCGCTCTGCTTCTTCTCGTTTTGAGTCACGGCATCGGAAGCTATGCGAAGGCCGCCTGCAATGCGAGGCTTGGAGAAGAAGGATCGAGCGTTGGAGGCTGGAGAAGGCGAAGGATTGAGTGAGGAGGCATCGCTGTCAGCGAAAGGCTGATCGAGGCGGGTGACGATAGGCGACACAGGTGGTTGCATGGTGGTCAAAGGCTTGACAGCGGAGTGTGGGCTGCTGACAGCGCGGTTGGCTGCAGGTTTATTGAAGGAGAATTGACTGGACGCAGGAGACATGATGGGCGAGGCAGGATCGCGCATCGACTCAACACTGGACATTCTAGGGAAATTCTTGTACGTGGCACTGTGACGGGCAGAGTCGGTCGCAGCGCTAGCATTCCTGGCATGCCCCGAAATCGACTTCTTCTGCAGAACGTTGCGCTTGTTGCGAGCGTCAACTTCGTTTCCAGAGAAGTATCCGCGATCCAGATCAAGGGGAGAGGAGATTGAACCGAAGCCGTACTCACCGAGGCCGCCGTCATTCTGCGGGACAGTGATGGCGGGGTCAGACGGTGGCTCGTGGGCAATGGATAGACGGCGAGTAGTGGCAGGTGCACCAGAAGTGGTACCGATCGAGGATTGTCTGTGGTGAGAATAGCGGTTCATACTGTCGATTGAGCCCATTGACGAATGCCTGCGGGAATGGTTGAGGTTGCGAATCGACGCAGCCGAGGGCCGCTGTACGTTTTCTGGCCGGGGGAAGGTCATGGATGGGGTCGCTATGCTGCTGATGGGTCTGTAAGGCGAGGCTGTCACGCTCTGGCTCCGTCTTCTTCCAGCTTCGCTCTGAAGATCGTCGCCGGCAGCAGAGTACTCCGACACACTTCGGGGCACATTGGTCGAGCTTTGGCGTATCTCGTCCTGAAGAGCCTTGACCTTCTGCCACGTTTTCAGTCGCCTTCCCACGGAACCAAGTTCGAACTCTTTGATAAAGATGGCCGACTGCTCCATGGTCAAAAGCACTTCTCCAGAAATCTCCTGTTCGCGAAACGTATCGCAATGGGTCCGTTCGACACCATGATCCTCGAGATACTCGGCCACACGATCAGGAGACCACAGCATGACTTCAGCTTCTGTGTGCAGCTGATTTTCCTCATCGTCCGTCTCGCGGCCGTTGATGTATGACAGGCGATGGGCGGGGTGTGAACTGTAGATACTTTCTGTGTCATGGCTGTGTATGTTTGTCAGGGCATTCTCGCGCGGAGTGCGCATGTCGGTGATGTGCTCGTCGATGACGCTGAGAGTTTCGTGCATGACTGAGTTGTGTTGCGACGATCGCTGGGCTGGTAAAGAACTGGCGGATTGTGTCGAGGTGGTCGAAGTTGCAGTCTGGGGCCTGTTGGGCTGGGGGGCGTCACTGCGGCGGACGGGCATCTGCTGAGTAGATAAGAGAGTACCTCGGGGAGCAGGAGTCGTGTAGACTGCGGTCGACGAGTTGGCGTGAGCGGAAGCGTTTCACGAGGGTTGAGCATGGAGGGCGGAGGATTGAGGGATCTCACCTTCGGGAAACAGGCCGGTAGCACCGGTGGTCATATGGCGACCGAGAAACCAACCATCGCCAAAGTCGTCGTCGCGCTCGATGAGTTCGATGCGGTCGCCCTTGGCGAGACTCAGCTCATCTGGGCTGCGGGCGATAAAGTCATGGACGACGAGCAGAATCGAGCCGGGCGGGACCTGTAGGGGGTCCGAGGGTTGACGAGTGGCCATGACGGCGTGCTGTCGGAAGGGTGCACACGCTTGTTACTGGTGCGGGATCATCGAAGTCGAGGTGGGCGAGGCGGGCCTTGTTGTTGTCCTGTCGCTGCGCTGGCGTGTCGCGGAGTCGCTGCGAGTCGGCTGTTCGACGTGGTGCCGAGATGGGGCCCGTCAAGTGTCGAGCTGAAACCTGTCGCGGTCGAGTGATGGATTCGGGGTGTGTCGCCGTCGCAGCGTCCGGACCAAAGACCAAGGACCAAGGACTACGGGTCGTAGGAATGGAGAATGGACGGGCGGCTCCTCCGATGCGCGAGGTCCGTGCTGGCTGCAGAAGGAAGTGACTGGACTCTGGAGGCAGGAGTCTGGAGGCCGAAGGGAAGGTTTGCGCGACGCCGTCGATTGCTGGCGTGCCGAACAGACTACGAGTACAGTACGAGTACGGAGCAGGAAGGAGCGACCGGGGACTCTGCATTGCTGTCTTCGACTGCCTGCCCTCCGCCCTGGACTGCTCAGGCGAGCCCGCAAAGGTCATACGAGCCACCTTTAGCTTTGCGGCTGCCTGCCTTGCCTGCCCTCTAGCCTGTGCAAACGCCTTTACAGCAAGATTGCGTTCCTTTGCGGAGTGAACTTTGCGTGCCCTCTTTCCTCATCCGGCGCATTACTTATACTCGTCTCGTCGCCAACTGCCTCGCACACCACGCGCCAATGGGAAACACTCTCACGCGCCCGTGACATGTCTGACAACATGGCCCAGTCTCCCTCTGCTCTGTCCGACCCTGCTGCAAGTGCAACCCAGAGGAACATCTTCGGCCGCCCGGCTCAGTATTCGTGGATGCAACCTTCGACTGTCCTCTCTCAGCCACCCCTTCGTGCTTCCGGGAAACACGCCCAGCGACAAGCTGCTGCTCCTGTTGCCATTGACTGCGAGACGGTTCCGTACGAATCTCCGTCCACTGTACCGCTACAGTCTTCTCCGCTCCAGGAACTTGGACATGTCCATGAAGCTGCAGTGCTAGACGCGTCAAATCGACGAAATTTCCTCCCTTCGCCCGCTCCCAGCGACCACTACGACAAGTCACCGAGCCTCCCTGCTGTTCGACAGTCCCCGGCCCAGCCTGTTGCCCGCTTGAGGGAGAATAGACATGCCTCTGCCACCTCGTCAAGACAGGCGAGCATATCCACACCGGCTCTGCCGCAATCATCGGCCGCAAATAGTCCTACTATAACCGCCCAATCTGCCACGTCCAATTCTCCTTTGCCTAATACAGCTCTTCCCTTTGGTCCTCAATGGTCTGCCGTCTTCCAAAGTGATGAGTGTGCCAAGCGCCTTTCCGACTTTGCTGCTGCTCACGAGCACTTAAACGAGGCAGATCTGGAGAGACTGGGCATCCTTTACGATGCTACAATCCAGAATGATTGGTACTTTATCATCCTGCTCATGCTCTTAGCTTGCCACTCGATAAAATCGCAGGCACTTCAACCTCTACTAACTCAGCTTCCACAACACGCTCTTCCGTTGTTTGCTAGGCTTCTGGGAGAACAATGGGAGAACGGATGTCCGCTGAGTCGCGACGTCCTGCTTTTTATCAGTACCTACCCTAGGCCTCTAAATGAGCTAAGAGTGTCTTTGACTGAGCAGTCCTTCATGACGGCCATCCGCCACATTGCCGACTGTCTCTATTCGATCACATTGAATCTGGACCGTGTGCTTTCGAAGTGCCATCAAGCAGAGACTCTTCCGACTGTACATGATCTGATTGAGAGCCTTGGAATCCGCTCCTTGTTGTTCCAAAGAGCGACGTTTCGATTTCTTCTACGGAATACCTGGGGCTCGGACAGTGGTCCATCGGCGGAGCTTGCAATGCGCGAATTCATGATTGAGCAACAAAGATTTGGGCTGGAAGGCGGTCAATCTCCAGAAGTGCGCGGTTTTCAACAGAACATCTATCGCAACATTTATCACCAACACGTCTGTGCTGCCCAGCACCTTCACTCAAATCCAATCACTTCTGTGAACAGCAATCCCGCCACGGCGACGTCACCTGTACAGCGATCCGCCATGGCTCCCATCATGCCGCCACTTTACAACATGGCACAGTCGCAATCGCCTCATCTGGGCCAAGCACCCAATCAGCCTCAAACGCAAACCGCCGCACAACTACAAGCGCAAATGCGCATACAGATGCAGATACAGGCTCAAGTGCAGGCTCAGGCTCAGGCCCAGGCCCAGGCTCACGCTCACGCTCACGCCGCTCAAGCACAGCTACAGCCACAAGCAGCTCAGTCTCCTCTTCCTGCGTTGTTCCAAAACTCGAACCAAGCTCAAAACCAAAATCAAGGTGCCTCACTTCCGCCTTCAACCTACTTTCAGAATCCCGGAGGTTCTTTCCAGTTCCAGCCTGGGTTCCAGCAAGGCGCAAGTGCATTCGCACGACACCCCGGACAGCCCGGACACCACAACAACCCTGCAACACCTCAGGATATTGCACAGATGCAATCGTTGATGCTATATCAGCAACAGATGCGACCAGTCCTATCATCTAACTCCCCTTCGAGTGCGACCCAAAGAAGTCGACCCCAGCCAGCACAATCTCGGCCTCCGCCTCGTCTATTCTTTCCTGGACCAAACGTCTCTGTTCCTCAGCCTGCCCAGCCCGATTATCGCAGATCGGCGCTGCATCAAGCTCACATGCGTAGTCCTGTCCTTGCCCCGAAGCTGCCGGATACCTCAGTTTGTGCCGCATCAAATGATCACTTCCGTCGCGTCGTGGGCTTTGCCCTCGAGCCTGTGAAGTTGACCACCAGTCCAGTGCAAGAGATCCCTTTCCAGCTGCCTCCACAAGCAGTCGAGAAACTACTGAGTGTAAAGGCCGGAGTTGATGGTGATCCTCCATACGGAGAGCCTGACACCACCTCGATTATGCTGCGACTCAGATGTTGCGAGGTGATACCAACTCGACCTCTACCCACTGAGAATGGGTGGGTCACTCTCGATGGTAGCTGGCCGGTTCAGGCCTACTTCACAGTCAATCAGACTCCGCTTGAACCAAGACGCAAGCTGCACCATGGAAAGTGCCTCCCCATCGACGTCACGCATTGCGTTCGTGCCGATGCCAACAAACTCGTTGTCAGGATCAACCGCTCCAGACACGACAAGTCGCCGTTCAACTACGCTGTCGCAATCGAGGTTGTCGGCTTTGCGACACGTGAGAGTATCACACAAGCATGCATGAAACGTCTTGTGCCATCTGAACGGATTCTGAGCACGATTAAGAAGGCTATGACTAGCGATGATGACGATCTAATCATGCAACCACAATGTTTCTCTATACACCTCTTTGAGCCGTTCTCTAACGCTAAAATCTTCGACATCCCGGTTCGTGGCCAAGACTGCCTTCACAGAGAAGCTTTCGACCTCGGTGTCTTTTTGGACACTCGACTTGAGCGCCCAACCCAGCCGCCCAAGGATCGCATCAGCAAAGTCGACGTATGGAGATGCCCTATCTGCAAGGCCGACTCTAGGCCGCAGAGTTTGATAGTCGATGGTTTCTTAGTCACGGTACGTCAGGAGCTTGCAAGCAAGAACCTACTCAAGACACGCTCCATCAACATCGAAAGCGACGGCTCCTGGTCACCCGTACGTGAAGCTCAGGATGACGAGGAAACTGAGGACGAGGCTACCCCGGCCCCCAAAAAGCCCGTCGAGGTCATTCTTATTGATGACGATTAGTCATTCGAAGTCGTTCCTTGACGTCTTGGATTACACCCCTCGTCACGTGCTTTCCATCTCTGCTTTTTTGCCACAAGATACCCAACAACACACTCCATTTGTTTGCATTTCCTCAGCCTTGCTCTTCTTCTCACGAATCATGACATCATTCATCCATTTGCCCACCCATCACGCATCAGTACAAGGAGCCATAGCCGATGTTTACGTAGCTCACACTTATGCCTCCTTTCCAGCCAGCCTCCCCCTCTTCCCCGAACCTCTCGGTTAGAAAAAGTATGCAGATTTTTCCCACAACCAAAATAACGATCGACTTTCTCCTGATTCTTGTACCTCCCCGTGTGCTAAAGTTTGTCACTGACACTGCTGTCAAAATGCACGATGATTTTCGAAATTAGAGCCAGGTCCAAGGAGAGGCCCTCAGATAGCCGCTCTCTGTGGATGATATCCTCTTACTCAAAATCATTGTGCATCTTGATGGCTGGAACGATGCGCATCGCTGTGGCTTGAGAGTCAAAGTTACATACTTTAACCGCCCACCCTCCCGATGTGCTGAAATTTGTCGCACTTTAACTGTAGAAATACACAGTCTTAGCAATGTTAGGGGTAGCCCCTGTGAAGAGCACACGAGTAGTACTCAGCGCCTCTATGCGGACGACTATATCGATGATCTACAAAACACTGTGCATTTTTACAGGCCGGAAGACTCTTGGCGTGGTCGCGGGAGACGGCAAGAAGTGACAGATTTTGGCACACGGAGAGGATTGATGCTTTCCCGTAAAGGATGAGTATGCATGCCTTTGTGGGACTTTCTCTTGACGTTGTATGTCGCCGTGCATTAAGGTCAAAACACTATAGCATGATTTGAAGATGGTGGTCTGGTCTCGGTGATCTTTCGATAGTGTGATACTTGTGGTTTTGTTCGCCTGCTTATCAATGAAATCCTTGAGGTCCGTCGTTCAGCCATTCATTTTGCTTATCCATTCCCTTGTGTGCATGCTTTCTTCTCGTGTTCTGCCATGGTTTCGCTACAAATTTGGCTTGTTTCAGAGCAATAATGATCCTTCCTTGTCTGAGTTCCTCGGACCTGTCTCACAAACTCCTCCTTGGGCTCTGTGCGCGTGTCTGCCATCATGACGAAGCTAACTGTTTCTGCTTCTGCTTTTGTTTGTACTGAGTCCAATACTCCTGCAGCACATCCTTGTCCTCGAAACTCGTTGCTGGCTCCCAAGTCGTCTCGTCGTAGCCCTCCCACTTGACCTGATAAAGCATGACTGGCTTATCCCCATGGATGTCCCTGTCATGAGATTTTGGATCCGAAAGGTTGTGTGCAAGGATTCTCTCGACAGAGTAGATTTCTGAGTCTTCGGAATCGGATGCGGAGTCGTCGAGGTTCATGACTGCTACCCGGGATGATGTAGTGCCGTTCGATCCCGTCGTGATGGGTCGTTGGTCGGGAGCAGAGGGTTGTCGGGATGTCATTACTGTAGAAGCTGATGCAGGTGTAGATACCGATGTGCTTGCTCTCGCTTTCGCCAGAGGTGCAGTAACTCGCACTTCGGGTGTTGAGGACGTTTTGGCCTTGGTAGATGCGGGCTGCGAGGGATCGGACACAGTGACCCTCGAGGCAGAAGGGGGAGCACGGTCTCTGAAAGTGAAGAAGCTGCTCGCCGCAGCCTTGCCGTCACCCTTGACTGTCTCGTCGGCCGCGGCTAAGACGCTCCTTGTGGGTTGTCGGACCGGCATTTCGATGTCGTCGTCAGATTCGTCGTCCAGGTCCATTGGGTCAGACTCCTCCTGTGTGTCCGTGATCATGCCTGCTGCCTGTTCCATAGCCGACGGTGGTTGAGTGGGTTGTTCGGGAGAAGCTATGCTGTAGATACTCTCTACGTCCTGTGCAGACGAGACACTGCCATCTCGGTGCTCTTCCAGCCTGCGTCTCTTGTTGTCTCTATTGTGTGCTGCGATCAATGTCAGCTGGAAAACACCATGTTCAAAGCGTTGTTTTACTGACAGCCGTTGTCTTGCAATGAGATTGATTTGTTTGGTACCGTGGGTTTTGAAGAACCCCGTGGCGCTCGTTGTTTCGGGTAGAAATGGGTATATGTTGGTCTCTGTCTGCCTCTGGCTGTTGCTCTAGCGCTTTCACCGCCAAGGATAGATACGCCTACGGACTCGTCACGCCCCGATGATGAATCGGAGCCTGAATCAGAGTGAGTTACGCCCTTCAGCCGGCGGGTTCGGGCTTTATCGGCCAGTCGTGCCTTCTGTCGAGCCTCTTCCTCTGCAGCTTCTCTCTCAAAGGCTTGGTTTTCAAAGACTTCCAAATCATGGGCTGACACGTAATCCGTGACCTCACTCGCTGAAACATCAGGCACAGGAACGGATCCGATTTGGAGAGTGTAGGTGACTAGGCCTCTCGATGGCGATGACCTGGAGACAATCTTGGCTGCGCTATCGGCTGGCTTGGTGTCTAAACGTGAAGGGAAGTGGGAGGCTTTTGCTGTCGCACTAACAGAACCTGGCTCTGTCGTTGTTGTCATTGCTGGAAGGTGAGGTTGGTTAGGTAAAGCGCTAAGAGTGGCAGCAGGAGGAGTTAAATGCTTGCTAGATTGGCGCAAACGGCTACAAAGTAGTGAAAGCAATTAGGACTTACTTGCAAACAATCAGAACCAATTGTTAGAGTTAGACGGTAAGAGTAAAGGTAGTAGGAGTTAGTACAAAGTAGTAAGGCTTAAGATAAGATATTAAACTTAGGGCTTCTAGCCTTAGTAAGCTATTAACTAGTTAGATACCTAACAAACATAAAGTTATCAACTTTTTAGGTTATATAGCTATATTAATACTTATACTACTTAGATCATGTTATGCAATACTAACATTATTACAAGTAGAACACAGAAGGCCACTATAGAAAGATAAGGTCGCACGCGGACAGGGTTGCCTTTTAGAAGCACAGACCACCTTAGGTACCGCAAGCCCTCCGCGTCACATTACTAAACCTATCACGCGTACGGAGTATAGCCGTCAGAATGCATAATGTTTTTAATTTATTAGATTCGTCCACAGAGATGGGCTATTCAGTACGCTCTGACTGGAAACCATTTTGTTTGAAACAAATCGTGCATCACCGCAAGCTTCGAGTCCTTAAAGAGCGACTGCAAGAGGATGACGAAGGTGACAGAGTTCTGCACACAGCTAGGCTTGGGACTGGAAGCAGAGACTCTCAAATTGCAATTGCGAAAGACGTCTCAGATCTCCTCCACTTTTTGGTGTCAGGACTGTGCATTGTGATAGATTCTATGTTGATCCAGGATTGAAAAATTCGTCACAGCCTCGAAGGCATCCGCATGGCACCGTCCAGTCGTAGAGCGACTCCGTTCAACATGACATTTTCAATCGCATGTCTCGTCAGCTCGGCAAATTCCTCACCCTTGCCCGCTCTCTTCGGGAACTCCATCACACGTTCGAGCGATTTGCGCACCTTGTCGCTCATCATGGCCGTCATATTGGACTCGAATAACGAAGGTGCAATTGTCACGACACGAATCCCGAATTGTGCGAGATCACGAGCCATAGGAAGTGTCATTGATCGCACTGCCCCCTTGGATGCAGCGTAAGAGACCTTTTCTTGTGTAAATATGCGGGTGGGGTAGGTTTGGCTGGATTGTGAGACTCACCTGTCCGGGTTGTCCATCGTATGCAGCTGAAGAGCTGACCAGGATGACACAACCTCGCTCTTTGTCCGGCTCTGTGGGCTGGTTCTTGGTCATGAGAGGCAGCAATTGTCGAACGAAGTCCAGAGTACCCCGGAGATTGATATTCAGCACAAAGTCAATAGACGACAAGGAAAGCGGCTCGTTGTTGCGATCAATCATCTGTGGATACTCAGCACGACGAATTTGGAATTGGACAGCGTTTGACATACCTTGCCAGGGTTGCCTACACCAGCGGCACTGATGACAGCACCTATGGGCTTGGAAGTTTTCGCGATCCATTGCGAAACTCCATCTACCGCCTTCTCAATACTCTCCGTGTCACTAACGTCGGCCTCGAAGAATTGGGATCTGTCAGAACCAAGCTCCTGGACGGCCGCAGCCCCAGAATCGGCGTTAAGATCGAGGATAGCGATGTAACCTCCTTTCTCGTGTAAGCTTCTGGCTGTCGCAAGGCCCAGTCCTGATGATCCACCAGAGATGACAAAGGTTCTATCTTTGATATGCATGTTCTCTGATTCGTGATGTCTAGTTCGTTAATAAAGAGAAAGGGAACTGCTGCATCAGCAGCTGTAGGCCTATTACTAGAGTCGATGTCCCTCGGCATCACATGCCTCGGCAGTTTTGTGCTCCCCAGATCTTGGCGAGCCGTGACAAGCTGATCGCTCCAAAGTTCTCTAACGTACGGATATCGTAGAGAAATGAAATACACAGGGAACCGGGCCCTCAGCCTAGCGAGGCACTCTACAAAACAGCCGCTAAAAGGCAGACCGATGTTGATCTCAACATAGTTGTCCAAAGAGATTGGGGAGAAATGAGATCGCACCGAATGCTCATGGATTGTTATTAATCATACCGCTTGCCATGGCTTTGGAGCCCTGTGATGTCCTACCGTCATGCCGAGCCATCGGCAGGCTGCACGATGTTTTCGAACGACCCGCGTTGATCTAGCGGACCGTTTTCCACATGCCCATCTGATGCTTGGAGATGGTAAGGTGCCATGAGAAGAATGCAGAGAAGAGGTGCCTGGAACGGGTCTCTTCATCGGTGGGCAGTCGCGGCGTATGACATTGAACGAAGCAACGTAGCTGATCATGCTGATTCACAGAAGACCTGGTTCGTTAAAAGAGTAGAATTGAAGATACATACCAAGGAGGTCGTAACTTTTCTGTACAAGACGCCATGCTGAAGACCGAATGAACGCCCTCCAATGCCCGTGTTGATGCAAACATATCCTTATGAAACAGATGCTGTGGCTGCATCACTTCGGGTCCTTCTTCTCGATGCGCTTGCCATTCTCATCAAGGCCCCACCACTCGCGGTGGAACTTCTCTTGCTCTTTCCTCTTCTCTTCCTTGGCCTCTCGCTCCTTGCGGCGCAGATCACGGGTAGCAAACCACTCTTCTCTTGCAGCGTCCTGCTCGGCTTGGTTGGCGTACTGAAGCATGCAAGCGTTCATCTGGCGACGTTCGGGGCGGCAATAGAAAGGCGCGGTAAAAGTACGATTGGTCGCACATGCTGCGAATTCTAGAAAGCCAGAAGATTAGCTCGAGCTCATACCTCTGCTCATCAGATATGAGGAACAAGTGACATACGTCGGACTTCTTCGGCACACTTATTCCGCACTCGCTTGTGATAGATTTCCCGCACCTGACCTTCCTGCGAGGCAGATAGTGGCAGAGGCTGACGCGATGGTACGAGTTGAGGGCTGGTCTGAGGTACAGTGGTTCCGGGCGGAGGAGGCGGTTGCGACGGTGGTGTCTGCGGCGGTTGTGAGACCGTCGCCATTGCGAACACGGAGAAAGTTGGGGCTGTTGCGGTTGGATTGGCTATCACGTCTTGAAGTGGCTGAAGTATCCGAATCCAGAGGTCAATGGCGGTTTTGATGGTCGGTGCTGTTAATGTGTTGCGCTTCAAGTTGATTTTCCATGAGCCATCAATCGTCCCACTCCGACCTCCGCTCATCAACCAAACTCGGCCGCTTGGCATCATCAATCTACACATTGCCAGTTTCTGCCTCGAGCCGATCACATGGTGATGGCATTCAACATTCGCAATCAAACACGGAAAGTCTCGAGTAATTTGCAAATGCCATCTAGGCTTACATTGAGTGCTAATGTACTGGCGGTAAATCATATGCTATCCACCCATATATGCGAAATCGTCAAATCCATCCCTAACATCTTGTCCAATGAGGGTATATCCATAAACTCCGCGCTCATAAACGAATGCAAATGCAGAAAAGAAATCCAGGAGGTATTCCATCCCACGCTAATAACAATCAAGAAAACATATAAACATCCGTGTTTCGACTGTCGTGATTCGCAAAAACGTCATTCGTCATGCTCTCACGCATCGAGTGATGCTTTCCCTCCACAGTTGAGAAGTCTGGTCCGAGTCCAAGCAAGGAAATGATTCCATCCGCCTTTTGCCTGCTTGGTCTTGCTCGGTGGTGGCGGTGAAAGAGGCACTGTGGGAGCAGCACCGCTGTGGTCTCCCTGGATTGGAAGACTGAGATCATGAGCAGGAGTCTGCGTCGCATAATCCGTGCCAGCAACGGCTTTCTCTTCGTCGACGACGATACTGTTGCTGCCATTGCTGGTCATGCTTGCACGCGGGTCTGACTTGCGCCATTTTCGCTCTTCCTTTTTGATTACCGATGCTCTGCGCTTGACCTCTTCTTTCTCGTACTTCCTATCCTTTGCGGCTTCCTTCTCTTCAAAGGCTCTGCGAGCGGCGCGGATGGCAGCCGCTCGGGAGGCAGCATCCTCTGGTTCAGAGGTGCGTGTGATGAAGCTGAAGGCCTTGTCGATGGAGGTACGAGCAGAAGGGCTTGTGGGGTAATCACTGGTTCTACCAGTATTTCTATGGGTGCGACCGGATTTGAGGTGGTCGTACGAGGGTTGTGAGCGGATGGAGAGGTTGGATTGGGATGCACTGGTCAGCTTTGTGAGGGAGCCAGCCGTGTATGTCTGAGAGAGGGGGATGATTGCGGGGTTTGAAGAGATGGAAACAGATCTACGGGGCTTCCAGGGTTCGTAATCAGGCTGACGGATGTCGTTGGTGAGCACACCAACACTTTCCTCTGCCTCGTCGTCGGACGTGTCACCCTGCGAGACAGTTGCAGGCGGGGTGAATGAGCGAGGGGCCTCCCGTAGCGGGGCAAACGGCTGGGTCGGGCGCAGCGGACCAGAAGCAGCAACAGCCAGAGATGCAGGGCCACTGGTGGCACGCGAGTGTGAGGCCTTTCGGCGTGTCGAGGGGATGAACGACACGTCCGAGACAGACCTCGAGAACGAGGGAGCGTCCTCGCAGATACCAAGGCCGGTCAGAGAGTCGTTCTCGGCAGACGGACGCGACAGGTCAAGGCGGCCCTGGTCCAGATCGTCGTCACGTAGCGACATCTTGCGGAGGTAGGGCTTGATCTTGTTGGCGGAAGAGTGCCGGGCATGTTGGGTGCTGGTGGTGGTGGCCGAGTTGGCTAGAGTGAACTCGTTCTGGATAGGGCTGGGCATGGTGAAGACGGTCGGAGCGGCCGACGAGGTCGAGTCGGAGCGCTTGTGCAGTTTGGCATGGCGAGGCAGGTGCGAGGCCGAAGTCATGCTGCGAGCCAGCGGCGGGCGGGAAGGCGCGACCTGGAGCGAGAGCGATGTCGAGTTCGAGATACGGCGGTATGGAGTGGTGAAGCTGTCGCGACGGCCATTGGAGTCGCCAAAGGGGTTGAGCGAGTGGGATACAGCAGACCAGGGAGGCGAAGTGGGAGGAGGAGTCGTCGTCGTAGGCTTAGACTGGGTCGTTGTTGTCGTGGCTTGGGTGCTGACGGGCGGAATGGCAATGCCAGCCAAGTCACTAGGCCTTCTTTGCCGTGCTGCGACGAGGGCCATCGTAACGTGAACTCAATTCCGATCTGTTGAACAATAATACCCGTAGTCCTCTCAGCCGTTCATGCTTTTCTTTTTTGTTTTCTTTTCCGTCCTGCAAATGCTCCACCTCCGACTTCAAGGTCCTGTCCAACCCGCAAGCAGCCAAGGAGAATGCAAGAGGGCAAGATGGTGAAAGAGCGGCTCACCACACTTCAAAAGCTGCTGCCGATGTGTCTGTGTGTTCTTAGGGCCAAGCCTGATTGACCGAGTCTCGGCAACTCGGATGTTGCACTTGCTGATAGATTGTGTTGTCAAGGGAGATGGGAAGACTTGGGACCAGCCAAATCAACAACTCTCACAGCAACTATCTCTCTATCGAGTGCCTGCCGCCTTTGTATATATTCTGCCGACCACATGCCTCGACGCTTCTGCTCTGCCAACCCGTCGCCCCGCTCGAGTATTCATGCCAGCCATGCGAACGCCGTTTACCGTCGCAACCGCGTCCGTGTCGTCAATAGCACCCCCCGTTTGTATCGATTGTTGTCCAACTGCCAACCTGCGAACCCTTGATCTCGCTCTCCTCGACTTGTCATTTGTAAGGTTTCCACTCGCAGGCCTGGGCCTCTGAAGTCTTCATCTCTGCCATTCAACTGCCACGAGTTCTTGGCGTCTCTCCAACACATCCGTGGACCGTCCGTCATGACCCGCTCGGCCCGCGAGCCTCGATCTCTGATGCGACACCGATCGACAGCATTCCCGCTCCCCACATGTTTTATCTTCTTTGTCATGTCTCGTTGACCTCATGTCGGACCCTGGTGCCGGCCTTGGAACGCTGCTTGCACATTGATGAAACCATCAAAGTATTGTTCGAATCCCTGTCGCAACTCTTGATCTTTCAGAGTGCATCCTGGCTATTATGCCATCTTCATACATCCATCGAAGTCAGAAGAGGGGCCTCTTCAAAGCTGCAACCGTTTTCATGGCGTCGATTCGCACATTGGCTTTACCACTTTCAAGCCCTTATCCGTCAAGCCATCTCGTCAGTGTTGCTCCCCCCACAATACAACATCGTCTTTTCTCTCAAAGCATTTATCCGGAGCGAGGGATTCCTCGTCATAGATGTGTACTCTCGAGTAGGGGGGGTACTTTGCTGCACCTTGTGATGTCGAGGGTGATCCCAATATAGTTCTGAAGCTGCTCTTCTACTACTGGAATCTCACTCGGATCAACAGTTACAATCCTGATAGACATTGTAAAGATTTCTGGAAACTGGCTCACCCATCTGCTAGTTAGACCCAGGCTCCTTACAGGGCTGTAGGGAAACAGTTTCGCTTTTGAGCCCCATTGGCATGAGACACCATGCAGGGCCCAAAAACCGTTTCTCACCGGTCACCTCGAATACCTATTCCGGGCCATCAAACACACCAATACGGACACAATAGCAAGGGAAACCCGGTCACCTAATTTCGGAATCCTCTTCGCAGTGACCGTTGAGAATTTCTACAGCTCCCCGGCGATTTCTCCACCTCTTTGCACACTTTCTCGAGACCGTTGTGAGGTCTAGATATGTATCCATCTCAGACAGCTACAATCTCTTCGCTTTGGTCTCGAGTCGCGGCAAGTGGAGATTTTCGGCCACGGCGGACCAATCCTTATAGCTGGTAAGGTATTTCGGCAGTCACGACAGCTCTAGGCCATGAAATACATGTGGTGACAACTTAGTACCGCGAGATAGTACCTGTTGAGGCCACAAGGTCTCACAATAGCCGGTTCGCCTCAAGACCATGAATCGTGGATGCAATCGTGAGCAAGTGCGGACGATTCGTATACCTTTGTGGAACTGTTTTGCTTCTCATTCTGTCATGGGGGGGACATTTAAGCTCACTGTAGGCGAGCTCCCTCCATACAAGAACCGGATCTCTGTCTCACCCAGCACTCGTTTCTTCCTGCCAGGCATTTGTCAAGAACCAATCTTGGGAAAACTGTAAGAACATGCAGTATTTGAATAGAAAAAAATGCTTCTGTTTCGGCAGTTGTGACCATACGGCGACAGTGGACAACCATGTTCTGAAGAAAGGATTATGGGTGGAGGCCATTGGGTTGGAGGCGTGTTGTCTGGATAATCTCGAAGCAGATGGCCCACCTCCAATTCCTCGACATGCGTGACTCAAACACATCTCTGTCTGTTTAGAGACATGGAAGACTTCCGCAGGAACATAATAGATTAGCGACCATATATTGAATGGACAGTGACCAATTCGCGCACACACATCTGAATATACGACCAGAAAAAAGCAGACAGGGTCACCGGCCCGACAAAGCGTAAGTGACCACCTTCGATCGAATCATGACGAGGGAACAAGATGCTAGAAGGGAGCAACAGCTACAGTGATGGGTAGATCTCTGAGTATCACACTAATCATGCAAAATGTCCTGCAGTCTTATGAATAGTCTGTCAACGCGCACGTGAGGCTTAGATATGTTTTAGTTGCACCTACCTCGGGTCGATCTCTACGTTGACGCCAATTGCAGTCAGGCCTAATTGCTGCTATCGACACAGGAGGCATTTAGGACTTTGGCATAAAAGTAAAGTGGCATCCAAATCAAGGTCAAAGTATTACAATGGGGACTTTATGACGACACCGTCAAGGGGACAGAAAGGTCAAGAAGAAACATAAGTAGTGCAGACTGGGGTATAGATCTTGATGATGACGGACAACAACCGCTCGACATTCCCCCTTTCCTTTCCTTCCTGGCCCCTTGCGGATCGAGACTTTGACAAAGGCCTTTGCTCCTTCCACACCAGACGCCAACCCCTCCGCATTGAGCTGTTGTATGAAAAAATGAGATGAAAAAATAGGAAATTTGTTTTGTGTGAAGTGTGTGAGATGTGCTTGAATGTGTGTGTGTGTGTGTGTGTGTGTATAATGTCGAGTTCCTTTCTTTCATTCGTTTCGACCTTCCCCCAGATAGACAGAAGACAAATATAAGAATGAGAGTCGTTTGGTCTCGAAGATAAAATGTGTTGAAATAACAGAATTCCTATGCAGTAGCAATCGAAGGAGAAGTTCAACCGTTCGTCGTAAGGAGGTAAGATGGAAAAAGGAAATGACGCGACCGCGTGAACGCTTTTAGTCGGATGAATCGGGGAGTGGGTTCTCGAATCGGCCTCGAATAGTTGGATAACCCTGCTGACAAGAGAAAGGGAGCCCTAAGATATGATCGACATGTACTGTGGAAGCCAAAGGTTCGTAACGATGATCAGGCACGGCGAAGGCTTTGGAGATGGAGTCAAGAATGAATTCAAACATCACCGCCTGCCTCAAGACCGCCATCAGTGCCAAAGTTCATGCCACTGGGGTCGAAACCGAAGCCGTCGGCACCGCCGTCGGTGGTGAGGAAGGAGTCGAAATCGAAATTGTCGAGCACATCCGGGCCGCCCATCTCGAAATCGAGACCCATACTGCCAAACTTTCTGTGTGTTAGCGTAGTTCATTTGCAGAAGATCTAGATGCCTTACATCGCTGTCCATATTGCCGAAAGGAGCTCCGACGTTGGACATATCGCCGCCTGGATTTTGCTGACCAGGCATGCCGGATTGAGCATTCGGCGGCTGCTGTTGGTTTTGGGGCTGGCCAGGCTTCGGGGGAAATGCTGAAGTTGGCTGAGGTGTGATTGGCGGTGCTGGAGTTGGAGTTGGAGGCTGTTCAGCCGACTCTTGAGGAGTAGCCCCAGTTGTCCCCTTCTTGTTACCCTGCCGACAGTGGTTAGCTCCTGTGTATACTGATTGTGCTCGACAGGGTTTACCTTGGTTGCCGAGGCCTTGGTGTCCTTTTTCTTAGGCTTGTTCGCTTGTGAAGGAGTGGGTGGCTGGTTTTGCGAAGGCGACGAAGGGCCTGTACCAGTTCTTGGGCCATCATTGCCGGGAGCAGGCGGAGGAGGCATGGCAGCGTTGCGCTGTTGGGGAGTCATATTAGGTGGTTGCGGGGGAGGCTGGCCTGCCATCATATTAGGCCCTGGCTGAGGCATGAAGCCATTGGCCATCTGCGCCTGGCCGTTGCGGCTTTGGGCCTGGCGGAACATTTCCATCTGCTGTTGTTGGCTCAATTGACCAAACCCAGGATGCGAGCTGGGAGGCTGCATCATCTGTCCATTGGTGCCCTTCATCATGGCCATGGGGAACATTGATGGGTTCATGGGATTGTTAGGATCGAACTGGCCTGGAGCTGGAGAAGCGCGACCGGGCATGCCGCCGTCTGCGGTCGGGGATGGAACGACGCCGGGGGCCATCTTGGGAGTGCCGCGTCGCATCTGCTCGTTAGGACCTGGCGAGGGACCAGCCCTGCTGTTGGAGGGCGACATGGCGGGGGCGAAGTTCTGGGGCTGGCCGGATGCGGGCACAGGGCCATTGGGACCATTGGTCATGTTGTCTTGTTCTTGGCGGGCCATCAAGAGGCGCTTCTTGTTCTGTTGTTCTAGCAGCATAAGTTGCATCTGGTAGTCCTGCAAGGCGTGGTTGCTGTTCGCGTTGGGAGGGCCCTGACCGGGCATGGGCCGCATTTGGGGATTGAAGAATTCGGCGGCGTTGGGATCCTGCGGCATCTGAGGTGCTCCGTTAGGCATCAACCCCTTGTCCACGTTAGAATCCATGGCGGATTGCATGTGCTGGCGCATGGAGTTGGCATATACCTGTTGCATCGCTTTCGCCTGAGGATTGGCCATCTGCGTCTTGTCAGCATCGAGAAGCGTGTGCGAAGCGGAGAGTGACACTGACCTGTTGTCCGGGCATGCCCTGGGGCTGACCGCGGCCCATCGGACCCATGGCACCGTTGAAGTTGCCATCTAGTCGTTGACGCTTGGGGGAGGGAGCGGCGTCACCTCCACCCGGAGAGGTGGGTCTTTGTTCCATAGTTGAACCTTCTCTCTGCATGGTCGTCTGTTGGAGCTGCGCCATTTGTTGCATGCGCAGTTGTTGTTGCATCTGCACCATTTGCTGTTGCGTACTGCACCGTCTTGTCAGCACCTCAGCCGCAAGTTGTAAGAGAGGGGGCGGAACTCACGGTTGGCGGCCAGGTTGAAGACCGAGCTTCTTGGCCATGTCGGGGGGCACTGGCATACCGGGGCCGACCATGCCGGGGCGCATGGCCATGTTGGCTTGCATCTGGGGATCGACGCGCATCAGCCTCTGTCGGTCGTTGGCCATTCGGGCCTAGGGCTGCGGGTTAGTGGGCCGGCGGTGGGGAGGACATGGGCGAGACAAGAGAAAAGCAGCGACATACCTGGACGTTGCTCAGATATTTGGCAGTTTGTGTGTTGGTGGCTCGGCCGTGTTGAGCATTGAAACACTCCCAGAATTGGTGCCACCAATCGTACAGGAAGCTGCCTTTTGAGGCCGAGGGGACGTTTGGCGAGGGGAGATCGTCGGGCTTCTTGATGTCTTTGGAGTCAGTGTCCATCGAGTCGTTCACGCCATTGACGTCTTTACGATCAGGGGTGGCATTGTGATCAAGATCGAGGTCGACAGTCTTCAAGATGACGCGGGCGACTTCGTGGTTGCCGTGCTTGAGAAAATAGTCGTAAATATATGTGTTGAGCTTCTGGCGAGATATGTCTACACTGGACGCGTTGTTTGGCGTGTCGGAATTGGGGGTGGGCCCGCCCATCATGTTCATTTGTTGGCTCATGCCAAAAGGTGACGGGTGAGTTCAGCCAGTTGTGCGGAAGTCGGAATGGGATGGTGGAGGATGGAAATGTCTCGGACTCGGGCGCGCTCGCGGACAGGGAAGGCGACGACGTCGATGCAATGGGGATTCGAGCGGGTGGGTGAGATTGACAGGTGCTGAAACAGAAGGGACGTCGACGCGGCAGAGGCGGGCGCGACAATGGCGATGTCAGGCACGAGGTGCGAGTCGCGATGGAGTTGGCAGTTGGCAGTTGGCAGTTGGAGCGAGCAAGCAAGCAGCAAGCCGAGGCGTGAGTGTCGCCGATCGGGGACACGGGACACGGAGAGCGGCGCGTGAAGGGCAGCTGTCGTCGCTGGAGATGCGCAACACAATTAAGGCGCAAGGAGAGTCGCAATAGCCTAGCGGCACGGCGGACGGGGCGAAGTGGATCAACAAAGGAAGAATGTGGGTGAGGTGATGAGGTTAGGCTGGGGGAGGATGGACAGCCCAAGAGGAGGGCGTTGACAGCGAAACGCCAAGAGCATAGAAACGCTTAATTGGTTCAACACACCACATTAGGAGCCACGAGATTGCAACTTCGAATGCCTGCGACTCTCAATACAATGGTCAAGCCCTGTTTGCGACTGTCTGCCAAACATGCGAAGCGCCGCCCTGCTTGACGGCTTGTCGTGCTCTCCGGTTTCATCGAGTCAGGAGTCACGTGCTATTTCAATTTATCGTGCTTATGGTGCTTGCTCTTCCCGCTCTATGAGCCCCTATTCTGCCCTTGGGCGTACCGGATTCACCTACTTATCGACCAGCTCTCTCCATGAACCGACATCACTAACAATTCAGCTAGCAGAATGCAGGAGGATTTCTCATTCCAGGAGGTATCCATTGAGAGCGTGTCAAGTAGCTCATCTCTGGTCGCATTGATTTTGAGAGCATCGTGCATTTTCACGAGGCGAAAGTCTCATGAAACGATCGTGGGAGATGCTGGGAATATGTTCGGAAAGCAAGTGCTCGGCCTTGGGGCTTGATTAATGTGCTGTTTTAGTCCCTGAGCCTATACTGCACCCTCTGCTGAGTGGGTTGCAGCGAGGCATGATCTGGACAGTGTCCAGTCGATGTTCCAGGGACAGAGGTTGTTCGTAACGTCGTAACATGTAAAAGTAGAGGACAGTCTAGAAATGCCCAGAGCCAGAACGGTCGTTCTACTCGTCGTCCGGAGGCATCTCATCCTCGATGTATCTGATCAAGGTGACACGCATCTCTGTTGTGTCGTTGCCACGAAGGACATCGGTCATGAACTGAGTTTCTACCTGCATTTGGACCTGGCATGGGTCAGACAAGATGGGTCGAGGATGGATGCTTGTTACTCACCATTTCCAAAGCTCCTCTCAAGACGCCACAGAAGATGTTGGAGTACCACAGCTCGTCCTGGGCCTTTCCATCATCGGGCAGCTCGACAAAGTCGGCTAGGGGGTTCTCGTCGAAGAGCAGTGTGAAAGACTTGTTGTCGGATGACCAGTTTGTGACTACGGGAGTGATGTTGAGGAACATTTTGAAGCCGACTTTTGAGATGATCTCGGCCGTCTCGCGCAGGTTTGAACAGGAGCCGGAATTTGACTTGGCCAGAAAGTCCTCAATCAGGCGCATGCCCATGTTGTAGCCCATCTTGTCCAGCTGCTTGTTGACCTGTGCATAATCACCGTTGTAGTCTTTGCAGAGCTGGGCGACGATGGTGCCGTAGGTAAGGGTGACGAGTTCGGCGTTGACCTTGTCAACGCGGGTCCTTGTCGAGCGTGTTAGCTATGGATGCGCTGGGCAGTCAGGCGGCGGGCAGCAGGCAGCAGGCAGCAGGCAGCCAACTTACTTCCATACTCTGTCGCATATCAGCAAGTGTGTCGCGTCTAGCACAGGCAGACGGGGACTCACTCTTCGCCGAGACGGGCGGCTTTGGTAGCCATGGTGTGCGATGGGTCGACAAGGATGGACGGAACGATGTGCCTGCTGCGACGGGGGTGGATGCGGAGGAGAGGCCAGAGGCGCACGATACTCCGTACATCGAGCATCGAGCATCGAGCGTGGGGTCAAAGCTCGCCTTCAATCTTCACGAGGCCACAAGTCCTCGGTCCATTCTATCACCATCTGCACTCCAACCCTTCGCAACCTGCCATAGTCGCCGCCCACCATGTCGTCAGAGAAGCGCCCGGCCTCCAGCTCCATGGGCTCAGGCCAGATGGTCAAGCGTCAAAAGTCGGACAACTCAATGGCCTTGACGTCGGCCTCGCAGAATGGCACCATCATCCACAGCACCCACAGAGGTCCGGCTCTGTCTGCTCCCGTCATGGAACTGTCTGGCCATACAGGAGAGGTGCTGGCTGCAAGATTCAACCCCGAGGGAAACTACATTGCTTCGGCAGGAACGGACCGCAACATCCTCCTCTGGCGCACTTCTGGCGATTGCGAAAACTATGGCATTCTGTCTGGACACAAGGGCGCAATTCTTGACTTGCAGTGGTCGCGCGACTCGCGCAACATCTTTTCTGCCTCGGCCGACATGCACATCGCCAGCTGGGACCTCGAGACTGCTCAGCGCATACGAAGACATCAGGGCCATGACGAAGTTATCAACGCCCTGGACATTAGCCGTCGTGGTGAGGACATTTTGTTCAGTGCCTCGGACGACGGCTACATAGGCATCTGGGACCCTCGTCAGAAAGCCGCCGTCGACTTCATCGAGACAAACTTACCCGTCACTGCCATAGCCCTCGCCGAGGCCGGCAACGAACTGTACTCGGGCAGCATCGACAACGACATCAAAGTCTGGGATTTGCGGAAGAAGCAAGTCTCTTACTCGCTGATTGGCCATACCGACACCATTACCTCGCTCGCCGTTTCGCCCGACTCGCAAACACTTCTCTCAAACTCGCACGACAGCACCGTCCGCACCTGGGACATCCGTCCATTCGCTCCCACCGAGCGCCACATTAGAACATTTGACGGTGCGCCCACGGGAATGGACAAGTACCTGATCAGAGCTACCTGGGATACAAAAGGAAAGCGCATCGCTGCCGGCAGTGGTGATCGCTCTGTCGTTGTTTGGGATGCCGGCACAGGAAAATTGCTGCAAAAGCTACCTGGCCACAAGGGCTCTGTCAACGATGTCCGATTTGCGCCCAATGACGAGCCATTGAGTAAGTCCCTTCTACTCTACGATCATTTGTGTTCGACGCACACTGACCAAACCCTAGTGCTCTCCGCCTCTACCGATCGCAACCTGATGCTGGGAAGTCTCTCGACATGACCTTGCCCTGTTCAACGATAAAACTTTAGACTTATGAGATACCCACTTACACGCTCCTGTTGCCAAAGAATCAAAGGATACGAGACAACAACATGCACATGGATGCCAGGATTGCCGTCAGTTAGGCATACGTGGAAGCCGCCGGATATATCGCTGGGGTCACGAACGTCATGGTCTCAATATGATCTGGTATGAAGCCTCCCATGTGCTAGACTTGCCACTCGTACAACTGTAGAGATGCACCATGATGCTCAAACTCTCGACTGAGTCCAGAGAGAGCAAGCCAAGTAGCTGCTCTCCGGAGACAGCACCGGTTATCTCAAAAATCTTGGTGCTTTTCATAGTCTTATCACGACGTGTCGTTGCGGCAAGAGAGTCGATATGAGAAGTGCAGCTCTGGAAAGGAGGGGTCTTGTTCTGTAATACCCCCCGGATGTCGTTCAGCAAGACGCTACCAAAAGTACTTGATCCCAATTAAAATACTAGTATTTTCTCAACTCGACCGTACGTTCACTCCGGCCCGTTGATTATGACCTTGATCCCCTTAGCCGCATGTACGTCTTTGAATGCCTGTTCAGCGTCCTCGAACTTGACACGACCGGTGATGAGCTCCTTGACGCTCAGGCTACCGGAAGTGATGAGGTCAACAGCCAATTGATAGTCTCCCGGACCGTATCGGAAGCTTCCTTTTATTGTAAGCTCCCGACTACAAGCGGCCATGATGGGGAAGTTGATGTCAGGCTTGCCCATACCACCCTGAACGTAGGTTCCGCCAGTTCTCACTGCGTGGATAGCGGTCTGGATGCAAGGCTCGGCTCCAGTAGCGTCGATGATGGCATCGGCACCCAGACCGAGGTCGCACTCTTCTGTGAGAATCCTGGCGTTCTCTTGAGGGCTGACTCTTTGCGAGCGGAAGGCATGAGTGGCAGCATACTTCTGTGCGAATGCGAGACGCTCCTCGTTGATATCGACAGCGACGATCTTGGTGGCACCGAAAGACTTTGCGACGGCCATGCAGAGCAGACCTACAGGGCCAGCACCAAAGACAACAACGCTCTGGCCGGGCTTGATGTCGGCCTGCTTGGTGATGTGCACGCCGACACTCAATGGCTCAACCAGTGCAGCCTCCTCAAGGGGAACATGGTCCGCAATCTTGTAGCAAAAGTCCTCGGGAAGACGGTAGTACTTGGCGAGAGTTCCGTCGTAAGGAGGGGTGGCTGCGAAGGCCATGTCGACACAGAGGTTGTACTTGCCCTCTCTGCAACGTGGGCATCTACGGCAAGGAACACCGGGCTCCAGTGTGACGCGGTCGCCCTTCTTGAGTGTCGTCACCTTGTCTCCCACCTCCTCGACGATACCAGCCGACTCGTGACCCAAAACCATGGGTGCCTTGACGACAAAGTCACCGATGGCGCCGTCAGTCCAGTAGTGCACATCAGAACCGCAGATACCGGTGTGCTTGACATTAACGATGACATCGTAGGGGTCTCTGAGCTGGGGGATGGGACGATCCTCGAATTTAACGCTGTAGGGCTTCTGAAGAACAAAGGACAGGTTCTATGGCAATAGTGATGTTAGCTCTCAATCTTGCGAGAGAAGGATTATCAAAGCTCACTCACCTTTGCGTCCGCAGGGTTCACTTCTTGCACGGAGGCCATTTTGGGGGCTGCTGTAGCAGAAAACTTTCTTGCGACCTTCTTGGAGTTGAGGTGGTAAGCGGCAGCAGCGCAACTACCGCAGCTTCTCGACGATTGGAGTTTGTATGTGGTCTGGGAAGGAACGCGAAGGGTCGAGGCTCTAAGGCTTCTCTGAAGTCCCGACTTGAAGACTTGAGACATGGTGTAAGCAGTTGTAATGTGACGATTGCAATTGGGTTGGTAGAAGAAGATGATGAGAGGCAGCACACTCTTGAAAGATTTCGAGCGTGGTGATCAGGGACAAGGAGAAAGAGCAGGACGGTAAAGAAGTTAGAACAGGCAAGAGCGAGAACGTACAAGAAATGCAGGCTCAATTAAGGATGATATCGAGCAGCCACGGATGATACAGAAGGCACGCCAGAGGATCGGGTCAGCGTGTGCAGAGTTTCGGAAGGGTGATAGCGGTTGCCTTTTTCCAGGTCAGTGGTACCGCAGCCTGCGAATTGCAGAAAATAGAAGCCATCCATCATGTGAGTCGAGTGCAAGCACCAAGCTGCCCACCACACATGCTGTCATCATTAGCCGCCGCATGTCCACCTTCCCCACCAAACTTGCTCTGCTCCCGTCGGAACCGATGAATTTACCCGACGGAGGCATCCGAGCTCGACACCATGTCCCCTTGGTCCAACTTCTGTAGGCTTCGGCAAATCACCGAGCTGTCTCTTTCTGTGTGAAACATTGTACATGCAAACAGCCTGATGCCGAGCTCGAGATCCCCCTGGATGCTTTCCCGCATTAATCGGTCATTGCGTTTCTCATTCCAGCCAGATCTGCCTAAACAACCACCTGAGGGACGCAACATGAAGGGAAAGACATGCCGACAGCCTGCATCCGCCATTGCAGCTTCAATGCATCACTTTACTGGAGCTCTAGTATCCTGTATATCCGGCATCTCTACATGTGGGACCAAGTCATGGAATCTCTCAAACACAAAGCAACCTCGGATCTAGCGACACCTTCATAGTAAATGAATCGATGAATGAGCAGATCAAATAAACGTTGAGTTGCCTCAATTACTTTGGAGATGTAGCTAAGTCTGATATATCACTCGTGGTCATCCTTGACGACATCCGCCGCTGCAATACTCCTGGCAACTTCTACTGGGCTTACGAATCCGTTTCTGCACTGCCATGGGTAGAGCAGTGCAATAATCACGGTGAGTCCACCAGTAATGGCAGACGAGTAGTTCATCGTCTCAGCGGAAACGGGCATTCTGGTCTTGGTTAGCCCATGTCAAGATCATCTGAGCACGGTAACCTACGAATATGGGAAGCAGAAGATGACGATGAATGCCACAATATATGCACATGCAATTGGCATGATGACGGCAGCAAGCTTGTCCGGCAGCTTAAAAGGTCCAAGTTCAATGTTCTTACGTCCACTGAGTAAGTGAGGCAGGATAGCCAAAAGGTATGAAGCCGAAGAGAGGATGATGAAGGACCCGACGAAGGCGTTGAAGGCCTATAAAAAGTCAGTTCACTGCTAATTCAAACTTTTGGAATAGCAGTCAGGCTTACCACGGCGCTGCCGATATAGATCAACCCTAGAATTGTGGTGATTATGAGGCACGCTACGGTAGCTGCGAAAGGGTTGCCCCATCGAGGAGAGATGACACCAAGTGTGCTTGAGAAGGGTGTTGCCCGATCTAGAAGATGTGAGTCAGAGTCTGTTTCATCCAGCAGTTCATCTCCTCGGTCGAACGTACCACGCGATAAAGTCCACAACATGCGTCCGCAAGTAATGTAAGTGCCAATGCAGTTGGCGACTGTAGGCTTTGATTTGAAGGACAGTCAGCATAAAGCTCAAGAGACGAAGAAAAATCCCCAGAAAGTCATAGGCTGTCTTTCGGTTTCGCTACCTCCCGACAAGACGACGCTCGTTCGGTGCTTCAACATACAAGACACCGAAAAGAATGCCGACTTTGGCAAAGACAGGGAAAATGCAAGACAGTTCCCGGATTCTGGAGCTCACAAACAACGTACCAGAAAGACCACAATGAGTAAGCCACAAGATCCGGCCTTTGATCCAGTAGCTTGTCTGTACAGCTCCGCCAGAGGATTAGTGTAGGGGTTGTTCATCAAGGCGTCGATGTCGTTGATGCTGTAAAATATGGCGATCAGGTAGAAAAGGCCAGTCACGAACCCCACGCCCAATTGTGCAGCAATAGCTTTGGGAACGTTGACTCTGCTTCTTGGAATCTCCTCGGCCAAATGCGAGACGCAGTCGGGCGTGCCCACGCTGAATGCACCGTTGAGCATTCCCGTAACGAATACGAGGCCATTTGACTTGTAGCCAGTGTCGTTGGACCAGGAAGACCAGACAGCTGCTGTGGTGGCATGGCCTGCGCCTGTTGTGGTAGGCATGATAGCGCAGACCAGGATTGTTAGGAAGCATCCTCCGAGTGTGAGGAAGAGACCAATGTTGTTGACCATTGGTAAGGCTCTGTTTGCAAACAGTACGACCGCGCAGCATGACCAGGAAATGATGATGTAGCAGATGAAGACGTGCCAACGTTCAGCGACGTAATCTGGATGGAATAAGCCCCACATGGCCAGGACCTCGTTCGCCAGGATCGATGACATTGAGGCAGATCCAAACACCCACGCAAAGAAATTCCAGTACCTTCAAGCCACGGTCAGCATGATCCTTGTAAAGAAGAAGGCCGAGGTGTTGTGAATATTGGCTTGATCGGTACCCGAGCTGTAACTCTACCCATGACAGTATTTCGTCATGAGCGGTGTTGCAAGTACGCATATCGATTGTGTCTTCTTTCTTACCCTGCAAGGAAGCCAATGAACTTCGAGTATCTTGGTGCTGACGTTGCGGCGGCCCAATGATATACGCCTGAGGAGGAGGGAATAGCACTCGCAAGTTCTGCTATACAAGCACCGATCATCCAGTAGAATACGCTGACTGCTAGGAACTCGAAGATCACACCAGTCGGTCCACCATTGTACAGAGCAACGACAATGCTGCCGCCAAGTGCGCACCTAAGGAACAACCCAGTCAGTCTCTGTTTGCTTGACAGCAGAGCTGACATGCTAAGATAAGCAAGGTGGCCGAAGCAGACTTTACCATGTGTTGCCGGTAACAATGCCTACAGCACAGATCGAGACGATGCTGAAGTTGCGTTCGAGTTCTTGCGTATGGCCGGAGGTATTGACCGTGATCGTGCCTTCCTCGACTTCCGGTTGCTCAGACCGGTAAGGAGTCAACTTGTGCTCCGACGGCTGCTTGGTGTCCATGTCGATAGGAAAAGGTCTGTCGAAACAAATACAACTCGAAGGACAGGAACTTGAATAGAAAGAACGAAGATCCTTGGAAGCCGGTGATATTATAGGGACGGACAAAGTATTGAAGGAGACGGCGGAAGAGAGTTATGAAGTCAAGAAGCAGTAGTTGATGCGCCGTGCACATCGAAACTTGCAGTAGCTTTGCAAGATAGGGACGGAAAAGACCTAAGGTGCCAGGATGGACGATAAGATGTAACTTGAGTCAACGTTCGGTGGCGACCTTCTCAAGCGACCGCCGTCCATACTGTATCAAAAAGCACAACTAAAATACTGGTGTGTACGTCCCGTCTGGACTACGATAGACTGTGATAAGAGCGGAGATATGGAGGGATCAAGGGACTGTGCGCCGTCCATCTCTTGCCGCTTCCCCTTTGGGATGTCCCTGGTCTGGGGTGCGGAGAAGGAACAGCTGCCGTGCCTGCCCTAAGTGCCGATGACCAGATCTTATCCCACATTATTACAGCAACTACGATAGCGACTAACGGTATCGTTGATACATTGTGTGCTGAACATGAACCAACAAGGTAACTGCAAGAGAAGCGATATCGTCTTCGGTGGTAATCCCGTGGTTCCGGGTCGACATGACCGAATGGACCCTGAGATCTCAGGTCAGCTGCAGTACTATGCGTAAGGCCACCAGGTATACACTTCTATATCAATAGTTTCATTGTGTAGTGTGGACGAAGGGGCACAAATACCGTACCAGAACCGATCTCTCAGCCTAGTGGCGTCTTACAAAACGCCGCCAGAAGGCAGCCCCTGGCTGCACAATTCACCCGTGTCATCCATCTCTCTCAGGGTTTGTCCACAAAGAGAGCTGACACGGGTTCGTTCATCTTTCCTGATTCTAATCCTAGTCATAGAAGTCCAAGATCTTGTTTGCCCTGTCGAAGAGCTCCCTCTGAGTGTCGCTCAGTCCCACTGCTGAACTGTGGAATTCCTGAAGACCGAAAGCAACCATGCCTGCATCTCTACCTTGACTCGCCTTCTCAATTTCTTCGATACCAGGTCGACCAACGTGATTTGTCTCTCCAATGCCTCCGCCGAAGTCAGGACATGGCAATCCCTCAAGAAAAGCTTGTCGTTGACGAGCTAAGAACTCCGCGTTGTGGGCTGTAAGAGGACACGCAGGAATGTACAGGACTGAGCTGTCGGTCGTGCCCTCGTGCTTTTGGTCGACTGCGTGAATCTGATCGCAATGCCAAGCCACATAGTCACCAGGCCTGACCTCTGGGATATGGACCATTGTGCTGTTGAGCTCGAGATGAGGATGCAGCATGTCGCTCAACTCTTGTCCCTTTCCTGGTAATGCACCCTGGAGCCAGGAAGTTTGAGGACAGTCCAGAACCCAATTATCGGGTGAGAGAAAAGACTCGTCGAACGTATCAGTCTTAGGGCTCATGGGCCCCTTTTTAGCTGAAAAGAATGGTCGTAGAAGATAGTAGGCGGTGGCGTGCTTCAGCATTGGATTTACCAGTAGCGTTCCTTCGTGTGCCTTAGTGGTGCTTAATGACAGCCATCCCTGTGCTGCGCGGAACATACTGCAGGCCCCAACACCTCGATACAAATCTGACTTGACTGCCAATCGGGAGCTGATCTCCCAAGGATCATGGTCTTCCCATCGACCTTGCCAGATTGATTCGTAGACTTTGGCGTTTCCATAGCCTTCTGGCTCCCACCTTTCCGGTCCGCCTCCATCGACGTGCGGTCCTAGAGCAAAGATATTGTCCCCCGGCGTTCGTATCCGGAGTCGATCTGCGTATATAGTTGGGTGTGCAGTAGAGACTAGAGCCTGAGGATCCTGAGAATGCCAGTGGGAAAGAAGGAATCGCTGTGCGGCCAGAAGATATGGATGAGAACGTGCTCTGATCTGAGCTGGTGACCAGTACAGCTCGTATACTTGAGGGTTGTCACTTGGGAATGCTTTGGTCTGGGGGTTGGCGGCAATGTATTCTCGAAGCTCTTCTTTCATCTCCATTGCCTCGACTGGTGGTATCACGTTCCGAATGATTGCTGCCCCACGTCTCTTGTACTCGCTGCTGAATTTGGTACTTGCGTCCTTGATATCCTTGAAGTCAATTTCAGGAATAGCTTTGCTTTTGAGTATCTTGACAGTGGCAATCTCCTCCCTCAAAGCCTCTAGAAGGCGGAAGAAAGATTCTTGTATGACATTTTCTTTGCCGCCAATCAACTCGCTTTTAAGAGTAGCAAAGCGAGGCTCTAGCGGTTCGGGAGTCAAACCTGAGAGCGAAGCAAAGGCGTCACTAATGTCACCCTCTCTCTTCTGGGCATGTGTTGCCATAGCCACCCGATGGCATTTCTGCAATTTAAAGGCCTTCAACTGCGATGCAGCCCTGCAGCGATTCTGGAGCATCTGGTAAGAGCCTTGAGTAAAATTTGCGCCACCAAGAACAGCGTTCAAGGGTTGGAAGGTGGCCTGAGTCCAGTGATCGAAGCCGCGTACGTCTTCGGATTGGTAGGATCGTGTAGTCGCTTTGACAAGGCTCGTGACGGATGTAGGATTTAGTGTGAGATGCCGGATGGCTTGCAGGCTGTGAGTGGTTGTCGGAGGGCTCACGGGCCGAGGAGCCGGAGTCGGTTGCAGCACCTTCCACGTTTGGTGCACGGCGTTTCGAGCTCCGCAACAACACAGGAACGGAACAGGCTAAATCCAACCATAGTGCCTGTCAATCAAGCGTCAATGTTGGTCTCACGATCACTGTCACTATGAGGAGCGGACAATCAAAACTCTCCGGTCTCCCTCTCATGCGACGACCCATCTCGTGTCTACGACGGACTGAATCTTGGCTGCATCTTTTTCGAGCGAGTTCCTTCGCTTGTGTGTTGTTCTTTCGTTTCTTGACAGATATATAACTTGCGTGCGTCCCCAGATCCCTACGACTTCTGCATTACCATTGTCATCATGTCTCGCACCTCTCTGCCTAAAGATTTCCTATGGGGCTTCGCAACAGCAAGGTCAGTAGACAAATAACCATACACGACTACCTAATACTTAAACAGCTTCCAGTTACCAGGTAGAAGGTGCTCCCGCAGAAGATGCCAGAGGAGACTCGATATGGGACGTCTTCTGCCGCATTCCTGGAAAGATCGCCGGCAACGAAAATGGAGACATCGCTTGTGACTCTTACCACCGGTACAAAGAAGACGTAAAGCTTTTGAAGGATATGGGTGCACGTGCATATCGATTCAGCATCTCCTGGTCTAGGGTTATCCCTCTTGGTGGTCGCGAAGACCCAGTCAACCAGAAAGGTCTCCAGTACTATATCGATCTCGTGGACGAATTACTTGCCAACGGAATCGAGCCCATGGTCACTTTGTTCCATTGGGACCTGCCTCAAGGTTTAGAGAGATATGGAGGCCTCTTGAACAAGGAAGAATTTGTGGCCGACTATGCGCAATATTCTCGAATCATCTTCCAAGCACTAGGGGACAAGGTCAAGTATTGGGTGACTTTCAACGAGCCTTGGTGCAGTTCTATTCTTGGATATAACGAGGGCGTCTTCGCGCCAGGAAGAACCAGCAATCGCTCCAAGAGTTCGGTCGGCGACAGCAGCACTGAACCCTGGTTGGTAGGACACAATCTTCTGATTGCACATGGTGCGGCCGTGAAGATCTACCGGGAAGAATTCAAACCAACTCAAAAGGGACAGATTGGAATTACCTTGAATGGTAGGCGAAGAACATAGAGACACCGGTGTTCAACTTGCTGACTCTTGCAGGTGATTGGGTCGAGCCTTGGGACCCCGAAGATCCCAAGGATATTGAAGCTTGTCAACGCAAGCTCGAGTTTGCAATAAGTTGGTTCGGTGACGTGGTGTATTTCGGTGACTATCCTGAAAGCATGCGCAAGCAACTTGGAGATCGTCTACCAAGATTTACTCCGGAAGAAAAGGACTTGGTTCAAGGCAGTAATGATTTCTACGGTATGAACCACTACTGTGCAAATTACATCAAGCACAGGTCCGGCGAGCCGGAGCCAGAAGACTATCTCGGCAACCTCGAATCCTTGCTCGTCAACAAGGAGGGTCAGGAAATAGGACCCGTTACCCAAAGTCCTTGGTTGAGGCCACATGCTGTCGGCTTCAGAAAACTGCTCAAATGGATCTCTGACCGTTACGGACGCCCTGCCATCTATGTCACGGAGAACGGTACGAGCTTGAAGGGCGAGAATGATCTCTCGAAGGAGGAGATTCTTGAAGACGACTTCAGAGTATGGTATTTCAAGGAGTACGTTACCGCCATGGCAGAGGCATACACCCATGACGATGTAGACGTCAGGGGATACATGGCTTGGAGCTTGATGGACAAGTAAGATCAGCCTTCATCGAGGTCTGTCATCTGCTAATGGTGTGCAGTTTCGAGTGGGCTGAAGGTTTCGAGACTAGATTTGGAGTTACTTTTGTCGACTACCACAATGGTCAGCAAAGATTTCCCAAGAAGAGTGCGAAGGCTATGAAAGGACTGTTCGATTCGCTCATGCGCGAGTCGTGATGATATGCCGTCTCGTTGCTCCTGCTGCGCACGGAACATCAAAACAAATAACTGGATATAGCAGTGCAATGCACAACGGGAATTTCAGAAAGAACATTGACGATACTTCATAAATCCATTGCAATGCTTGTTAAAGTCCTGTCGAACCATGTCCCAACAGCCTAGCCACCCAAAAAGAGACAACCCCGTACTCCATGCTAAACAGTTTTAAATACATATTAAACATCATAATCCTTTGTTTTTCCTTTCCCAACGCCAGGCTGAAATTCGAGACAGACCATAGACCACAGAAGCTGAGAAATGCTGCAATATAAGGTGAAGAATCAAAAAACATGAGTAAAAAATATCATCATGCAGTTGGTTGCCTAAGAGTGGCAGCTGCCGTAGCGGTAGAAGTAGAGATATCGAGAACGTTAGAGGATGATATGAGGCGAGGTGTTGGTGAAGAAGTGTCGGAGCGGCTCATTGGACCGTCGACAGGACGTGAGGTAGCCAGGAGGTGGCCACTCTCGACCAGCTCCTTGAGATAGGCTTCGAACTCTGGATCCATCTCGACGTTGAGGCCTTGTTGTCTGGCGGCAATGGCAGCAAGGAGACGGCGGTTGAGCTCGTGGCCGATGCTCTGAATATTCTCTCCCACGTCGTCATCATCATTGTCGTCGTCGTCATCGTCGTCGTCTTCTAAATCATCGTCGAGAACATGTCCCTCGTGGTCGTCGTCAAGAAGCATGTCAACGGGGTGCCTGCCCTCGGTGATCTCGACTTCTGTTTGGACACGGATCAAGGTCTTCTGTTTGGATCTGATGCGCGGGTCGACCCAGTCGCAGATGCCATCTCCTGTTGTGTCCCTGACCTTTATGTTCTCGTCTCTTTCGAATCTCTGACGTGCCCATAGCGTGCCTTCCCAACGCACCAAGTCCATGACCTCTTGTTCCGTAATGTCCAAGTCGTCGATGACCTTGAATAGGCGGGCATGGTGAGGGAAGCGGCCGAGGCGCATGCGATGAGGCCCATGGCAATAGTTCAAACCAGGATAACGGGCCTCGATGCTGTCCAGACTGCCGTAGAAGGTGGCCGTCTCGATGCGGATTTCTGGAATCAAGTCGCGCGCAAGGTGGGTCTGGAAATTCGGCGGGTCCGAGGGGCCAGGATTAGGGAAAAGGTGAGCGTAGAGGAGCGAGGCTACGGATGTTTGCCTGCGCATTTTGGCTGTAGGGGCAGAAAGGATGGAGCAGGAGCAGGAGCAGGAGCAGGGACGGTCGAGGAAGGAGGGTCCGGTCGAGTGCACGCCGGCGCAATGCGTATCACAAAGCCGATATGAGCAGACTCGGGTGTCGGGAAAAAGGGCCGAAGCGATCAATCTTTTTACAGTGTTTTGAAGCCAAGAGGGGGCACAAAAGTGGGCGGATCGCTGAGCGTGGGGAAACAAAACTTTCGTTGCGTGGAGAAGGAGAGAAGGGCAGAGAAGAGCAAGGGGTCGGGTCCTGGGGGTTGCTGCTGACAGGTTGTGTGACAAAGGTCGGACTTTTCGGGCTGTGATTCGTCCAGAGTCGCAGAAGGAGGAGACGGAAGAGCCAGTCGACTACCTGTACAGATATATGAGGTATTGTTGTTGGAAAGCAGGGAGAAAATTCATCAGCGACTCCGGAGATGTGCGTGATGTGCGTGCTTCCTTCCACGTCTGGCCCAAATGTGCCCGTTGATAATCGCGGGATGCCGTGAGCTTATTTTGCCTGCCACAGACCCACACATGCTCGCCCAATCCCTGTCGCTGCCACATCTTTCTTTGTCCATACAGTAGTCTGTACCAAGTTACCTGCTCCCGTGCGGCCCATTCGCTGTGCTGGTGTGTGTTGTGAAGCAAATCACGCGTTTCAGACACTACCCGCCTGACTTCTGTTTGACCTACACGGACAGGCCGTCTTGTGACTTTTTCTGCGTAATCCTCTTAACAATACTACATACACACACTATTGCATCTCTGTCGAATCTGCGACAACCTGACCGCCCTTAAACGCCCTGCTAAACCGCTCACCTGGGATATCAAATGCCTAATACCGTATGAGTGTCCTCCCTCGGAGCAAAATCTGTCTCCGTTGACCAGCAACTTCTTCATCGTCCTCGTCCCATGCTTCTCTGCGCCATGAGACTCTGTCGCACAATCAGCTCAGCTGCTGCATGAGCCGCCAGTCTCTCCTTTTGTCTGCTTCTATCCTTGAGGTATCTCTCTGCCTCGGGCCGCATGCGTAGAATCCTCAGAATCATATCGTCGCTCGGCTCCGCCTGCGCTTCTTTACGCTTTTCCTCCTTCGCTTTCTTCATTGTTCCCAGATTGCGACTGAGCATGATACTCTTGCTTCGCCGGGTGCTAGGCACTCCCACCAAGCTCGCCGCTCCACTGAAGGAGTGTTGGGCAAGCGTTGCAGGCGCAGACATGCGATTGAGCTCTCGTGTCTGTCTGGCTTGTTGTCTGGCTACTGTTGCTTTGGCCATGGATTCTGATGTTCTGATCAGATTCTCGGTTGACTCAAAGTAGAAGAAGTTCAAGTTCTGTAAGTCGTGGTACTTTGACGACTTGAGGATGTCTAGTGGCACTCCGTGTGCTGTGCCGTCTTCTTCATCAACAGCATGGAAAAAGTCAAACAGCATTTGAAGCCATTTGAAAACAATATCCAGCTCCTGTTGTGTCAACGGTCGCTGTTGCGAGGGTTTGTCGGATAGCGGAGGCACAAGCAACGACTCAATCGTTGTCAGAACCTCCTTCCAGAGTCGTGTCATGACCATGACCATTGCCGAATCCGTCAGCGTCTGTTTCATGATCGCAAAGTTATCGTCGAAGTAGGTAAAGAGAGGCTTCAGCGCGTTCGAAATGTCAACCGGAGTAGGGCCTTGGATGACGGACTGCGGTCTTGCCTTTTGGAAATATCCACGGACCGTGTTGATAGATATTCCTTGACTAAGGAGACCGCGAAGAGCTCTGCGTGACAAAACTTGTTGGATGTATGAGGATAGCTGGATGTGGTCAGTATATCTCCGCACAAGACAACCTTGGGTTCATGCTCACCTTGTCTGTAATCTTGCGTGTCATGTCGCGCTCGCTTCGCTTCAACGTCCGGAAGGCTTTTCCAAAATAGAATTGAATGTCGTCTCTCTCGCCTTCCATGCTCACACGTAGCAACAATCTGCCCTGGGTATCGAGGTCCAGCCAGAACTCCCGAGGCATATAATCACTAAAGTGCGAAGGGTCCAGTTTCAATGAGGTTCGGCCAACGCAATCGTGATCGCCCAAAGCATCCCAATCCCATATAGTGGCGATGATGTTCAGGGGACCCTGGGTACTAATGTCAACAGTTTCGTCCCAGCGAGGATTCAGACTGCCGTAGACAATACGAGTCTTCGCTAGGCGCTTTTGGTATTCGTCTCCGAGAACGACATACGGGTCGCTCAAACCATTCATGTCACACGCCTTCAAGTCTTCGGCCTCGATGATCTTGATGGTGAAAACGAACTTACTGGACTGACGAAGCTTGACGGGGTTAATTGGAGGCGCATGTCTCTGTATGACTTCTGCACAAGCATCTACGTTAATCTCCTTTTCTAGCTTGTCTAATTGGAGTGTCGTGTACTCGATGTTGTTCAGCTTGACGAGCGACTCGGGCAAAAACTGGAACGGCTCGACCTTTTCCCTATTGGCCCATGTGTCTTTTGCCATCTGGACCCATTTCTCCTGCCTCGTCTGACGGGAAGCAGCTTCTTGTTCAGGGGTCATGCGGTCCATCTCTTTGACGAACTTTTGCTCGACAAGTTCGCAGTATCTGGCGATACCGACACCGATAGATTTCGAGATAGCTGTCATGAATTTGGCGTATTGTAAATCATCGTCCCATTCAAGCTTGATGATTTGATCGATTGTTTGACTGAAAGAGCGGAACATATCAACAGCAGACACACTGTGCCGCTCTTCGTCTGTTGGAACATTGCCCGGATGAGATGTACGGACTCTGAAGTCATCTTGATTGACCGCCCCCTCAACCCAGCTCAGCATGTTTGCATCTGTCATAGCAATCCAGCGCCATACGAAGTCTGCTAGAAGTCCCTCAATGTGGAATGCAAATGGAACGCTAGGAAGCGCTTGAGAATGCACTTTGCGGATACTGACCAGCTCCTTGTACAGATCGAAACCGTCTTGGACAGGGACATCTTCGCCACGTCCTCTGACAACCTCGATTATACGCGATACCAAGTCTCGAGCATCGGCGGCAAACGAGGGTAGAATTTCTTGGACCAATGCGGTCAAAGGATTTACGCCCATGATCTCAGGATTCTTGCGATAGCGTTTCTGGATCTTGTCGGCAAGTGTAACTACCGCTTTACCAAGCTGTATGACATGGTAGAATTCCCAGGATTCTGCGTCTTCGGGGACGTGTTTTGAGAGCATAGCATTGTATGCCTCGCGGGCTTTCTGTCTCAGAGCGTCGTGCAGGACTACTGTAAACTCATCCAGGTCCTCGGGTGTTTTTGCAAACAGGGGGTCGTCGTAAACGTGAGTCTCTAAGATATACATTGCTGGGCCGACAGAGGGGGGTTTAGGCTCGTAGCAATGCTGTAAAAGCTCGAAAAGTTCCCTGAGCAGTGCATCATGGATTGATGAAAGAGACTGTTGTTGAAGTGAGTAGTCGGATATTGTCCACTTTGTCGCATCAAACATGGTAGAAGGAGTCATTTGACTCATGCGATTCGCTTTCTTAACTTCAGCTGGAGGCGTCTTCGCATACATGAAGGCGGCATCTAGGGTGTCCAAAGTGATTTCTTGACGATCAAACTTTTCTCTGATGACGTCCAAAAACAGAGTCATCCTAGAAGTTTGGGGGACGCGCCATCGCATGGCCAGCTCGTTGAGGACGTCAGTCGACTGCTTTGAGAGAAGTTGTATTTCAGGACCATCTGCACCCTCAGCCTCGTCGTCCTGGAATATATCGTTGTCCAATGCTTTTCTCAACACGGCGCGGTAATAAGCTCTTGGATCTGGAGGAATGTATGTGAAGGCAGCGTCATCACTAACCGATTCACGCGGAGAATTGTTCAAGCTCAGCGCGCTCATGTCGAAGGATTGATCTGCTGAGTAGGACGGCTCGCTATCATCAGTCGATGCGACTGGGGGAGATTTGATAGCGGCTGAGCCAGTTGTGCTCTTTGCCAGTTCTGGGTTGGATTGAATGATGGCCAGCATTAATTGTGAAAGGTCCTGAATCTCGGCCTTTTTCCAGGCCTCGTAGGCGTCTTCGAGTTGGAAGTCCTGACTGCCAAGAGTCCTGCTGGAGTTCAAGCTGAGGTGCATCTGGTATAGTTTCAAGTCTTGTATGGCAGCCTGTTCGGTCCAGACGGTCTTGTGCGAATCAATGTCAGCCTGGATTTGATCATACGAAGCACCAAAGATGTTTGCGATACGAAGGACAAGCGGCATGTCTTTGACCTCTGAGCTGCGGGGGACTTCGACTTCGATGGTAGTACTGCCCGAAGCCTGGGAGGTGCTGGTGAGATCCTGAGCATGTACCAGCAGCTTACTCTCGAGCGTCTGCAGGCGAGAAGTGAGCTCGGGACGATCGCGCGCCCAATCATCCTTCTTCAGAGTGGAGCTGATGAGGCGTACGAACAGAGCAACATGGCGGTCGACCATGAGCTTCCAGGAATCGTCCTCGGAGGCCTTGCCTTTCTGCAGCTCGGACGTGGCTTTGGAGAAGAAGATCAAGAGCAGATCCTCAACACGGCGGTCCTTTTCCATGGACTTGCGAAATGTAGGGTTCTTGAACTCGTTCAGAAAAGTGGCAAAGGTGCGCTTGACAAGGGGGTCGTTGTATTCCGGCATGCGCTCTCTGCCGACGAGGACGCCGGTGATGCGCTTGTCCAGCTCACCAGTGAAGCCATGCGGTAAGCGGGTGCTCTTGGAGTCACGGATCGAGGAAAAGTCTTTGACCAGGTCCGTGATGGAGGTGGACGAGCGCGTGATGGGCTTGACGGGCTGGGAGACATGTTGGATGCGGCGGGCCTTGGGCTGCAGGAGATGCGAAAGGTAGGCGGTGCGTACGGCGAACGAGTAGGCGTCATGCTCGTCGACGAGTCTCCGCGAAGGCTGCAGGCTCTGAACACGACGGCTGGTAACAGACGAGCGAGCCGAAGCCGGCGACATTGGGAAGGGCGTTGTTGATCGGACGACCTTCTGGACTGCAACGAGAGTGCAACTAGAGTGGCGGCTTGTTCAGGCGGGCATGTGCCATCAGTCGGCAATGGCGAGGGGCCTGGTACGGAGCAGGTTGGTCGCCGTTGGAGATGTTGTTTTGTTGTCGTATCCGTCGGCAGCGTCGATGTATCTGCTGCTTGTCCTTGTCCTTGTTCTTGTTCGTGAAGCAGACACGGATACAATCAGGGCGCGACACACGACGGCGCAAGGTGGAAAGAGTAAGCGTATTGTAATCGTCTCTCTCCTTTCTCAGACCCTGCCCGACCACAGCTTACCTTAGCCAGCGCCCATCAGTCGTCATACTTAATTGGCTGTTCCATGACCCGCTAGACGATGGCCCGCAGCACTCGCCGCGTTTCGGTTTCAGCTTTTTCTTGGCTCTCACTCTGTGACAGTCGCAGCTAAACACGCCCCCTCCCGCTCCATGTCAACACTCCGTACGCCTCTATCCAAGGCCAAAGCAACTGCTCGCCTACCTGAAGTAGACATGTTGTATTTCTCTCTAGCAAAGCCTTAGTTGGCTCACAAAAAGACATGGCGACCAAGCCTCTTTCCGCTTCTGACAGAATCCTTGTCTCTGCCATGCCATGCCTTTTTGCTGACACGTCGATGCTGCTCTCCACTTTGCTGTCGAAAGCTCCTTCTCCATCTGTCACCTGCCTCATACCAATCCCTTGAACTTTCGATTTACTTGCTGCCAGCCGCCTGCCTCCCCGATTCACTTGAGATAACTTGCCTTCCTCTTAATCGCGCGTCCCTTCAGTCTTTCCTTTTTGTGCTGTTACTTGTCCGCCTCTCTCCAAGATCAACCCTTTTCCGTTCCCATTTGACCACTACTCACAAAACACCGTACCATCTCATTACCTCTCTGACATCTCGTCTTCTCTTTGCGCTTTATCTTTACGATACACGCCTTTGCGGTCTGCCTTACCGACCATCTACCTTCTCCACGATCTGTCCTCTACTATCTGCCCTCTACGATCTGCCTTTCCACAATCTACCCTGCTTTCTTCCACTGCCATGGCCAACAACAATGCCGGCGCCGCCAACTTTGCCGACAAGCCTCGTCTGACTGAACAGGAAAAGAAGAACAACCACATCGCTTCAGAACAGAAACGCCGTCACGCAATACGTGAAGGCTTCGACCGTCTTGCCGAGATGGTCCCTGGAATGGCTGGACAGGGTCGTAGCGAAGCCATCATGCTCTCAACCACCGTCACGTACATGAGAGCTCAGCTGGCCAAAAAGGAAATGCTCAAGGATATCGCCGCCAAGTTGAACGTCAGTGACGGCGACTTCGAGCAGATGTATCGTGAGGAGCGTGCCAGGATCAACCAGACCTACGATCGCACCTGATCCTCACTTGCTCCGCCTACACATGACTCCGAACCCACGCTCGTCCACATACAGCTCGACTCGCCGGTATGCTTTTCTCGTCACTTCAGACTCAGAGTCACATGCTGATCACCATTGCCAGTTACACGAAGAACTACTACACCCATGGTATTATAACGCCGTCGCCTCTTGATGCCCTCTTTTTCGCAATCAGATCCAGCACAATCTTACCCACCTTTCATCGCATCTGCCTATCACATCTTTGCCGGCAAAGAAGACTACTTACACCACATGGTTGCCCGGCCTATCTTGCAGTCGCCATCCATCGCTTTGGTATATATATATCATTTTTTGCAGCATTATCGAGCTCGATTTTTAGATATGCTTTACACTTGCGGTTGGAAGCTTCAGGCACTGCTTTCAGGGAGGCACAGATAGTCGGTCTACTCATAGTCATACTCGTAACCCGTACCTGACAACAGAACATGGCTTCTTGCTCCCCGCACTCTTGATTTTCCCGCTTTACCAGTGAAGTCTCAGTCATAAGTGATCAGACGCAGCTCGTCAGTGCTCATGTCTCGGATGGTTTCGAAAACTCGCCGGCATTCAAATTCCTTGAAAAAAACCTTGCAGTGGCACTGACAAGATAGACTTTGTAAACAGGAACTTGGAAAGCAGGAACCTCAACCTGGTTTGTCGCCATGCAGAATCTTGAGGATCTAGGCTCCAATACGCCATGGAGCGCAGTAAGGTTCGGCCGTTGAAAGACTTGCAGGAGAACCAAGTTCGCACTTGTTCGGCAAAGGCGGATAGACTCGGACACGTGTGTTGAAGCGTGTCGCATGCAACTGGCGCAGGTGGCAGCTGGTCGATCGACAGGCGTGCATTCGTTCACCACATTGCGGAGGCTTCTCGATCGAAACGGCCTGCAGCAAGGACTGTAGAGAAGGGTTGATGCGAGTCTGGTAGAAGGAAGGACTATCAATTCGATATTCACCGGCTGCCTTTTTCGTCCAATAAGGCTTCGTGTAGGTTCTGCCACGGTCCAAACGGTTGTCGCCGAGTTTCGAAGTCCACACGAGTTACGGACGTACCGAGTCAAAGCGATGTCTTGCATTGTCGATCGCTGAGTTGCAGTTTTTCTGGAAGACACGCACATCGCCGAGAGTGGGACTCTGATCCTTCTCAGCAAGTCGTGATCCAGGGGGGTAGAGCCGGCGACCGGTGTCATGCAGAATCATTAAACATGCAGTAGACGGTGGCCCTGAACCAGGCGGAAATTGTCCAAACAGCAGAGCGACTCGCCCCTTGGGCGGTGCTTTGATTGGCATCGTGGCTCGAACATTGTACAATTTCATCAGGCTCGGCGTAAATAAAAGGTGGTTCGGTGGTGGTGCCAGCACAAGCCACCGATAGCCGTTAGAGTCGACGTCTCCCGGGGTTCTAGTGCATGCCACGGACGATGCGGGCGACTCATGATCTCGGCCTTGGGGCGTTGAAGCCTCGTCGTGCTGAGCCCACGGCTCTTTGACATAATACTGTCTTGCCCGTCGCCTCTTTTCAACTATCAAACCTCAGTTGCAACAATCACTACCTTCAAGTGTACGGAAAGCAAGCATCAGTTGCCATACTCGGCTCGCCACATCCAAAGATCGAAAGTCTGCATCATGTTCGAGAACTACACAGTGACGGCATCGCGTCATCCCTCGTCGCTACCACTCTCCAATGATGGCTTGTTCGGACCTGGCTGGACTGTTCCTCGCACTTCCTCACCTTGCGAGTCACAATCATCAATCACCCAACTTTCGCAACAATTCAGCGAAATGCGCTACACGTCGCAACCATTCTTCTATCCTCAGCACCAACAGCCCAGCACCGAACGCGAGTCAGAATCCCCATTGCGCTCTGCTGATTACGTGGGATCTCTGTCTCCGTCAAGGAGGCGCGTCCAAAGACAACACGGAGTACGGATGCTTTGCGACCCGTCTCACCTCCGTAACATCCAGGACATGGTGAACAAGATGGTGGAGTCAGGAGACCAATGTGCCGTCTCACCGGCGCGCGCTTCAAGTCCTGAATCTACACCATCCCAAGCGGACGACGAGGGCTACAGCAGCCTTGACGAGAAGCGACGTAATGGCTCGATATGTTCGGTCTCATCGGCGGGATCTGCTGCATCTGTTGGATCCACGCTGGTTTTCAGACGCTCTGTGGACTCGATCACAGGCGCCTGCATATCGAAAAACGTCCGCGTCAAGAAGGCCCGTAGCGCACGTGGCCTTCCCAAGCAGTCGTGAGCAGCTCTTGAGGCATCTTGGGTATTTGCGGTGGACGGAGTAATTTGTGATGGGTTGGGGTATGGTTCCCTTGGATGATTGGCGCGAAGGCATGGTGACGACTTACGAATGGACATGGGATTGGGATGGAACGGTCAAGAGATGTGGGCGAGTAACAGGCATTGAGCAGACGTTAATCGCGGTCTGCTGGACACGGCAACCTAGAAGATTTTAATAATAGCCACGAATGACACTTGTCACTCATGCGCAGCTGACAACTGCACTTTGAATTGGTTTGGACTTTTCGAGTTGTGCTTGTGAAGGGATAAATGGTTGTTATGCGAGCGTAGCATGGTGAGCAATGAGCAATGAGCAATGAGCATGGCCGAGTCTTGTCCAGGCTCGAGCGCCAAGACGGGTGCGGAGGAAGGAGCCTCGGAGCAGACAGAGTACGGAGTACAAGCAAGACGAGCGACTTGATACTCGTACAAACCGACAACAAGTCGCACTGGAGAGAGACGGAAGCGGCAGACAATGGCGAGCGGCGCCCTCTCAGGTCTTGTCAGGCCAATCGGCAACCGCGCGGTGCACTTGCGTCTGCACCCCCGTGTCGAGACGCTGGCCGAGAGTCGTGAAATCCTCCGACTGTTGCAGCAATTCGGACGAGTCGACGTCTTCCGAAACTTCAAGTACGACGCACTGTCAATGCCCAACACGATGATTGCCATGTTCGAAACAGAAGAGGCGGCGCAAAAGCTGCTCGAGGCTTCGCCGCTGCGTTTTGTTATGCGACCAGAGGAGTCTGCTGCACCGCAACCGCGCCACTATCAACTGCAGGTCAACGCCTCGACCTTTCACCACCGTGATCAAATCGACCAGAACGCTTACAACGGCGCCTTCAAGGTCTCGACCAGGTGTCTCATCCAGGAGGACCTGGTCAAGAAGGTTCCTATGCCCGGCTTGAGCGAATTCACCTTAAGAAAGGAAGAGAAGCCGTGGAGAGTGCTGCAGTGGGAAAAATACAGAGAGGACTCTCAGACAAAGACTTTGAGGCAGCTGCTGGAAGAAGCGACCTTGCCGAACCACTCCGACAAGGTCAGGACGACCGAACACGACAAGTCGCACGATTGATACCACCATTAAATCTGCCAAAAACATCAAAATATCAAAAGGACGCCAGAACCAATCCCAAACACTGCTCGCCATCATTGCTGTGCGCATCCACCCTGTTCCAGTGTGTGCACTGCCTCGTCCAAACTGACTCCACTCTGGTCTTTCTCTGCCCAATGTCCGACAATCACCGCCTTGGCCAAGATCTTGTGCCTGTATCCGTCTCGAGCATTGATGAGCCGTCCTCGCACCTGGTTGCGAGGCAAGTGTCGCAGCTCTGGTGCAACACTATGATCCACCTGATTTTCTTCACGTTCCAGAATTCTCTCAGCCATGACGCCGCCGCCCTTTCTGTATGCATAGAATGGTTGCGCACACAGAATCCTGGTCAGTGCCTCATGAGACCCTGGGACTTCCTTCTCCGCAATCATTTTTTCGATGTTCGAAATGTCCACGAGCGATCGATCAATCACTTGACCCTTGAAGGTATTTCCGAACTGGTAGAGCACTGTGTTGCCATTCTTCCTTATAAGCGTTGCGAAACTTGCAGCAAACGACACGATTGAAATCAACCTTTGCGTCATCTGTTCGTACCTTCCTTCCGTGTATGGTCCAAAATCGAGAAGCGGCCGAAGTATTTCGGCAATCTGCACGCCCAGCTTAAGGGTGGCAAATTTGCGCTCGTGAGTCTTGTTGAAGTCCATTCTATGGTGGATTTCGTAAGACGTTATGTACTCGGCGCGTTGCTCTGCTCTGTAAAAACCTGCTGCTGTATTAGCTGGCATGTGCTTTATTAAATTTGTCATACACTGTTCAACATACCATCTTCGTTTTCTTGCTGTAATTGCATTCGTTCCAGGTAATCGGACACTTCCTGAGGAGCTCCAAATAACAGACTTCCAAAGACGTGCATCACCAGGGCCCTGTGAATGATGCCGTAGCCGAGTCCTTTACGATTATCGGGGTCGGAGACGATTTCTACCCATTTTTCATTATCACCGCCACCGTCAGCGACAGCTCTGGAAAAGTTCAGCAACGTTCGTCGCTCCTCCGTTTTCAGCGATTTCAGCCACACGTGGACACGATTTCCGTCGCTGAAACCGAGATACTCGTTACATAACCCCTCGATGCTGCCTCTCATGGTGGCTATTTTGTTCATTACATCGCCGTCGAGCTTGTTGTCTTTATTCTCCTGAGGCGTTAGGTTTTCTGGTGGAGTGGATTCGAAACCGATGAAGATGTTCCGACCTCTTTGGAGTGTCGTTTTGGCCGGGCTGGTCGTTGTCTGAGGTGGGTTCGGGCCATCTCTGGATGAAGTAGCTGTTGCTGTGCTGCGCTTGGCCGGGCTTCTGCTACGTGTTGTTCGGCGTCCGGTTGCCGAGTCATGTCTAGAGGGGCTGCGACCGGTCGAGCCCATGGGCTGTGAGAGACCTGCACTGCGGAGTTGCTGTCTAGACGACCGGCCGCCCAGATTCTCTGCGTTCTTCTGTTCCTCTGCGCAGAGCTGAGCGGAGGCAAGGGTGTCGTTGTCGATATCGTCCATGACATCTTCACGAGACCTCACATCACCTTCGGCGTCGTAAATCTGATCGATTGAATGCTGCACAGCATGACGCTGGAACGATACATTCTTCTTCGGGGGGGAAGCAGTTTGAGGTTGTGTTTGCACACGGCGCTGATTACTCGGCACCTCGTAGTTGAAAAAATCATCAGCTGGGTCTTCTTCTTCTTCCTCCTCTTCTTCGTTGAAGTTGGAAGGGTATGTTGCTTTGCCAGTTAGAAAATGCATGATGGGAAAAGTCTCGTCTGAAACTGGTCTGTTGATTCGTGATGAGGGATGGATGCTGTTTCTGAAATAGTACGACAGCTGCTCTGTTGAAGGTTTTGCGGTTTGCGGTTTGCTGATTGTATGCATGTGTTGTTATTATTTTCATTCCATTCCATCCCGTGCGCAGATGATCGGAATGTTTGTATACTGCAAGGAATGTGCAATTAATGCAAGTCCAGGGTTGCCCAGTCAAACTGAAAGAACCACAACGACATGTTTTCCACTCATGATGTGCACAACCCTCTCATAGACTAACGATATAGTCGACGCAATACCAACTTATTCTATCCAATCACCTGCAGAATCCCCAGGTTTTGCGTGCCCCAACTTGAGGAATCCATGATTGCTCTCGGCAGAGGCAAACACCGGACTACCGACAGTACTAGTTTTGCCAGCATCGATCTTGCTTTCCAACATCGTTATAGTCTTGGGCGATACAGGGTGTGAGTCGATCACCGCTCGTGAAGTGAGCGTCTCAAAGATTGTAGCTGCAGGACCTGCCGGTTTCTCGACAGGAGATAGGCTGAGGAACGTAGAAGGTCTTCTGGACTGCTGTTTCGTCGTAGGTATGTTCACAGGAACCGAAGAAGTCATGATGTCTTTCCTTCGAAATTGATGTTGTTGTTGCAGTTCTGGAGCTGACTGATGATCGGTGACGCCTAGGTCACAAGAGCTTCCAAGTGTGAAGGGGCCTCGAAATAACGAATTGAAGCTCGACAAAATACTCGATGCTACGTCTCGAAAAGAGTTGGTGTCCTTTCAATCCATGCTGGGCTCGCGGAAGCCTTATAAACTTACAGAGGAACTGACGTGCGCGAGGTTCCCCGCGATCTTCACCTTTACACCCACCCATCCATCCATCCATCCAGATAGTATACTTACATACGGACGAATGGACGATAATATTGCGGATGCGGGGTGATCACGCTCACCGTGTGTGGAATATGACTGTGTGACAATGACAAGGTCAAGATGTGCAGAGCAAGAATAGATGCGAGAAAGTGCTCAGTAGGTAGCTGACTTTGCCGACTTCCTAGCAGTCTATTGGCCGTTCCTACGCTCGTGACAATAGTACCTATGATATCAGCCGACTGTCCTGACATGGCGGCATAGTGAGCGAGCTCAAACGCTGGAAGTGCAGACCAGGTTGGGTCGCAATTTTGCAAAGCGTCGTCTTTGGGGGAAAACCCCAGCGAGAAGAACGTTCGGATGCATCGGGACATGAGTCAGCAGCGCATCTTCCTGTAGAGCTATGCAGCTGGGGTTCGTGAGGCATGTGAAGTACAGGTCGACGTGTTCAGGATAAGCAGGCATTTTGCTTGCAGACATTGCAATAAGCTACGGTCGAGTAGCAGCGGATTGGAAGATGTCATGGACGAGAGTCCGTCTACTCTATATTGAAGAGGCAGTCAAGTCTCGCTAAAACAATCTGAACGTGACGACCATGCTCGCGATTGTCAAACGCACGTTCCCTATCTAAAATGATGTATATCCCGTCGTAGACTGATCCGAGCACAATGTCGATTGCGCAAAGAGTCAAACGTGACATCTCCAGTTTGAAGAAACGAAAGAATGTGAGCTGTGAGCCTGTGAAACGAGGGCCCACCAATTTGTTTTAATTGCTCGCTACAGGGCCAAGCAAGGGAAGCGGGGCAGCCCTCGTGGTGGAGCAACGCTGTAGGCAAACCTCTGGCCGACCAAGTGCTGTCGTCAAGGGCTTGTCGCATTGTTGACCTATACGGATAGCGAACTTCGCGGTCAATTTCCCACGGGGCCGTCCGTACGTCTGAACAGATTACAGAAAGTCGCATGACGGGCAAGAGACGACACCAGCTTCATCAGACCTGAGAAAGCCACAGTCTCGAGCCGCTAGGAGCTCGATTGTTTCAACCGAAAAAGTGAGGGGCGCCCTTTTTTGATGACGGACACGGCATGCGTAAGCGCAAGGATAGCCCGCCAGGTATGCTACCCAGTCGTGATGGTAAATAAAAAAAACCGTCGTACAACACACGGGACAGAGTTCCGACGGCAACAGGGCAAGCATAAGACAACGAGAGCACAAAACAGAGCGGCAGGGAAAACAGAAGCCGTTGCACCATCTGTCAACCCTCAGGACATGAATTTGTTGGCGCGCTTGTGTGCAGTAGTCGGCTGTCAAGACCTTCGGCTCGCGGGTACCCGCTCGTAGTCTGGGAGGACCCTTGCCTTTTGATCGCCATCGGGAGGGAGCGCATGCCTGCGGGTCTTCTAACGGCTATCCATGTGTTGCAAAGCTGGTGCAAACAGTGCTAGCATTTCGTGAGACTATCCGGCGGGCTGGTTGATTTGCCCTTTATAAGACCCAGCGCAGGCCATCGCGAGTCAAAAAATGTTCATCCATCGTGTGTGCACCCTCTCAAACATCTCTTGTCCTCGTCAACTGCGGCAGATAGTGGTATTTTAGCCAGGTCGGTGAGTACGTGATCGCCGATAAAAGCCTTCCAGCAAACCTAACCACTACCTCCCAGAGTCGAACCTCCCTTCCAGAGCTTGGCCGGTCTCCACGATTGTCGCAGACTGCAACAAGACATCCTTGCCCACACCACTATCGTTCCTGGACCCCTCCGTTTCAGCAGCCAACAAAAACAAACATGTGCACGAAAATTGTCCATGTCTTCAAATGCGGTCACCAGCAAGTGGACCTGGCTCCCTGCGCTGCATCAAGAGTCGCAAAATGTCCCAATTCTCAAGACAAAAAGATCAACCATGACCAACGTTGTTCAAATTGCCGAAGATGACAAGGTGAGGCTTTCGTTGTTCGCCTTGACTTGGACGTCGCTAACACGACTCAGTCTCATTCGGATCGCCGACTATGGTACGGAGTAATGGAAGGAGAATGGCCTTCGTTGAAGGAAATGTTTAATGGTCTACGAATCAGTTGTTGGCAAGGCTCCAGGCGGCATTGACATGGTTTCGTTCTTTTCTTTTCTTTTTCCATCTTTCTGCTTCATTGAAACTCATGATGGATATCATTCCTCGGCGTTCGGCAAGTCAAAAAAGGGCAGGTTTAGCGCGGCGTATGGTTACTTGGGCGGTCAAACCGTCCAGCAAGTATTGGACTTGAACACTGCAGAAAGGTTCCATTCTGCTCCGTATAGTGTAGTCTCTCGCGTAACATGACGGTCACAAATCCTCTCTCGCCATGAAGAAAAGAGAATGTGTCGCTTGGGGGGGGCAAACATTCGACTCCTCTGTCTCACCACCCGTGTATGTTTGAGAAAGTCCGAGTGGAATGATCAATTATGCCGTTATCGAATTCGCTATGATCAAAACCGACCTGCATCTGATACGTACCTCTTCCCCATGTCATGATTCTTGAGTTGTCACAAACAAAGCAGCGACTGGCTGTCAAGATCCGGCACGGACCGAGTGGCATTGCAGGATACAGCAAATGGCTGCAGCGTGCAGCGCGCTTGGGCAGCTTTCCGCTGTCATGCCAAAGCCTTAGGAGAGGTGAAACGTGGCTGCAGGGACACAGAGGCACCTATCCTTTTGGCCCAGAGGTTGATATATTGACACGAACGAGGAGATTTCATGTGAACAATTGCAAATAGCCGAGTTGCTGTTTGGCTGCAGGATGCGAGACAAACATGTAGAAGTGTCGGTGAGTTGAACGAGGTTCGTTTGGCTGGGAGTGGGGAGTGGGCCGAGAATCCGCCTCGACTTGCCTTGGTCCCGCAGCGCCCAAGACCCGACGTCTTATCAGTTCTGACGGCAAACATGTCGATAGAAATCAACTGGGATACCCTCACGACTGGCCCTGATGGCGAAGCGCTGGCAGAAAGCATCAGAGCCTTCATCCATGACCGGTTCCAAAAGATCGCGCTTCCGCGTATGATACGTTCCGTCAAATGTCACGCCTTTGAATTCGGCAATGTCGCCCCGACTATCGAGCTCAAGGACGTCTGCGATCCACTACCGGACTTTTACGAAAACGACGCAGATGACAGTCAAGAAGATGACGAGACGCCTGGCCGGCTCGACGAAGGCCAGCACAACGTTGCAACCCCCAGAGTCGATGAAACACGTCCTCACTACCAGCACAATGCCTCGTTGAGCCGTGATGAATTTCACAATCCACGATTGACAAATTCTCGAGAGCACATGGGAAATCCAATTCTATCAAGAACAGCTACTCCAGGAATCCTAGGAGGCACCTCCAACCTGGGCTACTTCCACTTGCCGCTATCGGCGGGACTCTCAGGTACCACGACCCCGTTGGCTGCTGTAGCAGGCGCACAATTTCACAATGCGCGACATGGCCCTTCTCAATTGGCTCAATCACCAGAGAGCAACTACTCCGACAGCGAGACACGGAACCGCTCGGCCTCATTCGGTTCTCTGACCCCTTCCTCTTCAAAGTCCTCCTCGCGTCCAACCTCACGACATTTGGATTGGCCCGAGGAAGCCACGGAACATGACGATCATCACTCTGAAACCTCACATCATGGACTTGGGGAGGAGCAGGAACGTAGTCCAGAGGATGTTCAGATGGTCTTTCACGTAGCGTACTGTGGCGATGTCAAATTGAGGCTGACCGCCGAGATTTCACTGGACTATCCAATGCCGAGTTTTGTGGGCATTCCGTTACAACTCAACATTACCGGTCTCACATTTGACGGTGTCGGAATATTGGCATACATCAAGAAAAAGGCACATTTTTGTTTCCTTTGTCAGGAAGACGCCGAATCTCTGGTCGGTGGGTCTTTGACAGGTGAACACGAGGAGCACAACAGTCAAGGAAGTGCACCACAGGGTTCACGCAAGCTAGGAGCGCTCCTGGAAGAAATCAAGGTCGAAAGTGAGATTGGTCAACGCGAGGGAGGAAAGCAAGTTCTCAAGAATGTGGGGAAGGTGGAGAAATTCGTCCTCGAACAGGTGCGTCGCATCTTTGATGACGAATTTGTGTATCCCAGCTTCTGGACGTTCTTGGTTTGAGAGACAGCTGTCACTGTCTGGGCCTGTCTCAACAGCAGCAAGAGAAGGGGTTGGTTTTCAGGACCCCATATCTCGTGACATCTTACAGTGGAATGATTTCATGGTCTTTGCTCTCCATTTCTTACGCGAGCGACGAAAACGAGAACAAGTCATATTTTCGAACCCCTGAATTCACTCCCCTCTTGACACCGCTTGTTGCGGATAACTGTGAAAGCGCATTCTGCAGGTCCCAAGGCTTCTCGCAGGCTGCAGCTGTCAAATGCAAGCCTGCTGGTGTTACAAAATGCGCCCATCGGTCGATATGGACGGCTTCTTGGTTGCACCGCAGCTGGTGATCACGGCACGCTCACCCGTTCAGGGCCAGCAAATTCGACATTGCACACGGCGAATATCTTTGCACACATTGTTTTTCGCTGGGCATTGTGTCCGTGAGTGGACAGTGAAAGAACAGGAACAACATGATACAACTGACGCGTCTTCTTAGCCTGACATGCTTGTGTCCATACCTGTCAAAACATATGTGCTTGCTTTGGTGCTGTACACTGCTGAATCGTACCGTAGTGTGCTAAATGTTTTGCTGAACATTGGAGATGTGGCGCGGCGCTTGCAGCACAATTTTTTTGACATTGACTCTGCTTGATTATGAATGGTACAAGTTTTGATTCCGAAAATGGGATAGCGCACAGTGAATCATCCGATTTGGTATTTCCAAACAGACTATATTAATAAAATGGTATCCATGACACACGTGTAGCATATTAGACGCCTCTCATTACTAATAAGATGCCCAACCTGAGGCAACTTCACTTAGTATGCCACCATGCTAGACAGACCATCAAGCTCGCGCTGGTAGTTCTTGTGCTGAGAGATGGCGTAGGAGAAGGCACTGGAGAAATCTTTGGCGTTCTTTACAAGATCGATAGCGTCCTTGAAAGTGCTGGCCTCGGTCTGAGCAGCAGTGACAACGCCGTAAGAATCGACGACATTGTTGCTCTCTGAGAATTCGACACCGGGAAGAGAACAAGCGTCCTGTACGAACTTAACAGCCTCGCCGGTAGCGCCAATAGCTTTGAGGTGGCCAAAGGCCTCACGGACGTAGTGCAAGGCACGCCCGTTCTTGCGGAGAGTGGCAATGCTGTCAGCTCCACCGGGAATGAAAATGGCATCGTACATTGTTGAACGCTGACCCTCGAGGTTGTGGTCGGGGGCCACACCCTTGCCAGAGTCCTTACTTTCGCCAGCAGCGTAGATCGGAGTACGACGGGGAGCAATGGTGAAAGGAAGGGCACCTTGAGCCGCCAGGGCCGCTTTAATGGCGTTGTAAGCAACAGCGTCGTAGCCATCGGCTATCAGGATTGCCACCATTCTAGTTGCGATGGTCAGATTCTCTGGAGGAAAGTCTTCTTGACTCAAGCCCTTCGACTTCTTGCCGTGATTAGGACGGCCAGCTACCTCAGGGATATCGGCTCCGACCATCTCGGCAACGCCCTTGGCCAGATCCAGATCGATATCGGCGATTCTCTCGACCATGCGCTTGTATACGATTGGATCATCGCAGTGGTCCAGCTCGAAAGAGAGTGCGTTCATGATGTGCATCTTCTCATGTTCGGACATTGAGTTGTAGAAAAGCTGTGCTTGGTTGTAGTGTTCACGGAACTTCTTGCTGCGGAGGCGAGTCTTCATGCCGGAAACCTTCTGGGGATAGTCAACATAGCCACCCTCCTGGGCAGTAGCGGGCTTGGTGGCCTCGAACCGGTTTGGCCAGTAGTTGACCGTTCCCTTGGTGATTGTGGTGCGATGTTTGCCATCTCTGTTCTGATTCATAACAGGGCATACTGGCTTGTTGATAGGTAGCTCCTGCCAGTTGGTGCCTAGGCGACTGAGTTGAGTATCAGAGTAAGAGAAGTTGCGACCTTGCAGCAGAGGATCATCAGAGAATCCAATACCAGGAACAACATGACCAGTGCAGAAGGCCACTTGCTCTGTCTGAGTGAAGTACTCGTCTACGTTACGGTTGAGCTCGAGTTCGCCAAGGTATCTCACTGGGAATTCTTCTTCGGGCCAGATCTTGGTAGCATCCAGAGGGTCGAATTCGAAGTTGTCAGCTTGGTCCTCGGGGATGGTCTGGATACCAAATTTCCACTTGGGGTACTGTCCTCCCTCAATCGCGGTCCAGAGATCTTTGCGATGGAAGTCAGGATCCTGGCCGGCCAATTTCAGAGCCTCGTCCCATACAAAGCTGTGCACACCGAGATGAGGCGTGAAGTGGAATTTGACAAGATGGCGCTCGCCTTTGTCGTTGACCAGAGTGTATGTGTTCACACCGAAGCCTTGCATCATCTGAGAGGAGACAACAAGTTAGCATGGCTCTTGTTTTTGTAATGGTGTGCATGCCCGTGTTCGGCGAATCCTGTAACATGCACCTGTCGCAATGCAGGTATTTCTCCAACCCGGTCAGATGCCTATTGAGATCACCAGCACCTTTTCAGGCAGCTGAACTCTTAAGAGACACTTGAAATGTGTCAGGTAGTGCTCTACAGTGTGATGCTCGAAGACTGGGCTTCAAATCCCATATCGAGACCTTCTCTGGTAGAGGTTCACCCATAAAATGAAATGTTTGTACACTTACTCGGTACGAGCGGGGGATACCTCTGTCTGACATGGCCCAGAGGAACATATGGGTCGCTTCTGAGCTGTTCTTGTTAGTCTTGCAAGTGCCACCTTTAGTCTTATGCAAAATAGCTTACTGGAGGTATTGGAAGTCCCAGAAATTTGAATGCGAGCTTTGCGCCTGCGGGATCTCGTTGTGAGGCTCGGGTTTGCCAGAGTGAATCACATCTGGGAACTTGAGAGCGTCCTGGATGAAGAAGACCGGAATATCGTTTCCAACGATGTCCCAGTTACCCCTGCATACAAGGGTTAGCCAGCAGACCTTTGTCTAGTCTGGGACATACAGACTCTTCTGTGTAGAACTTTACTGCGAAGCCACGAACGTCTCTGACAGTGTCTGCACTGCCTCTACTTCCCAAGACGGTGGAGAAGCGAACGAAAACGGGAGTGGTGCGTGAAGTATCTGTCAGGACGCCAGCAGAGGTAACATCTGATGCATCCTCGTAAAGCTTGAACGTTCCAAAAGCACCAGCTCCACGTGCATGTACCACTCTCTCAGGAATTCGTTCGTGGTCGAAACGGTGGATTTTCTCACGAGAAGAATGGTCTTCGAGTAGCATGGGACCTGTCTTGTCCTCTGTTGCAACTTTGAGCCAGTCGTCAGTATTTGTTTGCTTGACACCGTAATCGGTAGTGATCCTGTTGTTCGAGTCCTGGTAGTTCCTGATGTTATCCTTCATGGCCAAAACTTTGGCGTTCTCAGAGGGCGAGCCAGTGACGGCCTCTTTGACAGCATCTGCAATTCCTGGTGCCATTATGATTGACTGATTGATTGATGATGTGAAAGAGCAAAAGAACAGCTAGGCAGATTTTTATTTTCTGTGGGAGAGCTCCCTTGTTATACACTCCTTTTCTAGCAGCTTGGACAATAAACACAGCTTACCAAGAAGTGACGTGGATACCACATCATACCCTCCGCCTTGTTATGATTGGCAAGGCACGCGCATACCAGCTTTGACAGCTCGCGGCCCGCTCTTGGTAACAGTACTATCTAAAGCCGCGTAGCCTCTTGCAACGAGGTGGCTTGTCAGCTCTACCAAATAACCACAATCACCTACCTACTGTCTGAGATGGAATCGACCATTGCTCACTATCATTCTTTCTTTATTGATGAGCCCCATTGTCAAGCATACGTCAGAGCATTCAATTATCGGCGATTTCGTATATCTGATTAGCACAATGCGGAGAAGGCCTGCCCAATCAGCAATCACTATATGTCAAGCGACTCGCAATATTACGGTAAGCTCCGTTCTCATTCAAGTAACCAGTGAGGCAGCTCTCTTCGTATAGGCGATTTGGCCTGAGGGTAGGTGAGCCATGAACTGCCGAACAAAAAGTCAGTCAGATACGTCTGACACGACAGGGCCCTGTCTAGACTTAGAGCTTGTTCGGTTCGGCTTCTTAAGAAGTAGTTTCTTAGTTTATTTATAGATATTAGTTAATAAACCTTGCTTGTTCGGTTTATAATCTTTTAAGTACCTGTTTATAATCTAGTTACTATATAGAAGCAAGCTAGAGGCGTATCTTTACTTAAAGTAGTAAGGCTCGCGTGCCTAGACACGATAATTGTACTTATTTCCTAACACTGCTCGAGGGCAGCATCTCGCTAGAAACTAGTCGTTAAAAAGCTATGTCGTAGCTAGCAACACTAGTATAGAGCTAGAGGAGCACCCCGTCGTAGACCCCTAGTAGGTTAGAGACATTAAGATAGTCGTCGAAGATAGAGGAAGCCTTTATCGCCGTATTAATGGAGGCTAGAGGTAATAGTTAGCGAGCGCAGAGTAGCTCGAAAAAGTAGGTCCTTATAGAGGCCGTTAAGGCGGTTAAGTTAGTGTTACTAACTATAAAGGGCGAGCCTTAGGATAGGACGCGGGCATACGCCCGTACGTTCTTAGCGTCCGTATATTCTTTATTAGATTCCGCACATTCGTAGACTCCTTCCTACTTTTATCGAACCTATTAAATCTTAACCTACCCTAAACCTCTATATATACGTAGTTTACCCGTAACATTAGGTTCGATCTAAAAAACATAGATAAGTCCCCCGTTAACTTCGCTCTAGAGTCCCCTATATACTAACCGGAGGCCGGAAACACTAAATAGGAACCGTCGATCGAAGTAATATAACGAGTAGTAGAAGAACTATATAACCGATAGTACATAATAGAAGCTAAGCTCCGTAACGAACGCGTAGCCCGCTATNTCGCTTTCTAGATAGAAATCGCCGGATTTACCTAAAGAGTGTACGCGTATGTAGTTCTAGGTCTAGCGTTCCTAATAATACTAGGGAACCCCTAGAAAGCGCATAATAAGATCCGGACCGCGCTAGAGAAACGCTAGTACTACTACGGGAGACTAGAATAATAGGTTAACGAGGGCCGTAATTACCGGGAATACTAGGATAATAGTAGCTTTACTACGGTAGCTACCGCTTCGTCTAAGGACATTAAAAAGTTCCTTAAGCCTAAGGAATACTTAACGACCGAGGCACTAGAGAAGTCGCTGCCGCTAGAGCTTAAGGATATAGCTCCGCTATTTAACAAGCGGGAGGCGGAGAAACTGTCGCTATATAGAGAGGGCATTAATTACCGTATTAACCTCCGGAAGAAACCCGACGGAAGCACCTTTAGTCTACCCTAGGGCCCTCTATATAGCATGTCCTAGGAGGAACTCCTAGTCCTAAGGAAATCGCTAGATAACCTACTAGAGAAGGGGTATATTAGACCTAGTACCTCTAAGGCTACTACCCTAGTGCTTTTCGTACGGAAACCGGGCGGTAGACTAAGGTTCTACTACGATTATCGGGCGCTAAACGCGATTACTACGTAGGATCGCTACCCCCTACCTTTAATCGCGGAGACCTTACGAAACCTAGCTAGAGCTAGGTAGTTAACTAAGGTAGACGTCGTAGCAGCTTTCTATAAGATCCGAATAGCGCTTAGAGACGAGTATAAGACTACGTTCCGGACTAGGTTCGGGTCCTTCGAGTAGTTAGTATGCCCGTTCGGTTTATCCGGGGCCCTAGTAACTTTCTAGCAGTACATTAACACTTTGCTCTAGGAATATCTAGACGATTTTGCATCTACCTACCTAGACGGCGTTATTATCTATTCGAGCGGCTCGAGAGAGGACTATTTCTAAAAGGTAAGAGCCGTACTCCGGAAGCTATAGGACGAAGGCCTATACCTAGACCCGGAGAAGAGTAAGTTCGCTTAGAAGAGGATTAAATACCTAGGGTTTATCGTACACGCCGACGGAAAAGGAGTAGGAACTAACCCGGAGAAGGTAAAGACTATAAGGTCTTAGAAGGAGCTAAAAACATAGAAAGAAGTACGTAGGTTCCTAGGCTTTATAAACTACTATAGGATGTTTATACCGAACTTTTTAGAGGTAGCCCGGCCGCTTACCGCGCTTACTAGGAAAGGGACACTATTCTCCTAGACAAAAGACTAGGAAGTAGCGTTTAATACACTAAAGGAACGCTTCTATACGGCCCCGGTGCTTTCTAGGTAGGACCCGNTAACGTAAAAGATTTGCATTATAGGGATTAATTAGGGGTAACCGACACAAAACTTATAGAAAAGCACAAAAACACTTTAAAAATAATAAACAGAAAAAACAGCGGATTTCATTTAGTAGGCTCCGCCTAAAAACTATAGGAGAACGGCTTAATTAGCGCGGCGAGCGCCGAGAACGAGGGTAGGAGGGACGCTACTAGTACTATACCGGTTAGCGACGACTTTTAACTAGAGAACGAGAATGCACTTACGTCTAGCCCTACTAGGCGACGACGTCGACTACCGAGGTAGTAACCTCTAAGGCGAAGGCGCTAAACTACCGTAAGCCGATAAAAAATGCCTAGAAAACGGTATAAACATACGTAGAGAGCAGGCTAGCGGCCTAGAGAGGCTTAAGGGCCTTATAGGCCTTAAGCACCTTCTTAAGGTCCTTATAGGCCTCGTCGCTAGGAAACTACCGTAAGCTAGTAGAAAAACGATAGAGAACGAAACATACCGAGCGGCATTAGTAGTAGAACGAGTCTATACCGAGTAGGCGATATAAGCTATTTAAGGACTATTCGGTAAGCGGTAGTTTTATACTAGAGAACGGTATAAATATATAGATTATCGTAACGAGTGCGAGTAGTAGCGTAGCGGGCGTAGGAGCAAGAGCGAGCCGACTATAAATATTAGTTCCCTAGTTAAAAACTATTAGGAAGCGAAAACCTACGGACTAGTCGATATAGTCGACACTAGCCTAAGCGTAGGCGAAGCAGTAAATGTAAGACATCTAGGCCTAGTAAGTTTTAATCGGAAAGCGGCGTAAAAGTTATAGTAAGAGTAGTATTAGCGGTAGGTATAACGTACGTTATTATTGTTACTACTATTATTATTATTGTTGTTACGTAGGAGAAGGAAGGTTAGTAGAAGGAAGCTAAAGGCTAAGGGTAACGAGTAGAGGCCCATTATAAAGCTACTATTATAAGTAAAGCTTATTATAGTCATTATCGCTATTAGCGACAATATTTACTACGCTAAGCCGGCCTTTCTAAATAGAAGGCTGCCTATAAAGCATCGGAGGCAGTTATAAAGGCAACTAGTAACGGAGAGCGTCGGGTCGCGAGCCTTTACTAAGGGCCGCCGGATACGGTAAAGCCTAGGTAAAGGGAACTAGCCGCGACGAGCGAACGTTAAAAGATAGTATATACTATTTTCGGAGCGTAAACCGGCTAGTTCTAGAGGGAGGGCAACTAGAAGGGGAGGGGAGGGGGTAATATAAAGGGCGAGCCTTAGGATAGGACGCGGGCATACGCCCGTACGTTCTTAGCGTCTATATATTCTTTATTAGATTCCGCACATTTATAGACTCCTTCCTACTTTTATCGAACCTATTAAATCTTAACCTACCCTAAACCTCTATATATACGTAGTTTACCCGTAATACTAATACCTAATCTTGTCGAATTTACGAAGGTTAAGAATAAGGAAACGACCTTTAAGGCCTATTACTAGGCATAGAAGGAGATAATGTCGCGATCCGGATAGGGTATTAACTAAGATACTAGCCTACCTAACGCGGAAGAGAAGGTTATAGACGACTACTTTACTAGTAAGCCATCTATAGTAAAGTATTAAGACTAACTATTAAAGCATTAGAGGGAGTTCTAGCACTTATACGACGACGTAATAGCGACTAGCTAGCATGCCGAGACTACCTCTAAGGCTTAAGTCGATACCGACTTCCTACTAGATCCTAATCTTATAGCACTTCTATTAGTTAAAACATTAGTTAAACCCTCGTTAGATCCGCTATCTAGGGACTTACCTTCCTCGCTATTACTACCGTCGTCTCCTACGCCTTCCTAGCGCGCGACCTAACCCCTATTAAGCTATTAAGCACTTAAGAGAGTAGTAGAAGAGTAGGAAAGACAGGTAAAACGGACACTAGCGGAAAGGATTAGTATAAACTTAGGACGACTAGCTAAGGCGCTTAAGAAGCTACTAGTAGTAAGGGCCGCGAGCCTATTCTTTAAAGAATTTAAGGACATAGAGCCGTTAATGTAGGTCTCGATTACGTAGAAGTTAAGTAACGAGGCGACTACGTAGTTGTTCCTAAGTGCGCCGAAGTTAATAAGAGTCTTCTATGTCTCTTAGTAGCGTATAGAAGTTAAGAAACGAGTAATAGTTAATAGATTAATTAATGTAATTTAGAGGGTCTCGGAGGATAGCTAAGAGCTAGAAATGGCTAATTCCTACTAATATACGCTTCGTAATCCTTCTATATGTTACTTATAACCTGCTCGCGTAACATGTTTATCTTACTTAAGCCTCTAGCTACCCTCTTAGCCGCTTAAGAGCCTCTAAAGTTATTGCCCTCGTCCTTTATAGCATCTAACTTATTATTAGTTAGGTCCTTAGTAGCGTAGGCGCGGTCGGTCTTATTTATAAAGTTATAAAGACCTACTAGAGCGTATACTAGCTTTACCTACGTACGTATTAAGAACTTGTTCGCTATCGACGTAATCTTAAACTAGTTCTTAAATATACTAAAGGTTCGCTTAATAACATTACGTAGCTACGAGTGACGCAAGTTAAATAGCTCTTCCTTAGTCTCTAGCCTTTTTCCTACTTCTAACTACTCGCGTAGATAGTATCGAGTCGACTAATATAGTATTAATGTTATCTCGGAATTAATATAGCTAGTATTAGTAAGGTAATACCTCTCTTTACTCGGCACCTTAAAGTCTTTACCTCGCGCCGAACTAAGTACTCGACCGTCGTACGTAGAGCCTTCCTATCTAGCTAGTATATATAGGAAGTTCCTATTAAAGTCATATACTGCTAACACGTTTTATAATAGGAATCCCTTCCTATTTCGCTATAGCGCTTACTCCCCTTTAACGTATATAACGATATAAGACCCGTCGAGGGCACCTACGCACTTATCGAAATATAGACTAAACTTTAGGTTCTCTAGTATCTTTTTAGGCACCTCGGACGACTCTAGTATAAGCTAGACTATAAAGGCCCTATATACAGATTGTAGGGCGGTTAGGACTTAGTAAAATATAGTCGACACGGTGTCGCGCGAGTACTAGAAGTGTTCTTAGACGATCCGAAACCGTACGTTATATCTAACGATATATAGGAAGATAACTAGCTTTTACGTAGATAAGATAAACCGACCCCCTTATAGCGGAGGGTTAGCCTTAGTCTCTAACTACTCTAAGAGCCTTTTAAAGGTATGCTTACAAAGACGGGTAAAGTTAAAGAGCCGCTACTTGTTCCCTTAGTTACGTAGGTTAGTAGTTAACTCCTCGCTACGAGTAGTAGCTAGATATACGCTCCGAACACCTATAGGAATTCCTCGCTTATAGTACTATATAACTGTTAATGTAGCGGCAATAGCCGCGACCCTCTAGAGGTGTTAGCGACGAAGGCGAGATGACTCCTTAATAGGCATTAAGATAGTATATATAGCGTATGTGGCCCTTTAAAAACTCTGCGTCCTCTAGAGACTCTAGAGACCCTAAGAAACACCGTTAAGAAGCTCTATATAGCTATCTGACCGAACAGGACTAGTTTATTTGAGAGTAAAAAACTAAGCTAATCGTTACGTATAGGAAGCACGAGCCAGAGCAATAATCCAAGGTTTAAAATTAGACCCCCTCGCCGAACCGAACAAGCTCTTACCGTATGATCCTTAGCACATCATGCATTGATCGGGATCAATCTCCGTAACAGCTGAACAAAGTTGACAAGCCATGAGATTAGCAGTGGAGCATGGCCGCATAGTATGGCTTGCGATCTTCTCCAGCCTCCCCGTGTGCTAGATTTCGTCACTTTTGGCCACCTCTCGCGATCGTGACTAGGGTCATCTCAGATTAGTGCAGCCCTCTACTGAGAGTGCGAAAGTTGGCGCCTCTCAGTGGAAGGCTGCTCTAATTTCAAAATCATTGTGCATTTCTACAGCATGCGCGTGACAAAGTTCAGCACACGGGGAGGAGCAGCCCGAGAACTCACACTAATTCCGCCCATTGAGCTGACAGACTCTTCTTCGGCCAGGGATCTCGAGTGCTTGAAGGTCTTTCGACATGCTTAAGTAGAAAGTGTAACTTACTTGGCTGTTTATACTTTCTTATCGGGTTGATGTTTGCTTACAAGTAGCAGGAAGAGTCGTTGTGTCAACTCTATATCCACGTGCCGTCCATGCGGCTCTTGACCAAGGTTTAGAAGACTCACATTTTGGCTTTTCATACCCGGAAATGGTTTCCGGATGAGGAGAAAAGGCCTTTCGGCATAGAGAACAGATGCAAAGTGTTTGAGCATCGCTTCCAGGCTATTCCGGGTAACAAGATATACATACTCAATTCTAGTCGAGAGTCAACGTAAGCAATAATCAGAAAAATGATTGACCCCGTTTATTCAACGGAGAAAAGACGAAACGACTTGACCGACGTTCCTATCGTGCATCGCAGATGCAAAAGCGATTGGTCTCTTTCAGATCATGATAGTAAGGACCATAAGCATAGCGCCTCTTGGCTCGCATCCAAGAGGGATTTCGACCACAACGTATCTAGAGCCTTCGCCGCGACTGACTCGCGAGCCCATGCCAGCCACGTAAAGTGTCCTCTTCTGAAGTCACAGGACCTGGAGCTAAGAGCGCTAGCTGTAATAGGCTAGAAATATTCTGATATGCGTACGTGCGAGAGGCAGCGCTTGTGAAGAGAGGTTGATCTCTGGTACCGTGTATCTCGAATGATCCACGCAAATTGAGCTGCGCGTCGTCTCGTGCCTCCTATGAGACACAGCATCTAATGAACCGCAAGAACGAGGATGCTGTCTGTCGTAATACATCCACCTCGATCCGGGTTTCGAATTCGAGCTTTTTCTTTAATTGTGAGAGACTTGATAAACACTCATGTAAAGCACTTCTGGGAAATGATTCCTGCCTCATGGCATAATGGATACAGCATGACAACCGCAAGGTAAGATTTTGATCTGAAATTAAGCAGTTCTCGAGAGGCGGTCTTCGAAGGACTTGCTTCTTTGTGAACAGGTAGATTATGTCTAACAGATAACAATATGGACAAGAATTGCGTCTAAGTAAGTACAGTAACGTGGAAGGGGTATCAATTTCTGTGTAGCGGGTTGGAACATCGGCATCGTAAAATCAGTCATCATAAATTGGGGAACACCCTCCTCAGCATCTTACGTGCCTTTGAAGTTCTATGCTCGGGCTCTTCACTTGCGGAGCTTTGGACTCCTGACATGGCTAATGCTCTTCTCTGGGCCCATTCCCTTCGCCCGTGACTCATCGTTGGAATGGACTGACCCGCAGTTGGTTGATTGTTGCCGGACATGGACCCCATCTCTACTGCAGCAGCTTGAGATGGGATCGTTGTTGTCGTTGAGTTGGTGGGAGGTGCTCGAGCATGCCGACCAAACAGCATGATGTTGCTTGCACTAGGAGTTGGAGGCCCAGCAGCATGACGAGCACGAAGGGCTGCAGATCGTCGAAGATATCTTTCCCGTCTAGTCATCGCGTTCGTGATCTTGCCAGGAACGTAGCCTTTGGGCAAGACTGACTGCTTACACAAAGGGCATATAGAGGACGAGTCGAGCATAAACAGATCAATGCACTCCGGGTGGAAGATGTGTCTGCACGGCAGCTCACGTACTTGAGACGCTGACTCGGCAAAGTCATCCAGACAGATAGCGCAGGTGGGCTGTTGAAGCGGAGGTGGAGCATGAGGTGCTCCTTTCTCGGGTACAACAGGATCCGGAGAAGAACTGTAAGCGTACAATGGCATCCGATCAATCATTTCCTGCGGCACAGTGAGCTTTCCCAGACCCAGGGCCTCGATGTCGACTTCGCCCCGTGCTATCCTAGCACGCAGGTCGTTGCGTCTCTTCCTTTGTAGGATGTGCATGGTGAGCGATAGTGCCCCGATGAGCACCAGCAGGACGGCGAGAATGATAAGAAGAAACACCCAGATGGAGGGTAGGTTGGTGCCGCCACTACCAGTGGTGACCTCCATCAAGAGGCGAATGTAAGTTTGATTGCTCGGGGCCTGATCAATGGGCGCATTGGTGTCGTTGGAAGAATTGCGAGCCATTTGCTCAAGAGTCATTTGGCCAACCTGCGAGGCAATGGCATAAACGGGATAGTTGATAACCGACTTCCAATGACCTCCGTCCCCCAGGCTCCAGGCAGCGTCATGGGCTGATGGCAATGCCATGGCGCTGGCATTTGGAATGTAGAAGACGAAGGCAGTGATCAAATCCGAAGGAGCAGCATTCAAGTAGCTGAGTGTACAGGCGGGAGAGATCCAGGGGGCAATGGCAATCTTCGGGGGGACCATGGGAAGATCTGAATATCTTGTGACATTGTCAGGCAGGTATTGGGCGCAGACACCATCGAGGTCTGGAACGTAGAGCAAGCCTGTGCTCGGGGGCGGCGAGTAGCCACTATTCAGAGTACGAACATTGCCGCCTTGTTGGAAGCTGAAGGCGTTGGGGGCATAGTCGTAGTTGAGGTCATGGCTAGAGGAATTGGAAGTTATGGCAATGGTGGATATGCGGAGGCCTGTCATTCTTGGCAATACTCAGTGCGGAGACCAAGGCTGACGAGGTTGAGACGACAGGCAAGACAGCGGAGCAGAGGAGCGCAGAGGGCTGGCGATGAGCCGACTGGAGAATCAGAGCAGGAACAGAAGCATGGACAAAGGCGAGGCGAGGGACAGTGGTTGCAGACAAGACGAGACGGGCAGGAGTGACGGAAGACCAAGGCCGGGTGCCGCTCTCGCAGACGGAAGTGCAACGAAAGTGCATGGCGGGTCATGGGCGAGTCGCGGCGAGGGGAAAGTGGGAAGCGGCGAGCGTCATGCGCCTCTCCGGAGCCAAGCACTCGCACGGACCACGCGATATGCGGAGTTGCGGGTGCTGAGGCTCCTTGGCTGTTGCTGTGAGGGCACTCGCGAGTTGCAAGTCGCAAGCCAAGCAGAAACATCAAGTCAACAGCAACCATCCATGTACCGGCCGCGCCATCATGGCTCCCTCGTCCAAGAACACGGCCTCCTCAGGGCGCCCGCGTGAAAAGCGCTCGCGCTCGCGCGCCACCAGCCCGACCTCTGCCACTGCTACGGCTACTGCTACTGCTATCGCGCTGCCCAGTAGTGGATCCACGCCCTACCTCCACACAGCCCATTCGTCTTTGATGGTGCCCTCCAATCTGTCCATCGACGCTTTGATGGACAAGCACGCCACAAACTCGACCAATCCTCCTTCAGCCTCCAGCTTGCACGCTTTGCACGATAGCATTCACTCACACGTCCTTCCCAACGTTCGCTCCCGCAGCGATGCTTGCGACCGGAGCATGCGCGAATTGTCGCGGAAAAGAAAAGTCCGCGCCGACCAAGAACTCGACAGGGAACGTCAGGAAGAGGAGGCCGAACAGCGCAAGAGGGTCCGCCTCTCCAAGAAGAACGACTCGCACCGCCCTCCTGCCGTCGGCGCCCATGGCCTTGCGCGCCAAGACGGCCAGGACCTCCACAAAGACTCTCCGCCGCCCGATTCTCCGTCTGCTCAAGTCGCTGCCGCCAAATCAGACCTCGATCACAATTCATCATCTCCCGCTCCCTCGGATGCCGAACACCAACCTCCTCCCGCGCCGTCCATCGCGCATTACGAGACATTCGGCAATGACCCCACTCAATTCGACGACCCCACAATCTATCACATCCGCGACTGGACTCCAGATATGTCCGACGAAGAGAAGAAGGCCATCTTCTGCGTCGCTCGCTTCCCCCACGATGACTTGCACGACTTGACGCCAGGCACTCCGCCAGACATGGACTTCAGCAGTGCCAAACCCGCCAGTCAGATCAATTTTTCCACCTTCCAAGCATACGTTGAGCCATACATCCGCCCTCTGACTGAAGAAGATGTGGCTTTCTTGAAAGAGCGAGGTGACCGTGTTACACCCTACCTGATTCCTCCGCGAGGTCCCATGCCATACACCGAAGTATGGGCAAAGGAAGACGGCGTGAGCCACCATGACTTCAACCTTCGTTTGGCTTCCAATGAGCCTAGAGGAAACATTGAAGATATGAATGACGATGTTGCCGAGACAGCTCAGATCTCGGCCGGTCCGCTGATCTCACGCCTAATGAGCGGTTTCCGTCACGATCCTCACGTTACCAAGGACGACCAACCCAGTGGAAATGGTGATGTTTCAATGACAAATGGAGAGAGTACCGCTGGCGGTCAAGAGAATGAACAAAATACAAATAACGAAGAGGCATCAGATGCAGTCGCCTTGTTTAAGCCCGCAACGCATTTCCCTGACCAACATAAGATACCGCTCAACGTGGGTCGCGACTTTGCTCCTCTCGAACAGCGAACATTACAAGAATTGCGTTACTGTGGATTTGTCACACCCGAAGCAACACCAGATTATGACTCGCAATACGATGACGAGGTCGCCGCTCGTTTGCGCTACTTACAGTCGGAACTTCAGCGTGTCGCTCAAGAAAACACTGCTCGGAAAGCACGAGTGCTGGAACTGACCGAGGAGCGCATGGCTATGCAAGAATACTCAACCATCGCCGACGATCTGGACTCCCAGATCAACACCGCCTACTTGAAGCGTAACCGCACAATGAGCAAGCCGAAGAAAGGCACAGGCAAGGGAAGACCAGGTGGTACGGGTGGCGTGGCTATTAGCAGGAACTTGGTGAGTGAAGGCGTCAAAATGCTCATGGATAGAAGGAAGGAATGGAGAGAGCTCATTGGTCCGGTTGTCGATTTTGGACAGCAGCGGATACCAAAGGAGACTGTGTTTGACAAGGAAAATATGGACAGACTTGAAAAGGTTGAAGCCGATGCTGGCGAAGAAGAGATAGAATAATTGTAGAGGTATCCGAATCAAGGCATTGCTAGCACGTGCGAAGCATCCGGCTAATTGACATTCTGCATCTCAATAATGCTCATCATCGTGAGAGCTTTTGACAGTGAGATTGGCTTTCGTTCGAACATTGCTTGTCCACCTATTCGACATGACAGCCTTAGTAACGTTTGTCGGAAATAATTGCAGTATAGATCTATAGGCGGTATCAGATCCGACTCGGGGATGACTCTTTTTCCGTCGGCCGTGGCCGATGTCTTGGAAGGCGGAGACTTTCTTCAATAGTCGTCCACTCCCTCACTTTTCCTCAGATCCCTCTACTCAGCTAACTTCATGGATTGACTCCCTTATCTGTCTCTATTCTCATTTGGTAATCGCGGTCCAATATCGTGCAAGTCAAATGACAACGCCTACGACCCATGGCACGACGCCAGAACGTACCACCTCCAATGACATATCTTCTTTGAGCCCGCCAGTTGTGCCATTGACCTACCACGGTTCTTCGGATAATGAGAAACCGCACTCGTTGTATCGAGACATAGAATCTAGAAGTCTCGCAGATGAGAATGTCTCCTATCCAGAAGGTGGCAAAGGCTGGTTGGTGGTTTTTGGTTCCTTTTGCGGCATGCTTGCAGCTCTTGGTCTCATGAACTCAATTGGTAGGCGGGAGCACTCGCAGTTGAACCGAAAGCAAGTCCACTGACTTTATCATCAGGTATCTATCAAGCCTATGTTAGTACACACCAATTGTCCAACTATTCGGAGGGTTCCGTATCCTGGATTTTCAGTGTCTATTCCTTCCTATCATTCTTCTGTGGTGTCCAGATCGGTCCTTACTTTGATGCCAAAGGTCCGCGATTACTGGTCGCCGTTGGAAGTGTGCTGTTGATAGCCTGTACTCAGCTACTAGGTATATGCACAAGTAAGTCTGGAGAACATCATTGTCCTGAAGGGAAACATCTAATTCATATATCAGAATATTGGCACTTCATGCTTTGCTTTGGAGTGCTTGGAGGTATTGGTACGAGCCTCATTTTCACCCCTGCTGTTTCCAGTATCTCTCACTGGTTTCTCTTGAGGCGTGGCAATGCGACTGGTATCGCAGCTACTGGGGGTGCTGTCGGTGGAGTCATCTTCCCTCTCATGCTGCAGAACCTTTTCCCCAAAGTCGGCTGGGAGTGGGCAACACGCATCCAAGGCTTCATCTACATCGGTCTCCTCCTCATGGCGAACTTATTCATCCGCTCCCGTCTCCCACCCAAGCCTGGTGGCAGTGTCTTGCCAGACTTCAGGATCTTCCGGGATATACCTTTCGCCTTGACCACAGTCGGGGTGTTCTTCGCCGAATGGGGACTGTTCATTCCAATTTCATATCTCACCTCCTATGCCTTGACTTCGGGTACGTTTAGCGAAACGTTTGCCTATCAACTCATCGCCATTTTCAATGCTGGCAGTGTCATTGGAAGATGGGCACCAGGATATCTTGCAGACAGAGCCGGAAGAGTGAACTTGATGATCATTTGCTTGATTCTTTGTGCTCTGTCGTCAATGGGACTCTGGCTTCCAGCGACAGTCCTCTCCGCGTCTGGCGAGGGCAGCGACTCGACTATCCTAGGCTTGACTATCACCTTTGCCATCCTCTTCGGCTTCGGCTCTGGATCCAATATCAGCTTGACGCCTGTTTGCGTTGGACAACTATGCGACACTGAAGAATACGGTCGATATTACAGTACTTGCTACACCATTGTATCGCTTGGTACGCTTACTGGTATTCCTATCGCAGGAGCACTACTCGAAGCCTGCAATGGTGAGTATTGGGGATTAGTACTGTTCACGGGATTGTGTTACATCATCAGCTACGTTGCGTTCTCATGGGTCAGAGTAATGAAGCAGGGATGGGGTTTGAGAAAAGTCTATTGAAAAACTGCTGTGGGCCAAGGGTCTTTGATTTCGTGCTATGTATCGGAAGATGTTAGCACCACGCTACAATCAGCCGGGCTATCCGATCTAATGGCATATCTATAGAGTAAGTAGACAATTGACGTAGATGTAGCGGCCCAGATATCGCGCCAGAACCGAACTCTCAGCCTGACGAGGCACCTTGCAAAACAGCGGTCAAAAGGCACAATTCTTTTTGGCTCGATGCAGCTGTCCAAGGAAATCGAGAAAAAGCGCCACTCTTAACCACCCAAAGCATCCTGCCTTTTTACAACTAGGTTAGAAGCCTCCTGGTGGACCAGGACTTCAGTGTCGGGTCAATGTCGCTCGACCTCCAACAGGTCGGTCAAATCCGCTACTAACTCACATCAACCTCTTCGACAAATCAACGCAAAGAGGCACGGCAACCCATCTACCGCGCCATCGGCCGACCGTGCCATGTATCAGACGATATTAGCACCACGCTCTAACCAACCGAGCGCAACCGACCTGCCCACACCCTTTCCACACTCTAACACCTACCCTCACTGCCATGGCATCTGCCACGTCGAATTGTATCCAATAATCTTATTGGGTAATGGTTCGCCAAATTTCATCAAACAGGTCGGTTAGCTCAGTTGGTTAGAGCGTGGTGCTAATATCGTCTGATACATGGCACGCCAAGGTCGCGGGTTCGACCCCCGTACTGACCATCAACATTCTTTTGCCCTGCATGCCTCATGTTTTGCCAGGATTCTCCAGGTACCAAGTCTGCCTGCTTACCTTGGCTACGGTTCTCGTTTTGCGGTCGGTATGTGCGAACACAACGAGCTCAAGCAAGATAGCTTCCCTTGCATCTTTTGCAAAGCGGTGGATAGTTAGTCTCTCTTGTCTCCACCGATCGTTGGACCGATACCTAACTTCTTACTCGTGGAGAGCAACGTACCTATTACATGATCATGCAATCTGAAACGCACTCATGGATGAGGTTATTCAAAGTCGTAACCGGTCAGTTCGCCAGGAAGAGTATTGTTAGTCTTGCTAGACAAAGACAGGGTCTCCCGTCAACATACTCAGACACGCGAAATCGACTTGACTTGTCAAAAAGCTCATGCTGTCGACAATTCAGGAGCAATAATGGATGTCTTCACGAGTGTTCATCCAAGTAGCTGTTCAAATGCATAGGAACTTTTGGAAATAGAGCTAGGTCGATGGGGGGGAAATGTCAAGTAGTCACTCTCTGTGGACGACGTGCTTCTGGTTAAAGACATGCTACATTTCGGAGGGTCCTTCGCTGTGTATCACTGCAAAAGAACAGTCGAGATGACAAAACACAGGCAGAGGGCACAGACATTCTAAGAACTTATATATCTCGCGGTCATGCACAAACTCGATCCGACAACCATCTCGTCCGGATTGGCATCTCTAACGCTACAGAGGGAGTTCATGTGCCGTTCAGGGAGCATCATGTAATCAAATCTGGAAAAATCCACCTCTGACTTCAGCTTCTTCCACGTCGAATCCCATGACTGAGCAATAGAGATCTTTCAACCACCTCCAATCTTCACTTCTGCTTAACCACACAACCGCTTTGGCGACCTCTAAAGCAGTAAGACTTCGACTAGGCATCGTTGCCGCAGATTGCAGACTTTTATCGGCAGTGACCAGATGTTTATAATGTTCGAGTAGCTGAATTTGCCATGTCGAGTTGCCAAATGTGTTCGGTGGAAGTGATTTGACGTACGAGGAAAGCGACTGACCAGATGTCCGAGAGAAGCCGGTGTTGATAGCAGCCCTGAGGATAAGGCAACGCAAGCGAAGGAGATGCTTGCCGTCAGAGTTTGCGCGTGCGGTGGATGAAGTGCGCTGCGAATTTGCAGACTCTGAGTAATCGCTCAGTGTTGATGCATTACTGGACCATCGGTCGTGATGTTTGGCTCCCCGTGCTGAGCCACTGGAGCTTATAGGGGGAGCGGGTCCAAGTACCAGAATGTTAGGTACGTCGACTGATTCAGGAGACGAGGCTGTAGTTGCGTCGTCGAAGATTGTGGTAGGCGTTTCTGGTGGTAGCGATGGTGCGTCGTGATACTCGCTGCTAAGACTGGAGGGAGCTCGATCGGATTGTCCAGTCGAGTAATGCGACACTGAAGGCGGGAACCCAACTTGAGTAGGACGTGGTGTACTCCTGTCGGGACGGAGATGACTCCAACCTTCCCTGAATATATCTGACAAATCCCAGCAAGCTTGGATAGCAGAAGCAAGCATTTCGTCAAACCTTCTTGCATCTCGACTCCCCTGCCTTAGGTTGAAGAGTGTTTCAGCCAAGGACCAGCAAGCTCTCAGTAATGCATCAGTCTCTCGAGATAGTGAAGTTTGCTGTTTCATCATTCGATGGCACAAGGTGACATGGAAATCCAGGGTTCTTTCTCTGAACGATTCCGGAAGGTTGCGATCATGTGTATTGTAGAGATGGTTGTTCATCTCGAAGCTGACTCTTAAGACAGAGTCTATAGACTCATCACCGCGTAGCCGAACATCGAACAGAGCCTGACAAAACTCACGACATGTTTCTAGGATAGAAGAGACGGTCTGGGAGCGATTATCGTATGATTCGTATAGCTGCTTGCAGAGGTACCAGCAGCTTCGCCATGCATGCTCCTGCAAACTGTCCGGTCCAGATCCCGTAAACATGCGCTGGCGGTGATTAGAGCTCAGGTTGGAAAGAGTGTTGCAGAGGGTCCAACATTCTTTTAGTGCCAATCGCAGTTCCGAAACTTCATCTTCCGAGTAAGATCGAGGCCGGGAGTCGTTGGTTTCGCCGAAGCTACGGCTACCGAGGGTCGTCTCTGGGATGTCTCCCTCTTGTCAGCGTGGATCATAGTCAGATAAGCAAAACTCGTGTACCTTCGAGACTCGATGTCCGCCGAGATCGTCTCTTCCACTCATCGTCCGATTCCTGTCGAGTTTGAGCTCGTGGAGTAGGCCTGTCGGTACCTTGCTCTGGCGGTATATTTGTATCCAACGGTAATGTGACAGACGACATGCGTTTGTCGTTAGGGCCCACAGCTGCATCAGGGGTGCTCGGGGAGGTGCTGGTGACATCGAAATGACGATTAGATGTGCTGGTGCTACTTTGCGAGCTCAGTCGGTGCGATTTATCCTAGTGAGGCTAAGCCATAGTTACAACCGGAAAGATGATGTGAGTACTCACAAGCTCTACGAAACCAGGAGGCGCATGTATCACCGACGAAGGTGCCTCGTCTGAATTGGATCGTGACAGTAAAGCGATGGTCGTGTCTAGTCTGACGAGCTGTCAAAGGCTTTGGGTCAATACGCAGCCGCACACTTTGATCCGAGGACGCTTACACTCTCTCGGCTCTGAGACCGACTGCATTGTGCTGCAGTGCCTACAGTGGTATCCTCAACCTCATCTTGAACATCCTCTTCGATGTCTGTACTCTCGGTACCATTGGAGTCTGTAGGCGAAGGCTCAATCTGTTGGGGATATGGCGACGGGGGAGGTGCCAGAGTATCTGACGTGGTTAAAGACCTGGTGAGGGTTGTCAGGACTCTCTGCGACACTGTACGAGAGATTAGACACACCTGTCGGGAAAGTCAGACTGATATAAAACAGGCGAGCTCGGAGAGTCAGTGAATGGGCTGAATGCAGAATTCAATGCTCCAGAGGACGCCATATATGCCGATGCTACGGCCATTGTAAAATCTGAATGTGAAGCCTTTCGGCGGCACGATCGAATTGGAAGTTGTTGTAACTGCAAAGAGCAGATGGACCTTCTTGACAATGCCACTAAAGCCTCATCGGATGTGAGAATAATCAGAGCGCCAAAGCCTCATGGGCGCAAACATCAGGCAGCACCGCTGTCCATGCTCTAGTGTTGTATGCCTAGATGGATAAAGTCGAGGAAATGGGCATGGCAAGGAGATTTCGTTACTGGCATGAAGCGTAGACAACACACACACACACACACACACACACACACCTTGCGGCGAAGACTCGCGCGCAACTTGCGCGGCTAACATGTACGCCATATGCGTTTGGCGGCATGCTGACACCCCAGCCAGTGAGGTTACTTGTAGAAGCGCCAGGCTTGCCCTGACGAGCAAGGATCACCTTCCCCAATCTCTACCTTTGAGGCCGCTGCATGGAACAAACTTCGGCTGCATTGTTGCAACTTATAATTGGCAAATTCAATAGTATCCGGGCTGCGCCAGCAAAGTATAGTTTTCAAAGTAGAAGTGTTGGTGGTGACCGATCAGTTTTCGTGCATGCGTGTCCGTGCACCTCCCCAATATCACCATCTTCACATGAGCCACTCGGTGCACTCGGTGCAATGACCGTCAAGAAGCACGGCAGTTTTCGAGTCTGAGCTGTGTCAAGAGGTGGCATACCAAGTAGGCGTTCTTCATGAATGGTTCTACTGAGCTAAATTGTACTGTGCTGTTTGATAGATGCAGTTCAATAACTACGACCACGCATATATATGACAGCAAGAACAAATACCAGAACACCAGGTCACGATGATCGAGGAAGGAGCAAGTATTAGCGGGCTAAAACAAGACGAAGTATGTCGGCTGGTCCGAAATAGTGATTCACCAATTGTCAGATCTAGGCAAAGGCGCCATCTCTTGCTCTTGCTGTACCATGTTCACCAGCAACGGGTCCAAAAGACCCAACGCTTGTTCCAAAACACCATATATTCAATCGTCGTCAGAAGCGTCATATGGCTGCGACATAGAACCGCCAAAATCATCTGTATAACTATGCATGAAGAGTAATGAAACGGGTATCTCAAATAAAATCAACCCTGTCTGGTGCAGGGCAATGACAGCAAATCACACTTCACCTAGGCTCCGGTCTTCCTGTCTCGTCCTCTCACGATCGTATCTCACGCGTAGTTGTAAAAATGCATGGCATCTTTGAGGGCGAATGCAGTCATCCAATGGCAAGAGCCTCTTGGCATGGCAAGACCATGACAATAAAAGAACCGTGCGGGGATCTCCACAGCTATCCGCATGTCAGACTTCGGCATCCTGGACGATCACTTCAGTCCTCCGGGTATTTCGCCATGAGCTCTTCAATCTTCGGAATCAGCTCTGGAATACGGAACGGCTTTGGCATGACATCGTCCTAGAGTAATAATCAGCACAGCGAAATCGAGATATCAGGAAAGCCAGACTCACCATGCCGGCACTCATTGCCGTCTCGATCTGTTCATTTCGAGCATTGGCCGTCACTGCAATGACTGGCACGTGGCGAAGGATTTTGCCTTCTCGTTCGAGCTCTCGAATTTTTTTCGTACAAGTCAGGCCGTCCATGATAGGCATCTCCTGGTCCATGAGAACGACACTCAGTCCAATCCTTTCTGCTTCAGGAGTGGAGTGTTTGGCGTCTGCGTCATGGTTCCAATAAGTAGACTTCCGGAGGATATCAAGAGCCTCTCCACCATGATTCGCAACATGCACAACGCAGCCCAGATTGGTGAGCTGCCTCTTGAGCACTTTACTATTCACCAGATTATCCTCTACAATCTGTGAGACTGGTCAGCACAAGGTCATGAAAATGAGGGGTATTTGGAGATAGAGGAGTTGGGAGAAGGTGTGATCAGAGACTCGAACAGAAAACTTACGAGGACTTTGATGGGCTTAGGGACTTTTCCAATGTCCTTGGCTCCTCCAGCTTTGGCATTGACCGTGGTTGGCACCTTCTTGCCTGTGGCATCACTGGCAGCGCGCACAGCTGGGCGCGCCAATCCTTCGGTCTCTGGGGGTGCACTGCTTCGTTTCGCTTTGACGTAGAAAGCGAAGGTGCTGCCAACTCCTGCCTCAGAGGCGACACCAATCTCGCCGCCTTGTAACTCAGTGAGCTCTCTACTGATGAACAAGCCCAGACCAGACCCTCCATATTGTACGTGAGTACGCGGTGAGGCCTGTGAAAAGCGAAGGAAAAGCATTTTCTTTTCCTGGTCGTTGAGGCCTCGCCCTGTGTCCTGGACGGCAAAATGTATGTATATCTCTTCACCGTCACCCCAGTCCTTCTCTTTGGTGAGGTCTGAATGCTTGTTGCGTGTGGGGAAGTAGTTGACCACGCCATTCTCCAGTTCGGAGAAGCGTTTGGTCGACGCTGCAAGCGTGACGGTGATCGTGCGTTTCTTCTCAGTGGTTGTAAATTTGATTGCGTTCGTGGTGAGGTTGATCTAGAGAACTGTTAGGCAGAGTCGTCAAGATATTGACATTGTACATACCAAGACTTGCAACACACGCGAAGGATCAAACTTTACCCAGTCGACGCCAAGGTTCTTGTATGAGTCTTCGACAACGAACTTCAGCTGTATATCGGCAGTTTGAAGCTCTCCTTCATGCATTTTCAACGCCCGTTGAGCTACAGTAAGAGGTTGTGCGTCCACCGGAGTCACCAACAGTAATTGTGAATCCAGCTTACTTAGTGTCAGGATATCGTCCACGATTCTCTTCTGATGCTACACGGACGTCAGTACAATGATAAACTAGAGTGGGTTAGGAGATGGAGTTGGCAAAAACTTACTTGGGCACAAAGAGCGATAATTTGAGCCGAGTCCACTGTGCTTGACAGAACACCATCCAGGGTCTCGTCGATGTTGTGGCCTTCGCTGAGCACTTTGTTAACCGGCGCGGCCAATTCGGATTGGCCAGCGAGGCTGTCTCGGATGCGGCTCATTGTTGTGGAAATCTCGTCTGCACATTGCAAGATAGCAGACAATGGGTTGCGCATCTCGTGCGAGGTGATGTCGATAAAGTTTTCTTGCTGTCTCTTGAGCTCGACAGCCTCCTCCATCTTGCGCTTTTGGAAACCTTCAGCCCACTTCTGCTTGCTAATATCCGTCAGACTACCGAAGACGCTTTTGAGCTTTCCGTCATCGTACTTTTCTGGGTAAGCAGAAAAGAGTACCCAGCGATCACCCTCCAACCCTTCAGATCCATGCCATTTGGACTTGAAGCGGAATGTGCCAGTTTGCGGTTTCTTCTCGATAATGAGATCATGCCAGAGCTTGTTGAGCAACTCGCGATCATCATCGTTTACAGCATTCATCCAATGATGATCCGGAGTGTTCTCTTCCCTCGAGACACGGGAGATCTCAAACCATGTGTCGTTGCAATAGGTGATGGTACCCTCGGAATTGGCTATGAACATGCCGACAGGAGCGAATTCAGCCATCCTAGTGAATTTCGTCTCGCTCTCAATGGCTTCCTTGGTACGAGCAGCTAATTGTTCAGAGAGTTCCATTCTGTCAATAGCGGCAAGTTTTGCTGCTTTTTGGCCTCGCCTGATTTCCTCTTCGAAGAGAACCACAGAGGCTAGAGATGTCGCCAGCTGTCTGTTAAGTAGCTGAATGAATAGACTGTAATCCTCGTCATACGGCCTTCGCGGATTGACGCCCATGACCAGAAATCCGAGAACAGCTTCTCCCGTGGTTGGATGAATAGGACAAATCACAACATTGCGACAGGAGTCATCAAAACCTCGCCCGCCAAGTCCTTCGAGTAGCTTTACCGGGAGGTCTTTTGTGCCGACTTCGAGCAGAACGGGTTTATCGGTCTTCATGACTTCGCGGAACACCGGACCAAGGCCTTCCATACCAGTCTTGAGGTCAAAACATGGAGTAGCTGCGGGATGATCCTCGGGTACACCCAAAGTACCTTCAAGGATACACTGCCTGTTGGCCATGACACTGCTAGAATGAATGGATGACGCATCGCTGTCAGTCTCATCTTGGACAGAGTATAGCATAACAAAAGGTGTATCGTGTTCGTTCAAATCCAACGCGGCGAGCACCTGGCCCCAGAAGCCTTTGACGTCCCTCGCTGGCGCGGTCCGCTCGCCAATCTCACGAAGAGTTATCATGCGTCGTTCGGCAAGCTTTCGCCTTGTTTTTTCGAAAGCAGGGTTGTACAATCCCATCACACTGCCATCACCACCCACCATGGGAATGATGGACCAAGAAAAGTACGTTTCTTCAAGGTAATCGTTACGCATGATGAACAGGCGGTCATCGTCTTTCATGGTTGCTTCGCCCGTGTGTAGCGCGTTCGCGAAAACGTCCTTGACATCCGGCCATATTTCGCTCCACGCATCAGAATAACGTTGTCCCATCAAAGCTGGGTGTTTCTGCCCAGCAAGCATGACATAGGCTTCGTTGTAGATAGCAACCAGTTCTTGGCCCCAATACATGGCAGCCGGGTGAGGACTGGCCATGATCAAATTACACATTTGGCGCAAGTCGGAGGACCAGCCCTCGATCGAGCCGAGTGGAGTCTTTTCCCAATCAATGCTGCGCGCGAATCTAATGTGTGGAGGCATCGAGTCGCTGAGGGGGAGGCGGGTCCAGTCAAACGAGGGACCTTCTTGACAGAAGCCAGCGGATGAACTATCAAACCAGTCAATATTGCCCGCAGTCTGGGCGCATAGTACTTGCTCATTAACAAAGGATGGATGCGTGTCGATGAGCGTAGCATCGCGAACAGTCATGGGTGATATCTTTTGAGATTCGGGTAGCGAAGAATGTGGTGAGGGCTCCTGTGACTTGTCGTCGATGGTTTCAGTTGAAGGAATTACAGAGGGCGATATCTCTGCTGTGGCAGGAGCCGAGGTTGGAGGGACTGCACTGCCGAAGTAATCATCAGGTTCTTCAAGAGTCGTGGGTAACACGGAACCAGAGATTGGTAATGAAGCTGATGGCTGTGACAATGACATGGCCGAGGTAGAGGTCGAGTTGGAAGAATGACGTCTCAGGGATGCAGCTGGAAGACCAGCCGAACTTGCGACAGCTGAAGCGCCACTTATGATGCGTAGCCGCTTGCGCAACGTCGAGCATGACCAGGCCATACCCGCGTAGACGTGAGTCGATAGTGGCATGACCGGCGGATCACTGCTGACTTGCGATCCGAGGACCCACGCCTTGAACTGTGCAGAGGTCGCTTCGTCCTGCTCTCGACTGCTTCCCATCAGGGCATTGATGAGGTCGGGGCATGAGCGCAAAGCCGTGTTTGTAAAGACAGGTCGTAACGGACCCTCTGCATTGTTTGTGCCATCTGTCAAATCGATGATCATAGCGGGACGGTCGTCATGGTCGAGAAGCTCAATGATGCCAATGGAATTGAGCGAGACATCACCGCGAAGATCGGGCGAAGAACTGCGACCGGTACTGGAGCGATCGATGGAGCGGCGCAAGGGATTCGAGATGGTACCGCGTGCCAGAGTTACAGTCTTGACATGGCTGTCCTCAGTATTCGCCTTGCTCAGCATTGTAGCACCGGCCTCGAACGAGGTGAAGCGCGGTGGCAGATGCGGACGCGGCCGCGGAGAGTTTGAGAAGAACAGCGGCGATGGGGGCTGCAGACGATTGATCGAAGGGCCGCTGAAAGTAAAGCGCTCGTGGCGCGGGAGAAGACGCGGCTTCTTGCGTGCTGGGGGCGCGTCGATGGCGTCGCTTGAGACAGACTGGAAGACGGGCGGACGCGGCGGCGGCAACGAGATAGACGAAGGCTTGGACAGCGATGGAGGGGTCGAGGTGTTTGCGAAGGTGGACGGAGATGAAGTCGGCGGGCGGGTTATCGGCGGTGGAGGACGGAATTGGTGAGGGTCAGGGTGAAGGCGCTTCTTGGCCTCTGTAGGTCTGTCGTTCTGTGGGTCCAGGCGGTCAGAGGCGGTCGGCGTGGTGGTCGGCGAGTTTCGCATTCGGGATACCTCAGGGGTGGTCGCTATGGGGGGCACAGCATGACCGTCTTCATTGCTGTCTTGAGGCTTCGATCTTGGCTTTTGTGGCGATGACGTCGGCCCGGGAAGCGACACGTCTGCTGCAGGGCGTGTAGAGGGAGCAGACGGCGCGTGCGATGATATGGAGCGTGGTGGCGACGTTGTTGGAGAGGCGACAGAGTGCCTGGGCGAGGATGGTGTTGCTGCTGTTGACGGTGGTGGTGCGAGGGCGGGAGGGCGTCCAGAGTCTCCGCGCTCGAAACTCATTTACGGAGTGGAGGCCAGGGGAAGCTCCATCTATTCCGAAGCGTGCTGTTGCTGCTGCGCGAAGAGTACGGCGGGCGGCGAGACGGCGAGACGACGTGATTGCTACGAGTAGTCTCCCGGCCTGCTTCAAACCCGACACTGGACAGTACTGTAGCACGTAATCTCTAGTCCTGGACCGTCGACGATCCCCACTGGTAGCCTACATCACTCGACCATCGGGCGTTTCCTGCAACGACAAAGATTCCTGCGACCGACTCCCCGCTCACCCTCACGCTAACAACAACCACGACACTGCTCCAAATCTCCGTCTTCTCCCGCTATCGCCTGTAATATATATCTCTCTGCTCATTGGAACTTCTATCTCTCTACACGTCTTTACTGCCTTCGACCTTCATCCCGTCTCCACTAAATCGCAGCCCATTCACCTCCGCTTTGATCTTGAACAGGAATTTGAAGAAGTTAAGGTACGCAAACCCGGTGTAAGTTACGGGAACGTACTTCAATCCTCGTCTGATCCACCACATTGTCCACCTTGCTGCCCAGTCGGCCGACACGATAGCGGGTCCCATCCTGGATGAGAACGCGGCAAGCACGATGTGTCTGTAGACCACCGAATCGCTGTCGTAAAGCGATTTTGCGAAAGGCAGAAAGCGCCGTTTGGATGCTGAGTACGCTCCGAGAGATTTGCTTCCCCAGCTCGGATGTATCTCAATTTCACTTCCGACGTACCACCTGTAGTAGAGAATTGGTCAGCATGAACTCTGAAAACATCATTGGCACAGGATCTCATTCGGAGTACAAGAGAGACTTGCCGAGACTGTGCCTTCGATCAACTTACACTTCGGGCAGTTCCTGTGGGCGTCGACTTTCAAGAGGCTTTCGGTGTTGAGCAAACAGTTCCACAAGACGTCTGCTCGTCTCGTAGTTGGCTTTCATTACATCTCCGTACCTCAAACCATGAGCAAGAATCAAAATGTCTGTATCTCGGAGCGTCTTAATGCATTCTGCCGAAACTGAATCATCATCAAAAAAGTCAACTCCATACCGAAGCGCTTTGATCGACTCCACGCCGTCAGATTTCAGCTCTTTCTTGAGTGCCGCTCCAAAGGCGCCGTTCACCCCGGTCATAGTGATACGTTTGTTCTTCAGCGTGGATGAAGTTCCCAAGGTCCAGTCGAACAGCCTGAACAGGGAGCTCATGAACTGATCGGGGTACATATGATGGAGAGAATGGTACTCGGGTCCCACCAAAATCCAGTCCCTGTCCTTGGGTACGGAGTGGAAGGAAATGTGGCTAGTGTCTCGGCCACCTAGATAGATCACAACAACGACTCTGATGAATTCGATGATCAAAGTAAGATGGAGGATGGTAGTCGCAAACTCTCGCTGATCTCTCTGTAGTATCCAAGATAAAGCTCTTTCCGAAAGCCAGGATCCGACGAGCTGACATGACAGCTCTAGCGGGAGGTTTGTCAAGGCATTCAAGATGCGGTACTTTTCATTATAATGCAAATGCCTGTCGAAGTACCAGTGATGAACCGAATGGACTTTTGAGATCTGACGAAGCAGTCTGATGCGGGACCTGGCGCACTTGTGGAGGAGGAAATGTATGATGTCGAAGAACAATGTTCCTGAGAAATAGTAGAAGATAAAGTAGGCCACGGCGAGGGAACACAACACGGCTGCTTGGCCTTCTCTAATCCATCTGTCAACGTTCCTGCTCAACTCTTGTGTGTGTACTCCACTTACTGGAAAAGATTCTTGCATTCGATCAACCACATGCTGAGGCTCTGAGAAAGGGCATCGGACAATGGTGCCGACCTCAAGCTTTATGTAAGATGAAGAGAGGAAAACATTACGTGAATGTCAAAAGCCTCAACGAGGCGGTGCTAGCATTGGCCTTCGTGTTCAGTCCGCAGCAATGGGCGTAAACCGTAATGTGAACGTAGGGGCACAAGCATCCCGCCAGGACCGAGTTTGGCAAAGTGGGCTGTCATGAAGATCATTGATAGGATCTCTTCGAGAGCCTGCTCGTCGAGTCCTCAATCAGTATAATCCTGAGTCTTGAAGGCATCATGTCTATATACTAGCCAACTGGGCTTGCAACGAGTAGATCTAGTGTTGAACGCTGCATATACAACCGTAGTACACAACGGGTATCGTATGCGCATAAAGCGCGTCCCCAACATTCATTGAACCAGTCAACTCTGTTGCAAGATGAGACAGACCTCGGCAGAGTTTCGAGTAATACCTACCAAAACTACATATTGGTCAGCCAAGGCAGTGTAACAAGATGCCTTCAGGTGAACACTCCAGGACGACGCGAATGCACATTTTATCTACAATGGGCGCTTAGCGAGCGACAAGCTTTCTCATCGTGGCTGAAACCGTATAAAAGCTGGGGTGCCCGTATTCATGGACGAGCGTTGATATAGAACAAGAGTCGGCATTGGTTGGTCGAACTTTGGTCCCTGAATCGCAAGCATCACTGAGAAGTTACTTTGATGTTGTTATTAATAGGATTGTTTTACTTCCATGCAGTGCTGTGATCAAATGTTAGACCAGTCTTCTACACGAAGTTCAGACGTCTTGATCGAGTAGCATTCCACTTGATACGTCTTTTGTAAGCTGACCATCGCACAGTAGTTGTCTTGGAAGGGAGGGAGTCACCTTCGACCAAAGTCAATTACTGTTCCAGACCCAGCGCGATATTTCTGATACGTGATGCAGAAGATTGACCCTGAATCTTGTGCAGGTGGGTGGCATCAGAACTCATCGACCAGACACCGTCTCGAGGAGACATGAATACGATCTTGGTGCGGTAATTCTTCAAGCCCTACTCGCGACATCTTTCCGGATGCGATAAAACAAGGGGAAACCCTAACTTCCAAGTTCCTACTAACCTCGGCAATTGCCGCCAATTACCGTCACTGGGCGGGTTCGAAAAGCCAGGACTACTCATCTGGCTCGCGGCTTCGCGCGGTGTTCGTCGAATGCTCGAAGCCGATTAAGTCGACGACACTGCCTTCCACGGCTAGTGCGAAGCTAGGATTGCATGCAACGACCGCGTATAGTCTGGGGTTGTACGGCCCTCGCAAAAGACCCTCTCGTTCAACGTTCTGTCCCAGAGAGACTTATGGGTCGAGCACACCGTCCTCGAGCGCAGAATCATCGCTTGTAGAGCTGAGAAGATACGGAACGATTCATCGGGACAGAGCGAAATTCCTGGGTGTTATCTAAGGCCAGTAGCCGCTCTTCGTGGAGGACGCAGTCTATCTCACAAGTACTGTGCGTTCTTGATGCATCACTGAGTGTTCTTGTGGCATGACACCTTAAGCGACAAACTTGAGCACTTGGATCGAACTGGCGAGCCGACTTATATCGCGGTTTGCTTTGTCGTCTCCAGACTGGTAACGCGTGAAGTTCGAACCCGCTTGCTCAAATTCTTGTTGCCATCTGGTTCGTCGGTGACATTTCCAACAGTTTTCTTCTTGGGCCAGTCTCTGCAAACGTCAATGTTGCTCCGAGGAAAGCACAATTCGAGGAGCACAAAGAGCAGATAATCGACGACAACGCAAAGCACGAACAACTTGCCGGCCCAGATGCCACAACCATAGTATCTCTTCAGACGATCAATCAAAGCAAAGGATTGCGAAGCAGGAGACACGTGCTTTCCATAATGACGCCATTTAGCGTCTTGATGGTCGGTGTAAAAGTCGTTGTAGGAATGGTCTTCATTTCCAGTGATCAGATCATAGACGCGCTCAGTACGGCGGGCAATGTCAGACCAACTGTACATCATCCGTACCTGTTCATGAAAGCGGTCTCTGCGAACGACAGTTCGCTTCTGATCTTGGCCCATCAGAAGACCCACAGCTTCACTAGTAGCACGAACAAGGTCGTCTTCTTCAGGTTTTGCGAAGACGGTCATATGACCTGGAAGGACCTCAGGAATACCTCCGACCCTGGTACACACGATGAGCAAATTACAACTTGCGGCCTCTACCAAGACGGTTCCGAAAGCCTCGGTCAGACTGGGATGCAAGTATATGTGGCCCCGAACCATGACATCGCGGACCTCTTCGTGACGTACTGGGCCGAGAAGTGTTACTCTGTCGTGGAGAATATGGCGGTCGAGCATCTGTTCGAGATCTATCGCCTTGGGGCCTGAACCAGCAATGATGAAGCGCACGTTGGGATGCGATGCAAGAATGCGCGGGATGGAGGCTATCAGAAGATCGGTTCCTTTGTTATAGAAAAGACGGGAGATGACAACGATGGTAATGGTGTCGTTGGGGCCAAGCGGCTGAGAAGAGTGTGGTGGCGGTGGTGGTAAAGCAGAGCGCATAGAAGGTTGGGTGGCATCTTCAGGATGTAAAGGCCGGAAGTTTGAGGCGACGACAGCATTAGGGATGACGGAAACCATGAGAGGGTCGAGGGAGGCTCTGAGGACGGTGTTCTCCTTACAGGTATGGCTCACACAAATGACATGATCAACATCGCTGAGGGTGAACTTGAGCAATTTGTTGGTCAGGATACTGGCAGCGTCGGCGAAGCCAAACAAGCTGTGATCAGTGAAAACGGTGCGTAGACCCATGGTGCGGGCATGCAAGATGGCCTCATGGCACAAGCTGCTGAGACTGGCGTGGCCATGGACGATGTGAATCTTCTCACGAATGACAATGTTGCGGAAGATGGGGAAGAAGGAGAAGACGGTAGGGAAGGTCGTCTCGCGATAAACGACAAAGAAGGGCACATGGTAGACCTTGAGACCATTGGTCAGATAGCGGACTCCAGTGCGACCCTCGTACTGATGGGTGATGATGATGACCTTGTGGCCTCGGTCAATGAGCTTTTGCGACAGCTGGTAGATGTGACTTTCGACTCCTCCGGGTTGCGGGAAGAAGAAGTCGCTGACCATGGCGATGTTGTAAGGCATGATGGGAATAGGAAGCGGACCGACGCAGCAGAGAGGCTGGCGGCATGGTTGGTCTTACGAGCCGTGGGTCATGTCGGAGACCAGCTAAGCAGCGACGATGGAGACAATCAAGCAGGGCACCTGGAGCAATTGCCTCGTTCGGGTTCAGCGACCGAGGGGACCTTCGAGAATCAAGAGTGGGCAGAGTGGCCAGAGCTCACTCGTTCGGCATGCCGATTCGGGCTTGGCAGATCAGCGGAGCCGGGCGGTGAGGGCGAGTCTTCGAGCTTCTCTTCATTGTGGATGAATTCTAGAAAGCGACAAAAGAGTCGCAATGGCGCCATACGCTCGTTACGTTCCGCCCAAGGCTGCAGCGCCGGTCGCTGCTGCCGAAACGATCGCATCATCGGCACCTGCTCCTGCTCCGGTCAAGACCAAGCAGATCAAAGTACCAAAGGGTCCATCGAGAAGCGACGACAATGGCAGAAAAAAGAGAAAGCGTACAGAGGTAGACACGGCGGCCGACGAGGACGGTCCTGCTATCCCCAGCAAGCACAATGCCGTCTTCTCCAAATTCCAGAAGGCTGCTCAGCGTTCAGAAGCCGCCAAAGCCGCCGCGCCAGACGACGACGTCGAGCCCGAGATCAAGCCTGAGCTGCACGGTATGCTGTTCATCCCAGTTGGCTGCGCGCTACGAGGTGCTGACCAACTCACATAGATCTCACGCCATTACCGCAGCCCGAGCGTGCCCCAACTCCCGAATTCGTACCTGCCTTTTCCTCGCTCCCACAATGGCTCGCCCAGCCGACCATTGTCTCTCAGTCCACCACCCGTCCCTTCAGCGACCTCTCCTTGTCCAAGAAGACCTTGCTTCATCTCGAATCAAGGGGCTACAAGAATGCATTTGCTGTCCAAGCCGCCTTGCTCCCCATCCTTCTCCCACATCCCTACTTGACCCATCTTCCCCCGAACGATGTCTGTGTTAGCGCTCCGACTGGTAGTGGCAAAACCTTGGCCTACGTCCTCCCCATCATCGAGAATCTACGTCCCCGTCTGGATACAAGATTGCGCGCTGTCATTGTCGTCCCAACTAGAGAACTTGTCGCTCAGGCATACACAGTAGCATCAACATGCGCTCAAGGTTCCGCCATGCAAATTGCGCTGGCTGTCGGCAACCAGTCAGTTGCTGCCGAGCAACACTCACTAGTCAAGAAAGGCCGAATCTATGACCCCGAACGCTATCAAACACTTATGGACAAGGCAAGAAAGCGCCAATCTTTTGACCTGGACTCGGACTTGGACGAGAGCGAAATGGCCATGCTCGACGATGTTGTTCAGCTCCCTTCCGGCTATGTTCCAACATATACCTCCGCTGCGGACCTTCTGATATGCACCCCCGGCCGTCTGGTTGAACATTTGACTGCCACGACCGGTTTCACCTTGGACCATGTTGAGTGGTTAGTCGTCGATGAGGCCGATCGTTTATTGGATCAAAGCTTCCAAGAGTGGGTGGCCAAGGTCACCGCTGCTTTGGATGTTCAGAGGCCTCTCCCCCCTTCGACTCCTGAAATTGCTGCTTTGCGCCATTTGATGCCTCACCGTGACAGATACGTGAGGAAGATCATTCTGAGTGCCACAATGACTCGCGACATCTCCAAATTAAGTGCTCTTAGACTGCGACGACCGACCATGGTAGTCGTCAAAACAGAAGCTGATGCTACCCTTGCTCATCAAGCAACTACCACGGATGGTACGGAGAATTTCGAATTGCCTACCACTCTTTCAGAGTTTGCTATCCCTGTTGGCGATGGCTCCGATAAGCCACTTTTCCTGCTCGAGCTCCTCAGATCCAAGATTATGCCTGGCTCGTTGCTCAATACAGATGCTGTTCAGAACGATGTCTCCTCACCGTCTTCTTCGTCTGATGGCGATTCTTCATCTGACGAGGGCTCATCATCTGACGAAGACAGTGACTCCTCAGATGGCTCTTCCGACGAGGATGATAGCTCGGATGACAGTTCGGATGACAGCAGCGGCAGCGTCAGCGTCAGCGAGACCTCTTCGTCCTCAGGCCTACCAGAAGAATCACCAAAATCCACCACTAACAGTATGGTCTTGATCTTCACACCCAGCACCGAGGCAGCAGCTCGTTTACACCATCTCATCACACATATCGAGCCATCATACAAGAGCACAACTCTGCTTCTCACTAAAACATCTACGAACCTTAACTTCAATACATCATCTCCTCCTCGTGTCATCATTTCGACTGATCGTGCCTCTCGCGGTCTCGATTTGCCATTGCTGACGCATGTCATCAACTATACCATACCGCGTAGTCTGGCATCATACGTGCACCGTGTGGGTCGCACAGCAAGAGCTGGTCGGAGTGGCGAAGCCTGGACATTATTCTCCGAAAACGAAGGTCGTTGGTTCTGGAATGAGATTGCAAGAGCCAAGGGTATAGGCAGAAACGCAAAGGTAGAGAGAGTTAATCTGAAGCTGGCAGACGAACAGAAAGAAGGCGGAGAGATGCGTCACAGATATGTGGACGCGCTGGAAGGCATGAAAAATATTGTGACCAGCAAAAGCACAAATTCAAGAAAGGGCAAGAATAAGAAGAGTATGGATGTGGAAATGGCAGACTAAACTATTTATCACCAGCAGGCCTACTGTATATACTGTATAAGGATGAGTTTCTTCCATGCCGAACACAGTTGATGAAGCATGATCAGGCACCTTGTGTTTTCCTGATCTCATGCTGGCAGCAGAAAGGTCCGAGGCTGCTGCAGACAGATAAGGGAACAAGAATGCGTGCAAGAATTGACGTTGTGTGAAGCCTTGCCAGATCCGTAACATAAGGTCCCAGAACAACATCAAAGGCGCTTGGATTTAATCAGACCACTCACAGAAGCACATCTCCGAGCTCCTAAGAGTCAGAAACCCCCTCCCACATTTACCAGGCTCCTGACCGCTTCCTCGTTCTAGTCTACAATAAAGTGCGACATGTATTGAAGACGACCTCCATCGTGAATTGTTTGGTGAATCGAAGTTTGAGAGCGTGTTCCAACGCTGCAAAGACCTAGCAAGGTCATACTCAAATGCCCATCAAGAACAGCTCTTCCACGATCTCTCTTCGGTGCCCCCAACACCAAAGACATACACGTTGTACGTGAGGCAGCATCGGCTTGGCGATGGAGATTGAGTAGAGTTCTACGCTCGAGACAGTTTTCTGGGCGTTATTCTTGATATCTTTTCGCCTTGACCAGGGCATTGACAATTTCCCTGGTCCCACAGTCTATTCCAGCACAGCCCAGCGGTACCAGGGGTCCTCGATCGAGGTCGTGGACGCTGGTGCGTCTCGAGCAAGGATCCAAAGCATGAGGTGAAGGAGTGGCGGCGGCAACCTCAGGCAATCCGGCTACTGGCGGTCTTCCTTGTACCACCGCTAATACCGCCACCAACCCATGTTGGAATCTGAGCCGTCCGATGCGGTTGAGATATGCTTGAGAAGCATGCGGTGGTGATTCGGAACAACTCCATCCAGATCAATCTAGCGAACGCCTATGATGAAGTAGGGAAGAGATTGTGGAGCGTAAACTCAAGTCCGAATTCAGAGGGATGTGTGAGTGCAGCTGTTGCTGGGAATAAAGAGAAAGAACACATCTGATGACGAGGAAAGAGAGCTCCGGATGTCCACTTAACCGACGATTGGTGTAGCCTATCAGAACAGACAGGGTTGGTCTATTTTGCCTACTTTGGTGTTTAGGTTTGATCTTGGATGTGTGTTTAGAGTTGATGCAGGTGTCTGATTCAAGCGTGGTGTAGATAAGCAACCCCACCTTTGTAAACTCAGAGTCCTGAGAGTCCCATTGACTCGTGTGAGGAGGCGAGCTGCAAGAGTTAAGACTGGTACTTGACTAGTCAATCCTTGATATTTCGCATGGCGCAGTTAGAAGAAGCGGAATATGATGCATGATGGGCGCCGAGTATGTATGATCCTGGCAACAGAAGAAAGGTTTCCCAGCGAGTTTGTCCTTGGAGGGTAGTTGTCAGCGTCAATCCCACTCTTTGCTCACAGCTCGTGATATTACTCTGTGATGACGAGTCAGTGATGAGATGTCCATCAAACCTTACCGTGTCGCAAAAAGCATGCACACAGCACTCAGTGGCATGCCGGATGATAAGCCAAGTAGCCGCCGATTGCCGTCGCTAAACATTGACACCAATTATTGGATGAAGGAAGAGGATCGACCTCATCCTCTTGTGCTTCTTTCATTCTTCTGTTTCAGTCCTTTGGACCGAAGGTAAATTGATGGCTCTTACGAGGGAGAGGACGCAATCGCGCATGATGATTCGAATTACCCTTGAGAAGTGACGTGGCCGCAAAGAGGCTGATTGTTGGAGAACTCACCAAACGAACATGGAAACGCTGTTGCGGAATGCGTCCCGCGAGCGCAAACATACCTTCATGGGGTAGGTATCTCTGTACTGCTGTGCATCAAAGCCGTTTGTTCTGAACTGCTCAGCCTCGCTGCTCTTACTTGTACCAGCACCACTGGAAAGCGAAGCAATGCTTGTATACATGTGGTGGCAAGTGATCAGAGATGACTATGGTCATTTAGAGTTGCTTGTGTGCAGGAGGCACTGTTATCTCTAGACATCTGTCTTTCAGCTTGATGATCAACAACTGATGCTTGATGATGGGCAAGTTGGTCCAGATGATGATGTCTCATGCCCTTGAACAAGAGAACAAATTAGCATCTACTTGGCCCAGCACGTGCATGTGCAGCAATACAAACGTATATTGTAGCGCATGTATGTACTGCACATCCTGAGCTGCATGGTAGATCATGATTCACTGAAAACGTGTTTGGGTACGCAATGCCGTCCCACGAAGACTAAATTATCTGCGACCACTCGAGTCCTGAACCAATCACACATAGACGCAGGCTGTTGCATACTGCCGGACGTGCCCTCATCTGCTCGCGAGGCAGAGGTCATCAATGAACTCGAGCAGATATTCGGGGAAAAGGCTGGGGTTTGAACGCTCCCACATGGAGGTGGATGCATTTATCGCTTTTGGCAAGACACGGACGGAAATAACAAGAGTACGAAACGGACGTCCCAAGCGATTGGGAAGGAGGCGTCTCGCGAAGAGGTGCAAACCGAACAAAGCCCGACCGCGCTGAAACTCTGCTTCACTTTTTAGTCCTCTGGAAGGCAGCCACGGAAAGTATAGTGGACTTGGCACCGCTCCAATTGGTGAGCCTCCTCGGCTTGCTTAAGCGGCTACAAGGCGGCGACCTAACATAATTATCAGACGAATGCGTTCCGAGAGTATGCAGGTTAAACCACAGCTGGTCGCTAAAGCACTGTTCCATCTTAAAAACCACATCTTGTTGTGCCGGCGTAAGCACATTCGACCACTACGTACGACGTCCAGGCTCGGGAGGAAAGCCGCTCGTGTTTGCCGAGTGCGATTTACAATTTGAGTTACATCGTTAGCTGTCAGGGAAAACCCAGGGTCCAAGACAAGCCAAAAGGTGAACAAGACACACGTGGCAACACATAATCTAGGCTATCGTTTGGAAGGTATCAACAACATGATACTGGCTCCGATTGGAGACAGAACAGACTACGACTCCCTGAAGAATCAATAACCTCTGGCGTTGCTTGGAGAACAGAATCGATCTTAAGTGAGTTGAAGCAATGGACATGCGTTGATTTTCGGCTGGAGTGCACGTCCGTACCGACAGCAGGGCAATCTCCTTGGGACCCGTAGACGGTTCAGGGTTGTATCCGCAGGCTCTTGTTTACCCAGAGTTTCCTCCTGTGCTTGACACATGGAAATAGAGAACAGACACTCCTAGAGTCTGCGCTTTCGTTGATCTGCAGGTCGCGAGGTGGGAAGTTGGAAGCGTAGAAAGTAGTTGCACGAGTGTATTCGTAGAGTACACCTGGATAGGTGTCATACCGAGGCTTTGATGTTTCTCGAGCACATGGCGACCCGAGATTTGGCGAAGACGCAAGACAGATTTGAGCCATTGTGTCGGTGAAAGGTGGTCATTCAAGACCAATCAGGTGGCCGAAGTGAAATGCCAAGGTACGGCGCACCTCACTTCTCTTCTAGAAGGGCGGTTGCTGCGGAAGAGGCGCACAGAGAAGTGCTTGGTAAGGCCGGTCAGCGGTCAAATGGTAGGCCTTTCTACGGCAGGTCTTGCTCCAGACGTGAGTAGTCCAAGGAATTTCCCTGCTGTGAGTGATACTGTCATTGAGTCTATAATAGTTCACAAGAGTTTGTATTATTCGTTCTGGAGCAAGAATCAGGAATCAATCGCAACACATAGAAGCTATTGAGACACATACGGTAGTAACAAGCACATTGGATCGAATGAACTCACTAAAAACGGGAACCGTCGCATGGTGAGGATAGAATGAATCATGGGCCACAGTCAGCAATTGCAAAATAGGGTATAGCAGCCGTTTGCTCAAGATCTGATTCGCATGGCCGTCCGGACGCAAGGTGCCGTGGATGCAAACGACGGGGGAAAGGAGGAACATGGGCGGTGGTACGAGACAAGTGACAGGCAAAGACGACCGTGCGGCCGTAAGAGGGCGTTTGTCTAGGACATAGGAAGGGACATGATGGTTTCGGAAGTGTAGCGAGAAGTGAAAGGGTCGGGCAGGGGCGAGGACAGTGAGGTGAGTTGGAGCAGAAGCAACAAAAAAGTGGTGGGAGCAGTAGATCTCGCAGAGGGCGATAGAGCAGTTGTGTGGGTAGAGATCGGGAGGTGGCCCGTCGTGGAACCGGAAGTTGGGACGTCAGTGATGGCTTTAGGTTGACAGGAGGCGGCGCTAGGATGAACCTTGAGTTCGCGCTGATGCAGCTCGTTCGTGGTCGCCTACGAGTGCCTCGCTCGAGGGACAGGTCTTTCCTTTCCTCGGGCGCCTTGGCCAAGTGACGCTCGCTCGTAACGATGCTCGTTGTGGAAACCGTCCAGCGAGCACCCTGCTTTTGTTTTGCTGCTCTGTAATCTCGAGTCGATCGGCCTGACGGGTGCTGGTAGTCTTCTATTATATAACCGAAGTGCTGCTTCCTGCCCGGACCATTCATTCCTGTCCCAATTCTCTCCAACCAAGTGAAGAAAATAAGTTGCTGGAAGTTCCACTAGTCTCTGTCAACTTGTCGTCAAGCCGTTGATTCCCCTGCGACTCTCGTGCCGCACGCCCAGCCCTCTCGCTCACGTCGCAACTTCGCTGCAGTCAACTTAGTTGCATAAAGGAAGCAGAAAGCGACCGAGACATTCATCCGCTCGAGTCGTCCCGAGGTCTTTATTGGCCTTAGTAATAAGAAAGCCCGGCCCATATTTCCACTTCCACGCTTACCGCAACCCTGGAAGCATTACCGCCATCAACTCCACCTTCGCTTGCTTCGTCGTCCCTTCCAACTTCTCCAGACAGCCCCTTCGACTCCGACCCTTCCACCGCTTCCGAGTGCGCGCCACCCTGGCCACGCAGCAATAACAACCACGTCCACTGCCGCTCTGTCTCCGTCTGTGCCTCTGCTTCGGACGCCCCCTTCGAACTCGAGGACTTGATATTTTTGTCCGACGCGGATTCGGTCCCGGAAATTCCTCAAAATCCACCTCGCCAACTATTTTTCGCCCGCGACGACATGGCCTCGTCTGCATCGCCCATAGATATCGCCACGCCGCGCGCGTCGCCTCCTAATCAGACCTCCAACCTCACCAGCCAGCTGCAAGCTGCAAATGCTCGTAGTGGCGACGCTCAGCCGCCATCCTTCGTGGCCAACATGGAGCGTCGCGGCAGCGAGTTCAGACCCGACAGCCTGCGTCATGGCTCCATCAACATGGGCAACTCGTTCCACTCTCGTCCCATCTCAATGCGCGACCGTGGACGACGCGACAGCACTAACCACGCTGGCAGTCTCATGGCCGGTATGAGCTGGGGAGGTCTGTCGGTCGGTAGCTTCATCCGTGACGAGTGAGTCCCGTCCTGCCCGTCTAGCCTCGTTGATTTAACACTGACCCTCCGTCGCAGTCTGATCATGGCAGGCACATCACCCTACAACTTCCAGTCACCCTCGTTCCATTCGTCCTCATATCTACCCAAGATGGAAGCCAACTTCATGAAGGACTACATCTGCTGCGGAATTACGCTTGACTCACTGCACGAGCTGCTCCAGCACTACGAAGAGGCACACGCTCAAGTCCCAACACAAACCATGGGTCGTACTCCCAAGGAACACCTACTTGCCAACGCTCGCAACGCCAACGCCGGTACCGCCGCCCAGATGCTGCAACAGCAACAACAGAGCCAACCTCACAACCACCAGCAAGCTCCTCAGTTCGATCACCCTTCAGGCCTCTCACAAGGCCTTGCCCGTGATCCTCTGCAAGACCACGACATGGATGACATGGATATGGATATGGATGACTCGAGCACCGCACCTGCTGTACAAGATCCCTACCAGAGCCATCAATTCCAACCTCAACCACAGTTTGGCAGACAGCAAGCCAGAGCGCCATCGCTCAACATCGGCATGGCCAGCGCCTTCCAAAACACACAACAAGTCAACAATGTGTCAACGCCAACCACACCACAACCCGGCCAGAACATGCAACTTGGCGGCTTCAACCCGACTGTCTCATCTGTAAACACACCTACCTTCGGGCAAACGTCACAGACCGTCAGCCCCTCCGAGTCGACCGTTCACACGCCTGGCGAGATTGATCCATCCAACTTCAACGCCAGCATGTCTGGCTTCGGGTTCCCCGATATGAACGGCCAACAAGATGAGTCGCGCTGCATCGACGATCCGGCCAAGCGTTTGCTCAGCAAGCAGGGCGGTATGGGTGGTTTCAAGAACCCGAGTCAATTTGCCAACAATAGTGAATTGGCAAAACGCCTGCGCGAGCAACAGCTTATCCAGGGCTTTGGCTTCCCCGGCGAGGAGGCTAAGCCTTTCCGCTGCCCTGTCATCGGCTGCGAGAAAGCGTACAAGAACCAAAACGGCCTCAAGTATCACAAACAGGTATGTTGCTCGCATTATTGCGCCCGAACGCATTCACTGACTCTCTCTCCCAGCACGGCCATCAAAACCAGCAACTCAAGGAGAACCCCGACGGCACCTTTTCCATCGTTGACCCTGCAACCTCGATTCCCTACCCTGGGACCGTCGGCATGGAGAAGGAGAAGCCCTACCGCTGCGAAGTTTGTGGCAAGCGCTACAAAAACTTGAACGGTCTCAAGTACCACCGTCAACACTCGCCGCCATGCAATCCTGACCTCAAGCTCAACCCTGTCGCTGTGCCTCAGATGCCCAATGGCATGCAAGCCATGAACGTCAATGTCGCTGGGGCCGGTCTGTCCATGGGCATGGACGATGGTATGGGCTACTGAGTCATCTCCTGACCCTTTTTAGTTGCTCCCCCGATACCCTTTCTTCCCTAGGCGTTCTCGCGGCGCCCTGTGTGTCCTGCTCTTGATACTTCACGACACACCTCCGCTTCACTTTGTGATACCCTGCACCGACTGAGCCTCCTTTTAGGGAGGCTTCCGTCATGCTCTTTTTCTTGTTTCTCGCTCTTACCGGTTCGTTATGGTTAATTCTCAATTGTCTTGGTCGCTTTTGGGTCTATGTTTATGGGTGGTCTGGCGTTATTATCGTGTCCGCACACAGGACCTCTCGAGGGGGTTGTCAGGTTGCTACAATGGTTACGACTGACGTTCAATGAATGTGTCCATCTTCATTTGTTCACAATAGACGCGGCGCTGGTAAACAAAAGTTGGGGCAATTAGTCTATATTCTTCTGCTTTCGAATTCACGCTTTCTACACTTCCTGTGCTTCTAATGGTACGTCAATGGTCACTCCAACGTTGCATCTGGCCGCATCCAAAAGGCTGTCTCGACTTCTGTGACCAATCGGCCGGTGCGTGCACGTCGTCCCACGAGCAGAGCCTCAGGATTTTGGTTTCGAGACCCTTGGAATGCACGGAGCGGGTGCCGAAAAGGAACATCGGACCGAAGACGACAAAGTCAAGAGCATCTCACTCGAGAAACCAACAAACTCATTCGCAGAGGCTTGCAGGCGGCTCATCTCCGCGCAAGCCATGTCAATCTGCGATTCGACAAGTCGTTGTAGCCACCATTTAGACAATGCACGGGATCACTTCCCCTTTGACGCAGGTGCACGCACACCGCTTTGCTGTGGAGTAGGAGTACTCCACGATCTATCCGACATGTTATTTTTCCGCGTCTCGAACCGCAAAAAAACCTGAGACGGGTTGCTAGTTGACAATCTATTTCACACATGAAGCACTTGCTAAACGAACCGCTTGAAGTGTCAAAAATCTAGCCCCTGTTCCTGACACATGGAGCAACCCGGACCACTGGAACCAGCAGCTATGCGTCTGACACGTAACCAGTTCAGCACCTCAGCTCACCAGATCCTGATCTCTCCAGTTGTAGACAGGTCGAGACGAGGGCCAAGTTTCCGCGGAGGAGATCGAGTCGTGATATGAGACTGACTTCCAACCCGCACAAATTCGTCGTTTTGAGCTGTGGCCAGACCTCGTGGCTTGTCACAGTCCATCCATCACGACTGACTGGCTGGCGTGTACTTCGGATCCTGCCTCGCTGCATGACTTTTTCCCTTTGCCTTTCTCCCGCGGATTTGTTCGAAGACCTTGAGTTGTAGAGATGCACAATGCTCTCCAGGGTCGGTGTGGTGGGTTTCCACTAGATACTGGTTAGAAAAGAACCATATTCTTCTAGAGCTAGATGCGCAGAAGGGTTCGTCAGAAAGACGATCTACAAGCGACGCGGCCCACACTCCTCCATATGCATTCACTTCGGAGGGAGCTAGTACTTGGGTCTCTATTAACATTTTCAAGCCGGGTTGTGACTATTTTGACGAGCACTGCCTCGTTTACAAGTGGATAATGTCGTCTTGCTAGGACGCTGTCTAGGGGGCTCAACTAGGTGCCTTGGAAACATCCACCCGAGGTGGTTGGTGTCGAAATGAATCCGACATTGTGGCTGTGTAGCATCGAGAGAACGGTAATCTGGAGCTTGAATGTCATGCTATGCATCGACTGCTACTCTATCAGTGGTTACGCTCAACGATCTCCTTGGCGAAAGTAGCGAAATCACGCTTCTCATCAACCAACTCCCAGAGGTTGGGCTGCGTGAATACAGCCAGGGTGTTTCTGGCAACCTGTCCGCCTTTGCCTGGTGCAGCACCCTTGACAAAGTGCGGTACTGCTCTGAACTTGCCCTTGGTAATGACCTCCAGAGCTTCACCAGTTTGAAAAGCAAGACAGTCCTTCGGGATGTTGACCTTGGTCACCTTGCCTGAACGAGAGTGAATGTACAGGCCGGCGGCCGGGTCCGGTGGTGAGGACAACTCGGGCAAAGGTGAGACTTCTGTAGAGCTGATGTGAGGGGGGTTGGCTGCTTCATCGATGAACATGGCGGACGTCAGGCCTGTCAAACAGCCGTGGTCCAGATGTGTTGCGCACCAGTCGTCGGAGGAGCTTTCTGCTGCGTTGTCGTTTGTGGCTGGTGAGGGGAAGTAGTGGAGTAGACGTGCTTTTGTCGAGATGCTGGTCTTGACTACATGCTCCAGATAACCCTCCTGGTACTGAGGAATATTCTTGAGCGCGTAACGATCGCAAGCCCGGGCTACGAGTGCTGCAGTGTCGACGATGAAGGTGCACAGGTTCTGGAAAGTGAGCTCAAATTCAGGGAGAAGGTCGTTGCTCGGCCAGATGTTTGCAGCATTATACTCTGGGAGGTTGGGAAATTTCTCGATGGCCATCTTGTGCAGAGCAGGGTTCTGTACGGGGTTGGCATAGTAGGAACCCTTGAGGGTATCATAACGACCATCCTTGAGGGTTTCTTTTCCACAACTCCAACCTACGAGGTAACTGCTTTCGGGGTTCTCGAGTTTTTCTTGTCGTATGAGTATTCGAAGGTAAGATGAAATAGCGAGTGAACAAATGACCTACCTAGTTCAGCTTGAGGGAGGTTGGCCAGATAAGACGAGTACGACAACAGGGCCTTTCTCATGGTGACAAAGTCAGATGGTAGGTCACGGACGACGATGATTCCCAGAGAGTCTGGACCAAAGGCTTCTTCGAGAGCGTCAAAGGGTACGGAGCCTACAAAGTCATGAGAACTGTGTGTCTTGAACTGCATGTCGTGTTGTGCTTTATACCTGACTGCAAGTCGCGAAGGCTTACGGACACAGGTGATGCAGTTTGCACACCGGACTCGAACAAATTGACAGCCATTTTGAATGAGTGGTATCGGGATGCTGAAGCGAAGTCGAGAGAGAGGTCAGCAGGAAAGCAGCGAATGAGAAAAAAGATATAGCAAATTGGTAGTTTCAATCTCGGCCGGGCGCGCCGCAAACATCAGCCGAGCTCCATCAGCCATCGCCTACCTCCGACGGACAATCTAAACATGGTCAAACCACTCAGTTTCAAAGGCGACAAAAAGGTCAAGAAGCGCAAGCGCAGCAGAGACGACGAGGCAGATGGGCATGGCCCCGCGTCAAAGGACATCAAGGGCGGCGCATTGCAGCATCCAGACGAGGACGACGAATCGTGGGTGTCAGCAGACGCCGTGACAGACATCGCAGGCCCTGTGATGTTTGTGCTGCCCACCCGGCCGCCAACCTGTCTAGCGTGCGATGCCAATGGCAAGGTCTTCGCCAGTGCCGTCGAGAACATGGTCGACGACTCTCCCTCGACGGCCGAGCCGCATGATGTTAGGCAAGTCTTCATCGCGAACCGCATTGCCGGCACCGACACCTTCAGCTTCAAGGGACACCACGGCAAGTGAGTCTCGCCCGCGCTCGTCGTCCAGACACGCGCCCCTCTGTTGACACGCTGCAGGTATCTCAACAGTGACAAGTTCGGTATTCTCTCGGCCACGCGCGATGCCATTTCGTCCGAAGAGCAGTTCGCCCTGCTGCCATCTGACAGTCTCCTCTTCAACCTACGCACCACACGTGACAAGTTCCTCTCTGCCACCCAGGACAATGCCGTCCAAGTAAGAGCCGATGCCGACGACGAGACCAGCCCGACTTGTGCCATCAGACTGCGTATGCAAGCACGCTTTAAGCCCGTCCACAAGGCCGCCAAGGAGGAAAAGGCAAACGAGAAGATAAGCAGAGCTCAGCTCGAGCAAGCTGTTGGTCGCAAGCTCAACGACGAAGACGTCAAGCTCTTGAAGAAGGCCTGGAGAAACGGTACATATCATGAGGCTCTGCTCGACGTCAAAGTCAAAGGAAAGCACGACAAGTTCGCTTGACCTCTTTTGCGCCAGAACTCGCATGACCCTTTCCAACTCTGTCACCGTCTTCATCGCTGCCACCGCCCTCAGTACGGTGGACGGAAAGTCACAACAGTATCGCAGAGTCCCGGATTGATTCTTGCAGTGCAGTCATGCCAGGACTTAAGAAGGTAACCACTGCATACGGGGCACGGAAGCATTATGTACAGACGCACTCACAAGTTCGCATGTACTACGTAGCATGCCCCTTCACGAAGTGCCTGCCCAAGTTCCACAAGACCACGTGAGGCGGCTCAAAAAATGGAAGCTTTTGAACCATCGTCCCAGTTTCAAATTTCCCCGCACTTGCCATCATCATCCATCCATCCCCCAAGCAATAGCTATTGTTCACAATCCACACACCAGACGACATACCATGAGCCTTCTACTCATTTCAGTCTTGGCCATGGTGTGCGCTGTCAAGCTTTCTGCCCTCTGCAGCTGGGTTCTGTTCTCAATGAATTGAGATAATCTGCCCGCCTGTTCTTCGCCACCTACCAACTCTGACAAGCTACTGCCTATGTCTCCAGCACGTTTCACAAAGCAATCAACTATCTCCACAATCTTGCACGAGTCTCAGTTGCCCCAGGTCTGGATGATGTTGCCCTCGAGGCTGCATGGCTGCATCTCGCGCTCTACACAGCCACACCAGTCCCCAATGGCATCATGTTAGATCGGCTTGTTTCCGCCATCAGTTACGAAGCATCAAGCTCGCCAACCGCATCGTCTGCATAGGGCAATCCTGTTCCCGGGTCCAAGCCATCGGTTTCTCGCGGTGCCGGCATCCTCGTCCTTTCTGTCCGAATGGGAACGATCTGGTTGAGGAGCCGTGTTGCCGATCTCCCTATATCCTACGGCGCCTCCATTCGCCCATGGATCGCATCAATAATAAAAACAAGTTCGTCAGAAATCCTCTCGACATTGTCAAGGCCATATCCCGCTCGTGAAGGATTGTGTATGCCGCGTGTAAGCGAACGCATGTGTGACAATCTCTACCTTCTGTCATGGCAAGGCTGAATGATCCTTCGTCGAACCTTGGGCAATACCCTCATACCTAACAGCCCTAGATATTTGAGCCCTGTCGACTTGTTTCCGTGGTTGCAACATATTCCCGCACAATCGAGGTCATGTTCCTGCAGCATGTGATCATGCCCTTCTTCTCGCTCCGAGATGTAAAAGGCCGTTCTTGAGGCGCATATGGTTGAGGCTTGTCCTGTCCCTGTTGTATGAAGCCTTGTCAAGGTCATGTTTCACGTTTGTATGGGGAGGCGCAGTATTACGAGCTTTGTTTCTTCAAGATATTCTGATACCAAGATCTTTTGACCGAGTCGACCATATTGCTTTGCGCGGACGGTGTACATCAGGCCCTCGTGAGGTAGATAGCAGAGTCATGAATGCGAGTCCTATCAGTCCGCATTCTGAGATACACCGAGTAAGAGTATCGTTCTTGGCATTACTTGCTTCCATGGTTGTTCTGTGCAGAATGCGAGGTGCTTACTCCATCTTTGTCCACGCCACCAAGCAATGCATGCCTGTTCGTGCGTCGAAGTGTTACAAGCGACGTCGGACATGTTGCTGGCTGGCGGCCTGACTAGCGACACATTTGCTCGCCAAACACTCGGTGATAGACGCCATGATCGAAAGGCCCGTCCGTACTCCAAACATCTATCCTAGACGATTTTACAGGCCACCATCGGTTGGCTGGTGCCTAGCTGCGGACCAAAGGGTTGTGAAGAGGTGTGGTCGGCATGCCAGATTTGGCAAAGACCATCTTGATATGTTCAGTTGATCTGACGTCTACGTTTACCCTACAGGTATCTAGCATCATATCGATTGCTGTATATTAAATAAAGCCCTCATTCTAACCCTGTCTGCTTTTTCCCTACCGTTCACGATGGAGTAGCAAATATCCATATTGTGGCATTGTGTGTAGATGGAGTCCGGACGAAGGGCAAACCTTGGATCCAAACACTCTCCATACAGGTGACAAAAGTTCCCCCAGGTGTTCATCTACACCCTGACTCTCGGGTTGCTTTTCCGTCTACGAATTTCGCGTTCTTCTCGCCTTGTGCGGAGCGGGGATGGAAAAAAGCTGTTCACATCGAGTCAGGTCCGTATTAGTTTGTGCGATTTAGACTAGAAACGCATCCGCGCACATTGCATGAGTGGCCAAGTAACTACAGGGTGTGTCTGCAGCCGTTGGATAGCGTCGATCTCCTGCAGCGCTTACGCATGCTAATGCCGCCACACACGGCTCGTTTAAATTAATGGTAGTCGTCGCCGTCGTACGTAAGTTGGTCGTCGTCGCGAAGGCTTTAGATGTAAGATATACAACGTATTGATATTTCAGATAAATCTACTAATACAAGAGAGGTTCAAGGAGTGACAGGAGGTTTAAATGAGCGACTAGACACAAGGAAACGACAAATGAGAAATTTACTAAGGGATATAGCTACCGTTATTCTCGACGACGGCGCGAATACGACGAGGCATAGATGCGACCGTTTTCTAGAGGATATCGAGTTCCAGATAGTCCTATTCTTCGAGGATAGCTTATATAAGCTCCTAGCGGCCATAAGGACAAGGGACACGACGGTAGATACAATCCTTAAGGATAGAGAAGAGGTTTTTAATGGGGTTAAGATCTAGTAAGTTTGCGGGCCACTCTTGCATAAGTGGTACCTCTTAAATAGCAAATAGTTCTTAAGTAGCGCGAGCTCTATAGGCAGGAGCTCTATCTTGTTAAACAATAGGGTGACGGTAAGGTGAATCTAGACTCATCTAGAAGTGGTAGATGTAAGGGAAAAGGTGCTCTCTAAATGAAGCAGCGGTTACTATCCCCTAGTCCTTGTTCTAGATCATAAGGGGACTCTTCTCTCTAAGGCCAGTAAAAGCATAGTATATTATGACATGATCTTCCCTGCTAAAGATAGGAATAAGACAATTAGCATTAAATCTTTCGCTAGGACGACGAGTAACCTATACCGGCTAGTGGCTACCCCTGTTGAACGCCGATTTATTAGTCTAAATAACATTATTCCATTGTTCCTTAGACTAATCGAGTCTTGCTTTACACTAGGCCAAACGGCGGGCCTTTTAACGAGGTGTAATAAAGGGCTTCTTTTTAGCGATACGGCGGTAGTAGCTAGCAGATGCGAGGAGGCGGCGAATAGTAGCAGTAGAACAGGCGAGTTTAAGAGCTTCTTTAATTTCTGCGTAGGTAGCCCGGCGGCCCTCGACGGAAGAAGTAACGAATTAGATAATGCGGTTTTTAATAGGAGTACCGTATAAGGTTATACGAGCGCGAGCCTCTTATGTACGGTTTCGAATAGGGGTTATAGCTTCGTGTGCGATATTCTAGACAGTTATATAAGGCTCCTCGAGGCGAGCAGCCACTTAAGAAAGAGACCATCTAAGGAAGGAGTAAAGAAGTTTAACGGCGTAGCGCGTAAAGGTAGGAATAAGACCTCTCTTCGCAGCACGACAAACTAGCTCGTTAATAACTACGATATTAAGAGGAGGAGAAGGTGTACGAGGAATTAAGGAAGAAGGAAGGGTAGTATCCGTAGACACAGTAGTGTAAGAAGGATTAGAAGGAACAGAAGAAGCGAAGGAATTAGTGTTTAAATTAGTTGTAGATGAACTACGATACTAGCTAGCGGAATCGTCCTATACAGGAGTAATAGGAGGAGGAAGTAGTTAAAGCGGTACGCGGAAGGGCATCGTAAATTGAGGAAGGTATTAAGGTTAAGAAGACAAAGAAATGAGGTCCATTAGACGTAGTTTTATAGCTAGGAACTGCGTACGCGCCTATAGCCATCGTACGATGCGTACAGGAAGACTAACCTCTTAAAATGTAATCAAAATACGACGAGGTATAGATGTGATGAGAGGTCATTTTTTCGTAGGTGTAGAGGAGGTTAGAACGCGCGATTTGGGAGGGAAACTAACCGATTGACCTGAAACGCGCCCGGAGCGACGTGCATGTGATATCTGCACGTATCTGCAAGCCACCGGCGCTATCCAACGGCTGTGAAAACACCCTGTATGTGAGCAGGAACATGGGATCTGGTTCGCGCGCTTAAGATGCCGTCAAAAGACGATCGGCCTGAACCCTTGCTCAAAAAGACTCCTCGTCTCGGCTGGCTCAAGATAATTCGCCGATGTTTGGTTTTCTAGCCCTGTCCCAAGTTCTGCATCAAGCGCTTCTTGGGCAGCAACTAGGCCCGTTGACATCTTGGTAACGAAGTGGTGCTTCTGGCCAGTGGACACTCTGCACGAGAGAAAATGAAAGGTGGAGTGAGTATGTACATGCGTTTTTTCCCATCCGTGACGCTCGTCGGAAGAAACAACTTCCGAAGAAACCCGTCTACCGATAGTCGCAATTCTGTCTAGAGGTATCTCACATATCCCAGCCCATAATAGCGCCATGCAGCTAGCAGTAGCAGACGCTGCAAAACTCCGTTATTCCCATTTGCGTTTCTTCGTGCCAAATCGCTCTATGCATTTTTGAATCATATACACTCTTTCGATGAATTGCCAAACCACACCGTAAACTATGCAAATATGTGCGTGTGTGACAGCAAGCATGAGCTCAAGCTAGGCTTGCTGCCCCTTTGATGCGACATCGTGGGAGCCGTGTTGAAGTCTCGATGGTTACATCTGCGTCAGAAAACTCAACGGTCACAAGTTCGGACCTTCACTCCGAGGCTCGAGCCGTTGGACCAAAACTCAGGAGAGCACATTGAGTGCCTCTGATTTGAGATGGTGGATGTTGAATGAAATGAATGATGGCCAAGTTTCATCAACCATCGTATCCGTACGTGTGTTGGGAAGTGCCCTCACGGTATCCCATGGGTTGGTTGTGTGCTTGTGTCGGTTGCCCAGGCATGAAATGAGTAGAACCGGTGTTGGGGTTGTAAGCAGGAGGAGCCAAGCTGCGAGGTGCACCATGGAAGTCCGAGGCGGCTGACGATACGGGCTGAGCGCTATGAACGAAGCCACCGTGAGCTTGCTGATCATGGTAGGTAGGATTCGTAGAGGCAGCGTATTGAGGCATGCTTTGGAAGTCGGGATGGGCACCAATAGCACCGTTGTGGAAGGCAGGCGTTACGGAGGATTGCGCTGGTGCCTGAGCAGTGATGGCCTGTTGGAACTGAGCGGCTTGCGAGTGGCCAGGGTAATTCATCTGATGTGCTGGAGAAGGATAGTTTGTTGGTCGGTCACTTTGGCGGACTTGGTAACCATACGAGGATGCAGAGGTAACGTCCTGAGCTCTCCAAGAGGCAGCATTCTGACCAGCAGGATGCTGCGTGCCCTCGGACATGAAAGGTGCCGAGGACGGTGCGCTTCCAGGACTGTACTGGTTGTGCTGTCTCCAGGCTTCCGTCGGTTGAGGGATACTCCTACTCGTCGCCGAGGAAGAAGGTCTGGGAATGTTCACGCCCGCGCTCAGGTGAGTTTGAGGTGAAGACTCAGGTGCTGAGACGCTGTACTGTGGTGGTGCTTTGTCTGCAGACTCGATGTCAACAAAGAACAGTCTAGCGTGTACTTGGAGTGCGCTTACCATCGTTCTCGTTCACGTTGATTGTGAAAGTCTCGCCCGAGAGTCTGCTTCGGAGGTAGGCGTTCTCTTCCTCAAGCTCTCTGTTTCTTTGCTGGGTAGTCAGGTATAACTTTTCTCTGGCTTCTTGAGTGCCAGTCAGTTCGCTGATTCGTCGTTCGAGGTTCTCGATATGATCCTTTGTTCTTTGGCGAATGGCTCTCTGTGCTTCTCTGTCGTTTGCACGTTTTCTCTCCAGTTGCGCAGCCGAAAGGGTAGAGACACTACGCGTCCCGGCTCTGGAAGCGCGTTTTGAAGCGGGCTTCGACTGGCTACCGGAGTCGGAGCTGTGCATGGTACCACTCGGACTTTGGCGGGATCCTGATGATGCATCCTGATTCATGATGGAAGTGATTTGGCAGGCGGTTGGACACGGGTCGTTCAAGCGTGACCAGCACTAAGCACAACAATATGTTTTTGAAAAGCCAAGGCGAGTCAAGAAAAGATAAGATAATATATCAAGTGCCGAACACTTGAAGATGATGGCCGGTAAAGATCGCCAAGGGGGGCTCCGGGTAGTCAATGAGCCAATAAGGGCAGGGGACAGGGACGTTGTTCGACTTGAGTCGAGTTAGGTGACGATGCACGACAATGTGAAGATCGGAGACAGCTTGGACAGGACAAGTGGGCAAGCCGGTCTGATCAAATATAATAAACAAAAGGTGACGAAGGACGGAAGAGTGGATGAGAGGAGCAGTCTAGCCCTAATAATGTTGCTTTCATGAATCTCTGCAGAGCGAACGATGGGCCTTTTAGAAACGTTGGACACGGACTCACATTCTCTGAACCATGGCTGGATACCTTGAGATCTGGTCAGAGATGCACACACCGCAGCCGCACCGCACATGACGAAAGAGCTTTTAGTCTGCTCATTAGCGGCTTCCGAACCCTGCGTGGAAGGCAGGAAGAGATTTTCTGGGTGACTGTTGGACCTGGCGGGAATAATGTGCAAATGTTGCGCGCACGCGTGAGATGTCTGCTGCACAGACTGGTGTAGGACTGGGCAAAGGGTCACACCCGCCAATGGTAGATCGAGGAGCAAGTCTGGTGGCTGCTGCTAAGGAAAGACACTGACCGCGGCAGATCACCGCTTTGACGCCACGCCGCGCGCGGTTTGATGTTACTGTTGGTTATTATTTCCATTGCCCGGCTCCTGATTAGGCTTGAACCGAAGCAACTGCCACGTGTGGAATGTGCTGCCTTGTTGCCTGGTACCTGAAGATGGTTGACCCGAACTGCCAGAGTGCGACATCGACTGCGACTCATGAGGCTGGGGAGTGTGGGCGGAGTGACTTTGCAGCGTCGTTTCAGAGTCCGCGATTGCGTTGGCTGCCCGTCCCCTCGTACGTTTACGCTATGCCACCACGAAATGACGGCCGGAAAGTGTAGCAGCTTCTTCTCCATCCCCCTCTCGCTGTTCCCTCCGGACCAGAAGCCCACTACCCATAAGGATAAGGGTAAGCTATCAATTAATTAGGGTTGAAAGCCTCGCAACGTGGCACCCGGTGGACGCCCAGCATCTTGGTGTAAAACGTTCACCTTTAATCCCGAGATTGTGTGATAGAGTTCTTCTACGGAATGTAGCCTCAAAATGGCGTCGAGAGCTGGAACATGAAGGATTACCTGACGCACTGATGGCCTCTTTGGCGAACTTTGTTCTGTACTTTTTAGCCCATTCCGGATGCCTCGAGATAGCTAATTAGTTGCAAGCAATGACGATGGTCGATTTGAGCTGGTGAAAGAAATGAGCTTGCCCACTCGGGTCCTCGTACAAGAGAAGGATCTGCAAGCCGCCGCTGTACCGAAAGAGCCGGAACTGTATCTGGCTTTTGAACGTCACCTCGACACGTAGAATGTGAGGTATGAAGATTTCTCGAGGCCAGAGCACGCCCTACGAGTAGACTTCTGGCTGCGGCTGCCACATGGCTTTGCTGAGAGCATCACGTAACGGAGCGCCTCTGTGTTTAGCCAGTGGTCATCGCACAACAGAAGAAAAGCCTGGACGCCGGCGGGACCGGGGTCTTTCGTCGAATGTGGCTTGGCAGTTAGCTACATACTCCTTGATCGAGGGTGCTGGTGGCTTGCTTGCTCTGAGTTTGGGGATCCTTGCAAGCATGACCGGTGCCCAGCCAGGCGGCGCTGAAACGGTCTGCAATGGGCGTCCAGGTTCCACGATGCAGCGGAAGCAATTCAAGGATCGAGGGCAGCATTCTACAGAACCTAGAGAGCACATGGAGAAGCGTTCTGTGCGAGTCGCGGATATACCATGACTCGAAAGAAGGTTTTGCTTCTTCATCCTCAAACATTCCATCGGTCCATCGTCCGAATCGAAGTCCTTGGAGTCCCATGCAACATGACATCTAAATTCTGGAGAAGGCAGACGGGCGGCAGGAAGCGGCTGCTCACGGACTACAGGAGAGAGGATCCTTCTATCAAGGTTTTGGTTGCCAAGCCCACTCAAGCTCGCAATACACGTAGAAAAAGTGCAATGGTAATAGGCAAACACACATGCCGCTCATCTTACTTTTGCGATACGGCAAGACACGGTCCGCACATTGTTACGTCCTCTACTGAAATTCTGATGTTGAGTATATGATGCTGCCGCAGACTCTGGTGTTATCACCAATGTGCACAGAGACGATGTGGAGCGAAATTTCTTCAGCTTCTGCAGCACGCAATTGAGTCGCTTCCTTATTTAGCAATCATGCAATGATAGGAGCCGAAGTCGGCACTGGCAGACGCTAGATTATATGTCGGGAACATGGCCCATATCGAAAGCCGAAAGTCAAGGGGTATGCAGTGAGGTTCTTTGCCAAGCCAAGGATGTATTAAAATCCGCCTGTGACGCCCAATCATGTACGACTCGGACGAAACGTCCCGCGGGACGGAGAAGGCTCGCAATTGAGTCGCGCAGAACTGTTACAGACTACAGCGGGTGAAGGATTCTCTGCTATCATGGTCTGTCCGCGACCCCAAACAATCAATGCCCACCGCCTCCAAATGTTGGAGTCCCAATCCGGATGAGCAGACGTGGACAATGACCACATGCGATGACATATTTGGGCATTCTTGTCTTCGTTGCTTTTGCTGTTGAGACACTAGATTGCAACCCGTAGCGGGATTAATTCGTATCAGTTCTACCATTCTTGCACTTCGCCAGCTTTGGGCTGTTGTACGCGAACGACCTTGTCACAGTTGAGTAAACACAGAGGGTCGAGAGCAAGCTTCATCTGTTTTCAAGCATGTTAGCCACACTATGAGACAAGGACAGCGGACCGGCAATCTGGGGTCATGGTATGCCTGAACGCGCCAGAAACTGTGTATCTGAGACTCACCTTTCTCATCAGATCGACCGTAGTGCGACCAACCTCATGCTCGAGATAGTCCCTCTTGACCATGCCGACCCCGTGCTCGCCAGTGGCTGTACCTTCCATTTCGATGGCACGTTTTACCATGCGATGAACAAGGTCTTCTGCAAGGCTATGTTCCTTGTCGTTATAGAGAATGATGGCTGTGCGAGTCAGTCACGGTCCGAGCATATTGTTTGTTCGGAGAAGACGCTTACCATGAAAATTTCCGTCACCGACATGTCCAACAATAGCTCCAGTCAGGCCGCTCTTTGATATGGCTTCCTTGGTCTCCTCGACAATATCAGGCAAGCGCGAGATGGGCACTGCTACGTCCGTAGTCCAGACATGGTCACCATCGTTCTGCTTCTTGGCCATGACGCTCCAGAGAGCTTCCTTTCTGGCACTCCAGAGCTCAAGAGCCTCATCCTGGTTCTTGGCAAACTCGAAGCTCTTGCTGCCCGAGGACTTGGTGAGTTTCTGCACAATCGCGATGTGCTCCTTGACGCTAGTTGGGGTCCCACTGAACTTGAAGAAGAGGGTTGGGGTTTCCTTCCATGATCGTGAGGTCTGTCCAGCATCGTTGATGCATCGCATCTGAACATCGTCCAACAGCTCAATCGCTGCAATAGGTACACCTTCTCCTACTACCTTGAACACGGCATTGGCTGCTTCTCTGACCGAAGCAAAGGTACACACTGCAACACTTGTGTTCTGGGGCTTGACAGTGACCTTTAGCGTAGCCTCTGTGACCAAGCCTAGTGTACCTTCACTTCCAATGAACATGCGTGTCAAATCATAGCCAGCGGATGACTTTCTAGGACGTTGTTTGGTCTTGACAATGGTTCCATCTGCGAGGACTACGGTAAGGCTCAAGACCCAATCCTTCATAGTTCCATAGCGGTAGGCGTTTGTACCGCTGCATCCAGTACCCACCATGCCACCAATCATGGCACCCGGACCCGGATCCGGAGGGAAAAAGAGGTTGTGGTCTGCGAGTTCCTCGTTCAGATTCTCCCACCCGACGGCGGGCTGTACGATTATGTCGAGGTCGTCCTTGTTCAACTTCAATATCTTGTCCATGCGGCTGAAATCAATGCATACACCGCCTCTTGTTGACGCGAAATGGCCTTCTAAGCTAGTTCCTCCAGAGTACGGTGTGACAGGAATGCGTCGACGATGGCAGATCTTCATAATCTCGCTCACTTGCTCGGTAGAGGCAGGCCTGACAACGCAGAAGGGTTGGTCGCCGGGATGAGAGGGGTATGAGCTCCATTCCGAACCAGAGTGTGAGGAGAGGTCTGAGGCCTCGGTCGAGATGTTGTCTTGGCCTACGATGTCACGGAAGTCGGTCCATGCGGCTTCAAGATTGGTTGGAGCGATGTTATGCTTCGGAGGTTGGACGGCTGCGAGCGGTAGTGTCGAGTTCGGGGCAGGGTCGGCAGGGGCTTGTTGACCAGCGATATAACCACCCAGAGCACCGGTCAGTAAGACTGTGAGTTGTGAGCCTGTGGGGATTCTGAACAGGTGTGGAGGTTAGAAGAAATACCCAATGGCACCATCCATACAGGCGATCCTCCAGAGCCCTTCTGAGCAGCTCGAATCTCAGCAAACCGAAGTTGATCCGCACGTTCTCTTTGTAACCTCTGTGCAGTACTGTCGTACAACTGGCCCTTGAAGGACTTGCCTTCACTTTCCGAAGCATAGCCTCGATGTCCTACTCGTTTTGCGGCACGGGGTGCTTTCGCCATCACCCGGCCGAGTGGCTGCGTCCTTTCGACGTGCGCAATGCTGTTACGAAGCATCTTGCTGGGTTCCTAGCGTACTTTGACCAAGGGAGCAGAGGTTGAACTGCCCTTTCAAGAGGGGACAAGGGTCGGTGATATGGAAGCTCTCGCGCAATATGACGAGCGGGCGCCCTCAGCGATTGTGAGTGAAGCAATTTCTAGCCAATCAAGACTCGTTCTGGCCGACCTCCGCCTTTTCGGAATACCGACTTCCGCGGTTGCACAGGGTTACCACCACGGCAAGAACTTCTAAGCATGAGAGGGATCTCCACAGGACGAGACCTTGAGCAAGACATTCTTTCGACAAACGCTGGTATTTGCTCCTGTGAACTTATGGAATAGATACACAAGACACGCAACATACACAGCGTGAGAAGCTTGAATCAAATAGACACGTGAAACAAACGGCACACAGGAAAAAGCTATGTGAGGATTGGAAGTTGTTGATTTCAGATGGATCATGAGTTTTTCACTTCTCCCTTATTTATGGTGATACAATCTCATGGCCTCGATCGTCAAGTCGTGATGGCCGTCGTGTGTTGATAGCTCTGGACATCTACTGCATGTCGGCGAGACGCTCCTTGACGTGTTCCTTGGCCTCATCAGAGACGTTGTCGTTGTGAAGAGCAGCCTTGAGGCCAGCAGCACTAATAAATCGTTTAGCAGGTGTGGAGACTTAGATGAACAACAAGACTCACACTCTGGTGGCATCCTTGCCGTCGTCAGCGTGAGAAGTGTGGGTGACTTCGTCGAGGTGGACCTTGACTCCCTCCTTGGCCTCATCAGAGACGTTGGGGTTGTGAAGAGCAGCCTTGAGGCCAGCAGCGCTGAGACAAATTAGTAAATACCAAGTCTAGAGTCTGAAATGTTGCCATACACTCTCATGGGGTCCTTGCCATCATCGTCGTGAGTGGTAGCGCCGGTACCAGAGGTGGCCTCGGTGCCAGTCTCCTTCTCGATGACTTCGAGCGAGTGCTGCTTTGACTTCTCAGAGGTATTGGGGTTGCTCAGGTTGGCCTTGTGGCCGCCAATGATGTTTCCGATGTTCGACATGGTGATTCTTGTGGGTGGAGGTTGGAAGTGGTGTTTGGTTGATGGAGATCTCGCTTGTGGCCGGAGAAGAGTGTGAGATGAAGAGAAGAGAGTTTATGAAGGAAGGAAGGAGTTCTTATAGCTTGTTGGATGGAAGAAGTGAATAGGCGTAACTCCTTCAATTGAGTGAGTTGCTTGTCAGGCAGCAGTCACTTTGAACTTGGTAGAATACCGTTTGCTTGTCTTACCGTGCATACATATCCGACACATAGACCATCACGTCTAGCAAGTAGAAACGCACGAAATCATTCAGGTTGAAACAGCTTGGGCAGATTGATCAGACTCTCCTGACAGCATAACGATGCGCTACACCAATTAGAACTAGGGATGATCCGTCCGATTGATGTAAGCAATCAGGCATTACTCCAATCAGGTATGACTGTAGCCTTTGGAGCGCGCTCATCTTATGCAAAGCTCCGAGTGAGTCTTTCAGAGGGGAGGGGCCAACTGGTCTGGTCAGATGGCTGACGGAACGAAAAAGATCACGATTTCACGACGCGCTCATGTCGCGTGGCGTTCGCGAATCAGGTACTCTCCGCTTGATTGGGTCGGCAGCTTATGCATACTCAGTCACCTACAACAATGTTACCGATGGGTATCGTGTCAAAAGCTCGGCAAAACCGTCTTCATGTGTCACTCGGACCGTCACGTTGTGTAGCGGATAGATAGGAAAGCATTTCACATGAGATGTTTGATACCGAGCTGAAGAAGGGCCTCGGCCTCAAATAGCCGAGGCACGATAGCAAGATGAATTATCTAAGAGCACTGGGGAAAGGATGATCTACCAACAACAACCAATCTGTTTCTGTCACCACAAGCCAGCATGTCGACCTTGATCAAACCTCCACCAGCCGATCCCAGCAAATCACCCATTGAAAGTGTGCTGGAGCTCAAGCAGCTGACGGACATCGATCCTGGAATCTTCACAAACACACGGCCTTTGTGGCACCCCCCAGGTGCTCGAGGTATCTATGGAGGTATGTATCGCCATGGGATTTGTGTTATCGACTTCTCATGAGTAACAGGTGCTGTTATCGCACAATGCCTCGCGGCCGCGCAACGAACAGTCCGCGATGATTTCACCGTCCACAGCATGCATTGCTACTTTGTGCTAGCCGGCAACGCAGAGATTCCGATCATGTATCACGTCGAAAAAGTACGAGACGGCCGAAGCTTTGCTACACGTACAGTGCAAGCACGACAGCGAGGACGTCCCATCTTCACAACGACCATGTCGTTTGTTCGAGAAAACAGCGGAGGATCCGAGCGGGTGGAACACGCAGTCGACATGCCCGAAGTGCCGGGCCCTTCAGAAGATTTGGATATTCCACAGCAAGACAATAGCCCTTTCCAGAGCCAACGCATCCACATTCTGAATCACCAATCGGGTAGACCGCAAGACAAGAAGACGAGACAATGGATCAAGGCCAGGGGCAAGATCAGTCCTAGTGGCGGACATCAGGCACATTTGTCTGCTCTTGCATACATGAGTGACAGCTACTTCATTGGCACAGTATCAAGAGTGCATAGGCTGTGGCGATTCTCGACGTCCGACAAGGACGGGAAGTCGACGATCGATAATTCAGTGCTCGAGAAACTTCGCGACATGGACGATGATACTCTGCGAAGGATGCAAGGAATGGACGAGGATGTCATTATTGCATTGCGTAACATGAAGGATATAAACAGCGTGGAGCAGAGACGGCCAGAGGTGGGCATGATGGTGAGTGGGAAGAGGTATATCAAGGGAACAAGAGGCTGATGAGTGGCGCAGGTCAGTCTCGACCATACCATCTACTTCCACTCGCCGCGCAGCTTTCGGGCAGACGAGTGGATGTTTACAGAGATGGAGAGCCCCTGGGCGGGTGATGGCAGAGGGTTGGTCTTGCAGAGGTAAGGGCCCACATGTGCGAATATGATGAAGAAGCAAAGCTAAAGACACACAGGATGTTCACCAAGGACGGCGAATTGGTGGCTACATGTGTGCAGGAGGTAAGTGACAAATACAAGCAGAAGCACGACAGCAAGGCTGACAGGTCAATGCAGGGCGTGGTCCGACTGAAGGAGGGCAATAGCAACAGCAGCAAGAGCAAGAGCAAGAGCAAGAGCAAGCAGGAGGTTGCGAGCAAACTGTAAGGGCAAGAGTGACTCAAAGGCGTGTTAGGGCGTGCAATCATGGTGGCAGTCCAGGGTTAGGGCGTGCAATGGAGTACCTAAGGTAGTCGTGTCCAGGGCTAGGGCGTGGTATTTGGGTTGGAGTCTAGGGCGTGGAGAGAGAGGGCAGCGGTTATCGGCGGGCGTCATAACCCCGCAGCCATTTTTTCACAGACGAAGAGTCACGATGTCGGAGCATGTTGTCACAGTCACAGTCACACATCCGTTGCAGTCATCTCGGTGTTTAGCTCTGCAGTCATATTATATATACCAAGTCTGATTTGAGCCCACTGCCTCCACTCAAGCCTTCGATCACTCCCTTGATACCCAATTGCTCCATCCAAAGACAGCCCAAGATGCCCATGTACGAAATAAAAGAGCCACAGCCGCAAACTCAGGCATAGGACTGTAAACTGACAAAGTCGACAGGCTCAAAGAACCATGGACCAAGTACCCAAAGTTCCAGCCTCTTGACCTCCCCAACCGCCAATGGCCCTCCAAGACAATCGACAAGGCGCCGCGATGGCTCTCGACCGATCTCCGCGACGGCAACCAGAGCTTGGTGGACCCCATGGACGGCGAGCAGAAATGGCGATACTTCCAGATGCTGGTCAAGCTTGGATACAAGGAGATCGAGGTCTCGTTCCCCTCGGCCTCGGACACGGACTTTGAGTTCACACGCCGTCTCGTAACCACTCCCGGTGTCGTGCCTGACGACGTCGCGCTCCAGGTCCTCTCACCATGCCGCAAGGAGCTCATCCGCCGCACCGTCGACTCGCTCAAGGGCGCCAAAAAGGCCATCCTCCACTTGTACCTGGCCACCAGCCCGTGCTTCCAGCAGATTGTCTTCAACATGAACAACGAACAGTCCAAGGCCCTCGCCGTAGAATGCACCAAATACGCCCGCAGCATCACCAAGGACGACCCCGAGCAGAAGGGCACAGAATGGTCCTACGAGTTCTCCCCCGAGACCTTCTCCGACTCCAACCCAGACTTTGTCCTCGAGGTCTGCGAGGCCGTCAAGGCTGCCTGGGAGCCGTCCGAGGAACACCCCATCATCTTCAACTTGCCCGCTACCGTCGAGATGTCGACACCCAACGTCTACGCCGACCAGATCGAGTACTTCTGCCGCAACATTTCGGAGCGTGAGAAGATCTGCGTCTCGCTCCATCCCCACAACGACAGAGGCTGCGCCGTAGCTGCTGCAGAGCTCGCTCAGATGGCAGGCGCCGACCGTGTCGAGGGCACCCTCTTTGGAAACGGCGAAAGAACTGGAAACGTCGATCTTGTCACCCTTGCCTTGAACCTCTACACTCAAGGTGTGCCGCCCAACATCGACTTCAGCGACATCAACTCGGTCATCGACATTGTCGAGAAGAGCAACAAGATCCCTGTCCATCCCAGAGCCCCTTACGGTGGCCAGCTCGTCGTGTGCGCTTTCTCGGGCAGTCACCAGGACGCCATCAAGAAGGGCTTCCACTTGCGCAAGCAGAACGGCAGCGACGACAACACACGCTGGCAGATCCCCTACCTTCCGCTCGACCCTCAAGATATCGGCCGCACTTACGAGGCCATCATCCGTGTCAACAGCCAGTCTGGCAAGGGCGGTGTCGCCTGGATCATCCAACGCACTCTTGAGCTCGATATGCCTCGTGGTCTCCAAGTCGCCTTCAGCAAGATCGTACAAAAAGAGACGGATGCTTTGGGCCGTGAGTTGCAACCCACCGAGATCAAGAACCTCTTTGTCAACGCCTACCACCTCGAAAACAACCCTCGCTTCCACCTCATCGATTACGACATCACCACCGACCGTTCCATCTCGCCTGCTGCTCCCACCGATGGCAAGACTGCTTCCAACAAGAACCTCAAGCGTCGCTTCGACGGTGTCATCGAGGTCGACGGCAAGGAGCACCGTATCCAAGGTGTCGGCAACGGTGCCCTTTCATCTCTCGCAAACGCTCTTAAGACCCTTAACATTCACCTCGATGTTGATGACTACAAGGAGCACGCCATCGGTCGTGGTAGCGATGTCAAGGCCGCCACCTATATCGAGTGCTCCACCGGCTCACACAAGGTTTGGGGTGTGGGTGTCCACCAGGATGTTGTCCAGGCTTCTCTCATCGCCCTCTTGTCTGCCGCTTCTTCGGTAAGTCGTTAACTCTTCACTTTGTCTTGGTGTGTGACAAGTCTGATCCATTATTCATTGCAGTTCTTGTCAAGTAGACCAGGCACTCCCATTTCCTTCAGCGCACCCAAGCTCGACTCTTTGAAGCCGAGTGACGCTCCTTCCAGCGGTCCCGACTCGAAGAGCCATGTTGTTGCAAACTTGGAAGCAAAGACCGAAAACGGCAGCGCCCAATAAAAAGGCGAAGAAGGACTACCTGATTCTTGGTACTCGGTTCCTTCTGATACGTGTGATGTCCTGACTGTCTTTCTTTGCTATCTCCAAAAATATCCCAGGTTGTTGGTTTGGTTATCCTGAAATAAATTTTTAACAAAAGTTACATCATGCTTTTTCTCCCTTCTCTATTTGATATCTTGAATACGACGCTCTTATTATCTTTGACTATTGTTCCCATATTGTACCAGAGGCTTGTATTTTTCTGCTTGCTTGAATCTTGCTTGTTTTATGATTCTACAGTATGGATGCTGTCTTTGCTTAGTCGTTCTTTCCCTTTGTCATCGCTAAGAAATGTTCCGACCATTTTGGAGTTGGATGACCAATAGGCAGGCTGTTCCATCGCGGTTGTTCTGCTTGGTGATCACTCAGAGAGAGCAGTGCATAGTTGAAGAATCGGCTATTAGAGGCAGAGGACAAGAAAGAATCAGTCAAGTAGGATAAGATTAAGAATGCAAAAGCTATTTGATAAGAGTGATATCTATGCTATGCACACTTCGTTTCCATCGTGCGTCTCTTCGTCTTCTTCATACGACAATAATGCCATCTCCGACTCGTTCTTCCAACCCAATATAAGACCTTTCGTGTATATTCCAAACCACAAATGACAGAGCCGGCAAAGGAAACCAAAAACAAATGAACAATGCTGTTCTAGTCCAGTTGCTTTCTACCTGGAATTCAAGTTCAGATGCCTCAACGCGTCTTGCGACCAGTCTTCATCGCTGTCGATACTGGTGCGATTGGCAACTCTTAATCCGCCCGACTGCATAGGCATGTCAACAGGTGATCGTGGGCTTCCTCCATAATGACCCCGGTAGTCTGATCGAGGTGGGGGTTGATGTTGCTCGGGTGCTGCGCCTGCAAAGTCTTGTTCTTCCGAGAAACCGTAGATCATGTTACCCTCCACTGGAGAATAGTCCAATGTGGTGTTCAGTGCAAGGTCGCGTGGGCGCTCGTTGGTAGGTGTGTGGTCATTGTTGTGCAGAAACTCCACTGCCGGCGGCGGCATGTCGTCAGTGTAGAGTTGTTGTGGGTTGGATTGCATGTCAAACATGTGTGGTTCTTCGGCCAATGGCAATTGTGAGATGCTTTCCACATGACGGAGAGAGCTGCCTGCTGTGCCGGGAGCACGGTTGATACTGCCGGGCCCTCCTCTGAAGGCGCCTGCGCCTGCGGTACCAGATTGTACGCTGCTGCGCCTGCCCTGTGGTACCTCGTTTGGCACCGCGGTGCCTACACTACCTTCAGAGTCGGGGTCGCGGATGCTGAACTGAGCTATCGTGCGCATCTTGCGTGAGACCCAACTGGCCAAGATCTTGCCTCGTTGTTTTTCGCCGAGTCGTGATCGTGGAAAGTCGCCTTTCTGAACAAAGGCGACAATATCAAGGACAAGTTGATGTTCGTTGAGTACTGTGTTGACTATCATCGGTACTATCGATGCAAGGAAGGCGCGAGTGCGAGACTCTGCAATGAGGACTAGAAGCGAACCCGCTTGGAAAATAGCACTATTCAGTCAGGGTCAGCACAGTTCAAATCCAGAAAAGCTCTTCGATCCACATACCATCCGCCAGAAACCAATGCACGATGGCACCTTTCTACGCTTGCTTCGACGTCCATAGGGAAGTGTTGGAGACCGTTAACCTCGAATGTCTCACCAATTCCGCCAAGGACGAAAAGAACCTGCATCTCAACCATATTGCCGCCGGGCCCAATAGGCCTGCTGACACTGTGCAAGAAGCCGAGATCTCCAGTTCGCATGTACCTCACCCCAGGGTCACCATCTACTGTTCGACCATTGAAGCGTTCGGCATCGAATGCATCTTTGGAGCCATAGAAGGAATAGGCAGAGGCTTCGCTTTGCACCCAGATCTCACCGTACTCGCCTGCCAAGCACAGGCGGTTGGTCTCCGGGTTAACAATACTGATTTGAGTGCTGACAGGTACCATTCCTGAGTCCTGAACCAGGAGAGCAAACGGTTCGGTATCTGGGTCGACAGGTGCCACCAACCCGCGACGGAGAGCGTTCGTGTCGAGATAAAGCTCAATAGGTTCTATGCACATGTAGCTTCGACTTGCGACCATGGGATTGAGCACATGGCTGTAGATGGTATTGATGGCAGTCCTGTCGAGAGCTGCTTGAGAAAAGGCTACGCGGACCTTTGAGTACACATCCGCGCGGGGTCTCTGGTCTGTAGCGATCATAAGGTTCTTCAGCTCGAGAAGAGAGGTTGACTTTCCAGCGTTGTGAGCCATAGCATGGTCGAGCATTTGCGACGTAGCGTAGGTGTCCTTGATCTTGTAGCGTGATAATATCTGGAACAGGATGCTGGGGTTTGCAGCAAAGTCAACCGGTGAAACCAGATACGTAGGAGCGGCCAAGAATATTCCCATCAGACAAGTGTGCAGGAAACCAATACCCATAGTAGATCTGACACAACCCAAAACAGGGCGCGTGGACGTCATCTGACAGGTTTCTTTCTGTACTTTGCATAATGCCATGATAGTGTCATGGCCGAGCTGAACAGCGATACGACGTTGGTCGGGCGTCCAATAGGTCCAGATGAGAGCAGGGAACCCTTGAGCTACCCATGCTGGTCGCATGACGAAACCCAAGTCGCGACACCCATGCGATTGTTTTGGTGGTTTGGAAGTATTGTAAATGTTGGGCAAGTTGACCTTGAGGATCAAAGCAGATTGCTTGAGGTGCTGCGAAACGGCTTTCTGTCTCAGAAGCGAATCAACATCGGCGTTAACGATAAGAGCTTTGATGCGGAAATCGGCAATGACGTGAAGCAGTGCTGGAGCATCCTCATGAAGTCTGTTAGAATCGATGGGAGCCATTGGTACAGCTACAACACCTAGACAGAAGCAAGCGTGTATAGCGTACACGAAGTCCTCTGAGTGCGTATACATAAGCAGCAAGTGATCACCAGGCTGAACCTTGACTTTGTTCTTCAAGTACGTAGCGACACCCGCAACCTTGAGATCGAACTTCTTCCAGTTGACGCCCTTGCCTTCTCGGCCACGGCCATCAATGGTGCAGTAAGCGAGTTCTTCTGCCTGTCGCGAAACGCGCCATTGCATCAAATCATGGATGTTGGAAAACTGGTTGAGAGGTGTCGATGTTCTGTCATCGATCACGACCTCACGATGGTCTACGCCAGAGTATTGCTTGTCTTGCAGCATTAAGAGGTCTTGCCTCGCCTGCGAGGCCAATGGCGACCAGATACCGCCAGCAGGGTCGTCACCCAGCGGTAAGTTCTGAACAGCCCTCTCAACACCAAACTTGACGTAGACGCATTGCAAAGCTCCATTGTCAAAGTCCTTTCTGCACAACATGTTTCCGATATCTCTTCGACCGTTCTTGACAACACGCGGCAGGGTGTTTGGCGCCGTCAACATCACACAATAGACTCGCAGGTGGTGTTCCTGGTAGAGTACTTCCATGACGCGCTCCGTAAGCGAATCTAGGAAAGGAATGTCTAGTTGCCTTGGTGGTCCACCCGCCGTAGTAGGAGCTGTGGAGGCGGCCTGCGACTCTAGGAGGACGAATGGAAGATATTCGCCATTGACGTGCGCATCGAACGCAGAACAATCGAAGATCTTGGGTACGGTCTTCATGATACTGGTGACCAGGTGCTGGACGAAGAAGTATCGGTGCTCGTGCTCTTGAACACCATTCTCGACCCACTCGACTCGCTGTCTTATACGATCTTCGTAGAGGCCGAGCACGTATACCTTTCCCTCAATCACACACCCAAGAAGACCGGTACGCAGAAACTCGGGTTCAACCAGGACTGGGGTAGGGCTGCCCTCGACAAAGCGGTAGGGCCGAGCGTGGAAGATGCTCTCCGTGTGCCTCGGGAGAGCCCAGAATCCTCCAGACAGAGATGGCGAATCGACCCAAATTTCACCAATAGTGAACGGTGAACAAAGTAGGCCAGTCTCAGGGTCGACGAGAGCAAGCGTCGCGTCCGGGATGGGATATCCGAAAGCGCCTGCTCTTACAGTTCCGGGCTCGTTAGCTCTCTTCCTAGCGTCTTCACCCATAGCCAGAACAACAATTTCGTTCGTCTTCAGTGCTTCCTTGTCAAGGAGCACCTCACTCAGCTCGTTCCGACTGTTCTTCTGGCCCTTCTTAGCTGTGGTGCCTCCAACGCTGCCTAGCAGACTGGAATAGTTGTTGGAGTTGCCCTGGTTTGGATTCCCGTCATCCTTGTCGAGATCTGCCTCGTCAATACTCAAAGGACAACCCATCCTTTCTTCACCGCCAAGCCAATCTCTAACGGATACAATCATGCCTCCGTGTTCAGGCAAGCAAAGCATCGGCGCGACCAGTTCCCTAGCACGAGGATTGCGCATAGGTCTGAACCAGCGATCAGCCAGGATCTCGTGGAACTCACTATCCACGGTAATAGTGTCAATCAAACATATCTTGACAGTCGAGAAATTGGGCTCGGCGTTCTTTTTGAAATTCCTTGTGGCCATTGGGTCCTGTTGGTAATTGTACGCAGTCCGTTTAAGACCTGGATAATCGGCAACCATGATGGTTGTCCTATACTTTGTAATCAAATGAGCGTACATTCCAGGTGTATCGACAGTCTTGGCTTCAAGCCAAACTGTGGTATGACCACCATAGACGCCGAACAGTACACCGAGAATCAAGCCGACGCCTTCTCTCGGGTCGAGATAGGACAGTATAGTTTCGGCCTTTGTTCCTGGTGGTGCTCTGAATCCAGAATCAGGATCGCTGGTGGGAATGGTAGACACGATGGCGCTGACACAAGCCATTTGGTGCATGATGGTACGATGACTTAGGACAACACCACGCAAGTCACCTGTTGGAGCTCGAGAAAATTCTATGTAGGCCAGATCCGGCACCTGCAAAGGTGGAGTGTCGTCCTTCTTTTTTGGATGATAGCTGCCGAATTCATTAGTTTTCCACCATTCAACACCAGAGGGCCATTTCAAGCGCTGTTGGCTGATGTCACGGTGGAAAGCCTTGAGGTTATTATCCGTAGTCAGAGCGAGATGGGCCTGAGTGGTGGTGAGAAGAAGACCGAGCTTCTGATAGTCGTCGACGTTATTGATAGGTACGGCAACAACACCGGCGATAAAACAGCCCATGAGAGCGACAGCAAAATCTATGACCTCGGTGTCGCGATAGACCAAAGCAACACGATCTCCACGGTATAGGTTGCTCTTGTCACGAATGACCTGGGCTACCTTTTCTGCCCTGCTGGCCAACTTCTCCCATGTAATCGAGGCCGTCTCTTTACCCTTGGAGTCAAGGACCCAGTATGCAGGTTGGCGACCATTAGATCTAGCTCTGTGACGGAGAACTGCACCAATATTGTCAAAGTTGGACATGGGAACAGTCTTGTTATGGGGATCGTAGACGGCGAAGGGTACCTCTCTTGGCTCAAGAGGTAGCTGATGTATGGGAGCGGCGGAATCAATGTCGTTTGAGGACATCAATGGAGGAGGGATATTGGCAGTAGGAGAGAAGGCTTCACCCATCGAGTAGCGTTGTGGACCACCATAACTCTCTTCGCGGGACTGATCCTGCATCTGCTGGCCAGCAAAGTCGTCGAAGAAGCCCTGCTGAGAGTCGAGCATAGTGCTAAGGCGGCTCTGAACATCGGGTGATGGCTGCTGGTGTTGCTGATGGGGGAGTAGGTGGTTGTACTGAGGGTCTGGATTGAAGGCATAGTCGGAACCGTACATGCTGGCAGGCGTGGAGCGGCCTTGGAAACCCGAAACGGTGCGTTCGACGGCGGTCGGGGCATTGCTGAAGTTGTCCTCGGCGGCGTAGGGTCCGGCAGAGATGTTTGCTAGGGAGGCAGTACGCGACTGGCCGGCCGAGGACAAGGCGTCCAGCTCGCCGTGTCCATAGAACTGCGATAGCAGGAGCGTCCGGCGCTTCTCGTACCTGTCGCGTGTCAGTCTTCTGCCATCGGAGAGGCCCCTCCCGGGCTGCAGCGCACCCTTTCTTCGTGATATCGCCGTCCTCTAGCTCGTGGTCCAGCTCGCGCAGTTTGGCCTGCAGCTCTTCCTCGGCCATGGCGGCGGCATGGGGTGGGGTCTGTCGCTCGCTCTAGATGTCGGTCGCCAGCTTCTCTCAGCTCTGGCCGATTGCGAGTACTTGGGAACGCAGGTCGAAGCTTGTCCAATTCTTGTTGAGGATGTTGTCTGTGAGAAAGCTGTGATCCGCCCTCGTCGACATCATGAAACCATGTGGGTGTCGCCGGTGACCCATGTGCCGCCTTTGCTTGGCAGGAACCAACCCTCCTGCTTCATCCCAGCCTCCTAATCCAAGTACCGCCTGCCGCTGCAAGCACCGTTCCCACCTGCCGATTGTGTTTCAAGGGGCACACCTATTTTACCTGCCTGCCAACCCGTGCATCTTTGATTCCGTGCCTGTCATCATCAAGCTACTGCCTTGTCACACAACCCACTCTGACTTGCATCGGAACTTTGGTTACCAATTAGAGACATGTGCTACATTTCACATCTTGTCTATGTACGACTATAGGAAGCACTCCACAAATGCTAATCATGAATGCGCTGAGAAGATAAGGTATCGAACAGGAGAAAACAAAAAATGCACATCCAGCGCTTTAATACGTGAAAGCTTCCTCATGAAACGTGATATTGCCAACATCGACCTTCTTGCGCACTGCCGCTCGTACGCTGTCTGCGAATGCTCCAGGCCCGCAAACGACGACGCCCATCGCTCCAACTTGCTCCGCTACCTCCTTCTCGAGCACTGTTGACGGGTTGCAGCGACCGGGGAACATCTGCACTGTGCCTGTTCGGCTGTTGACTTCGTTCTGGTTTCGAGGCTTGGTGACAAAGAGCTGTACGCGAAGCACCTCCTTGCGACCTTCCATCTTAAGGATTTGGTCCATCCATGGTCGTGCCCATTCGAGCGCTTCGGTAGTGGGCACCGACCAAACGAGGAGAATGCGACGTGTTGAACACGTTCCTTGGGAATATTGTGTCAAGAGACGATGCACGTATCCAACACAGTGTGTGATGCCGACACCTCCGGCAAACAAGACTGCGGTGCCGTAAGATGCCAGCTTCTCGTGGCCGCCATATGGTCCTTCCATGGCACCTGGGAGTGTGATCATTCCACTGGGAGAGGCACATGCCTTCTCATACAGCTTGCGTGTCATTCCAGATCTGGCACGAATGATCAGACTCACGTGCGTGACTTCTGGTCCGTCGCTGTCTGAGATTTGTGTTTTGTAGTGCGAGATAACAGACTGATGTTTGGGCATATTCCAAGATGGTAGCTTCTCCATCTCAATCTCGAGGGGGGCGCTTCTTGGCTTTGTTTCCGCCCAAGCCACTGAGAAGGGGTGTGATGCCCACAGACCAACGGTAGGGAAGTAGACATGGACGTGCGATCCAGGGATGTAGTTCCATGATCTGGCAAGCTCGAAGGTGACGCGGCAGGCCTCGCCGGGAAGTGCTTCGACGTGTGCTCTCGACATACCGGACTTCAAGCTGAAGTTGTAGTAAGCCACGCGCACAAAGCGCGAGAGCCATTCAAGTCCCCAAAGGATAATGACGAATTTGATGTAGGGTGTTTGCGGGAGGTTGTGCTTTTCGAGATGCACGTAGACACCGATAAGACCCAGCAAGACCAGGACACGGTGGAGATTGAGGAAGGTTTCGTAGAATGCATGGCGCAGGGGCGAGAAGGCTTGAACGATGATCATGGTGAACGCGCAGGTGCCGACCATGCCCCAGGCATAACTTGGAGTTGCCAGGTTGTCCTTGAGACCATCATAACCAACCGAGTCAATGACGTTGACGAGGTAGCAGATGGTATGGACAATGCTTTCGATGGCGCAAACTCTGGCGCACCATCTGTGCAGAAGGTTGAAGGTGTCGTATGACACTCTGAGGAGAGGAATCAAAGGGTTGTTGCGCATGGCAAAGAGCATGGTCGGGATGATGTTGAGTGCAGCGAGCTCACCACTGCGACCCCGAAGTTCGGCGATGACGGCAGCACGGTCCTCGGTACCCCAATGCAAGACTAGGCAATAGGCAATGTTGGAAAACAGGTAGACGGTGAGCAGGAGGGTGTGGAAACGAGACGGGAGAGTGCCGATGCTAATTGCTGAGGAAAGCTGAATCTCCTTGTTATGGCGGTTGCGACCTAGCGGGGCGTACAGCAGATGCTTTTTGATCTTTGGCCAGATTGAGGTATGGTTCTGAGCCCAGTAAACTTGCCTATCCGGATTGCTCATAGTGAGTAGGTGCCGGATGTGCGCATTGCCCATGGTTGCCCATCGGAACAACAATGTCAGTACACACAGTCCACCGAGAGAGACGCAGAGAACAGCAGCGAAGAGATAGTTCGCGGTTTGATCTACGCCCGATAGTCCATGGGCGTATGGTGATAGTTCTTGTACAGTAGCATTAGCGAGTGCATTGAGCTCACTAGTGAGCCCTCTTGGGGCGACAGCCATTTCCGCAGCGCGACCAAAGGCAGAGTGCAGGTGAGAGTGCGAGTGGTGAGAATGCATGGCGACCGGCGCGGTGCAGGGACAAGCCTGTATCGAAGAACAAAGAAGGAATTGGTAGTGTCGGTTCAGTCAAATCCGGAGAGCAGAAACAAAGAACCGGCTTTGTAGTGGTGAAGTAGGCGTTCGTGGCTTGATTGCAATCCAAATATCCGGGTCGATGTGGTGGTAGTAGAGTAGTTGATGAGATTGATGGAAGTGCCAGTGGGGAAATCCAAGTGGTGATTATCGCTCGCAGATGTCAAGGAGATTGGTGGTCGTCGTTGAATAATGCGAGGCCGAACAATAGGCCAACAATGACTATTGTGACATGCCTTTGTGAAAGGCACGGAAGAAGACAAAAAGTGAGTGTCGTCGGCCTTGTGTGTCGCGAATCCGAAGGCGCGAAGTGAAATTGATGGTTTTTGATCGTCAATCTTGCTGTATGTCCAGGGATAAGCAGGGGGGTTCTGGAATGCAACAGGCTTTTGGCTGTTTGAGAGCTGTTTATGCGCAACGCAGAGTGGGTAAAGAGCGTCACGGTGACTCGGCGTCAGACAAGAAACGAGTGTGAGTGAAATGGAAGGAAGTCACGAAGGATTTCCCTGGCGAGTGGAACAACAAAAGACAGCAATGGTTGTCGCAGGAGAAAACGATGGCAGTCCGCCTACATAAACACACAAATCCAGATTGGCCTCCTTGTGGCTCCGCATATGTGGACGCTTCTGGCACTAGGCGGCTAACGGTTATTGGCCTGATTGGCACCAAGCCACTGTTCCTGCAGACGTGTTTCATCTGTCTTTAAAGCGCCTACCGATGGCTTTCTGGAGCTCGTCGGCAGTCTATCTCGAACATTGAGACCATCAAACAATTCTGCCCTCGCCTGTGAATTCCGCTACGCTTGCAGAAGAGGGCTGACCATCGTATAGCCGATTTCTGGGCAGCGTGGTATATCGTGACCCTCGCTACGCAGGATATTGTTGTTGACCGCTCGGTCGCACAAATCGATCTCACGGCTCCTTTTGCCGTCCGAGAGCTTGCTCGTGTGCGTCACTCAAATTAGGGCCAAGAAGAAGCAGGAGGCGCTGTCCGTCCTCACGCCATATCAGTTGCTAGCCTATTTTAAAATCCATGCTGCTGTTTATTGCAACGGACACAAGACCCTTAGACGGATGTGATGGACATGACGCTCATGCTTTTGTCCAATTGTTTGCTTTTCGGTATGTCACTCTTGCTTTGTTATATCGACAATAAAGGAGCTTCTTGTAGAAGGATACTTAAGTGGAGACATGCAACTCGCAATTTTGACGTTGACCAAAAGGGAAATCACAACTTGGCGCTCGGCAATACATACAGCATATCCCTGTGTGGCGGTGCATCGACGTAGCACGTAGGTGTAGCTTCCACTCTTTGCCTCATAGGCAACCGTATCTTATCTATCGTCTTCTCAAACTGCCATCCATCTACTCTACTTTCAATCTCTTTCTGGCATCATCAACAAGTGCCCTCGCTTGTTGTACCGTTTCAGAAGCACACCACATCTCGTGTAAATATCAAGTGCTTCGTCAATCATGTCCCATCACGGATCTGATCCTGACCTTCATCGAGCGATATCTCTTCGCCCGTCACCTTTTCACAATCACCCCGAACCATCCACTCGGATCGGGCAATTGCCAGAAGGTGCACTTCCTGTTCCTTCACTGCCGCAGACCAAACCCGGTGCTTCTACGTCTTATGAGGTCGTCGAGTCTCATGACCCTGTCTCACGCCCCGCATACGCTCGTAACGCCAGTGAATCTGGAGATGTTGAAGGTCGACCATTTCCGACCTACACTGATCAAGATGACCCTCTCGATTTGTCCAGCCGACTTAAGAGCGCCGAGCAACTAAATGCCATACAAGCAAACACTTCCAAGAAACGTCAAAGTGCTAAAGATCGTCTTTGTGCACCAGTCGCCCAAACCAAAGATGCCGTGCAGTCACGCAAGATCAGAGGCTTCTACGAGGGCCAGAACGAGGCTATCGAAAGGATGCTGAAGTCAGTCGACGAACACAGAAGAGAAGCCAAAGAAGAAGCAGGTGCCGACCATTTACAGTATAAGATTGCCGTCTATGGTTCTTTTGCAGCAAACGTTGTCCTGGCTGGTCTTCAATTGTATGGTGCTATATCCTCCGGCTCTTTGTCACTGTTTACCAGCATGTCTGACGCTCTGTTTGACCCCTGCAGTACATTTCTGTTGATCTTGTGCAATAGAGCGGTCAATCGGGTTGATCCACGCAAGTTTCCAGCTGGGAAAGCTCGTATTGAGACCGCAGGCAACATCTGCTTCTGTTTTCTGATGTGTAGTGTCTCATTCATCTTGATTGTCATGTCCGCACGCGAGCTTGCTACGGAGCCTGAGGCCGAAACGAAACGATTTCATCTTCCGGCTGTCCTGGCCGTCTGCATAGCATTTGCCACTAAATTCGCTCTTTTCTTGTACTGTTGGTCTCTGAGAAACAAACACTCCTCTATTCGTATTCTATGGGAAGGTAAGCAACATATCGTTTGTTATTCAAGTTGTGTAGCTCGACCATATCATTAGCACGAACCGAGCTGATTTTGTCATTTACAAGACCACAGGAACGACCTTTTCATTAACGGGTACGTCTATTGCTTGAGTTTCAACTCATTCATCTTGACTGACAATGATCAGATTCGGTGTACTGGCTTCCGTAGGAGGTAGCAAACTTGCGTGGCAGATTGATCCAGCCGGAGCCATCGTCCTGTCATGCCTGGTTTCTTTCCTGTGGCTTCGCACCGCGTACTCCGAATTCCAGCTTCTTATCGGAGTCACTGCTCCTACTCATATTCTCCAATGGATCACTTATATATCCATGACACACAGCCCAGATATCGTCAGTCTGGACACCGTGAGAGCTTGGTACTCTGGTCCTAGGATTACTGTTGAAGTCGATATTGTCCTTCATCCAGAGATGACGCTCAAAGAAACTCACGACATTGCAGAAGATCTGCAAAACAAGCTTGAGGGCCTTCCAGATGTCGAAAGGGCCTACGTCCATAGTGACTACGAGACTGAACATAGAGCAGAACATTTCTTGAAAAAAGAACTTTGATCTGCTTTGGGTGAGACTGCAGCCGGCAAATTGGGCTGATCTCTCTGCCTGATTACATCCAGCAAGAAGATTGCGTAGGCATATGACAACTATTTCTATGCTTTTCGGGCGAATACTTCCTAAGAGGTATATGGCTGTGAAGGTCTCGATGAATTCGAGAGCCAGAACAAATATGGCAAACATTGTTTCTTCCATAGTAATGAATTTATGAGCTCTACGGTTTGCATCATGCCCATGTGTCCCTCAGACATGTTCTAGTGACCGTTCTTCCCATGCCTTTTTTCTGTTCCACATGCACGTGCCGAACGTCGATGACTTGCATCCATGTGCCGATCGCACTTCTTCCGAAACCAAATCCGGCCATCTAGACTTGCGGCTGGATGTATGCTCGACGAGTTCATCAAGCAATCGCACAAGATGTGCAATATACTCCATACACTGGATACTCAGAATAGCCAAGCTCGTACTCGAGCATGAGCCACTGCCCAGGCATCTCCTTGAAAGGGAGGAGATTAAGGGACAGTCATGTCTATTATTGTGGTAAGGAGTATGCTCTCCAACATCTACAGTGTGGATATGGGACTCTTTTGTAAGAGGTTTAAGCCTTTCTTGTCTGCACTCACAGCGTTTTGAACAGTGCAGTGTACGGATCATTGCAACGACGCTCGCTTTTGAGACTGGACGCTCAAGGTGTCTCATGAACACCTCGCTAGCACCGGCATTCGCTTTTCTCAGCGGCTCTGATAATCCGGCCGCCTTTCCGAGCCTTGCAGATTTGGAGTTGCGCCTGTACGAATGCAAATATGTAAGTCAGCACGATAGCTCGTTGAGACATTCAGAAGATGCAAGTCTGTTCTTCTAATTCACGTGCTCATTCACCCCTCGTCCAAACCTTACAACTTTACTTTGCTACTTGTGAAATAGCGATTCGTACTCCTTGACCTTCAATAAACCATGCTACGCAATACCAGCCATTCGATGACCCCAGAGAGGAGAGGAAATTTCGGATTCGAGGGGCAACCGTTCTGAACGGTCGGCAACCGCAACGGCATGGGCAATAGCTCAACGTGAACATGAGTTCGGGTCAACCACCTACGCTGCAATCGATTGCCCAGGCTCTTGATTGATTTGATTGAACGGAAAGGCGCTGGAAACAGAATCAGAGACTTCCGATGGCCCAGATTGGGTATTTGCCTGTTCCGAACACTCAGATGCCTCCCAAATCGTTTTTAAACCACGCGTAGCACAACGGCCAGTCAAGACCGATTGGCAACAGCGGTTGGATTGTGCCCGTTGGCCAGCCAGGCAATGGCAACGCAAGCCATGGACTACCTGAATCGCCTCATGGCGATATAAAGTATCTATGCATCCGGGCGCTGAGGCATACCACTAAGCAAGCTACTTTTGTTACGAGCAAAGGGTCCTCTCTTCTCGCCCGTGTCAAGCTTATACATACAACATGCATCACATTTCACATCTTGCCCTGGCGGCATCGCTCATCAGCTCAGCTCTGACATCGCCGGTCGATGTCACTGGCAAGAAGACTGTGTCTATTGCAGACATCAAGGGCAAGAAAACTTTCTCCGTCGAACAGGTTCTGGCGAAGAAACAACAGATGCAAGCACCTGCACTTTCGATGCTGAAGACATACGCCAAATTCTCTGGCACAGCTCCTGTTCAGCTCAAGGCCGCCGCAGCAGCAATCCAAGCAGGAACCGTTCAAGCAACACCACAGAATGTGTGTACCTCTCAGACTGCTTTCCAGTACTTCGCTGACCTTGGTCCAGTATGACATGTCCTACCTATGTCCAGTCTCTGTTGGTGGGCAGACACTGAATCTCAATTTCGACAGTGGTAGTGCAGACCTGTGGGTCTACTCCACATTACAACCTACCTCACAGCAAAGCGGACACTCAATATACGATCCCAGCAAGAGTTCGACATCACAGCTATTGGTTGGCAATACCTGGTCAATCAAATATGGCGACGGCTCCAGCGCAAGTGGCAATGTCTATGCCGACAAGGTCATCATTGGAGCAGTGACAGCGACATCACAGGCTGTTGAAGCAGCCACTTCGGTGTCGGATTCGTTCCTGAAGGATGTTAATAACGATGGTCTGGTTGGCTTATCGTTCAGCAACATCAACACTGTCTCGCCCAACCAACAAAAGACTTTCTTCGATACAGTCAAGAGCACGCTTACGTTGCCTCTCTGGACTGCCAACCTCAAGAAGGGAGCTCCCGGCACCTACGATTTCGGTTACATCGACTCTTCGAAGTATTCAGGCAAGATCACTTACGTCGATGTGAACAGCGCCAGCGGGTTCTGGCAGTTCACAGCCGATGGTTATCAGATTGGGTCCTCTTCGACCGTCAGCTCTTCATTCGTAGCCATCGCCGACACTGGTACTACCCTCATGTACCTTCCCTCGAGCAGTGTTACGGCATACTGGGCTCAAGTGACTGGCTCTGGATACGACAAGAACCAAGGTGGATACACATTCCCTTGCAGCTCAACATTGCCAGACTTCAATCTGGTTGTTGGAGGCAATAAGTTCACTGTGGTATGTATCGTCTCCTCCTGATGTCAGGGCTCAATAGCTAACGAACGATGCAGCCTGGCAGCTACATGAACTACGCTCAAATTTCGTACACGACTTGCTTCGGTGGTCTGCAACAAAACACGGGACTTAGCTTCAGCATTCTTGGAGACATTTTCTTGAAGTCACAGTTTGTCGTGTTCTCGGAAGTTGGAGGCAAGGCGTCACTGGGAATTGCTGCAATGTACAATGGCACCCCTGGCGAAGACGATGGCGACGAGTGGGAGTGTGAGGACTAGAAGCAGGTGTTTGGGTCAAGGATAAACGAATTTAGATAGCAAGACATTTCAATAGAGTAATGATCACCCCAACCACATGACGGACGTTTGACGAGTATATCCACGTAGGCGTTTACACTGTAATCCGGGCAGAAGGCGTGCTCTAAGATGCAACTCATGTACTCGGTCAGAAGGCAGACACGGAGATGTTCTGACCAGTACTCTATGCATGCTGGTATTTTGCAGGTCACGCTGCAGCGGTGCAGCAGAAGGAGCTGGAGACATGGAAAATGATCAATCAGGAAGGTGGAGAAATGAAGGTCATGCACAGACGAGAAGATGCAGGTGTGCGTCATACGGACTTGCAGGCCGCAGCCCTTACCGCTGCATCGCCTATGATTGCGGCCGAGTGGCTTTTTGATCGTTACAAGGTTGCTGTTGACATGGTTAGCTTGGCAAATGAACATGACAATGAGAGATTGTTCTGTTGAGGCGCTGTTCTTGCCAGTCTTATACTTTTGAACTTTTCCGACAAACAGCAAGCAACAACAAGCTCCCCACCACTCCCAATCCTGAGAGCTCGGCCATCCACCTCATAGCACAAGGCGTTACAGTCACCAAGATACGAGTACCTTTTCTTTGCATGGTCGCAAAGTCCACAATCGATCATGTCGGAATTCATCTCATTTCTACCACCCCCCGGCCTGGCACTGGCAAACTATGATTCGGCTGCACTGCATTCGACGCAGTCACCAGATGTGCCAGAGGTCTTCCGCGATGCCATGAGCGTGCGTGAAGACGTCTTTGTCAAGGAGCAAAAGGTTGCGTTGGAGAACGAGGTCGACATGGATGATGCTCGCAGCTTCCATTGGGTCGCATACGCCTCAGTCGGCACGTCTGGCAGCGACGGCAATGCTGCCATGGACGGCGTCACAAAGGATTCGGCCACGTCTGCCGAGCATACTGGACGGAAGGGCAGTACTGCCATGAAACTCCCAGTCGGCACCATCAGACTGGTTCCTCCTCCTCACCCACCCCATCCTCAGCCTGGCTCGAGTCACAAGATTGACAACCACGAGGGACTGCCCCAGGACATGCAGAGCGGGCTAAGCAAGACTGAAATGCACGATGGCAAGGAAGCCTACATCAAGCTCGGCCGTTTGTCGGTCCTTCAGCCCTTCAGAGGTACTGCAAGCAACCCACGTGCTCGATGGATATGTCACTGACAGTACTAACAGGACTCGGACTCGCTCGCCTCCTCATCGATGCAGCTCTTACGTGGGCATCACAGAATGTAGACAAGATCCTTCCACCCATGTCGCCTGCGGCAGCCGAGCAACGCAAGCTCGAACTTGGAGGCGGTGTTGAGGTTGAAGATGTATGGAGAGGACTGGTCTTGGTACATGCACAAGCACAGCTGGAAAAATACTGGGCTCTGTTTGGCTTTGTCAAGGACGAGAGCATGGGCACGTGGGAAGAAGAGAAGATCATGCATGTCGGCATGTGGAAGCGTGTCGAGTTTGATTCAGAGTTGACAGGCGGTCGCAAGAAGAGCGTGGTGGGTTAGAGCAGGGAGAGAGGTGGGTGAAGGGAGATTGGACGGCGTCCTGGAGTTTGCATTGTCGATTAGAGATATCCCCCAACTGACGAACTGCATAATGATAAGACGGATTGGAGAAAGAGAAAAGACATTGGATTGTAAGCCTCGAGTGAATAGTCGATTGTACTCGTACGTCTGACTCGACAATGTGATGGACTGACGGGCTGATGGTGGCTGACGTAAGCGGGGCATGCCATGCAAGTCAAGTGCAACAGAATCGAGAGCGAGAGTCGAAACATGACACAAACCACACACAATGTCTGGGCTACGGAACATAGCAAAAGGAGGGTGGCATCCAGGCGGCGCCAAAGACAACGGCAGTAGCAGCAGCAGCGGTGGAGGAGGAAGCGGATGGCGCTCCAAGATCAACGACAAGATTCCAGGCCGCATCAACGACAGGATGCCCGGAAGCACGAGCAAGTCGGAGAGAGAGCGCATCGAGGCGCGTGAGAACCACGTCTCGCAGCCCTTGACCAGCCTGAGAGACCGTGAGTGCCTGCTGCCTTCCTCCATCACTGTCGCCCGGTACTAAGCACCATGCAGCTGCCTCGTTTGCTCCTCCGCCCAAACACATGCACTACCATGGCCAAGCAGCAGCTTCCAGTCCCGGCGCCCTCACCACCACCACATCTAGCTACTCCAGTAGCCCTGCAAACACTGCCGCTACACGTGGACTGGGCGCGCCGCTACCGAAAGAGATGGTCCAGCAGCAACAATTCTCTCAACAACAGGCCCAGCAAGAAGAAGAAGATGCCTCCCGTCCACCACCAGGTCCATACCGAGTCGACACGACCGGTCTTTCTACCGCAAATTTGCCCAAACCCCCCGTTCGACGACTGGACACGGCCTCTCCGCAGTCCGTCTCTTCACAACCTCGCCCACCTCCACGACAGATAGCTCCCTCTCCCGCTGCGCGCTCTCCACTCCCTCCACCTCGTTCGACCCCTACACCCCCGGTTGCTCCATCTAGGCAACAACCCGCACTACCCCCTCGACTGCCTCCTCGCCAAAACTCACACCCCGATCTAAACTCTCCTCCGCCCCCACCCGTCTACTCCGAAGCCGTGCAAGCACCTGTCCATGTCCCTGCCCCAGATCAAGGCGCTATGAACAGACTAGCTCGTGCAGGTGTGAGTGTGCCGGGTTTCGACATTGGTGCCCGATCCTCCTCGCCGGCCGCTGCGCACTCTTCACCAGCCGCCAGACCACCTCAACCTTCTCAGATGAACGAACTGCAATCACGTTTCTCCAGGATGACCTCCTCAAATTCCTCACAATCCCAACCCTCGCAACCTTCCAACAGCGCACAGTCCCGCTTTGGTAATATGGTCTCACAACAAGCGAGCAACCCACAAGTTCAGTCACGCTTCGCAAGCCTGGCCTCTTCACCAACCGTCAGGAACCACGCTGCAAACATCGCCTCGTCACCCGCTGTTCAGAAGCAAGCGGTCCAACACGCTGGTACCTTCGCCACTGCCTCTGGAGCCTCTCCACAACAAGCACAGGCTCTACAATCAGGCTTCTCACGAGCAGCTGCTTCTCCTACCGCTATGAATATGGCCACTCGCCATGCGGGTACTGTTGCCTCTGCTGCATCGTCATTTGGTTCCAATGCTGCTGCTGGAAAGAAGCCACCGCCTCCACCGCCGAAGAAAAAGGAACTGCAGGCCGATGCGCCGCCTGTACCGCTTTCGAGCAAACCCAGATTTTAGTGAGCACGAGCATCGTCAGCACAGTACATTAGTCTCGCTTGAACCCGTACATAATCTGTTGAAGTCTACAACACGAGGCTCTTTTATCCTTACGAGGAGCATCACTACCCGTTTTCAACTTCATGAGATTCTCAACGTGACGTGTGTTTTGAGGAATCTGTTTTCTCATCTTATGGTGGTATCTTATCAAGACAATTTCGCATGTGATCCAGCAAATCTATATAGACCTGACCTTTTGTAACGCCGATATTGTAAATGCAAGCACTTAACCCTCAGCCTCAATCTCGTAACTGTTGCTCTTATGCTTGGGCTGGAAGTTGAAGTCCTTGTGAGCGGGTCCCAAAAACATTTCACTATCGTCTCGTTAGCTGGGTTCACATGTTTAGAGATCGGAGATAGAGCTTGCCTAATCTTGATCCAGTCCTTGTAGTTAGGACTGCTGAGAAGAGTCTCGAGCTCGTTTCTACCACGGAAAGCAGGAGGTCTGTCGTTCATGTGGGGTGGCAAGTGCTCGAGCAGGCCCAGAGGCACATATCTGCAACTGAAGCTCAGCCACTCGAGCAGGAAACGACGGGTCACGCCAACACCAATCTCGTCGGATCCCCAGTTCTCCAGACCGAAGCGTGTGAATTGCTCAATGTATTGTAGTCTCTCGGTCGCGCTCTTGTCGAGGTATTGACCAGTTTGGATTTCCTCGAAGATCCAGGGCTTGATCAGAGCACCGCGACCGATCATGGCTGAGTCGACATTGGCGTTGTTGACGGCGTCGAAATAGTCGACGTGGGAGTAGACGTCGCCGTTGCCGCAGAAGTAGGGGGTACCGTTGTTGGAAGCGGTCATGTCGCGAGCATCTGCCTCTCTAATTGTATCTGTGACTTCTGCTTGCTTTTGCTTGAGTCTGTTGACCAAAGCCGAGCACTCGGCAATGTACTCCCAGTTGGCTTGACGAGTGTATCTTTGCTGACGGCTACGGCCGTGGAGAGTAATGGCAGCGACACCACAGGGGCCATCACCGGTCACAACGGCTTCTTCTCCTCCAAGAACAAGACGCTGGACGAGCTTGTCAGCGGTGGGGTGGTTGTCCTTGGTACCCATACGGATCTTGACAGTAATAGGAGTTTCTCCAGAGACGGCGTTCATACCGCGGAGGATCTTCTCAAGCTTGCCGGGTGAGTCCATAAGAGCAGAGCCGGCACCTTGACGGTAAACGAGGTCAATAGGACAGCCACAGTTCAAATCAATTGCGCGAATGCTGGGGCAGAGAGCAGTGAGGATCTCGGTCGTCTTCAGAACGTTCCATGGCTTGTTTCCTGCAATCTGAACACCAAACTTCAGATCCTTGGAGTTATCATAGCCTGCAACAATGGACTTGGGGGTGTACTTGGGAGGAGTGGTTTCAGACTCGTGGGCCTTGGTCAAAGCCCACTCGCCCTTCTCGCCTTGAATCAGTGGCAGGCCCATGGCCATCTCGGACCATGTGACTTGAGCACCGAGACCGACACACAAACGTCTGAAGGGGAGGTTTCCTTGTGTGGTCAGGGGAGCCAAAACCGGTGTCTCCGGGCCGTAGTAGATTCTGCGCTTTTCTGAAGCACGGACAGGGCACTCGGTGAATTGAGCACGACGATCCTCGAGCGACATCTTCTCAGCATCTGCTGCTTGTGCTTCCTCGGCCTTATTTCCGAAGTACTTGTTCATCTCGGTCTGACGCTTGTCGAGCCAGGTGACGTAGGCCTCGGACTTGGGCATTCCAGTCTTCTTCTTCCTGAGATCAATCTTTGCTCCCATAGAGACAATGTTGACGACTCCCAGACCTTCCTCCTCCTCTGCTTGAGCATCATCACCCGTGGCTTTGTCGTTGTCCAGCAACACCAACTCCTTGCGCCCGTCGGCAGATTCTCTTTCAGTCGAGTGAGAGCCAGCAAAGCGACACTTCCAGCCAGCATTACACTTGCCCTTGACCTCGAAGATGGGGCACTTTGAGTTGAAGGTAGTCAAGTCTTCACGCTTGCCTTCGCTCAGGTACTTGCGCAGATTGTGCTCCATTCTGCACTTGTCGCCGAAGGGACACTCAAGAGGCGAGAACTCGTTGTTGCGGACGCGAGTCTTGCACAGCTGAAGAGTATCACGCGAGCTGCCAAAGGTTCTAGCCTTGTTCTGGCCGCGATTCTTTTGCTTCTTGTCCTTGCTTTGCTGTTGTGATTCGTGCTTGCTTCCTTCGGCCGCATCGTCCGGGTTCTCTTCTGAGACTTGTTCCGGTCTTGATGCCGAGTTGGAGTTGTGAATAAGGTACTCTTTCTTGATGGGTGCTACACCCTTTGTTCTCGGAGCAGGGTCCATGGCACCCAAGACGGGGTCCTGTTCCAGCTTGACTCTCTTAGAGGGTTGCTCATCGCCATGGCGCTCCACCTTCTCGGCGCGTGTAACAGCCGAGTCAAAAGGCAGAATCTCGCTTTGCGGGTTGGCGGGTTCGGTCGAATCGCTGGGTGCAGGGCGCTTCAAAGGCTCGGACGGGTTGAGGGGATTGGTGTCAGGTTGGGCGGGTGCCGTGGTGCCAGCGCCGTTGAGCGACTTGTCAGTGTTGTCGGCCATGTTTGTGTACAGTGCTGCTGCTAAGATGCAAGTGCAAGCAAGCGGCGACACTTTTCTTGAGACTTTGAGCGATAAGCTTCTTATCGGGGTGCCGGAGTGGAGGGCTGGGGTGTCTGTGCGCGGGAGTCTGCTCGGCAGAGCTGAGGAAGCTGCGAGTGCGATGATTCCAGTTCTGGTTTGTGCCGGACGTGGACAGTGCGAGAGCTTGCTGGGTGTGACGTACGTGTTGGCTTGCTGCTGGACGTGGACCCGCCTGTTTTGTCCTGCATCGACCTCCTACTTCTACTCTCAGACATCCTTCTCCATCCCCTCTTCACCTTTCCTACACTCCAATCAATCACACACTGCCGATTGCCCACCATGACCCTCTACTACAGTCTTGTCTTCGGACTTCTCGTCTTCGAGATGGTCGTCTTCATGTCGCTGATCATCCCCATGCCCTTCACCTGGAAGCGCACCCTCCTGACTTTCATCTCCGAGAGTCCTGTCATAGCAAAGCTGCAGTATTGGATAAAGGTATGTGGAGACGTCTCCTGTAGCTTGCTGTGAGCTTCAATTCTGACAACTCGACAGATCACCTTCGTCTTCATCCTGATCCTGTTCGTGGACAGTGTCAACCGCGTCTACCGCGTCCAGCTTGAGTTGGCTCAAGCCAACAAGGCCAACAACGGCGCCGGGTAAGCCTTCGCCCATCGTCCTCAACTTGAGGCTCATCCACTAACTTTTTCAACCAGTGCTGCTGCTGTCGGCGGCATCGAACGCATGGAGATCCAGGCCCGCAAGTTCTACTCGCAGCGCAACATGTATCTCTGTGGCTTCACTCTCTTCCTCTCTCTGATTCTCAACCGCACTTACGGCATGATCCTTGACGTCCTCCGCCTCGAGGAGGAGAACAGAAAGATGAAGGGTATCGACTCTGGCAAGAACTCTGGCAAGCTTGACGACGCTAGCAACATTGGCGAGGTTGGCCGTCTGAAGAAGGAGCTCGCTGCCAAGGACCGTGACATTGAGACTCTCAAGAAGCAAGCTCAGGGTCTCTCCACCGAGTACAACCGTCTTGGTGACCAGGTCTCTGGCAACTCCGACAGCACTCCCAAGAAGGACCGATAAATCAGTCGCCCCGGGACCCGATATTGCCAGAGCGTTGCCAACTCAAGCTTCACTCTGTTTACTCAATCATCCCCAGCAGCTAGGGAATATGCCCATAAAAACATCATAGGCACCAGGCCAAGAGAAACTCCTTATTGTATAAGATAGCGATGCAGACAATTAGTCTGCCAAAGAATATGAATTTTGTCCTGAATTTGCTGTATCGTCTACCCATGAAGTTGTATCACGCGACATCTAATCCTGGTGTTTCTTTACTTCTCTTGTGCAACACCGATGATATTTTCCATTCCTAAATGAACCCTACAGCCCTTTGTTGCGTTTATCCATGACATGTCAAAAACCTTGCCCTGCTTGATTTTCATAATGCTTCCATTGTAGAGTCGTATACCTTCAAGCTTCAAGTCCAAAGTGTAACCTGCACAGTTGGCCTCGAAGAAAAGGCGAAGTCGTGCTCGCATGCACAACACATTAAGCACTCATGATCTTGGCAAACTCGTCGTCTGTGGATCGTGTTAGTCTCGAACACTTCTACGGATTCTCACGAAACTTACAATCAATGTTGCCGTCTCCATTGGCGTCGGCCTCCTTGATCATCTCGTCGATCTCGGCATCGGAAAGGTTCTCACCAATGCTCTTCATGACATTTCTCAACTCCTCTGCGGAAATGGTACCACTGCCATCTCTGTCGAAAACGGCGAATGCTGCTCTCAGCTCGGACTCGCTGTCTGCTTGCTGAACCTTGCGGCCCATCATTGAGAGGAACTCGTCGAATTCGATGGAGCCAGAACCGTCCTTGTCAATCTCGTTGAGAATGTCTTCGAGTTCGGTCTGAGAAGGCTCTTGACCGAGCGAGCGCATTACTTCGCCCAGCTCGTCGACTGTGATGTTGCCATTTCCATCCTTGTCCTATACAATCATCAGCGTCCGGTTCTTGACGTATCGTAATCGCGTTGAATTCAAGATGGTTGGAGACTTACAAAGACGTTGAAGACCTCCTTGAGCTCTTTGATTTGCTCTGGGGTCAGGTTCTCAGCCTATTGCAATTATCGTTGTTAGCTGACTTTGTTGCTCCAAGATTGCAGCCTAGCTGCTGTCGCTCCCCTATGACATACCATGCTAGGTCTTCTTTGGTGTCCTGACATGTCTGCTATATCTGTACGTTGAAGAATATGTATTTCTTGGTTACGAGTGGAAAAGCGACAGTAAATGTTGGTAAGAAGGAGCTGTTGGTTGTTGGCTGCCTCGTTGTTTCAAGAGAAGGGGGTTGGGTGTGTTTCGACTTTGTGGTCTTTTTCGTGTCCTCCACTTCCAACAGGGTCCTCTCTGCTCGTTGGTTCTAGAGCGTCACATCACATGCTTGTTTTTCTTGGTCTTTGGGAAAAAGTGCGCTTTGCCATTTTGGGAAGTGGGGTTTTGGAGGGTCTTAATATATTCTTCTTTATGTGCTTTATTCCGTCCTCATCTCTCGTCTATGCTCCCAGTCCTGAATCTGCGAGGGAAAGTGACATACTGACTTCGAGAATTTCTATGGCAATCAATTCCATGAAGGCGATATGTTGGGGAGGTCAAGGTCTTCGATGCCTCTCGACGCTGCAGTGTGCCACACCGCTCGGTTGTGAAATTACAATTTTTGAAAGCACAAATGGCCACGGAAGCTCGCTTCTATGCTGTGAGTGCAGGTGTCAAGAGGCCTGCTTTGACAACTGTTTTGACCGAGTATCGGTACATTTGGTATCCACATCAAGACAATTTCAATGTTCCCCCATACGGTCAGGGTGGCAGATCCAACAAGCCCTTGTTCGACTTCTCGGCGGCGCTGAAAAAACAAGTCGGTCGCAAGAATACAGACCTGAAATATAAATGAACGTTTTCTCATTTTTTTGTTCTGTATACAATGTTTTCTATCTTCTTCCTCCCTGGCTTGCCTTCATCAATTCTGTCCAAGCACTCTCGAAGCCTCTTTTCACCTCTCTATAGCTTACGACGAAGCAGTTCTGTTCGTCCCTGCTGACCAACATGACCTTCTCTTCAATACCCGCATCCATCTTGTTCAGACATGTCAAGATGTGTCCGAGATCCAGAACAGGTCGGCCATCAGCATCTACTTGGTGGAATACATAATCGCGGAAGAGCTTGAGATAGTAACGGTCTCCAGTCTCGGACCAAGCGGACGATGTATGGTTAAGAGTATGAGGTGCAGCAGGCTGATTGGGGTTTGCAGCGTTGGAAGTCAATGTCGCCTCGGGACGCTCTAGAACCATATTCAGTTTGGTAAGCAGACGGACCAGGCGTGCATTTTCGAGCTCTCGAGAAAGGTTGCTTGTCAGTGAGTCTGCTTCATGTAGACTAGCGTCGAAGGTCAATGTGATCTGTGACGAGATGAGCGAAAGGAAGCTGTCGATATCGTGGTCCGAGGACGTGGTCGCTGCCGCAGGAGTCGGTGAACTTGTTGTTGCTTGAGTGGGTGTCATTGGCGTAGCTGGAGTGAGTAGCCATGTGACTACTTCACGCATCTTTTCGCTGTAAGCTCGGCCGACGTGCTCAAGGGATTTTTGGGTGTTGTGGTGGGCTGTAGGATTCTTGTTGGCTATGCATAGAATCAAACGGCCTAGTTGTAGAAGATCGTCCTGTTGGAGCTCTGATATGGTGCGGCCTTGTTCGTATTGAGTGATGTCGAGAATGCCACAAGAATTCAACCGCAATCGACTCTTGGATGTGATGAGAATCTTTTGCGGGATCATGAGACGTGCAGCAAGACCTATTGAGTGGATTGCTTTGATAGCAGATGCCAGTTGGACAATGTAGCCCCACAGCTCATGATCTGTCACGTAATTACCTGGAGATCGCGCTAAGGCGACACCAGGATTTCTCGCGTTAGGAGTAAAAATCTTGTCCGCCAGAGTCTGCGAGAGAGGATGATAATCGGTGACGACAATCAAAGAGCTATCTCCGAATGCTCTAGTTGTGAATGCATCATGGACGGTGACGACATTTCCGTTGCTGATACGCTTCCAGGTCTGTATAGCACGGATAGCGTTTTCATCGGTCAGTCGGAAGCCTGGGGTTTGTGGTGAGCTTGTGATCCATCGAATAGTGTGAAAGGCTGGATCCTTACCTTCGAGACGTCTTAGAGCATAATTGTACCCATCCTTGCTCGAAGTGGCTTTGTATACCCAACTTGGGTAACCGTATGCAGACGCAGACTTTTGCGCATTGGTGTCAAGAGCTACCAGAGAATGGAAATGTTCAATCTGCTGAGGCAGTGCTGTGTCTGTGGTAGGTTAGTTATAAGAAGCGAGCATTTCGAACATGGATCGCCTACTCGAGAATGTTTGAAGAGATGCTTCGGATTTACGTTGCATCTCTTCGCGTAGATGATCAGGAATGAAGAAGTCGTGAGTTGTTCGCTGGTAAGCCATGAGGTTCTCCCGATGGGGTCCCAACGGCGCATAAAGATGGTAGCTGAGCTGCAACAAGCGTAAGTAGACGGATCTAAGAAGACTATCCGTGACATACCGGATGAGCGAACGCGGCTGCAGCTGAAAACATCGAATTCGCGGCTAAAGCAGATGCATCTTGAGCGTAGGGGTTGATTTGTGGAGTATGAGAAGCGTCTGACATCTGACCAGACGTCCCCTGCATGGTGAAGGGGTCGAACGAGGCAATACTGGTAGAGTTACCACCATCAGACTGTGTTGACGAACGTCAGTATGAGAAGCCGAATACTGGAGTGTTTCTAGGGAAACTAGAGATAGCACAACAGATGGCCCATAACGATGGCAAAGCAACGTCACTTACCGCTTGAGGCACAAAGTTCTGAGGTACAAACTCTTGGATACCACGTTGAGACCATTCTGACGGCTGCTTGGCTGCCGCAACTGGCGCTGCCGCTGGATTGAGTCAGCGATCACACGCACATATTGTTATGTCTTGACTAATTGATACCAGTGGATTTGGGGGTAAAGACAGCCGCCGAAGCTGCTTTTGGCGATATTCCCAGAGCTTTCACAGGCTGCGCGCTGTTCGTGACTGGTGACAAGGGCTTGAACGATGGGGAATCGACGTTTAGGAAGCGTTTGGCGCTACAATGATCGTAAGCCCCGAGACAAAGATTAATAGGTGGTCAAAATACCTCTCGGCCTGTTGATTGGGTTTAGGAGGTATCTCATGGTTGTAAGGGCAACCTGCAGCTGATCAGAAAGGCTGTACATAGCACTGAGAAAGAGTAGATCGCACCATTGTTCTGAGCTCTGCAGCTGCCATAGATGGTAATGTTTCTGCAAAGGACGTTTTTCGTGTTCTCTATATTCATGTCAGAACCAACAAATCAGCGAGGTCATCAGAGATAAGTTTGGAGTACACACCACGGCCTTTGGGTCTCGGAGACTGATGCCTTCTACGCATATCACCCGGACTACTGGTGCCCGTTGCTGCCATGGTAGCGAATGCGTTTCACAGAGTGAACAGTTTCGAATTTAGTTGCAAATGTTTTAAAAGCATTCGTCGAGCGCGTCTCGGAAATGTATTCGCCCTATCGATTCTTGGAAGAATGGATGGCCAAGAGTTGAACAGAAGTTTGAAAGATAGAAACCCGAGCAAACAGAAAGTGACGATAAGGTAATACTGCAAGGTGTGGCTTTAAAGGGGTTGTCGATGGCGAAACGATAGGATTGACGCGGCGGATCAGATGCCCTATGGGTTGCCAGAAACACAATATCAACAAGCAGTGCCTGAGTGGGATCGAGTCAGATATGGACTGGCGGCACTTTGAGGATGGATGAGCACAGCGATGCGACAAGATAGTCAAGATGCGCAGGGAGGCTGCAGGTATGACGAGCCCGACAATGGGGACGGACGGGAATGGTGCAGGCTTGGATGCTTGGTTTTGCACGTACCTAATCGAACGAAGCCATGCAAAACATTACAGAATAACAGGTCTTGAACCGAGTACAAAGCAGACAGCAGAAGCCTAGTCTGATATGCCTGGGAGTGCACGAGCAATGGATGGTGAGGGCGAAGTCGCTCGCTGTTTGGGGAAGTGTCGGTATCTCCCGGCCAATCTCAACAACAATCTGAAACCGCAACTCGAAGGTGTGCTCGTCTTTCACACACTATTCTGAATGGACGTGTAGGATAGAGAGGACTAAACACAAACATCCAGAGCTCATGCAGGATTCAACAGCTCAGGTGATGGAGTATACTGGAGCCACGCGAGAGATGATTGCATCTTGTCGAGGTTCTGGCGAGTCATGGATAGGGCTGAGATAGTGGGGCCAAGCATGACATGCACCTTGGTGTTCAGGACACCCAGCAGCTTCAGAGATGACAATGTGTACTTTTTCCCTTCGTACAACAATTTAATCTCATACCACTGCAGAAGCGGAACAGGCTTGCGCAAGGTACGGCATCATGTCGGCACCTTCGACGGACATCTCACAGCTCTCGGAAGAGCAGCAACTGGCGCTACAGCAATTCACGTCCGTCACAGACCAGGACCTTGATACCGCCTTGGTCCTGCTGCAGCGCTGCCAGTGGAATGCTCAGGTAGCCTTTTGCAAACAACTGGAAGCATAGTCAGGGAAGCGACTAACACCAAACGTAGATAGCCATCACACGCTTCTTCGATGGCGACGCCGATGTCGTCGACGTGCCTCCGCCGCAGGACATTCGCCGATCAGAAAATCTAGCTGCCAGCCTCGATGCAGCTGCCTTCACAAGAACAAGACCCACTACAAACGGACTGCAACAAGCGCCTCGCGTTGTGCCGACGCCAGAAGGCCAGCTTACCCAACCCGCTCCCTTCGTCTTGCAGCTGCTCTTCTTTCCCTTCAACCTGACATACTCCATCTTCAGTCGCATCTTTGGTGCTGTCGGCTACTTGTTCCCCATTCTACCTCGCCTCCTACACCGCCTCTTTCCTCTACAATCAGCTCGGCCTCGTAATACCGATAGACGTCCCCTCAATCCTCGCGACACAGCCTCCCGCTTCATTCGCGAGTTTGAGGAAGAGTACAATGTCGAATCAAACATAATCCCCTTCTTCGAGAACGGCTACGCCCAGGCGTTTGATCTGGCGAAAAGAGAGCTGAAATACTTGCTCGTCATTCTGCTTTCCCCCGAGCATGACGATACCGCTCCCTTTGTCCGCGACACCCTTCTCTCGCCAGAGGCAAAAGATTTTATACAGAATCATGCTTCAGATATGATTGTCTGGGCTGGAAGCCTTCAAGATTCCGAAGCATACCAGGTCGCAACAGCACTCAACGTCACAAAGTTTCCCTTCACTGGCTTGGTCGTTCATACACCGTCTGTCTCTTCTACGTCCATGTCTCTCATCGCTCGCATCGCTGGACCAGTGCCACCTTCAGAATTTCTCGCCAAGATGCAGGATGCCATGCAGAAGCGTGACCAAGAGCTGGAAGGCGCAAGGAGACAGCGATCCGAGCAGCAGGCATCAAGATCTCTCAGAGAAGAGCAAAACAGCGCATATGAGCGGTCACTGGCTCAAGACAGAGAGAGGGCTCGTCAAAGAAAGGAAGCTGAAGCCGCTCGAGAGAAGGCCGAGAGGGAAGAAAGAGACAAGGCAGAGGCCAAGGCACGAAAGGCCCAGAACATATTGCAATGGAAGAAGTGGCGCACACAGTCGTTGCCGGAAGAGCCTGCTTCTACAGCTAGTGATGTTGTGCGTATCAGTATCAGGATGCCTTCGGGCGACAGGGTAATACGCAAGTTTGGTGCCGACGCTGAATTGGAAGAGCTGTACGCCTTTGTCGAATGCTACGATATCATCCAAAGTGATGAGCCAGCAACAGAAGAGGATGCTTTCGAACCGAGTGGCTATAGTCACGAGTACGAGTTCCAACTAGTCTCGCCGATGCCCCGCGAAGTGTACGGTCTTGATCAGGGCGGCACTCTGAAGGCCCGTGTGGGACGGAGCGCAAATCTTATCGTGGAAAAGTTGATAGACGAAGAGGATGAAGACGAAGAAGAAAGCTCTGCATAGACGTACAGCAACAATGCATTCGATTTCACAAAGATACAGTCCGACCTGAATGTGCAAGTACTCCAGGTGCTGGCCAATTGTCATTCTCTGGTTTCTTCTGACCCAGCGTCGTCCAAACGAAGCACAGGAGGTTAGTCGAAACCATTACACTCGCATCGCCGTCGATGTTACTCCCATCCCCTACAAGGCCATCATACATGGCACGATGTGTTTGACAGGCTGATGCTTGTGCATTGAAAGCTGTATCATGGACTTGAAAGAGCAGGCAAAAAAGGCCCTCAAAGGACATTGTACTTGATCAACGAAAACATTTTGCATTTCGATAAGAATTTCTCGGGCCCTGAAAGGAAGAGTGAGATCGTTGCTATTCCGCCTATGTGATCGGCATACAGAGAGAGGAATCAGATCGACCTTGTCTAATCAACCCTCGATCTCTCGGACCGCTGTCACGGTTACAGCTTCATTCGAGGCCTTCTTCTGCACCGTCTCTGTCACTCCGACCTGGCTAGAGCTCTCACTGTCAACGTGCTTCGCCTTCGCCTTCATCATGGGCCAGTGACCGTGTTGCTCCTTGCAGCGCATGGAGACGAACGCAACAATTACAGCAATCCAGTAGAAGTTGTAAGCAAGGACCGATCCATAGGTTGCAGAGTTCTGCCAGCCTAGAACAGAATTGAATAATCCCCACCCACTGGTGTTGATCTCAGGGTTGCAGCAGTTGACGTGCCAGACAGATTTGGTGATATCGTAGGATCCTGGGCCACTTCCAACCTCGGAAGCGTCCCCACCGATCATTTTGCCCCAAGCGTTGTTTTCGAAGAACCAGACAGCCTTCGAGAAGAGGCCTGCGGCGACAAGATAGAGCACACAGGTCGAGATAATAAGGAACATTTGCAGGGATGCCATGTTACCTCCCCGGTAGATGAGGAACCCGATCAAACACCCTGCTGCAAGACCGCAGATGACGGCCAAAGGGAACGAGGTAGCTGGAAGACCAAGAGACACGCCGCCGATGAAGACGACAGCCTCGAGGCCTTCTCTCATCACAGTGATGAAAGGCAGCATGAACATGGCGTACTTTTCTGCAAATCGCTTGAAGCGGGTACTGGCCTTGCCCTTCTTCTGGTCCTTCTCTTCAAGAGCCTTGGCCAGCTTGACTCTCCACTTGGCTTGTAGTTTCGAGACTCGCAGGAGGGCGGCACCCATGATCGAGATGATGATTGATGCTATGAGGCCAAAGACACCTTCCCAGATATCTTCAGTTGCGGAAAAGTGGTTCTTACCTTGGAAGTCGTTAGTGCTGAATGACTTTCAGATGTCACAAAGCAGCTTACCAAGTCCATAGAATGCTCCGATGAATGCACCACCAATAATCAAACAGACCAGCAGTCCAAGGCCGATTCCCCACCAGACTTGGGCTCTCAGCTTCTTGTAGACGATGGGGTCTTGCTCAGGGCCAAGGGTCTGCTTCAAGAAAGACAGCAAAACCGAAACGATAATGCTACATTCGACACTTTCTCTAAAGCAGATGAAGAAAACTGTGAGATTGAGGTAAGTGGGCATGTTAAAAGCCTGTGATCGGGTCTCAACATACTAGGTACAGCAAATACGTTGGCACCCATGGCTGCGATAGCTGCTGTCTAGCAGACAATTGGGATTAGATAGATATGATCAAGATTGATTTGATCAAAAGTCCAGATGGATTCAAGAGGAGGGAAACCTGATCTGATAACGGCAGCACTCGCGACCTCGGCCACCAACGCTTTCTTTTTTCCCCCAAAAGCATCCGTGTTTTCCCAAGATGCCTGTGTAGGGCGCTAGTGTGGTGCCACCAGCATTTCAGGGTTCAGTTAACTTTTCGTGGCGCTGCTGGCTTGCTCGTGTCCTGGATCCTTCCAAAACTTGCCCGAAACGATGATGGAGCAACAAAACGATGACTCGAGTAAGACTGTTGCTCTTTTCAGATCGTTGCACTTTCATGAGCATAACAAACCTCTTCATGTACACCAAGCACAAGAACTTGGACACCCTTTCGCTCCATGTTTCCCCATCTTGATCGGCGGCCAAGATCTCTTGGTAGAGCTTCGACAGGGCTTGGGCTGCCGCTACACGCGCTTGGGCACGGATCAGATAAGACGATCTGCTGATGCGGTCGCTCTGGAACACCACGTTGTTCCCAGCTCCTCAATCGACACGAAAACTCGAAAGTGACTTCAAAATACGCCCTAACCGTGCGTCGTCTATCAGTACTTCGCGGAATGACACTCTTTGCGCTCTACACATGCCATGACTCTTCTTCGGTCCTACGATACGGAGTATGCTGGCAAACTTCAAAAAGTGGCATGAGATTGAGTTCATAATGGGATACTCAACCCACAGTAGCTCTCGCCTTCTCTAACCCCAGATGCTAGTGCGGTTTGACTTCCATCTCTCTTCCGCAACCCCTCTTTGTGTACACAAAATCTCTGTCAAAATGCAGAGAGCTTGACAACTACCCACAGCGCTATGTCGTGCTTTCCTACCTGGAGGCATCTTCTTGGGTGCCTTTTCGATACGAATTACCTCCTGCATTGCTAGAATCCACTGATGGAGTTCAAAACACGGGCGTGGAGCAAGTTCGGAGGATCACGGAAATAGTACTAGTATACGACAGGTACAGGTTTGGTAGCTTCGACATCGGCCTGTCGCCGGCAGTTGTGGCGTTCTAGCCCAATCGCCCACCCATCCAGTGCATCGGTGCGACATGGCTTGGGAAAAAAAGCATCTTATCAATCATATCACTGCCGCCCGCTCTTTCACTTTTCTCATGTCTGATTGATTTCTTGACACAGTCCTCTTATCAGATCGTTTCAATCTACCATTGGTGTGCACCAATTCCACCATGGCAGTCCGAATTACTCAACTCACACTGCTCTTTGCATTGCTCCTCACAATATGTCGAGCTGCAGTTGTAGAGAAGTACTTCAACCTCACATGGGTCATGGCCAACCCTGATGGCTTGCAAGAGAGAAAGGTCATTGGTGTCAATGGCACTTGGCCGCTGCCAGTTCTGGAAGTCAACAAGGGCGATCGCGTCATTGTTCATGTCTACAATGGCCTAGGAGATAAAGACACGTCCGTCCATTGGCACGGCCTTTTCCAAAACGGTACTACACACATGGACGGGCCAAGCAGAGTTACACAATGCCCGATCACGCCTGGAACATCTTTCACCTACGATTTCACAGTTGACCAAAGCGGCACCTACTGGGTATGTCTGATCCAAAATTGGTTCAGTATCATAAGCTGACAATCAGAAAGTACCATTGTCACACAGATTATTGTTATCCAGATGGCTATCGCGCTCCGTTCATTGTACATGACAGTGACGCCTGGTTCGCCGATCAGTATAAGGAAGAATTTGCTGTTACAGTCAGCGATTGGTACCACAATATGGTGGAGGACATCCGGTTTATCGATCTTGCAAAGTACGTATAGCAAAGCTGCTAAGCAGAAATGCATAGCAGGATACAACAGCAATGATGTGCAATCGACTTGGACTAGAAGGAAGCTAACGTTTTCTGAAGCCCAACTGGAGCAGAACCTATCCCAGATAGCTTCCTGTTCAACGATACCATGAACACCAAGGTCTCAGTCCAGCCAAACACCACATACTTGTTGAGAATCATCAACACGGGTGCATTTGTTGCTCAGTATTTCTACATCGAGGACCACAACTTCACAATCGTCGAAGTTGACGGTGTATTCACAGAGCCTGAAGAGGCATCTTTGATATATATCGCCGTGGCGCAACGTTACTCAATCCTGTTCACAACAAAAGCCTCGACGGATCGTAACTACGGTCTTGTTACCATCGCTGATCAAGTTCTGCTCGATGGAATTCCGGACACGCTGGTCCTCAACCAGACCAATTGGCTTCAATACAACCCTTCGGCCAGTTTCGATCCTGTCAACGTGACTCTTAACATTGCCGATGAGAACCCTGCTTTCGACGACTACTCTCTCGTTCCATACGACAAGGAGCCTCTTTTGGAGAACCCTACCAAGATCATTAACTTGACTGTTTCGATGGGCATTCTTGATAACGGCAAGCCCTACGCCTTTTTCAACGACCAGACTTATACCCATCCTAAGGTGCCATCTCTCTACACTGCTCTCACAGCGGGAGAATTGGCTACGAATGAGGCTGTGTATGGCGAATACACCAACTCTTTCGTGCTGAATCATCTAGAGGTGGTTGAAGTTGTGCTGACTAACAACGATGGAGGTTCGCATCCATTCCATCTCCATCAGCATAACTTCCAGGTCGTCAGCCGCTATCCGCCGTATGGCGAGGACTTTTACTCGCTGTCCGATAACGTTGATCCTCAAGCCTTCGACCCCAACAACCACACCGCGTTCCCCGAGTACCCCATGCGTCGCGACGTCGTGGTACTCCCCCCAATGGGCAACATTGTTATTCGTTTCGTCGCAGATAATCCTGGTGTCGCGCTCTTCCACTGTTCGTATTTTTGATACCTTTTATTGTACGAGAAACATGCTGATTGTACCCTCTAGGTCACATCGATTGGCACATGCAGCAAGGTCTGGCTGCTACCTTTATCGAAGCACCACTCGAGATGCAGAAGAAGATCAAAATTCCCGAAGATCACTTCGCTGCATGCAGAGCTGCCGGCGTACCCTACGCAGGAAATGCAGCTGCCAACACAAAGGATCTCCTGGACCTCAGTGGCCAGAACAAGCCAGCAAAACCAGTCCCTGCAGGTTTCACGGCTAGAGGCATTGTAGCCCTAGTCTTCAGCTGCATCGCGGCGTTTGCAGGTCTAGCAGCTATTACTTGGTAAGTTTATTCTGTCTGAGATCACGTTCCACAAAGATTGTGAAGTTGTGTAGCAGTGGCTGATACAAGGCTGAAACAGGTACGGCATGGCACCTCTCAGTGCAAGTGAGCAAGAAGCTGTTGAGCGTAAAGTTGCGTCGACGAATGTTCAGACAGCTGAGGAGTGATGGTTGCAGTAGGGTTGGTTTCCAAGTTGTTGATGAAAATGTGATGTCAAAAAAAGATCATGTCATGACATGTGATCTGACTGAATGGGACGTAACACTTCTTGAGCTGCATGTTCTGGACTATGTATAGGATATCGAAACGAATGATGTGTACCAAGTCTTCGAAGCCGAACCGAATCGGTTAAGAAGGTACGCCTTCAAGACCGTTCTCAAAATTAAAGCTCGATAGACACAAACAGCGTGAATAACCAATCTTCTCTATGTTCAGACAATGGTTCTCGTTAATAATGGAGTGCAGGAAACTACCTCGTAAGCTCAGAGTGAAAATTGCTTTCAACAATGCAAAGGCTTCAGAAGGCAACGGGCGTGATGCTGCCGATTGTCAGACAGATACTACTGACTCGTGTCGCCTCGAACGCACTTGGACTTTTGACAAGTATGACGGAACTGGCATTATGAGATGAGGCGAGCCTAGAAGAAGGTGATACGAGACGGGCTAAAGAGAGATGCCCTCCGAGAAAGTGGTTAGAGTGGAACCATCTATCATGCAACTGAGTCGTGTAATATGGAAGACACCTTCTTCAAGGGCAGAGCCTCCACGTCGAGGTTGAATATTGAATCACAAGCTGCAATGCTAGGTCATACCTGTGCACCGTGATAGTTGACAAGCATGCTCACCACTGGGCGTGGAACAGGTAGGTTTCACTGGATACAGTATGCTGTCATTTTCGTGACCAAATCCTAACGTTCGCAGAGAGCTCGTCGTAGTGAGCTCAAAAGATCATGTGGATAATCTCCTACCAGCTGTCTCATCGTTACTAGAGATCGGATCCTCCATGTTGAAAACTCGACCTCGGTGCGATCTGTCTGCGCGTCTGACTACAATACCGTGTGTACCAGAGCGGAGAGTGTATCCGAACAGAAGGCTTCGGGCGCTTGTGATCAAAAGGAGGCTCGTCAGTATAGGAACGTTAGTCAGTCAAAAGGTCAACCGTTTGAAAATCAACCGGTACAGTACAAGTTGCTCCAAAATATGCGACTATTGCTGCAGATCTGCAGCCATCCTATGCTTGAGCGCAGCGGGCCCTGAGTGTTGGTGTACGCGCATACACAATGATCCGCGGAAGGATGTTCCCCCTGCGGTGGCACAGAACAGGCAATCTAACAAGCTCGCCCTTGCTGCAAGGCACAGAGGAGCTGAAGCCGGCGCATGATTGTTGAAGATCTCCAGGTCTTCGACAGCAAGCATAAAGGCAAAACGAAACGGGCGCAGAGTCGCAAACCGAGAGCTGCGGAGGGACAAGTTGAGCGACAAGCGGGGGCAGGAATTGACGAGCTTCCTCCATGCACGTCTCGCGGACCGGAAGCTGCTGCGACCCACACGGGTGTCGTTGGGACTGGCCTAGAAAGGATTTACATGGCTTGGCTTGGGCTGGCAAGGAAGACTCCGAAGAGTGGAGTGTTCTCAGGCAGTTCAGAGTCAAGATCAGGAAGGTGCAGACAGTGAAGAGGAGTGTTGATGGATGCAGGGATCGCTAGCAGGGCTGCGATAGACGGGGAAGAGCGAATCCGAGCAGAGGTGGTCTCTGAGGTCGCAGTGCACTACCTGTCAATGGCCCTAGACCCTGCATTGGCGTGCGACTGCGGTCAAGCAGAGTCTTGTGTTTTGGTGGACACTTGCGGCCTCGAATATGCAGCAGCGGCAGGTTTCAAGCAGCATCCGAAGCCCTCGGGTCCCACCCCACCTCTGGAGGCTTTTGAGCAGCAATGGCAGGTGGCAGGAGTCGGAAGAGCGAAACTGGCTCCCGCACGCTGCTTGTCAGAAGGAAGCATAAAGATGGACATGTAGACAGCAGCCTCGCTCTTTGCTGCTTTCCTTTCCCAACTGCCAGAGCCTCCCCCAGCCTGACCGTCCTTGAGTTGTGGCTTGTTGACTTGTTGACTTGTTGACTTGTTGACTTGTGATTGTGTACTGCACATCTCCGGCCGTGTCCTCTCGCTTTGACTTGCTCGGCGCAAAATCTCGACTGCTCTCAGTGGTCTGGGCTGGTGCTCCTCGGTCGTCATTTAACATTTTGCTTGCAACTTCCCATCTGGTGCTTCTTGCGTACAAGCATCCTTCCCTCTCAATTGCCTTGATCCATAGCTATTCGACAGCTACCCAGTCGCCCAGCCTCCCGCATCTCTTGACCGGCTTCGTCCACGCACCTCCCACACTCCCACAAAGTCTCGCTCGACGTCGACGCCCGCAATGTCCCGTCACGCAACAATCACCCAGTCATACCAGGAGCGAGCCTCGCTGCCCAAGACATCACCGGTCGCCTCGTACCTCCTACGATTGATCGCAGCGAAGCAGACAAATCTCTGTGTCTCGGCAGATGTGTCGACAACCAGAGAGCTGCTGCAACTCGCCGAAGAGGTCGGCGACTCAATATGCATGCTCAAGACACACGCCGACATCATTAATGACTTTGGCCCTCGCACCATCGAGGGCCTGAAAGAGATTGCTGCCAAGAAGCACTTCCTCGTCTTCGAGGACCGCAAGTTTGGCGACATTGGCAGTAGGTGCCTGCCCCACCCGTGTCTTCCAATCACCGACCACTGACACAGCTTCTTGCAGGTACCGTGCAAAAGCAGTTCACTGCCGGCCCTCTGCAGATCGTTCGCTGGGCCAATATCATCAATGCCCACATCTTCCCTGGCCCCGCCATCATCACTGCTCTCTCGCAAGCCGCCCACGATGCCGTCAGTTCTCTCAACACTGCTGTCACCACTTCCATCTCGGCCTCGCCCGTTCCCTCATACATGGACGACAGCGACGAAGTAGACTCGCCTGCACTGTCTCACCACGAAGACTCAGACGATCTCGACAGACTCTCGAGCGACGATGACTCCAACCAATTGTCTACATACAGTGACCCCACTGGTCGCAAGCCAAGCGTCGTTTCCGTATCTACCACTATCAGCACCAAGACAGAAAGCATCTCACCCCAGCCTACGCCAAACCACCACGGTGGCCCCAACGATTCTATTTCGTCCATCAGCGCCGGCTCGGCTGGTCAAGAATCGTCTGCTTTGGCCCGCCTCGGAGAGCCCCCTCTCCTCCGAAGCTTGCTGATCCTCGCAGAGATGAGCAGTGCAGGCAACTTGATGACTGGCTCATACACTGAACAATGTGTTGTGGAAGCACGCAAGAACCCGGAGTTCGTCATGGGCTTCATCGCACAACGCACTCTCAATGAGCAGCCTGGTGACAATTTCATCACCATGACTCCTGGCGTCCAGATTGGCGCCACTGGAGATGGTCTCGGCCAACAGTACAACACTCCGGAAAAGGTCATCGGCGAAGCTGGCACCGACATCATCATTGTCGGCCGCGGTGTCTACGGTGCTCAAGATAAGAGGGCCAAGGCCGAGGAATACAGAGTCAGAGCATGGAAGGCATACGAGGGGAGAATTGGCGCTGCTACTGCAACAAAAGGTAGCAGGTGAACATATCACTGACATTTGAGAAGCTGGGATATTGTTCAGGCAGGACGAGGATGTGTGCTTTTCTACGGTCAGGAACCGACAGGAAACATCGAAGCCTCCGATACGGAGGACAGACTGGAAACTGAATTGAGGATCATATTTGGAGGACTACTTTTTCAAGGCGCATGTTGGAGTGAAGATACAAAAAAGTGTAGAGCAGCTTGGGATTCATCCATCATCACCATCATCTTCATAATCACTTTACCTCCGTCTCAACTCATGAGTTGGTCCGATTGACCTTGGGAGCTGACTACCAACAATGGTTCGGATCGCACGGCACAAGATTTGATTGATCAGCGAGCTGGTCCCTGATGTGTCCGGATGATTTGTGTTGTATACGGAGGGCTCCACAATGATTGAGAAACGGCAAGACTTGCTGCAAGATTCGGCACTCACGATCGACCATGCGAGAAGAGCTTGTAGGCCGCTGAACGAATTGGGTGATATCGCCTACCCATTTAAGAACAGTGACGAAGACATCACAAGCAAACCATATTCGAAGATCCGGTTTGAGTGAATGAATCAAAAAAGATGAAAGGGACGTAGGCGTGAACATGCGTTAAGCGGGCTTTGAAAGTGCGTCTCCCTCTCTTTCTCTTTTATGCCTCGATAGCTGTTGAACACTCTCTCGCCTGCAATCACCTACTTCATTCTGCTCTTCTACAAGAAGCCGGTCCAAACAAGTGGAAGCCCATAAGGATATATGGACGTGACCCGTATGATAGAACAATGTTATGCTCGGTTTCGATTCTGTCAAACTATGGATATGTGGTTGAGCTATGTCTAGGCTGCCCAAAGCCTCTCGTTAGCCATGAACAGGTCTCTGGTATCAAGATGTTTGAACAAATGACTTTGAGCTTGTCGATTCTTGTAGTGTTGGTGCATGCTAGCTCCAGCAGAATCTTTCTTCCATACCAACGGTTTCTTGACCTTTGACCAAGCATAGTCATGTCTGCACTCCTGCCAGCACCACCAACATACGCCGACTTCACCTAGAGCAAGAACCAAGAGATCTAATAGAGGCAGGATGCGTGTGCGAATGCCACAGTGATGATGGTTTTTGTCTACCTGATACTCGGGAGCTTGTTTGAAGCTGTCGACAAGATCTAGGACGTCGCCATCGTAGGGTTCAGGCGGATCTGAGGTTGCAAAGATGGTGCTTTGCAAGGAAAGAGTGTTGATACGTTTGAAGAATTTGATGGTCTGACCCAATTGGAACAAATCGCATTCGGGCGAGGAGTCGTAGCCCAGCTTACACTGTCGCTCGCGAGACGTGTATAGGGTGAGGAAGTGCGCCTGCAAGGACTGTATGGTTTCTAGAATGCAGTCACGGCGGAACAGCAACTCATCCTCAATACCCATGGGTAGATCCCACCACAGAGCCGCATCTTCCTCGGGTTCGCGACCGACCCAACCGCGATGTATGAGGCGTAAGGAGGCTTGATATACCCAGCTCGCGTTCTCCAGGAAGATGCCGACCAGCAGTCGTTGGCGCGCACGCTCTTCATTTGTAGCAGCATTTTTCGATGTAGGCTTTGCGTCCAGAGCGGCAATCATCTTGTGGCTCTTGCAGTAGGCACGCCACGACGCAAGGCAGTCGAAGCGGTCGGCTACGATGCACAGGTTTGCGATGTTAGCCAGAGGTGGGGTCACGCTGGTCATGTCGCGTGCGTGCAAAGCGCATAGGAAGTCGGCCATGAGCTGTTTGATACTCCTCACCGAGGGCGATATGCGGCCGACATGGACAATGCTGACTTGCGGAAGCTCGTCGGCGGGAACGGCGGCATCGAGGACGGGATATTTGGTTTTGAGCTCCGAGTGGCGGAGAGCCACATGGGCGCCTTCTTTAAAGTCGCCTTGTAGAAGTCGCAGGAAGTAGGTCGAGGCGTCTTTCAGCCTGCTCGAGTCGACACGATATCTGCAAATCTCCTGTGCCGGGCCATCTCGTTGTACAATGAGGACAAGATCGCCTGCTGGCGAGACGATGGTGATTCCTGAAGGCGTCTCTTCCAAAGGCTCGACCGTCTTGTTCTCCTGTAGCTCGCGTTTGGCGGCTCTCGCTTTCTTGGTTGGTGTTGACATGGCAGGAAGCCTTTCGAGAACGCTCTCTTATGGATAGGGCCAGAACATGCTGACAAAGTGACGTGTGGGAAGAAAGTATTCCTATATCATAATCCTGGACATGCGTCTGCGAGCCTCCACTCGTGCTCGATTGCTTCAGAACATGACGTGCATTGCCAAGCCTGTCTCTTCCGATCTGTATCCATTCACGAGCACGAGCAATCCTTGTTCAACAAGCTGAATCTTGTCAAACTATGGCAGTCTAGGAATTTCTAGTCTATATGGATACTTTATAGTGTTATCCACAAACCATGCCTTCTTTCGGCACTTCTACCTTTTCACCATTGTTCTCCTGCTCTTCCACCCTGCCCTCTGGTTCCAGGCCCGCTTGTTTGTTCTCCTCCTTCTCACGCTCCAACCTCTCCTTCTCTTTTCTAGTCAATTGCATAGAGCCCTTCTCGAGTGCTTCCTTGGGCAGTGGTCGTACATATGGCTGGCAGATAAACCACGGCCTCTTGCACCATGCAACGGTAGCCAAAGAACTCTCATCTTTCGTCGGGTCGACTTCAGGCCTGGTTTGCGGCTCTGTTTGAGGCTCCTCAAGTGGAGAGGCCTCATGCTCGAGCAAGCCCTCCTTGACAGCAGCCTCGACCATGGCCAGTACGTTCTCGTAAGCTGCCATATCACCAGCACGACAGCGGGCGAGAGCATCTCGCACGTTTGTGTGCTTGGAAACCAGTGGCCGGAGCATGTGGAAGAGGTGAGCCTGCATCGGGGTGAGGTTGGGATTTGTACATTTCTCAGCCTTCTTGCGAACTTCGCCCTTTCCCTGCTTTTGCTTCTTGGATGGAGGTTGGCCATTCTTATCTTGAGCTGCGTCTGTGCTTGACGTAGTCTCGGCCTCGTCTTCGGCAGGTCGCTTTTGAGCCGAACTGGGTTCGGTTGCCAACTGTGCTGCAGTTGTGTTTGGCAGCGCATCGTCGTCTCCGGGCAAGAACAAAGGCTTTCGTGCGGGAGGGTCCTGGCCAAGCACATATCTGTGAATGATGTCCATGTATCGCCTCAGCACGGCGTCCATGCGGTAGCCCCCTCTTCCATCTTTTCCTCTCCAATACTCTCTTCCTTCTTGGCCGGCTGGCGGGGGTTGAGCAAAGACGGAGGGATCGTAAAGATTTCCTTCGGCACTCATGACACCATCGGCGCCGGTGGCCTCAAGACAGGCAGGAATGTCGTCGTGGCGCAAGATGTTGCCGTTGGCGAATATGACAGTGTCTGAGGGGAGGTTTTCTCGTAGGTAGCGAATGACAGCCCAATCAGCCAAACCCGTGTTGTGACCCTTCTGGTGGCGTTGGCGGCCATGAACGGTGATGATGCTGGCGCCGGCCGACAGAATCATTTTCGCATAATCGAGCGTCTTTTCGCGCGTATCAAGGATGCGCATCTTTGCCGTGACCGGAATGTCGAGATTGGTGTGTAGGTTGTTGATAAGCTTGTAAATCAGGTCCCAATCTTCCTGCAGGAAAGAACCGTAATGACCCTTGCGTGCGATGCCTTGGGGACAGCCGAGATTAAGGTCAACGGCATCGCAAAAGGGCTGTACATGGCGGGCAGCAGCGAGCAGGTCGTTGGGGTCGTTGGCGCAAAACTGGACGAACAGGGGACGGTCGGTTTCGTGGTTGCCGTCGAGATGGTGGTCGTGGTGGCCGAATTGAGACTGGTGATAGGGATCGGGTGTGTCTGGCATAGAGCCCTTGAGCGGCTGGAAGTGGGCCTCGCGGTATTTGGGATTCTCATGGAACAGGCGGGCGTGGAACATGGGAGTGTAGGCGAGCAGCTGCTTGTTCTGCTCGGCCGGCATGAATGAGCGCGTTAACAAGCGCCATGCCTGTCTGCTCTGTTAGTGTCTGAAGTTGGTGTTTGCTCCCTCGAACTCTCGACGCACAAACTCGCTCTGCTCGACCATGGGTGCCAGAATCAGCTTGGGGCTGCCGATACTCTCGTAGAAAGCCCTGCCATGCAGCTTTTGTGCTTTGGCCGTCTGACTCATGCTTGCTGCCCGAGTCTGACTTGTATTTACAAGAGGTGGATACCGAATGCGAAGTGCTGCTGGCCGTAGCAAGCCTGTCTTGAGCATGAGCGACAGGTTTGGTTGTACGTTATGGCATCGCCCGGCGCAAACAATTGCGGCAGGAGAAAAGTTGTTCTCCACATGTCACCCACGATATGCACGCCTGGCGCCACTCCCGCCCCAGCCTAAACTTTGTTTCTCCAACTCGCAGATCTGCAACGCTCTTCTGAACGTCGTGTCGTGCCTTCCAAGATTCATCCTATTCTCTTATTACCTGTTCTACTGCAAACTCCGCTAACCATTTGTAGCCAACTCTCTCGCACACCTCTCGCAAGCCCGCCGCAGACCTCTCGCAAGCCTTTCGCAAAGCTCGACTCATCGCGCATGACCTCGCTCGCTTTCTATATCAGAAAAATCCTACCAATACTGCCGAACATCTTGCAAAACTTCCATCTGCAATGCGCTTCTGAAGTACCTCTGTTGTTACATGATAAAGACTAATAGATCACGACACAGATGTGCGAAAGCAAAAAACTGATCAGTGTTGCCAACATTTAAATTGATTTCGGACCAGACTGCGACACTTTTGGTGCCTTACACCAGTAAACGTCTTGCGCAATCTCTCTGCGCGGAATTCTGTCTTTTCCCATACTCCCGCCATCATTTCTGAAAGCACACCCCAAGAGTGCACGCTTCTGACCCTGCTATAACCACCCCCAGAGATGACTGGGCTACCCGACACAATCTCACTGGACACGACTCTGCTTCGAAAGGTATGGTGAATTTTGACGATAGCAATACACCGGGGAGTGTTAGGCACGTAAGCCCAAATGGCATTGTAAACACCATTCCTATCGTTCGATGTCTTATTCTGCCTCATCTAGAACTGCCCATCGTTGCAGGTATCTGATGTGGACCTACTTTTTGCATACCTACTGGAGTATACTAGGAGCATTTCATGTACTCCATAATTTGAGGCCGGCTCACATCAAACAGTTTATATCTCCAGGTAATACTCTATACCTGCACAGGAAAGGGCCCTGTTATGTTCCCATCTTGAGCCACCACAAGATTCTGTGGCAGGCTGAGGCGTCAATGAATACCTTCTAGATATCAACTGCGATTCATGAACAACAGGAACACGACCACGACTCTGAGATAGTACCGTCAGCTTGGATCCCCGACGATGAGGCATGCACAATCCAATTACCTACGGCCGGCCGAGTATCTACTAAGCAGACCACTCAATGCCCCATCATGGATTGGAGATACGATCATCATGTAGCCTTGACGACACACCCGACGACAAGGTACTCGGGTCTATACCAGTGTCTCTGAGACGGCGTCATGCTCTACAGCTATCCATCCTCCTACATAACCCTTTCGCTTATCCTCCTGCTCACCCTCCTTTCTGTGGCTCACTTGATACTAGACCGCCCATGCTGGATCGCTCCCTAACCATATCCTCTACATACTAAGACTTACAGGCAGTATAATCGTCCAGACAGGAAGCAGCCTAGCCAGTATATAATACTTCTCTCTCCATTTCCCTCCATCTTTCTTTCATCTCACTCTGAGTAAAATTCATAATTTTCACAAAATTAAGTTTTTATCCATCTTCCATTCACATTCACAATGCCTTCTCACATCCCCCATTACATGCTTCCCACCATCTCATCCCAGACTTCTGCAAGGGCCGCCACCCGAGCAGTCGTCGCCCCCGTGTCTGCTAATGTGCGTTCCAAGCAGATTACAGGTCCTGTCAAAGCCCTCCCCCCCAGGCCAGCCCCTCGTCCTACCTCGTCCGCCCTTCCTGCCGTTGCTAGCAAGTCAACTTTCTCGGCTCGCCAGAAAGCTCTGAAGCCCGTCGCCCCTCGTCCATCCGCCCTTACCGCCGCCGATCGTAACCGTCTCAAGCACCTGGCCCCGGCCGTGCAGGAAGAACTGGCAAAGGCTCGTGAAGTCCACTGCGGAGAAATCCGTAAGGCTTGCGAGTATCGTGTTGCCCACGGTGAGTTCAGCTTTGAGTCAAGTGTGCTAACTGAGTTGCAGCTGGGAGAGACTGACCATGAAGACTAGGGGTCTGAGTGGTCTGATTCTCTTCTTGGAGAGTCGGATGATGAGAGTGAGTGCACCGTTTGGGACATTGCTGACCTTGTCATGCGTAGTTTCGACTCCGAGTATGACACTGTCATCATTCGTGGTCCCGGCGAGCTTGAAGACGAACGGATTGCAGATGCCGAGTCTCTTTCCTTTGTCGAGGTGAGTCCGTCCATGCTTGGTGACTTTGCTGACTACCCCTACTCTTCCGTTCCTTCCCCTCCTCTTTCGCAGCAGGTCGAAGACGACTTGGTCGTCGCTCTTGAAGAGCTTAATCTAGATGAGGTGCGTCTGATGGGCTTAGGCTCTGATTCTCTTTTCTCTCCTCTCCATTCCTCCTTCCTCTCCCGTCATCCTTCCTTCCTCTTCCTCGAAGACAGTTGAGCTCTCTCTCTGTCCCGTATCGCTCACATTCCCCTTTCTCATAAAACATCAAAGTGTTGTGGTGTCTTGGGATGTGGCGGCAATCCAAGGCATTGCAACACAACCAAAAAAAAACATAAAAAGGGCTAATCGCGGAGGCAAAAAAGAAAGTTTCAGATTTGAGGTCTTCTCTTTTGTTCAGTTATCATTGCGTTGCTTTTCTGCGTTGCTTTACTTTTGGGTGTGCATGTTGACTTTGGTCGGCCACCAATGCGTTGCTTTTTCTCCTTTGTTGTTATCATTGCGTACAGTGTTTTGACACTTGGGTGTGGCTCTGCACTTGCGAGCCACATCTGCTTTTTCTGCTGTTATTTTGCATTCTTATTTCCTTTGTTTTTCCTATGTCCTCATTGAGTTTCTGGTCTATGACTGGGACTTGAAGAGGACTGTTGTCTTCTTAGATACCTTTACATAGCTCTCAGCAATCCATGTCATACCTTCATGAAGACCACGTTTCCAATGGGATCGACCTCCCCGTGTGCTCAAGTTTGTCACGCGATTGCACGATTGTAACATTTTCAGAGGTAACCTCCGTTGGGAGCGTGATAGTTAGCGCCTCTTTGCGGGCGACTAGAGCGATCTTGAAAACATTGTGCATTTCTACAGACCGAATAACCCTAGACATGGGCGTGGGAGATGGCTAGAAGTGACAGAGTGTAGTACACGGGGAGAGATTATCTGCAACATATGCCTTTCATGTCCTAAAACACTCTCTGTACATAGGCGACAAGAACCGATCAAGGCTTCCAATGAGGATCGTCTTCACCAGTCAGGTCGGGCCTGATCTGACCCCCCTCTAACCACGTTTTCATGCGCCCGTACAAGATGTTGCGCTCTGGACCATGCGCGTTGAGGTTCATCTTAGGTGGTTGACTGATCTTGTTCTCGGCCCATGCCAGATATTTGTAGCCGCTAGGATATTGCTTGACTTCATCTTCGGGGATACTGTAGATGCGCTCGGGGTTGACCGGTGTGAATTTGTCCTTGTCGAACAGCAGCGTATAAAATACTACTCCCCATCTCTGTCCCCTCTTTTCGAGGAAGAAGAAAAAGCGGCAGTCGGCGTCATTGTCCATCTCGATATCGTCAAAGGTGAATCGGCAGGTAATCGTGATTTTCATCTTGCAGACTGCACGAGTAAGATCGGGGCTCATGTCGACTTGGGAACCGATGATGCGATGCAATATGTACATGAACCTGGATCCTTTTTCGAAACCAGCTTTGGAGGCTTCGATGAACTCATCGATGTTGCCCTGTTTCCAGCTGGTCGCGATGTAGGCGTCGTCAAAGAACATGGAGCGATAGTTCTCCCATCTGAGTGCATGCATGAGTAAGTCGATACGTGTAACAAGAACGAGAGACTGGCTCACTCTGCAGCGTCGCGATAAACCCCCCACCCTTCACAAATTTCGCGAACCTTGAAACGTTCAAGAGCCTCCTTGTCTAGATCATGACCTTTGGCATTGTTCCGGATCGCATCTTTAGGGTATGTGTCGAGAGCTGGTTGTTCAGTGTGATAAGGATCATCGGGGTTCTTGCTCTTGTCTTCAGGCATGTTGAGTGATGTACGAATGGCGCAAGATTGTTGTCAGCTGAGCTTGGAGAAAGAGCAGTTATACCCTTTTATAATGCTAGCTTGAGGCGGACTTTCGGCAGTTGTTCTTGAATGGTCATTATGATGTACATATTGTGAGCTCTCAAAATGGAGTTTCTTATGCTCATCCACCAAATGTTCCGGCCTTCTTCCTATCGTATTTGGAAGCTTAAACTCTGTCTACGGTATACTTTCGCGACCTTCCAGCTTTATGGTCTTCGTGGAGCTCATGAACAATACTCTGTTGACAGCACTCGTTGCTGCGCCATGACGTCGACAATTCTGGTCACCCTGTCATTCTGCAGCTCCGCAGATTCGATCGCCTCTCTCACCTTCCAACAGCCTAGCCTTGAATAGAGTACAGTACATGAAATAGATTAAAAGGCTTGTATACATGGATGAAATACGTGAGAATCAGGTATGGCGACAGCCTGCCTTGTTTAGGTCGTCTTTTTGCTTCTTGTATGGAAGTCTTCTTTGAATACTTCCCAACACATTCTTCGTCGAGCAAAACGTGGACTCTGTGTCTTTTCCGTAACAACAAAGCGCTACTTGCGTTCTGCACAATAGTTCAAGCTCGAGCAAAGGAGACAGATATTGCAGCTGTGCGATTTCCGTTTTCCGAGCTGAGGCCTACAAGACAGGTTCGTCCGCTGAAGACTCTCGTTGATTCATTCTCGCGGAACAGTACTCTTTTTGAACACGTTGTGGCATGGCAGAATTATGTCTGGTATTGTGATGGTTCTGAGAGGTGTGTCAGCCTTTGACAAAGTCGACGACTGACTGGAAAGCCAATCGCAGTTCGTCCTAGATCCGCTACTCCGCCATATCAATCTAGTTACTCATAACGTGAGGAAATACAGCAATGCTCCGTACGCTCTCCTATCGCATTGGTATAACCCTCCTCAACATATTCTTCCCTCCTCTTGCGGTAGGGCTTCTCGACAACTTCAACACCGATTGCCTAGTCAACAGCATCCTCTTTGTCTGCGGTGTCCTGCCGTCTCATGTCCACGGATTCTATATCAGCTGTGTGTATTTCTCTCGCAGGCATAAAGTGCGAAGAGGTAGATACCCTGGTGGATCCAAGTCGTTCATCTATACGGACACAATCTTGAACGGAGGCGCAAGCAATGCGGAGGTGAGAAGGCTGGCCGAAGGAGATAGGGTGAAAAGAAGAACAAAGAGAGGACGGGCATAGATGTGCAAGGAAGATCAATCATACCGGAGGTTGAATAAGATAGGGATCAAGAGATATAAGAAGCAAAAGCAAATAGGTGATCTCGACACGTCACAGCAAGATGGCAACTGTTCATGATGGAGCAGTGCATGTTCACGGAGTAATGTTCTTAGGAGTGTGCTAATGCTACTGTTGGCAAGACTCGATATTCAAAGACCAGACTCAGTGTAGAAGACCTTCCTCCCAAGATAAAACCAAAAACGCCGGACCAATGCTGCGCTGGAAAGAGTCGAATGCGAGAATACGAAATTTGTGAGTGGGAAAAAGTGGCCGACTACTCCATCTCCTCGTCGGTGAGGTCCTGGTGGCGGGCAAGGACATTGCGCTTGAACTCGTCCATGTTGGTATCCCAGAGCTCGGCAGCCTGACCATTGAGGGGAGAGGCACTGAGAAGAGAATCAGTAACGGATATTTTCAGGACCGTGGTTTGACATTACTTGTTGGGCTCGCCGAGCAAGCTCTGCAGAGACAGAAGCACAGAGCCGACGTTCAAGACGGCGCTCCACTTGTCCTTGAGAATATCCAGGCAGATGCGACCCTTCATGTCGACATTGGGGTGGTAGATGGGAGTGGTGAAGCGGACCTCCGGAGGGACGTAAGGATAGCGGGCAGGGAAGTTGAAGCGCAACTTGAGAGTGAGCCCGGCGTAGGGAGTATCGGCGGGTCCCACGATGGTACCGTCCCAGACAGTGAGGTCGCCGTTATGCGGGAATGCACTGATACCAGGGGCGGGGGATGTCATCAGCGTCATGAGCTCGCCTTGCAGGCTGTGTTGCAATCAGTCAGTGGACTCGGGCTGAGCGAAAGGGCTCGAGGAAGGCGACGAACCGCTTGATGACATTGCCATTGTCCTTGGACTTGGAAGGACTTGCGGGTGCATTCGAAGCTGGGGCGACAGCAGCCATGGTGTGAATGTTGGTGTTGACGTGGGAATGCTCGAAGATTGCGTGATATGAGAGAGACAGCGAGAGCGAAGTGTCCGAGGCGCTGGAGTGAGAATGCGAGAAGAGCTTGGTGAATTGAAATCTAGGTGGAAGAGTGAGACGGAAGGAAGGATGTATTGTGGATGCGTGTCGAGAAAAGTCAAGAGGGCCGTATAAACAGACAGCCACCCGTGTTATCGCCTACAACAAGTACTTGATGCAATGCATAAAGGGATTGCTTCTTTTCTCGACATGTAAACACGCCGTTGCCGGGGTTCTTGTCGACAAGCCCGCCCCACACCCGCGTCAGCATCCGCGCCTGGCGAACGCGCCCATCGAAACTTCTCACGCGTCATCCAATTTATTCTCGCATTCAAGTTCTTCTGGAATTTGGGGTAAACTTGGCGTGGCGGACCCCTCTGGGCATGGTTTCTGAGCGATAATTAGCCATTATACACGTATCTGACGTCCCCTACCACCTTTTGAAGCTCTGAAAACTGCTGTATAGTCGTCGCCGAGGTGTAAGTTGTTGCTGCTCGAATTTTGATGGATTCTGACGGTTGTTGTGGCTAGTAATCGTCCCGACGCGCCTTATGGGCTATCTTAATGAAATCGACGACAAGTGGCTAGAAGAGGTGTTCAAAAGAGGAGGATCTGTAAAGGCAGCTTAGCATATGTTTCCTAAGGCGCCTCGGTTAACACTGTATGCTAAACATACTAACTAGCGCGCGTACGGCTCCGTCGCTCGTCCTGTTAGCGTACGGATAATACTAGGTACTAAGAAGCTCATTACTCTAGTAATAAGTAAGTAGTTAGTAGATAAGATCGCGTAGACAAACGATGTCTAGTAAGAGGAGCTAATCTTTAACCTCTTTATTATGTTTAATGTCGCCGTTAGTTAACCGACGATGTCGAGGTTTATAAATGGCGAGGGTCTGTCGAAGAAGGTCTCTATAAGGATAGCCGCGCAATAGGACTAAGTTATGCGCGCGATCTTTAAGATAGAGGTGCGGAAGGTGCCGGCAGAGGACTTAGTATATATCGACGAGTCGTATGTAAGTAAGAAGACTCTATATAGACGACAAAGTTAGTTAGCAATCGGTCTACTAGCCTTTATAACCTTAGTTCTTCGACATGCTACTTAACTTAGCATATTACTAGCCCTTATAATCGAAGGGTTCCTACCTACTTCTACTCTTATTATTAAAGGCTCGGTTACTAGAGCCATCTTCGAGCACTAGCTTAAGCATATATTGCTTCCTTAACTACCTCCCGGTAAGGTTCTAGTTATAGATAATTGTTCTACCTACTATAGTAAGAAGGTTTAAGAGCTCTGTCGAGCTACTAGAATTTGCCTCCTCTATCTTCTACCTTATTCGCTAGACTATAACCCTATCGAACTAACCTTCTATCTGCTTAAATAGTAGCTTCGAGGACATAGAAACCTTGTACTAAAGTAGGGATTAGAGAACTATAAGGAGAATTTTATTCGGTTCCTTCGCGAGGCGGTTAATATATGCATAGAAGGAGAAGACATCTATAGTCTATTTAGGAAAGCAAAGGTAAACTGCTAATTACTTAGCGTACATGTCCTCGAATAGTTTATCGTCTAACTCGTCGTCATTATCTGCCTCTACATCGTCTTCTATATTAATGACCTAAGGCTTCTCTTACCTTCTAATCTAGTCTACCTTCTTAGCCCTTATAAAGCAAGGTAGGTTCTTATATACCATGTTTCTAACGCCCTATGCCGTAACAAATTCCTTAAGCTATAACTCTAGTTGTTCCTTAATATCGCCGAGGGTAATATGCTCGCGGGATAGTACGATAAGGGCCTTTAATAATGCTAGTTTAGCAGTCCTATTAGCATCGATAAGATAGTCGAAAAATTCCTAAAGAGCCTCGATACCATTAATATCTAAGGGTAGAGGACTACTTTAGGGAGCCTCCTCTTAATGATCCTGTTGTTACTAATATTGCTGTTGTTGCTACTGCTAAGGCATGCCAAATGGAGCATTATAACCGCTAAATGGTGCAGGGAAACCGTATAATACATTTTAAATTAAAGGGGTCGGAAATGGCAATACTAGCAAGGGTGATACCGGTGTTTATTAAGCTATAGCCTTCTTCCTTTTAAACTTAGCATCGCGGTAGTTAGACCACCTTATGACGGTCTATATAATAGAGAGACTTAGTTGCTATACGGTGCAGTTGCTAGCATTAATCTCTAAACACCACTTGTCTATGCCTTTGCCCTCGATCTTATAGTAAGTTCTATCCTCTTTAAGATAGAGACATCTAAGGGCACGTCGAGCAGCAATATAGTAAGTTACCTTCTTATAGAGCTACGTAGAACGTATGTCTTTAATGTGCTAACTACTGTTCTTAAGATAGGCCTAAGTTGCCTTTTAAGACTTCTCTAACTTCTTATTTCCCGGCTAGGGTTCTCTAACTTGCAAATTCGGACCATTTTCGCTAGCAATAGGAGTAGGGTTACCCTCCGTACTAGATGCCTGCTAGGTAGGAGAAAGTTAACTTAGGATACTATCCCTTATCCGAGACTACTTCTCGATAACGACGACGGTATAGTCTCTCTTCTTGTTAGCATCATTAAACATAACTAGAGCCTCTATACTACTCTAGACATAGCTATTAATGTCTCTATCTAGTAGGAAGGGGTCGGTATAGGCCTTACCTCTGTCGTAGATTACATTAATATAGGCAATTCGACTAATAAGATACTTCTATAGACCGTTGTTAGTAGCGTAGTCGGAGGCATACGCTATAGCGAGTCGTTTGATTATAGAGACGGCATTAATACCTTAGTTGACCTCGTAAATAGTAGGGGGTTGCTCTTATAGAGCAACCCTATTAAAGAACGACGTCTACTTAAGCTTATAACGAACAACTAGAGGGGGTAGCGGCGACTTCCTTTAGCGCTAAGACTAGCTCTAAGACTAGCGTCTATTGTTCTCCTCCTCTTAATCATTAACATTAACATTACTAACATTAGCCTTATTAACCATAGCTCGCTAAGTACGCTTTACTATAGGTGTAGGAGGAGGAGGCAACAGTCGCTTACGCGTAGCTAGTTTTAATGCCGTCGGTGTTCTCTTTAATGCCGTCGCCTTTACTAACTTTGTTGTTTTAGCCTTCGAAGCAGTTATAGTTACGTTATTCGACTTCCTCTATAATAGTGCCCTCTTTGCCGGCGCCTTCCTTATAGGTGCCTTCCTTACTGCTACCTTCTCTTACGTACGAGTAGTACTCTCTATAGTAGCCTTTATCGACGGTCTACGAGCACGCTTTTAACTAGCATTAACGATATTACCTTAGTTAACATCGAAGTGAACACCTCGAGCACCGCGTTTAACCTCTTTAGCATTTACGATACTAGCTATCCGCGTAGCAATAGTAGCAGTCTCCTGCTCCTCTATCTGTCTCCGAGCTCGCCTACGAGCAGAAGTAACCGCCATTTAAGTATCTAGGCCTATCTAGCTATCTTCCTTAGGTATATCGTGGTTAGGAGGGAGCATCGGACTGCTCTACTAAAGCGCGCCAAGGAGCGCGTCGACATCGTCTTCGGGCGATTTAGGCGTTAGTATACGGTCGTAGAGGCTCAAGAAGTTGTCATTAGCTAAGGGGGCCTCTAGCGACGACATAGTGTGTAAATGAGACGACTACGAGGTGTATAGATGGCTAATATCGAGTATATACAGCTAACTAGTGCTCAGAAACCATGCCCAGAGGACCCGCCACGCCAAGTTTACCCCAAATTCCAGAAGAACTTGAATGCGAGAATAACCTTCCATGTTCAATGTGTACCTTATGCACAGCCTTGTAATGTTCATAGCTACCGAGTATATGAAGAGCTTCAGAGCAACGCTCGCAGCTATTTCTCCCTTCTTCCTTCAGTAATCGTGCTGCTCGTAATTAATTATGCTTTTCCCTGTAAGTGCAGTCAATCCACCTTGATAACCACCCCAGCAAATCCCCTCATTCGTTGAGATGCACTTGTTGTGTTTAGAGAACCTGTTGGCTGGTAAGCATACATGCAACTTCACCAAGCTATCAAACACTTACGTCTGCAATATTCTGGCGCACAATGATACTCTTCTGTCTCTCATTGCGACTCACGCGGTAGTAGTAGTCAGTGTAGTCGGCACAGTTCATGTATCTCAAGAACTCCTCGTCGTGCGTGATGACAATCAGCTGGAAGTTTGACTGCTGTCTTCTGATGCGAATAATCTCGGACAACGATTCTGCCAGCGAGCGGATGTTGTCACGATCAAGGTTGGTCGTGGGTTCATCCAGAGCAATGAGACCACAATTTACGCCGAAACATTCTGCCAAAGCCAGGCGGATGATGATAGACGCAAGCACCTTCTGACCTGCCGAGCAACGACCACGCATGTCCATCTCCGCGTCTTGCTTGCACATGACGACACGGTAGTTGTAGCTCTTGTTGCCCTTTTGGTTGTCATTGTCGGAGCGAATGAGAATCGAGTCCACGTCCGTGCCGCGATAAGTCTTCTTCCAAAGCTCTTCGATGATGCGGTTAATCTCCTCCATTTTCAGGGCATGATACCTCATGATGGCCTTGTCGAGTGCACCACCGTAACGGCCCAGGTCTTCGACGGCAGCCTTTGTCGTCTCGACCTTGACGTGAGCTTCCTTGTACTTGTAAGCGGCGTCCTTGTAATCTTGCTCCCAGTCTTGGAGAAGTTGTTGGAGCTGGTCGTCTTTGCTCTTTAGCTGGCCAGTAATCGAGGCTTGCTCGGCAGTGAGTTTGTTGCGTGTCATCTCCCAGCGATTTCCTTCGCGTTCGTGAGCAGCCTTCTCCTCCTCAGCGTTGTGGGCCTCGAGCTCTTTGATTTCGGCAGCGATCGCGTCGACAGCAGCCCGATCACGGCGGTATTCTTGGTTGTCTGCGATTTGGCGCTTCGTCTCTTCAACGTTCTGGAGATTGGTCTCGAACTCCTTGACCTGCTTAGTGATGGTTTGCATTTCCTTCTCCAGGCGTTCGATCTCTCGCTTCATGTCCTCGATGGCGCTCTTGGCTTGCGACAGCTGAGCCGGGCCATTTCTCTGGATATAACCGCTGATTTCTCGCTCGACCATCTGCAGCTTGTTCACACTGTCATTCAAGGCGGCTGTCTCATCACGAAGCTGTCTGTCTTTCTCTGCACCGCGGCGAGAGATGTCGTCGTATTTAGATTGAGCTTGTGATGTTTCAGGAATAAGTTCAGAAAGCTCCTGCTCGAAGGTGCGTTGGGAGGCCATAAGTTCGTTGTTCTGTGCCTTCAACTCGTTGATCTGCTTCTCAAGAGACGCCTTCTCCTTCAAATGGTAGACGGCGGTGCTGAGCTTGGATTTGACGTCACGAAGTTCGAGCTCAAGTGCGTTAATGGTTCCACGAGCCCCATCGCGCTCTCCAATAATCTTGGTCAATGCGATCTTGGATCCACGAGATTGTTCGTTGATTGTTTTAAGATCATCTTGGATTGTCTCAATGCCTCGCGAAAGACCCTGGCTCTTTTGTTTGGCAGCCAACTCTTCAATCTGCTTCTCAAAGTTGACGACTTCTTGGGCATACTTGACGATATTCTGAACAGTCTTTGTGAGACTTTCAACTTCTTGCTTTGCTGATTTGCGCTCGCTGACAATACGGTCCTCTTCTTCAACTTCGCTGGTCAGAGACAGCACGCGAGCCTTCAAGCGTTCCTCCTCCTGCTCGAGCTTTGGGATATCCTTACTTTTGAGGCGATCCCAGTTGTCGTAAGTAGAACTGATTGCTCTGACCTCTTGTAGATAGTTCTCAGTCTCTTGGAGCTCTTCGACTGCGCGACCAGCTTCAGCTTTACCAATTTCCATGCCGAGGAAGTTGATCAGCTTCTCAAGGCCCTGGCGGTCTTTCTCGTAACCACGGCGGCACATGAGACAGCATTTGTTCTCTCTAGCGGCTCTCACTGCGCTTTCGTAGTACTTCTTGAGATGTCCGGCGTATTCGCTTGAACTCTTGCGGTCATCACGCTCAGTCTCTGTCTCCTCCAAGACCTTTTGATACTCTGAGGGATCGGTTTCGATGACGTTGCGAATCGTCTTTTGGCTGGCGTCAAGCTCTCGACGTCTCGCAATGAGATCAGATCTCGTTTGCTTGAGGCGATACTCGAGTTGCTCAAGTTCACGAGCCTGGCCATCTCGCTGACGCTCGGCTTCAGCCACGGATTTGCTGCTGCTGGTGAGAGCGCCTTGGAAGTCGCTGTCAAGCGATGTGGGTTGCCAATCGCCACCAACGATGGTGTCAATTTTAGCTCCATGGGTTTTTGTCATGGTGTCGAGGCTGCGCTGGCGGTCTTTGACCTCCTTTCGTAAGAAGTCGAGGCGTGCCGAGTCTCCAGCCTGCTTGGTGGCCTGGACAAGTTCCATGTCTAGTTTCTCCTTTTGGTCGTCCAGTCGGCGTAGAGTGGCGTCGACCTCATCAACCTGCTTGTCCCAGTTCTTGATCTCGTAGTCAGACTTGGCAGTCTGCAGCTTGCTTTCGGTGTCATCGACGGAAGACTCAAGCATAGTCTTGGCTCCCTCGTCGACTTCGATGTTATTGAGATCAGTCTGGAAACCACCAACACGGCGCTCATTCGCGGCATGGGTGGCTTTGGCACTTTCTTTCTTCTGGTTCAGAGTAGATCTCTGCTCGCTGATGCGGTTGAGGACACCCTGAGCGCGTTGCAATTCCTCGTGAGTCTCGCGTCTGGCACGTTCGAACGTGGCGTTTTGCTCCTTGGCCATTCGACTGATTCGCTCAATGAACTCTCGAGCCTTGTCCTCGTCAACCTCGAGATCATATCCACGAATGTTGTGTCTGCGCGCAGTCTGCTTGACCAGCTGCTCTCTGTTTCCAAGCTGACGCTCGTAGTTCTGTTGATCTGATTCAAATGAACCGACCTGGCGCTCTTTCATGCTAAGTTTCTCGCGATTACCGGTAAGTTCTCGGTTGAGTTGTGAGTATCGGCGTTTCTCGTCGTTAGCCTGATCATGAAGCTGTTGAACACGCTCTTCATACTGCTGTAGCAGAGCTTGGAGTTCTTCATCCGAGTCCGCCATTTCCCGGAGGTTGCGTCGGAGCTTCTGAACACTTTCCTGTTTGGCACGTTGCTCGATCCGTTTGCCTGAAAGTTGACCAACGATACCGCTGAGAAACTTGATTTTCTCCCAGGCAGTGTTGTAATTCTGCTTGGCCTCGGTAATCTTAGCAGTCATGTCCTCACCCTTGTGGCGCAGAGTTTCGATCTCCTCGTAAAGCTCATGAGACCGTTTTTCGGCCTTTTCGCCCTTGTCTTTGTCTTCCTTCGCATGCTGCTCGATGATCTTGTACTTTCCGAGCTCTTCTGTCTGCTTCTTCTTCATGATTTTGATGTTGTCGATGGCCTTCGTGTACTTCATCGCCTCAAAAATTGCATCAAAGCGGTCTTTGAGCTTACTAGGCTCGCTGAGTGGCCACAAGCTTTCGTCCTGGTGGCAGAAGATGACGGAATCCAGGACGGCTTTAGAAACACCAAGATATTGAGGCATGAGCTGATCCAGCTCGGCGACACGTGAAGAGATGGACGTGCGCTCTCCCTCTTTGATCATGAGAAGTTGGCCTTCGAGTGACTTTACAGAGCGTGTTGTTTTCTTGACTGTAAGTTGTAGGCTGCGAGTTGACACCATCTTTGCTCCAGTGGTGGCTAGAAATGACATCTTGACTTGGGCGAGAACCTCTTTCTCGCCGCAAAGCTATGTACGTTGGTCAGAGTGGTTCGATAGTATCTAGTTGACACAAAACATACCTTTGGATCATGGATGAAGGCACCACCCTTGCTGTTGGGCGGCTGGTCTCCTGTTGTGGCATATTTGAGACATTCAATGATAGTCTTTGGATGTTGTCAGTAAATTCAACACGGGCTATGCATCAACAAATTCTTACAGTCTTTCCAGAGCCGTTGTGTCCTACAATCAAGGTGAGAGGTGCGTAGAATTGAATGGTTTCGCTGCGCCCATTGTCGAAGGATCGGACTCTATACCATAGTCAGTGACTGTCTGGTTGCAAGCGGATGTCATTGGCTATGCATACCCCAAAATGGAGAGTTTGTCAATCTTAGCTGAAGGAGCAATGTCAATGAGTGGGTCCGATCTGGAAGGACACGGCGATTTACATACACCTGTTGGAGGAATTAGCTTCGGGATTGTTGACCAATGCGGATCGTAATTGAACTTACATAGTGGATCAAGCGCGGAGTCTTCTCCGGCTGGAAGAAACGGGTGGTCAGGAAACCAGAAGAGAGCAAAAGGCGAATACTTATGTCGGGTTGAGGGTGTTGTATCGAAGTCGGCACCAACTCCAATGTTCCAGTAGGCAGAGACGGAATCGTCTAGATAAACGCGATTTCACGTGCGCGTTTGCTCGAACATGAAAGCCCGTTTGGGAAGTAGGAGGGCAAAGGCGAAGTGACAGCGGACAAGCGCGGCTGCCTCCGTCAACTTTTCTGGCCCTCGCAGCTCGCAGCCCTAAGCAGACCAACTCGACGACGCGCACAATTAATTACTCCCAAAGTGCATGTATATTGTGACTTGTGGACAAAGACATGAGGCGATCATATCGAGCATCTGCTATATAGATTTTACGGTATTCCATGTGCCCTCAGAAGATGTAAGAAGGGGTCTCTCTCGTGAGCTACTCCGTAAACATGATCCGAAATCGAAGTTCATGATCAGCGATGTGCTCCCAGGCCAACGTTTTGGCCAGCACGGTCGCGCTGCGCGACACTCGGTCAGAGGGGTGCGGATCGAGCAACTCTTCCTGCATCGTAATTTTGTCTGGTGGGACTCCCCGGACAAGGCTGCGTTTCTGTACTGAGATTCTTGACCGGGCCTAGGCAGGCGGAGAGCCACAGGCAACTGATGTCCTACCTGTCGTCGGTCGATGGCTCGCTACCCCAAAATGTAAGTCCAAGTGCCACTGCCAACGACGCATGAGCCAAATACACTTCATGGCATCACGGACTAATCGTTGGCTCTGTGCATCAGATGGCCGGGGGCGTGTCCGCGTCCGATATGTTGGACCCAAGCGCCAATCTGATGTCTGACTTGCAGGACCAGATTAATATGCTGCCCATGGACCTCGATCTCAACGACCCGAACCTCGATGTCTCCCTGAGCAACGTGCCCTTTGCCGACCCCTCGGCCTTTGGCAACAACCCAAACTCCATGTCACTCGCTCCCCCGAACCATCAACAACATGATGATGGCCAGCCCCATGCTAATAACATGTCGGCTATCGGCGCTGGCCCGCTGCCCACTGGCTTCGGCATGGGTCCTCCCTCCAATGGCGGCAACACCCTGACCGAGTTCACCAAGCGCAGAAACTGGTCTCAGCGTGTCATCGAAGAGCTCAGGGACTTTCTACACATCCTCACACCCGACGGTCGCATACTCTATGTCTCGCCTTCTGCCAAAACCCTCACGGGCTACGAGCCGCGCTATCTCGTCGGCAAGTTCATCGGCGAGTTTGTGCACCCTGAAGACAGCGGCATTTTCATGCGCGAATTCAACGAATCCATAGCATCGGGCAACCCACTTCGCTTCTTCTATCGCTTCAAGAGAGAGGACGGCACATACATCATCTTCGAATGCGACGGTCATCCACACATCTCGTCCGACCAAGGCGCATATGGCCACATGAGTGGTTCGGGTCAAGGCGCTATGAGCGCTTCTGGTCTCTGTCGTGGCTTCTTCATGATGGCGCGACCCTACCCAACCAAGAATGCCGCCCTACTCGACTCCTTCCTGGAACACAAGATTGAGAACGAGCGTTTGAAGAAGAGGATAGAAGAGTTGAAAAGAGAGGAGGCTGAGGAGAACCAGGTTCAGGAAAGACAATGGCAGGATCAATCCAGGCGTGACCCATCCGAGGCCGGTCGTGTTGATGGCTCGAGCGAACACGGCAAGACGCCAAATTACCAGGGAATGCCGCCACCTGCAAAACCCCCAATTTCAAACACTGCTCTTACTCGACAAAACCTGGACAGCGCATTATCGGCCCAACAACCTGACAGCATAGCAGACAAGATGTCTCGATACGAAGGATCAAATCATCTCGAGACCATCGAAATGCTCACTGGACTACGCTACCGCGATGGTGAGCGAAGCCACGGTATTTCCACAGGTGACACATCGCCTGCGCTTATAAGAGGCGACGCTGGCATCGCAATCTTGCTCGACAGAGATCGCGACGGCAACAAGGAGAAGAAGAAGAAGCTCAAGGTCGCCGAGGAGTACGTCTGTGCAGATTGTGGAACTCTCGATAGCCCAGAGTGGCGCAAAGGTCCCAAGGGCCCGAAAACATTGTGCAACGCATGTGGCCTACGATGGGCCAAGAAGGAGAAGAAGAAGGCAGTTGGTGACAGCGGCGCGAACTCGAACGCTGGTATGACACCTGGAGGTGTGCCATCATTGTTGCACAAAGACAGCAGTGGAAGCAACTAAGCAAACTTATTGATCATGATCTGTCTCATTGGAAACAGATCTTCTTCATGACATGGGAAATGGGCGTTAGGCATGCATTTCAGTTCGAACTCAGAGCTTACGACCAGCCTTTATTATTCTTCAGTGTAAAGATTTCTTAGCTAGATACCAGAGGGCATTACGGAGTTTTGTAATATATCATGGCATGTTCTTGGTATGCATTCTGTGTCTGACCCGACCATCTCAAAATCCTCCAGCGGACGTCCCTCTCTTGATGTCGAAACATCAAAAAGGGTCATGTCCCTTATCGTGGCCGAAAAGTATACGACCAGAGCGAGAAGTTTCAAAGGCAGCATGACAGCCTCACATGATTTGTGTAGTAACAGTCATGCAGGTCAAGCATCACGCGGTTTCATCCGAAGACCACTTCGATCACTAACGCTTATGACCGTCTCTACTAAGCACTGTATTCGCCCAAAACCAAGACGCAGTCAGCCAATGAATCCGGATTCCAGCATACGATGCCCCGAACATTGATTGACCATTTGTTATTTGTGCTTGTTGTTACCTGTTGAGGGATCAAAGTAGACCAGCTCCACACTTTTCCGCGATCACTTTGTTCACTTGTAGCGACGACCGGTGCGCGTGCACGGAGTTGGGATATTGGAGGGGGGTAGATTGCAAGATGAGAAACAACTCGCAAGCAGGAGATTTGATGTGTTTTAAATTTTTTGTGATTCAATGCTTGCTAGTATGTACAGAAGAAATGTTCAGTGCATCAATGATTTTACGGGAAGGGAGTCCCGATGAGACACGCGACTGGCTTCAAAGCCACACAAGAGCTTGCAATAATCACCCAGTTTACTCGAGTACTTATTTTAGAGACAGAGTTGTTGTGCGAGGATTGTTCTAGAGCACTGTCCAGCTTGGCTGTCTAGGTATCCGGGCAGCGTCCAGAACCAATAACCAAATGATGCTCATCATATTCTTTAAACACCAGCCATGTGCTCTACACCGCTGACAATCGCAACGGGGTCAGCGGTCATCCGTGGTTGTCGTTGAGACTTTATCTATACGTTTGAATTTCAGGTCCAGCAGATGCGCCACCAGACGCGTCCCGAGCAGCCGTATTCCATTTTGGGGTGTTGATACCGGCCGTCACAGGGCACCGAGAATAATACCTAATCAGTGATAGACAGCTCGGATTTTCTTTAGAAACATGCTCGAGTTGCGAATCCGGGCTTGAGTGCAGGTCGTCGTCAAGAGCATTTCGCTGCTCAGAGCCATCAAGGTCTCTCAGGTTCCACGCATAATTGGGAGGCACGAGTATGTATATGGCTGCAAAGCCCTGACCTGATCGAGGCTAGTGGTGCGCTATATCATGCCCCCCATTTTTGGCACAAATGCATGAGCCATCGACTTGGCTCCCTGCGCGCATCGTTCGCCTTGCACGACGCAAGATGCAGCCAGCCGAGCCAGAATCCTTTGTCCTGGAAAGGGCATTGACGCTGCTTGCCAGAAGTGCCCGAGACAGCGTGTCTCTTCGAGTCTTGCCAAAGTAGAAGGTCGGAAGCAGCAGAGACGAGTCTGAGAGACAGGCAGGGTATGGGTAACTGTAGCCACAAACAACAAGGTTTTGCGGACGGGCAAAGTGGTGGTCGCCAGTCGGAGCTGTAAAGTGCACTCTTGAGTCTTGTACTCGCGGGCCGGAACTAGTGGCCCTCCTTGGCGAATGTGGCTCGCTCGCTCCTCTTTGTGACTTTGTCACCCCACGGCTTCCGTTGCGCCCTTTGTCTCTCTCCGTCTTGTTGCTCGCTCGTACCTTGTCCCCTTCCTCTTGCTCTGCCTGATATACTTTCCTGTGTTATCAGACGTGTAAGATGCAGGCTGTGTCCTGGCATTAGGTGAGTTTTACCCAGCTTTGTTTGTCCAACAAGATGCATGCTCGTTGCTCGTTGCTCGCTGTCTGGCGAGGGACGTCATATCATATGGCTGGGGGAGGCCTGACTGGTTGCATCTGCCAACAATCCGCTGACAACGCTCCTGTATAGTAGATGCGCTGTGTGTTCGTAGCACATGTGATGCAGCAAACACCTCTACCATTATTTATCCCCCTCGATATCGTTGCTAAGACGTGGACATTTTCGAAAGTCCCCCTCCGCTGTTGATCACCACCATGGCTTCATCCCAGATCTCCGGATCGACACTCAGGCTTCACGGTGCCCCGAACCAGTCGGAACACGAACAAACCAATCCGTCCCTCTCGAGGACGGCGATTCTGGTTAGATTGAATGATCAAGTCATACGTGACTTGCAACAATGTGCCCAAGGGGGCAAGGCGGTGCAATTGCTGGGCGGAAAGACACCGGTATGCCCTTGAACCTGTTCAAGAGCCCCCGATGAATCCCTTTCTGACGCTTGCAGAAAATTCGTTATGGCGCAAGGTTGTTGGAGCTGAATGTTCGCCCAGAGACATTCCGTCATGAAATTTACTCGACCGACGGCTCCAAGGACCAACTCGGCTTCGCGGCCTTTGTATCGCACCATGCAGAGCTCAAGATGCCTGCCGAGAAGAAGGCACAAGAAGACGGGCTCGGCGCTGAGGCTGCCTTGGAAGCTCTGAAACAGTCACTGGCATCCATGGCCAAGGAGAAAGAGGAAAGGAAGTGAGTGTGAATGCCTTCTACATTCACTAACAATTGTTGACTTGTGACAATAGGACGACAATAAGTGGCCTTGTCGACGCTGGTGCCAAAAACTCGAGATATCTTCAACCCTCTTCCGCACGACCAATCTCTCTCTCGCATCGTTCTGCGTCATCGTCATCCACCCCCCGACCCTTGGCTCCCACATCTGCTCCTTCTGACCCCAACACCCAAGCCAGAGAAAAGGGTATGCGATTCGCTCTCGTCCACTTGCTTGCCGTCAGACCCTTGTCCGAACAGGCCATCCACCAAAAGACCCATATTCCCAACTCGCAACTGTCCTCCCTCCTTCCCAAGATTGCTGAAAAGCAGGGGCTCGCCTGGCAATTGTCCAACAAAGCGTACAAAGAGCTCGACCCTTGGTCTTTCAAATACACCACCGATCAACGAAACTTGGCAATCGATCACGCCATCAGAGCCTTCGACCGAGCCAGGATACCCACCAACGACAAAGCCTGGCAGACGCTATTGCCCAAAGAGGAACGCAACAAAGGCAAGATCCTCTCGCGCCTTCACCTGACTACCGAAAGGATGGACCAAGCTGGCACACCTGGTCTTGCGCCAACACCTGTTCACGCCAGTGCTGCCGGTACGCCGAAGACTGGAAGCACCGGAACACCCCGGGGTACCAATGGTACAACTGGAAGATCTTCTGGTGGTTTTTCCATCGAAAAGCGGTTGAAGGAGGTCCAGAAGAAAGGCGCTTTGGAAAAGAAAAAGCAAGAAAAAGAAGCTAAAGAAGCTGCTGCTGCTGCAAGTGATCGTGAGAGCAAACCAAGAAACGTCACTGTTAAGAGATCGATACCATCCAAGAAGGTTGCCCAGAAGATCAAGTCCGAGGAAGTCGTACACAGCTCAGACGACGAGGAAGAAGGCGAAGTCAAAGACGAACCCAAGCGCAAGAAGGACGACCTGCCTAGGAAGGAGCCACCAAAGCCCATCGCAAGGCCACGGCCTGCAGCAGCAGAGAGACGTGAGTCTTCTGCCAGTGAGGCTGCTGGCATGGTCAGGGATATCAAAGCAAAGTCGAAGCTATCGACCTCCGACAAGCTCGCCACAGGTGCTTCTGTGAGGAAAGACAGCGCAATTTCCAAGGTCAAAACAGATGCACAGCTTCCGGCCAAACCCGCTTCTCTTCCAAAGAAACCTGAAAGTGCAATGGCAGCAAAGACAGCCACAAAAGCAAGAGACACTCCAGTCCAGAAACCCGTCAAGGCTGCCCCAACCACCCAGAGACCAAACATCAGTCCACGAAGACTTACAGACACTAAGCCTAAAGTACCTTCTCCATTGGGCACGAGTCCTCCGCGAAACGCCTCTGATCACGTTGAAAAGCTTACCAAGCAACCACCTAAATCAGTCGCTGCAAATGTCACCAAGCCTGTCAGACCTACGGCCACTCATAAATCGTCAGAGCCACTGAATTTCTTCGGCGGTGTCAAGCCCGGCTCGCAGTCCAAGATCATCACTAAGAAGCGCCCTCTTGAGTCTGATACTGATTCTGCCGAGCCTGTCAGGAAGGTAGTCAAATCAACCACCTCGACTCCAGCCAAAGCCCCATCCAGTGCGCCGGTAAAGACTCCTATGGTGAATGGCTCCGCTAAAGCATCAGTGGCCAAGGTCCCGCCTACACCTTTGGTGGCTAACACAGACAAATCTTTGAAGCGCAAAGCTAACGATATCTCCTCTGGGATTCATGATCACGCCGCTCCTCCTTCATCAAAGCACCGCAAGACAGACTCAGGAAGCACACACTCACACGCGGCGACAAACTCTTCGGTCGTCTCTCTTACCACTGCTCCCACCGTCTCGCCTCGCTCTTCTCCTGCAGCCTCGGAGTTATCTGACGACAATCTCGCCGGTGTTCTGAACGATGACTACGAAGGCGGTCCGCTCACTTGGGAGCAAACTCGTGCTGCTGCTGAGACGTTCAGAAGCAAGCTATACCCGGAGTACCTCGAGCTTTACCGTCGTATCGAGCGGACCCCTAGTGACAAGGTCGCTAAAGAAGACACTGTACGTCTTTGGCAGCTGCACAACCGCCTCGAGGCTATCAAGCATCGTATCGAAGTTGCTTGTCGCAGTGGTGACAAAATCGAAATCTGAGAACACAAACGTTCATCTTTACATTTGCATTTATTTGGAAGCCGGAGTTTTGGGCTACCACGATCACTGGATGGAAAACATGGTGGATTGGAATGGGGGCGCAATGCATGTATTTGGTTTCTGATACAAATGGCTTCTGCAATCACAGTCTCACGACAACACAGCATGGAGTTTTTCCTGTTCTTCGGGGGTGGATATCAACGTTGCATAAACACAGATCAATAAAGACATTACTTCATCTAAACGCTCTGCTCACGTTGCCGCTGACTCTGAAAAATTGCTTGTCCAGAGTTCGGCACATTCAGGTGTCAGCGCGGGCTTGAGTGACTGCTACGTCTCTGTCAACAGATAGCTGTGAATGAGTACGACGCCATTTACGAGGCGATTCAAAACCATTATTGCAGTCAATCGCTGCACGAAACACCAACTTCTGAGTACTGCAACCATGGCAGGACCAAATCACATTTCTGACGGCCTATACAAAGTAGCAGGGTCACCCTGGAGACAGGGCAAACTTTGGCTAAGCCACATGCGCAGCACGCGCAAGACATCCGTGCACGCCGATGCGAACGACGAGCAATAAGTCTTGGCCCATTCTGTCGGGTGACAACGAGCAAAGGATCATTGCCGAAGAAGTATCCTCTTTGCCTGGTTACCTATCTTCCTACGCCTCTTTGCAAAACTTGTCCTGAGCTGTGCGCGCATAGTATCGCGGCTGCAAAGTCGATCTTCAGCCACCGTGCCGCTAGACCACTGCACGAAACACAACATGCTGGCCAGCATCGTTTTGGATCAGAACTTCCCATCCTATACAAATCTAGACTACATCTCCGGAAAAGTTTTCGTGCGGACACAGACAGCAACCACAGTGTCCAGCATCGTTGTCAAACTCGAAGGAGAATCGAGGACGAGACTATTGCCACCACCAAATCCGAGTAATGATAGACAGAAGCCTCAGCTGGAGTTTCACAAGGTTGGTTAATCATTTCCTCCGTTGGATTGCTCTGCTTTCTTGAGCAGCGTCTCCATGGGATCCAGCGAATGGGGACCTCGATAATAGATCGAAGTTGTATACTGACAGGAACCTAGATTCTCTATAAAACTGTAGCCGTGTTCCCACCTCCAGAAGTTGCAGGACAACAGCAAGGTGCCTCAGGATCGTTGTCTGGAAAGACAGCATATACTCTGCCAGCGGGACAACACGAGTACCCGTTTCAGTTCAAGGTATTAATGCTACACGGCTCGATCTAGAAGTCCTTTTGTTAACGAATAGCTAGTTTCCCTTCAACAATGCATGCGATCCATCATCCAACTCCAACCCGACGATAAGCTTGTTTGGGGGCCTGAACGTGGAGATGTACAAGACACCGCATAGCCACGTCAAGAAGACACTGCCGCCAACGCTGGTAGGATTCCCCGGAGAGGCTGAGATTCGTTACTACGTCAAGGCAACTGTGAACCGACCCAGTCTTTTCAAGGAGAATGCTCGCGCCTATGTACCTTTCAACTTCTGCCCCATCGAGCCTCCACGCCCACCACCATCAGACGCTTTGGGATATGCACGCCGCCGACATCAATTCAACGTGAACCTTCCAACCACACCGACAGCAGCTCCCAGCAAGTCCAAGATGGCTTCATTCTTCGGTGGCTCCAAAAAGACCACTGAAAGTGCCTCTGGAGCCACGACTCCCACGGCCCCATTCATAGCTGTCGACATACGCATTCCAGAGCCCGCCATCTTGACTTGTGCTAGACCGGTCCCCGTTCGACTTATAGTCACAAGTCTCAACGGCACAACTACTGCATTGACGCTCTCCTCGCTGCAGCTCGAGGTCGTGGCAATCACGAAAGTACGTGCACAAGATGTTGGCAGGGTTGAACGCAGCAGTACAGTATTGTTCTCTCGAAGTGGTATGGCAGTACCCCTACACTTTGGTGATAGTGCCACCAGAGGTGCATCTGCACCTAACACTAAGGAAACCGAGCTGGAGGCTGAAATTGACGCTCGACTCTGGAACGAGACACCTTTACCGAATGTCGTACCGCCCAGTTTCGAAACCTGCAACATTGCTCGCACGTACGAGATTTTTGCTCGTATTGGCATCCACTATGATGGTCCTGGATCCATGGTGAGCTCATATCGTCCACTCTATGCTCACTATCGTTCCAAGAAGCTGACAAGCCACAGCCACAAACCACAACCATAGATCTGCGCCTACCCGTCCAGATCTTCTCAGGCATTACACCACCGCCCGAACTCCTAGATGCCATGGCACGAGCTCAGGCTCACAATACAGGCGACATCTCTTCTGCTCCACCGATGCCTCCTCGCCCCAGCTATCCAACAGACACCAAGACCCCGTCAGGAGCACCGCCCCTGCCTGCTCGCAAACCAGTTGCCTCTGCAGCAACAGCGGAGACTGTGCACCAGCCACTCCAGCAGGTAGACCACTCGGGCGAGGAGCCACCATATGGAGATGCGCCACCCAGCTATGAAGATGCCATGGCCACGGACGTGCAGCCCATGGAAGGTGTTCGAAGAGCGGATTATGCGCCACCTACCCTGGCCGAGGATCCTTTGTTAAATTCTGGCAGAGGCGAGAAGAGCGGATGGCATTGAGAAGGCATCGTCACTAATGGGAGGACAGGAATGAATCTTAGCGGATACCCAAGGGGTCTACAAGTACACTAATAATTAATCATCACCATCTCCTTACCTCGATAGAATGCGGTTGAGCCATCCAAAAAGCATCTGCCTCTTCTTCAGGCCAGCGACAGCAGAGTGGGTCTTAGGAGTATGAGTAAGAACGTAACCAAGCATCACAATCAAGTTGGAATCAGTTCTAGACAGAGCAATCGGCTTCTGTGGGTGCATTATTTTCGATACTGAGCTAAAAAGACCCAATACTAACGTTGCTGGTGTATTTACCCGACCACTGGGAGTGAGTGCAGTTTCTCTTTCGGCTTCTAATCGAGCCTTGATACCACGAATTGGCGGCGGAGCTATCTGAAGCGTGCCGGTTTCCGTAACTTCTGGAAAAAGAGGCGAACCTTCCGCATTACAGTCTTCTGTTTGTTGTCTTTGTGTTCCCGGACGACTGAAGGAATAAACTCATTGTATGCGCCTTGGTCCAGGAACATTTGCAATGTCAAAATAAGAACGCAGAGCTGGCACGGCGGTCTGCCGTTGCAGGGTTGCTACTCCATCATGGAGTCCTGTTCAGTAGAGACAAAACTGGCTCCACCTCTGAGCCGACCGTGACTGGCCATGTTTTTGTTTTCCTCATCTTTGATGGAGGTATCTTCGGCCATGGGTTCCTGTTTGATTGGCTGACCTTCTATGATGGGTCTGTATCCGTAGATAGGGGGATCATCAGCGATGGGCCCATGAATCACACGGTCAATCGATTCGTCGGCGAATCCAAGATTCATAGGGTTGTAGGTGTGGCTCGGTGAAAGCAAGTGAGTTGTGCGAACGAGGCTGAGAGCTTCCTCGAGGTTCTTGCGATCGGTGGGCGATAAGGTGGAATGAACGGAATTGAGAGTCTGTTGGATGAGGGAGTCTGCGCGGGCGAGGAAATCACCAGTACCGGTATCCAAAGGCATGCTATGCACGGTGGCGAGGTCCTGAAGTTCTGTGTGTAGGCCGTAGGCGGCAATCTGTCCTCTTGTTCTACGGGCCGGACCGCGGACTTGAGCCTTGTCATCTGTGGCGTCCTTTTGCTCAAGAGAACGGGCAAGTTGAAGCGTATCGTTGGTATCGGCAGCGTCTACGAGCCTGCTGGTCTTGTTCTTCTGCCTTTGCTCGTCGACAAGGCGAAGACGTCTCGCGTTTTGGACGGCTTTCTTCTCAGCCATGTTCTGGCGGCGAGCCTCAAGTCTGGCAATTCTTCCCGGATCGGCAGCGCGTTTGGCGGCCTTCTCTTGCTTTGCGGCCATCTTCGCAGGGTTCGGAACTTGCACGGCGGCATCTCCCTGTTTTCTGTCGCGGATCTTCTGTTTCTTGGAGAGATTGTGTCGTTGCTTGCCATCTACGAAATTCATTCTCTTCAGAGCCTGAACATGGTCAGTATTGATTGATCGACCGTGACGAGATGGAGGCGCTCATCAGAGATTGCACAAACTTACGCTGACCATCTGACCTTCCTGGGTCTTGATACGGTTCACTGCTCTCTTTGACATTCCATGGGCAGGCTGGCCGTCATCTCGGTCGCCATTGGCTTGTTCTGTTGGGACCACGAGGCCGGTTTCTTGCTGTCTCTTCAAGGCGCGATGATACATGTTTTCATGCAGAGCGCAACGGGTACCTGTCTCTGGACAACTTGAACAATCCTCACGAGCAGGGATGCCAGGGAAGTCCATTTCATGCATTTCGTCCGACATAGTGGGAGCTTCTATCAGTTTCGTAGCCGGCCGGTGATGTTTGGTGCTTGAGTGCAGGCGCCGGACAATAGACGCTGTAGGAGACAAGCGGATGAAACCTGCCGTGGTATGTGTGTGGAGGCGATCAAGTGTGTCGAGCGAGCGATGGCCTTGAAGACAACCGAGAGGAGTGCTTGCACGCAGCTGATGACCGGACCGTGGAAGAGTAATGTAACAATGAAGACGAAAGAAGCTTTGGAAGAACCGTGGACGTGCAGAAAGGAGATGGAATGATTATCGAAGGACTTCACTGAAAGCTCTCACCAAAAATTCATTGCGGAAGTCGCGACTGTTACTGCGTAGTTGTAGTGACGAATGGTTTGCTCGGCAAAGCGCTAATGATCCAACTCGGACTACACATTGGTTTTTACGCTATCTTCTTCCAACAGCCAGAACACTTGGCTGACTGCTTCCCTCCTGGTTTCCATGAGTTATGATGAGTGAGAGCGAGTAGCATTTCAAGTCAAGACAGGGAAAGCAAGTGAAGGTGACGGTTGAATATCGGCGAGCACGGACCTTACCCGCGTCGAAGGGGTTGAACTTCGTGCGGCGACATCCAACTTGCCTGCTGACCACGCAATACGGCCATCACGGAGCAATAGCCAACTCATCTCTGATAGTGCCAGAACGCATTCGAAAAGACTCCAGAAGTGACGAGAAACAGCAAGCCCGCCAACGGAAGTAGTAAAGAAGGCGCATTCGGAGGTGACATACAATCGCCTGCGCATCCCATCAACCATCAGTCTCGCACGATCATTCAATCTATCGCATAACACAGCGCATCGATCCTGCATCATCTCACTTTAACACTGTTGAAGTGCAAGGATAGCACGCGACAGCCGCCATGTCGAACATCATCACTGTTTGTGATCCCTTGATCTTCCAGCCGCCCACCTTGGGCTGGCAGCGGGTAACGAGACGACAACATTGACTGATACGTTTGCAGGGCGAGATCTACGAAAAGATCATCCAAGAAGTTATCAGCGCCTCGCAGAATGATTTCGAAGAGAACGGTGTTCAGCAGCAGACCTTGATGGAACTGCAACAGGTTGGTCATGTCTTTCCTTCCACTTCACCTGATTTCATTACCCACATCCTTGCGGCATACTCCCCAGAAGCTTTTCATGCGTTGCTTGTAAGGTCTGGTGGTTGGGAGGATTTTCAGTCAGTATTGGCTGAGTTGGCTGCTGCCTGCGAAGCTGAAGCGCGCAACGAAAGAGCGGCGGGGCGCGGGGCTTAAGGCTCAGAGACATGCCCTCCAGGACCCCAATTTTATACTGCTTGGTCTGAGCGCTCAAATGCCCCGAAGTTTTACCGAAGCATCTAATCAGCTGATATGGGTTTACGTCCTCGCACTAACACAGTCGATAGTCATGGCAGCACAAGATGTCGCAGCGCGGTGTCGCGCAGATGCCTTGGGATCCCAAACCTGCCCCACCTCCGCCTCAACAGCCACCACCACAGCAGCAGGCACATCAACCTGCTCCAGCACCTGTGCCTGTACAGAATGGCGCTCCTACCCAACACCAGACTCATCAAAGCGCACACCCCGTACCGCAGCCTAAGATCGAGCCTGGAACGGCCTCACAGCCCATGCACGGCTACTCAGCTGGTCAAGGTTACCCCCAGCAGGTCAACAACCAGATGATGGCCCAACAACGCGCAGCATCCCTTCTCCAGCAGCAATTTGGTCAGCAAGCTAGCGCTTCACTCAATGCCATGCAACAGAGAGGTATCGCTCTTCCTGGAGGTGCTCCCAATCCTCACCCCCAGCAGCAGCAGCCACAACAACAGTCGCAACAGCAGCCAAGACCACAGGGACTCCAACTACCCGGACAACACGGACAGGCTGGACAGGCCAATGGTCAGCCAGGACAAGTTCAACAGCAACGCCAGATGCAAGCCCAATACGCTCAACAGATGCGTCAACAGACAGCCCACCAACAGCCTCAGATCAAGACGGAAGGCAATGGCCAATACCCTCAACAGCATGTGAACTACTCTCAAACGGACGGTGCAGATGAGGCCGCGCTCGATGAGTGGAACAGATACATGACTGAACGACGCAAACTCAGCTCTGCTCAAGTAAACAACAACGATCGCCTGATGAGACGTCAGATTGAAGACCTTCAGCAGAGATTTGAGAATGGACTGCTACTTCCCATGGACAACCAGGAACAGACACGTCACAGAAAGCGCGTATCTGCACGTAGAGTTGGCGCAAACGCAACATCACGCTTGGGCAGCATTCCACAATTAGATGGCGAAGACGAAGAAGACGAGGATGCGATCAACTCGGACCTTGACTCGTCGAGTGACGAGGCTGGCAACAATGCCGACGAAGAGGACGAGGAGATTGACCATGTTCTCTGCACTTACGACAAGGTGCAACGCGTCAAGAACAAGTGGAAGTGTACTCTCAAGGACGGTATCATGTCGGCCAACGGCAAGGAGTAAGTTCACACCAAATTGCATCAATGATACAACAGCTAATAAGGTTAGGTACCTGTTCCACAAGGCTCAGGGAGAGTTCGAGTGGTAGTGACGGCAGAGACAAGCTACCAGCGGGAGCAACAAGAGTCCTACAAGCATAATTCTGGCGATGTCGAAATCACTTCTTTCTTTATACCAATCGACACGAAAGACGGAACCCTTTTCTTTTCTGTCATGCAGGGTCTCAATTCATGCAGGGTCCAGAAGCGGTGGACCCTCAGGCGTTAGATGGATGGATGACCTTTCTTTCAAACTCATGGCGATGGAGACGATATCAAAAGCAGAAGGCTGCAGAAAATAAGAGGAAAGCCAAGCGATGGCACGCGAAGTGCGAAGCATCCTTACAATACAGAAAGACAAGGCAGGTTGACAGACGAAGTGGAGAGCCGAGAGTGGAGAGAGTGGACCAGTGCAATCATATTCAGACAATAGATAGCAGTAAGTTAAATCCAGGCAGTCTCTCTTGAAGGTACAAAGGGCAAACGAGGTGAAAGCGAACAAGTTAGGGTTTCATGCGAGAGTGGAAGGTTTGTCGGAGGATTCGTGCACCCCACATAATCAGGAGGCTCGGGAGTCTCGAACGGCGGCGTGGCACGCGAGGGCGGCGCCGCCGCGGGCGACGGTCTCGCATTTAATTCTCGTTGCGACAAACTCTCACCTTTTGTTGTTGCATGTACATTTGTTTCCTGCTGAGCGTTTCTTCTGTTCTTTTCTCCTGTTGGCATTTGTAGTGGTGCAATTTCTCCTTAATCCGCAGCGACTTTTGATTTCTCAAACGACAGCACGAACGACTACGCCTTGACTCGCGACCATGAATCCTCTCAGCACAAAACCGACCTACCTCAACTATCGCGGAGCACCCAACAGCGCAGCCATCCCGTCAGGAGTGCGTACCGGCAGCCCTGGCACGTCTGCCTCGGCACCAATGCTCAACAGACTGCCCTCGGCCAACTCGACCCTTTCCAGCAATGCTACCGGCAACAGCATTATTCTATACGTGCCCAATGTCGCCTCGCCTACCCTTTCCCAACACCTGTCCATCCTTCTTTCTACCCAGCGCATTGCAGCCGTGCACCTGATCGGTGGCCGCGATGTTGTCCTCAAGAACCTGCGTACCGAACTCTACACTCTGGCCGGAAGAATGAGAAGTGACGTCCAAGTCTCAATCACCGTCACAGAAGGTGCCAAGGGACTGGAATTGGCTGTCAGAGACGTGGGAGCCAGGAGGCAGAAGGTTCTGGGCGCTCTAGTCTGCGAATGGGACGAACAGACGGCCGAAGGAGAAGAAGAAAAGGACGTATTGAGCATAGAGACAGATGAGGTCGACGCCATCTGGAAGGTGAGATGATGTGTTGCCTGGAACACCCATTGATACGTTGGCTAACACGAGAAACAGGCATCCGTACTGCCACTCCACACCCTCCTCCGCAACCTCCTGCCTCTCTTCTCCGAGAACACCTCTACAACAACCACCTCGCACCCCTCTGTCATGCCCTTCATCTACCTCGACACTTCCTCTCACTTTTCGACGTTTGCGACCGCTTCGCGTTCCGCTCTTTTGACCTCTCTGACCTCCTCTCCCGCCACGAAAAACATCGTCATTGGTCCTGCCAGTGAATACCTTGTTCCCGCTCCTGTTGTTTCCGAAACACAGAGCATGAGAAGTCTGCGGATTGATACGAGTAACGGCAATGGCAGTGCCAACGGATACACAGCCACGACCCCGGAAACCAGTCCACTCTTCGGCGCAGAGAGTCCTACAAAACTGTGGGCTAGTTGGGCTGCCCAGTACGAATGATTGAGAGAAGGACTACCCAAGGCGCGGCTGGTTCGTGCCTGTACAATACGAGAACACAGTACAGCAAAGACGTTTGCTCCACTTTTCATCTCGATACAAAAGAAGCATTAGTGTATATATTTTCTACGTGTTTGAGCGAAGGAGATTGGGATAGGGAAGTATTGTCTATATACATATATTTGTATATTCTTCTGCATTGGGTTGATGCTTTTCTCTCGGTTCTCATGCATTCATCTTTTGCATCTTTTCAAAGGGCTGATGGGTGCCAGGAAATGCACTGACTGATATTACAGTGTGTGCCAGCTCTGAGTCGAATCGATGGCTGAGGAGTCATAGATCACGCTCCCGGCAGCACACTCAGCGGACCGATACAGAAAATGACTGCCGACACGTAGTCGCTCGTTGATCCTCGCTCGGGGGATCTAATGTGGCAGAGAACGATTATGTTCTTCGCTTGTACTTGGGCACTTGAGGCTATCGGCAGTGAAGGACCCATATGTTGAACGTCAACTCTGCCCGATGATCTTAGGCAGAAGCAACGCCCTTGTTGGACGCGATCCAATTATTCTGGTGGCTTATATGCGCGACATGTTCAATGGCATCACTTCAACCAGAATGCCGTTGGTGTCTGGCCTCTCAAACCAGCGTCTGTCAAGCGTTTACAGTGTCTGAAATCTACCCCTGCTTTCGTCAGAACTATGCGTATTTACTGACACGATACTTGTGTTGAGAGCAAGAGAGAATATGGGTTTGATAACGTGATCCATTCGACCTCTATAGTGGTTGAGGAAGATTTGTATATCTATGGTGCCCTTTGTCAGGCAATGCCATGCTGAACAAACGCCATATTCAAAAACAGGGCCACAACGCGATGTGTCCCAACTGCGAAAAAGAGCAACCGTGAAACGCCAGTGTAGTTGTGGTATTGGCAGTTGTAATGCAATCAAATCATGCAGCGCGAGCCGGTCATCTCATCATTCCTTCTTTACGTCAGCCTCTTCCTTGACATCGAACTCCTTCTTCACATCCTCTTCTTCCTTCACGTCTAGTCCTGCAACCTTGAGTCCGTCTCTGAACTCATCGCGGAGGTCCTTGTTATTTGCAGCAGCAGTGTTGTCACTTGTACTGTCCATTGCGTCGATGGCGTCTTTGTCGTCCATCTTTGGGTGTTCGTCCTTCTTCTCTTCTTCCAAATGCTTGAAGAACATGTCTTCCACAGCCAGGGCTGCATCGGCTTCGAGCTTCTTCTCTGCAGCAGCGTCTTCTGCACCGGCCACGCGGTCGTCGAGTGCAAGTTTTGACTCGCCGAGAGCATGAATCTGCTCTTCAATGGTGCCGCGAGTAACAAGACGAACAACCTCAACATCCCGGGTCTGTCCGACGCGATGGGCGCGGTTCTCGGCTTGAATGTCGTCTTGAGGGTTGAATCCAGAGTCGAGGATGATGACTTTGTTCGCACAAGCCAAGTTGATACCTGCACCACCAGCCTTGGTACTAAGCATGAAGACAGGAATCGAAAGATCTGTGGTGAATTGATCAATAATGTCCTGACGAGTGGCCATAGGAGTACTGCCATCAAGGCGCATGAACTTGATGGATAATGTCTCGAGAACTGCTTCCAGGATGTCCATCATTGTTGTGAATTGTGAGAAAATCAAGACACGGTCACCATTCTTGATGTAAGCCTCAAGCAACTCTTTGAGTTTGTTGATCTTGCCACTGTTCATCCACTCGTTGTTGCGCAAGATATACTTGTTGAGGAAATCATACTCAAGACAGAATCGATGCATGCCAAAGTCACCACCCTTGGTCTGCTCCGTGAGCATTCTCCAGATCAAATCCGGCTTGTTGTCGCCGTACTCTTCGGATCGTTGTAGAGCCTTGGCCAACTTCTCGAGCTCCTTTTCGCCATACTTGCGTCTCAAGAGCAGAGGATGAAGAGCTGCAAATCGGAGCGCCGTCATCTCCTGAGCTGTCTTGGCAGCTTTGGTGGCCCCCTTCTTTGGTTGCGTGCGGGCGTCGACGGCTTGCTTAACCATCTCGTTATATACTTCACGCTGCTCCGGCAGCATGTCACAGTACTCGACACGGCGGTGTTTTGCGGGCATATGCTTCAAGACTTGCTGCTTCTTACGACGAAGGATGAACGGTGTCATCATTGATCGGGCTCTTGCAATGCGTTGTGCAGATAGCAAAGCAGCGTGATCAGCATCCTTGGTGGTAGCTTTGTACTTGAAGATGCTGTCGAGATCCTCTCTTCTAGAATTGAAAAGGCTGGGGAGGATAAAAGAAAGCAGCGAAGCGAGCTCTTGCAGGTTGTTCTGTAGTGGTGTACCAGTGAGGAGCAGGCGAAATTCGGCAGGAATGCGCATGAGCTGTTGATGTCTCTTTGATTGACTGTTCTTCAGAGCATGGCCTTCGTCGAAGACGCAGACCACAGGGCGCACGACCTTTCGCAGGAAATCAGTATCATACTTGCCGACAGCGGTCTCGTATGTGGTAACGATAACGTCAATCTCATCCAAGCGGGACCCGTAGTCGTATCGTTGATTCTCTCTTTCAGCCTGTGAGCCATAGTAGGGAGCAACCTCGAGAGCTGGACAGAATCTGTTCAACTCTCGGATCCAGTTCTCCAAGGTCGAGCCAGGAACAACGACAAGATGTACACCCTGCACCTCCGTCTGTTTGAGGTGGGCAAGGAATGCGATGACTTGGCAAGTCTTTCCCAGGCCCATGTCATCGGCGAGGATACAGCTCAGCTTCTTAGACCAAAGCAGATTGAGCCAATTCAGACCGAAAAGCTGATAATCTTTCATAATAAGGTCGGTACTCATGTTGGAGGGCTGCTTGAGAAAGATATTCTTCTTGATCTTGGTGGGTCTGGATGACTTTGGCTTGACTATATCGTCGTCGTCGTCATCGAAGACACCTGTAGAGCTAGCAGGAGTGCCGATGCCCGAGTCATGATGTGCGTCTTCAAGCGAGGTCAGAGCCAGTTCACCGTCTTTTGTGGCGGCAGCAAAATCGATACCCCATTGCTTCATCGTGTCGGCAATAGGTTTTCCAAGGTTATCGCATTTCTCAACCAACTCATCAACAGCTTCGTAACCTCTGTACATCTCTTCACACACGTCCAAGACCTTGTCGCCGATGGCCTTCTTGGCCGACTTCTTGCCTGACTTCAAGGGTGCGGCGTCGGAAATGTTTCGAATAGCGTTCAGACTGCGGAAAGGTTTCTTGGACAATATGAACTGAGCAATTTCCAGCTTCTCGTTAGACATATCGGCCAGATCCTGGGCACTGCAAGTGTTGAAGAACTTGAGCAGACGACCATCGAAATCACTTGTGTCTTCTTCTGAGGACTCCTTGGCAGACTCGGCATCAGAATCATCCGAATCAATGACTGTGACAGCACGCTTCTTTGGTGGGGCCTCGACTGGCTTGGTTGGAGAAGGAGACCCAGTAGGTGAGGCGGGGTTCTTGCGACCCTGCACCAATCGTCTTTTTGGCTTTCCAGCATCCGAGGAAGTAGTGGCTGGTTTGGACTTGTTGATCGAATACTTGTCGGCGATGGTTCGAGTGGGAGCTTTGACCTGTTGTTTGGCGGCTGGCCTGGGTTGAGCGCTGGGTTTCGCAGCGTTGCTTTCAATGTCCGAGCTGGTAAGGTCAACAACGTCCATGTTGTTGTCGTTGTCCTCTTCGCGGAATATCAGGTCGACAGCATCGTCAAAGTTGCCGCGGCTCTTTTCTAGGGCGTTGTTGAGCGTACGAATAGGGCGGCCGGGCAAGACGGTCATCATGCGTTCCACCTTCTTCTGCATGCCAACATCGAAGATATCGGCGATAGACATGTCTTGTACAGGCTGGGCGCGCGATGGGGCAGGTTGGCGTTGGTGGGGTTTGTTCCGTGACACTCCTCCATAGGCACTTTCCATGGCACCATTGTAGGCGAAGGAGGATGTAAAAGTCTTGAACTTTTCGGCCGAGGACTTTGGGCTGTCGTGGACGCGGTTGGGAGAAGAGTCGAGATTTCTGCCGCCTTTGGTGAAGGCGGTAGGAATGATGGCAGGTTGGGTGGCAGGTCCCTCGGTGTCGGAACTGCGGTCGATGGGAGGATCCACAAAGTCATCATCGTCGTCGATGTTAATGAGCGGCACAGGACGGCTGGATTGGAGAGTTCCTGGGGGACGTCTAAAAGCAGTTCCCGGGGGAGCGAAACGGGCACCCAGGGTACTTGAGGGTCGAGAGTGGGGGTGTTGGAGAGGAGATTCGGGTACGGGAGCGGGCGAGCTGCGAGCAACTTGGACGGTAGGAGTAGACGAGTGAGAGCGCTTCTGGGCAGCAGGCAGCGGCTGAGTGGGTTGGGTAAGGTAGGGTTGCGATTCGGCAGTCAGATCGGCCATGAGGTTAGCAAAGGTCAGATTGGCCTTGGGCGGGGGTCGTGAAAGAATCTGGGTCGGCACCGTGGCAGATGCATGTGTTGGCTGGCTCTGAGTCTGAGTCTGTGTCTGAGGTCGCCGTCCAGCAGGGCGGTAGCCCCCAGCAGTCTTCTGTCTCTTGACAGGGCTGCTCAGGATCGGGTCGCTGTCCATTGTGCCTGCCTGTGCGGAGCCTCCGAGAAGGTGAAAAAAGTTTCCGTCTTTCGCTATGTCGACAATGTCACAAGGCCAATCGCTAAACTTCAAACACGCTTTGCAAGACCGAGAGTCGTGCGAGGTAAGAGGTGGTGACGGAGCTAAGGGACTTAGTTGAACATGGGAAGCACAATCAACAAAAAAGTGGCAAGGGAGACGCTTCAACTGTCAATTGCTGCACTTCACTTTGAGAATGAATGCGGAGTCGTGACGCGCACGCGCCTCAGCACCTTTCTTCACCATCTCAACCACTGGGCAATCACTTCTTTGCCAGTACGAGTAGCAAACCCGATTACACAATGGCCACCAACAGAAGAATCAACTCCCAGGAGAAGACCCACCTGGACCAAGATGAGGTTCAGCAGCAGCCATCCGTAATCACTCCAGCCGTCCCCAAGTATGTCCATGCCTGATAGTCACCATTCCAATGAATCCTACTGACCAAGCCATCCACCAGACATGTCATTGTTAAATTGCTACTTTTCTCTTTCGCCATGATTGTCTTGCCCATTTCTTCCTACTTCCTGACTGTCGACATGCTGTTTTCCGGTAAACATTCTTTCATCCATCCTCACCCGACCCTCACTAATTCTGCAGGCAACTCTACTTTTGCTGGTGCAACTGCTGCCATCATTGCAAATGTCGTTCTGATTGGCTACGTTGTTGTCGCCATGAGAGAAGATGCTGGTGAACGTGCAGAGGCTGAAGAGAAAGACAAAAAGTCTCGCTAGCCTGTTATCTGCTCTTTTTGATATTGCGCTTTGTACATTGTGAACTGAACAAAATCCATCGACTGAAAACTAAAATAATAATAAAAAAGAAATGCTTCATTTGTACCAACCCCCAAATAATGGTGTCGGCTTTCTTTCTGTGTCAGTACCCGACATGCCTTTCGTCGAGCAATTAACCCATCCGTCCTTGAGAAGACAACCCAAACGCCGCTGAGATGCAGCTGTGAAACATTCAGCTCCCTCCCAATCTGCCATTAGGTCATTAAGTATGTACTGCCTCTTTTTCTTTTGGAAGTCGTCCAGCAGCCAATTTAACCCTTGCTGAATCGCTTCTTGAAGAAACCCTTCTTCTTCTCCTCTTTTACGGGAGTGGGGCGAGTGGCGGGCGGCAGATGTCCACCTTGAGAAGAAAAGTTGGACGCACCCTCGGCACCACCAAGCTTAATGGGTGCGCGAACAGGTGGAGCCTGCGATTGTGTAGGGGCTGATGGGTTTCCGCCAGCGTGTCCAGTTCTGTTGCCGTGAGACATCCCATAACCGCCGTCAGAGTCGCTAGCATACTCCTCCATGATCGGAGGGCCGTTGTAGATGTCGTATCCGTACGGATCGGTCTGCTTAGGAACGCCATTGGCACGGTCGAGAGAGCTGTTCTCGCTGCTGGGGTCTGTCGAGTTGTTCCAGGGTCCAGTGCTGTCACTGTGGTTGGCTGCACCAGTATCGTACGAATCGTTGTAACTATGTTGAGGATAGAAGCCGTATGCGCTGTTAGAGCGGCTGGCGTTCATACGCTGTGCGTAGCGATTGCGGGAAGGAGGTGCTCCAGGTCCCACACCGATATCAGAGTGGCCGTCGGGACGACGCGATGCATAGTGTCCGCCGGCGTATTGCGAACCATTCTCATAGCGGCCAGAGTCGTAGTCTGCATAGGCTGGTCAGTGAGCCGTTCGATCAGACAACGGCGATGCGGTACATACTGTTACCACCGTAGTAGCTGCTTCTGCGACTTTGATCGTGGTTGGTGTAGGTGTAGCTCTCTGTTGTCTGTATTAGTATGGCGTCTTTGGCCTGAAGCATGACAGTGCACGTACCAGATCTACTAACGGAGCGGCGCTTATATCCGCCATCGATAGCTCTTTCAAAAGATCTGATGGTGTCGAGAGGTCTTTCCCAGCGAGGGCGGGTCGGGTTGGAAAGGTCGGGTTCAGCTGTGGAGGGGTCAGCGACTAGATGTCAGGCAGTGGGAGCATGGGATTTGACTTACTGATTACATTACCATTACTATCTTTGTGTTGGACGTTGCGGAGCGACTCCATGGTGGCCTTCTCCATGACGGCGGCATCTTTGTTGGGGTCAGCCGGAGTTACGGGAAAGCTAACAGCAATATCGGCCATGTTGGGAAAGCAGGAATATGGAGGATGTGGAGGGTTTGGCAGCAGCAGGCAGAGATGGGAAACGCGAAGATGGAGAGAAAGGAAAACGCACCTCCGGGCTGGGCCTCATTCATAGCAGCATTTGGGTTCGCCTTGGACCCGCCCTTCCAGAAGCTATCGCGGCGCTGCTTCTCGGCAGGGTTATCGACCAAGACCTCATGCTTGCTGCTGCGACTGTGGTCGGACTTGTGACTGAAGGCGCGAGAGGTCGTCCGCGGGCGAGTGGTGGGCGACGATTGATCCATGCTGAAGTGGGCTTTCGGACCTTTGCTGCCGAATGACTAGTGCTGTGGATAGGTCGTGGATAAGGCCAGGCGATGCGATTACAGATATCGGACACGCAGAAAAGCGAGTGAAGTAGTCAAGTTGAGGTCGACAAGAAGCAGAGAGTTGGAGTTTAGAATAAAAGAACGAACGAGGAAAAAGACTCGGGCGCCGTGTAGGTTTGTGTCGTAGAAAGGATTACGAGGCATTCGGCTTGGGTTGCCGCGCTTGCAGAAACAAGAGAATGTTGCGAATGTGGCTGGTACCTTCCCAAGCACCTCTCCCGCCTGCCTCTTTTTATCTCCCACTACGGATATCTCTAATAGCTTGCATTTGCCTTGCGCGATTCTGTCCATCTGATTTTCATCAACTGCATCCAATTCTTGCGACAACAAGCTGCAAGTTGAAGCTCTTCCAACCATCCGGCGAACGCTGGCTATCAATGGCTTTGAGGCGGTGCACCGCGTAACGACGAATGATGTGGCACCATAAACGTCGTGGCCCGACGGGTACTTGGATCGTGACGATGGTTCTTCCTTGTCCTTGTCTGACCTCATGGCCGGCGCGTTGGCTAGCAAGGTTGCTCCCAGCAGGTATGCACCTCTGATACATTCCACAACTCGACCTCTTGCTCTTTTCAACTGCAGAGGGTCTCTTGCATCTCTGTGCCCCCACACGTCCACTACCCATGGGGAAACTCGCTCTATTGTGAGAACGGCTCGTTCTGCCGTCTTTCAGTGCTTGGCTTTCCGTCGATCCATAATTGACTTTCGATTTTTTGCATGCGGCTTTGAGCTATTCTAAATCAGGGCTTATCTTGTCATCATCCCGCCCAACGCATAGCGTAGATCTCGAGCGGACTTCGTTCCCTCCGGTTCCCGAAGGGAGTGACATGCGATAACAGATAGATCGGATCCTATCAAGTCCAGGCTCTTCCGGAGGAACTTGTGGTTCCTCAAGTTCTACCTCCAACTGCCGTCAATAATTTGTACATCCTGTCTCGAAACGTCTTCGGTTCCGAACAATCGTTGCAAGACATACGAGTACGAAATAAAGGACAAGACTTTGCACGATTTCAAAAGGACACGGATGAGTTTGCGGATTCCGGTCTGGTTGGAAAATGTCGTAATTCGAGAAAATATCGATGCATATCAATCCTTCGAACCTCTGGTGCGCTTGAGGGTTCCACAAAGCATGCAATCTTTCTGGATCTGACGCTGTCTGAGGCGTTCCTTGAAAACTAGCCTAAGGTATGCGCAACTTCATCCGATTTGGTTCTGGGTCAATTTACCCATCTCAAATTGCCATGAAGCTTACTGAATGGCGTTCGACCCTCCTGGCGCGGCGGACGGGGAAGTGCACCAGGAGATGGCTCACCAGAGAAAGATCCATTTGTTCATTCAATCAGACGAGAACTACCCGTTGTTGGTCTCGTGCTCTATCGATGATATGTTCACCAAGCAAACCTGGATCGCATACTTACTCGAAAGCTAAACCAACATTCTTCCCACAACTAGGCCATCCACCTCTGTCATGTTCTTCACCATGGTCATGCAGCGCATGATCATGCGTGTAACTTGTCGACAATAGAGCCGACGACCCTTCTCTCGAGTGAGTTGCTGTCGCAGCTACACTTCGATTGTCCAAGGTTGGAATTTTGCTTGTCGATAAAACTCAAACTGCTTGGCGAGGGTACAACCCTGGCATTTACCAGATTCATTGTTCTGTCCGAACGACGATCCCTACAACGTAGACAAGCAGCTCATCGATCCCGATTCATAAGATCACCACCGCTGTGTGCACATCCAAAGCTTTACACGCAGCGTTGGCTCAAGGGGCCCGTAATTACGAAAAATGGATGAATTTCGCTGCTGAGAAGTTCTGTCTCATTGTGTTTCGTGAGATCATGCCCTGTCCTAACTCCTGGTACACATCCAACCCCAGCTGGACCCCTCGTCTCCCTGTCCCATATTCCCCGCTCTCCATGCCCCAGTCTTACGCCGATACTTCATCTCAGCCATCTGTCCATATTCTCCATCCCAGCATCGTCTCATGAATCATGATCCACTCGTCCTTGCTACCAGCCCTATTTTCAGGTGGATTGTTGTTTTGATCGAGCTTCCCATATCAACATTCCGGCATGCATGTTGCGCAATCCATCAGAGTCTCTCGCCATAGACATCCTATTGATTTTCAACCGAGTTTCGCTGCAGTTGATTGCTGGATCCTGGACATGCCACTTTCTCAATGCCTCGAGAATGGGTCTAGCCAGGACTGCCATCTCGTTAGGATTGTTCGACGGCTTGTTCACTGTAGTTGTCACGACATGCGTTTCGAGCTCAAGCATTGAGTCTTCGATGGACTTGGTGTCGCCCGTGATGGTCGATTTGACCACATCACGGAGCAGGAGCATGAATGCTGGGTCCTCATGCGAGGTAGGGAAGTCTCTGAGTATCTCAGAGATCTTGGGGGTGAGAAGGCTGATGGCAGCTTGCGAGTCATCCGGGGTGAGTGGAACAGCTGTTGTCTTGACGTCCAGTGGCGGATGACCATGTGCATTTGTGCTTGATGGAGCAAGCATGAGAGATTCTGCTACAGTGTGAATTGTGCGATTAGAGTGTGTCTCGTGAGAAGCTCTGGTCTCGAGGCCCGTCGAAGTAGGTGACCTGTGTTTAGGCCTGACTGAACGCTCGTTCTCGTTGCTCTTAACTGTAGCAAATGCGTGATCTGAGACATGTGGAGAGTCTCCCACTGGTTCGATCTGCCCCGTATCGATGGTGGAAGAAGCTACATCATGTCTTTGCCTATTAGTGCCTATGTCTCCAAGGCGATAGCTTGACTGTAACTCGAAGGTACGTCCTCGTACGCGCCGAGGTCTTCCGAACGAAGAAAACACAGTGTCGTCCCCATCGTCGGAATCTTCAGAAAGCTGGTCTTCCTCAGATTGCAGATCAGCCGGACTTGTGACAGGGTAGTTGTCAATTCTGTTCTCAAGCCAATCGAGCTCTCCTGCTGATAGAGCATCAACATCAGGACCTCTGTCAGCTTCCGCGAACAGGTGAACAATGTCATCAGCGGGTACCAATCTCGCTGTGCGCTCATCAACACCTCTCAAAAAGAGATCTGGCAACCCGAACTCCTCAGCGCTTTTGCTTGCCCAGGTTGAAGTCACCAGAAAGCCGGAATTAACAAAGTGCTCGGGAAATGTGTGGCGTAGAGTTCTTTTCGACACCCACTTCTGACGAGGACGGTGACGTCTCTCCGGCTTGATAACATGTCTTGCGAACATGGCCATGAGCTTCTCGTCCTCATTACCACGTTCCAGCTCGCTGATCCTGAGCAGTGACGCTTCTGCTGTGATGCCATTTGCGGGCCATAATGGCCGATCGCGATCATGAATAGTCTCCATAGTAGGTTGAGCCGGAATCACGTCTGGACCGAAACTTGGGTGTGTTCTTGCCCGCTTGGACTCTTCTTGGATGCTGATGTTATCAACGGCTGGTCTTTTCGTGATTCTTAGAATGGCTCCACGTAGTTGATGAGTTTCGCCCGACGCCATCACCTCTGACTCACTGGAGGTAATTGGAAGCGGGTTGATCTTTGTAGTGTTGGAAGCGTGAGCAGTGTGGACAACGATGTTGTTGGTAGTAGTAGTGTTGAAAGTGTGAGCAGCGTGTTGATAGCAGTAGTGTTGGTGGTGGTGGTGATGATGGTAGCGGAAAAGGTAGGAGGCGCAAGTGGTTGTTGGTGCTCCTACCTGTGATGAGGTGAGAAGTGATGGGGATGATGAGCATCCGACGATAGCTACAAGCGATAGCAAAGGCTTTGGTTTTCTGGAAAGGGCAAGTGGGTTAATCATCCAGTGAAGGTCTCAAGCCGATGGAAGGTGTGAACAGCCACAGCCAGATTGAGTGAATGTCGTTCGTTTGGTGACGAGGGGAGTGTGAGAAGGACAATCAAGGGCACCAACCTACGTGATGAAGTTCTTGAAACCTTAGCTCGAGTGATCATGTGCCGCATTGAACAAGTCCTGGACCTGTGGTCAAAAGCCTAAGTGTGGAAAAAGTGCTCAGAGGGGGTAAAAGTGATTGTGATACTCGCGAGATGGTGCAAAGGGTAGGCACTTGAGATGTTAGTCTTGCAGATCAGACGACGAAACGTGAAAGACTTGTTGAAAGAAAAGTGTGTATGCTTGTGATGGGATGATACAGCCACAAAAGGTGTCGAATACTGGCGACACTATGAGTGCTCAGCTTAACAAAATGAGGTGAGAGCGCCCTAGGCACTGACGATAAGCTGGCAGAAGTGGTCCAAGAAACTATAAATGATCATGGACTAGTGAGGCAGGAACTCAGCTGCGAATGATGTAGAATTGACAGGCACTACACTAAGGGGCCAAGATTGTTCAAGCCTAGGTAAGAAGTAGTGGAAAGACAATTGGACCTGTCAGCGTAGACACACAGCGAGTGCACAGTCAATGACAGTCCCCGGGGTTAAGGATCTTGATCGAAGTGTAAGGGAGATGAGGGCAATGCGGTTCTATAAAACATTGCTGGAGGCCAGACAATACTTGTACTTCTCTGATGAGAGGAGGAGTGTGTTGTTTTATAGAGAATATATGCATCGTCAGAACACTTCGAAAGACCTACATAGTGCCTGCACTCCCTCTGCAAGCCAGATTGCTGAGAATTGAAGATCACGTTCCAAGTAGAAGGTAAGATCAGAGTTCGCAATCTCCACGTCCTAGTGGCTATACAGTCAGGACAAGGATCGGACCAATGCACTTGCCGCCTCCGCTACAAAAATACGCATGATTAAAAGTCACCAGGCTAAGGACCTAGTTCAGCAAGCCGCTTGACGTGGCAGGAGCGCATGGTACCCAGATGTGCGAAGTGCACCAATCAAAGAGCCGATCGTGAGTTTCGATTGCGTAGTTCCGAACCGCTAGTAGTAGTAAAGCAGGTATACAGAAAACAAAGAGTTCATGGGAGAACTTGAGCATAGCGTTGTCGAATGTATCGATATGTAGAATTCGTCAATGTAAAAGCTACTGAACCGGAAACTGTATCCCTAGGACGTAACGTAGCGAGAGCCCTTCTGGAAGGCACTTTTGCAACCAGTAGAAAAAGCGCTCGAATATGCATAGAATCGTAAAAGTTGTCCGCACGTGAGGACTCTTGTAGGCTTGTGCCGAGTAAGTTCACTGAGCACCAAGCATTGCAGCGACGTCCTTGTCCAGACCGACACCCTCGCCATTGGCAAAAAGCTCATCTTCCATGTCTGAGTTGTGGTTCATCTTTCTTCGCTTCAACCTGGGATCAGAAGTAGCAACTGGGCTGTTTGAGGCAGGGCGAGCCAGGCTGCTGAGCAGCATGTTTGCGCCTTCTGACATTGCGGGCGCATTGGTTTGAAGCATCGGAGGAGGTTCAAACGATGGTGCGGGTTCGGTATGTCTCGGTTCCTGTTCCTGATTACGGTCGGCAGCGAAAGTGTTTGATTCCAAGAAATCCTGTTCATAAGCATTGTCGTCTGCAGGGTAAGCAGGCTCAGGGGAGCCGGTGGGCGTGAAGTTCTCGACATCGGGAGGAGGGGGAGTGAACGATTCGACTTCGGGGCTGCCATGGTCTCCAGAAGCAGGGAGAGAGTTGGCCGAGGCGACAGCGGATGAAGCATCGGCGGACAGGCCACGCATAATGCCATCCTCGACATCCTTCTTTTTGGCCTCAATCGTGGCACGGCGAGAGGAGAGCTCCGAGTGTGTCTTCTGTTCTTCATCCAGCTTGCCTCTATTGGACTCGAGCAGTTTCTCCAGACCGGCGATGAGTTCGCTTCGGGCCTTGAGGCTGTCGTTGACGGCGCCCTCTGCGCTTGCGAGGTTCTTCAGCAGAGAGGATAGGCGAGCGGCATGGACAGGCGGACTGGGTACAGGGGTGTTGGGATCGGTCAACTTTGCGTATTCGGTGTTGGCCGTCTTGATCAGGGGTTGGGCAGCAGATTCGGAGCGAGAAAGATTGGCCTGAGGCTGGGCCAGGGGTTGCAGTTCAGGCGGTACGGCCGACGAGGAAGAGCCGGAGAGGATGGAGCCGCCGAGCAGGGAGCCACCAAGACGTGCGCCGCCGGAGCGGGCTGTGCGAGACTTGTCGACCTCTGTATGCCGTTAGTTGACTTGTTGGCGGGCCGGGTGGTGAAGTCGATACCATGAATGCGCTTCTCGGTGGCATCTTGAATGGCGAGATCAAAGATGTTGCGCTGGCGCCAGACTTCTACAACGCGCTTGATCTTGCCGCCCGTGTCTTGTGTACCGCTCTTGTAGGCCAGCGAGGTGGCTTCTGCGATGATCTGCATGGTCGGGTCAGATGTGGTCGGTGGTATGCGGGACAGAACGTACAGGGCTGAAGGCGACAAGGAAGTCGTCCTTCTTACGAGCCTTTGACTGCTGGACAACCTCTGTACCATGAGTTAGCAGTCGAAGATATCACGGGGCGCATTCGGGGAAGCTACGTACCATTGGCAAGGTAGATCAGATTGAGTTTCTTGGGCGGGTTGGAGTCCTTGAGTCTCTCGAGCCATAGCTCAGCAGTACGGTCGGCGTGTCGTCTGGTTACAAAACTAAGCCATGCTCATGGTACATTTGGCGGCGCAAAGCAAACAAACCTGTGAAAGATGATCCATTGAGCGACGCTGACAATGCTGTCTTGGGTTTCATTCAGCGCTGAGAGCTTAGCTCGGACAGCGTCATCAGCGTAGGCCATAGTGTACGCTCGGGTCGAAGATATGATGCGACGGCAGGGTTGATGGTCGCAAGCACGAAGCGTCACCAGCAACAGCAACAGCAACAGCAACAGCGCAATCAAGGTGCTTTGACTGCAAGTATTATATGGACGGCAGGAGCCGAAAGCCCGGCCCGGCTGTCTTCCCGCATCATCATAACGCCGGTGCTCATTGCTGTGCAGCGTGCAGCGTGCAGCGTCTCCGTACCCCAAAGGCCCAAGCCCAAGCCCAAGCCTCAGCCTCTCGATTACCTGTCAACTCAACTTCCAAACAACAACCCGCCCTACCTCACCATATCACCGCCTTCCATCTCTTTGACCGATCAATCGCCTCACCGGAACGCTGCGCCATAGCAGACCCAATTCCACTGCCTGCACTCCATCACAAATACCGCAATGGCCGACAAGTTCCCCTCTGTCGAGGACCTCGATTCTGGTACACGATTGCAACAGGATTCTCATGCACGCAACCCCAGCTAACTCGTCAATTCTAAGGTCTGATTGGAGACTCTACCGCCGACAACAACGTCGACACTACTCAACTGGACGACTCCGACTTCCTGGCCCGTGAGCGCGCTCTCCTTGGTGATGATGCCGACCAATTCGCTACTCCCGCCGACAACGCTGCCACTGTTGAAGATGACGACGATCTCTTGGGTGGAGGCCAATCCAGCCAGCCTCCTGCCGATTACGACATGGGTGGTTTCGAATCCAGCTTCCCAGCTATCGACACATCAAACGAGGTCAGTCTCCGCTTGTCCTCTTGTCTCTTACCAATCAACACCTTCTAACGTGCATCTTCAATACAGGGTGTAGCACCCGGCGGCACAATCACCGGCTCCACACTACCATACCAGCCCAAATCCAACCAAGCTTCCTACGAAGACGAATCCGAACCCGACGTCATCCGCGAATGGCGCGAGCGCAGAGACATGGCCATCCAACACAGAGACGAGGTTTCCCAGTCCAAGAAGGAAGAGACTGTCAAGGCCGCTCACCAAGCCATCGACGACTTTTACGAAAACTACAACAACAAGAAGGACAAGACTGTTTCTCAGACCCGCAAGGAGGCCGAAGAGTTCCTCAAGTCTAGAGAGGACACCACCGCCGGAGGTACCAGCTGGGACAGAGTTTCCAAGCTTGTTGATCTCAGCGGCAAGGGCGTTAGCGGCGGTGCTCAGGGTTCGGCAAAGGGCAAGTTCAGAGAGTTGTTGCTCAACCTGCGCAAGGACGAGAAGGCCCCTGGCGCCAGTGGTTACTAAGAGAGAGATACCCCTTGTTGCGCACATGTATCGGTCGGGAAAATTATAGCACCTTGAACACTTCAACACCTAATCCAAGAGAGTCGTCTATGAACAATCACCAAGAGCTGTTTTGAGGATGATTTCGTAAAATGAGTGGGGTATGTCTTTCGTCTATATCTCTCTCCTACCCATAGCAGTACGACCCAAGGCACCGAAGCCTATGCATAACAATCAAGACAAAATAGCAAGGAAATTCAACATCTACGTGAGGGGGTATTTCAGAAACGCAAAGAGGACAGAACCAAGAATCAGAAGACCACCTCACCTTCCTCCCGTGCTCTTGGGCGTCCTCTCGGCAACAGCCTCCCCAGCACTGATATCTTGTCCTTGGTATTTGCTCCCTTGCTCCTCCATCTGCTCTTTGCCTTCTTCGGCTGCACTCTCTTCTTGGACTTCGTAGCCCAGTTCTTCCTCTTCACTGACTTCAGGACCTCGAGGACGTGACTTGGCGGCTTCGTTGCCAGACATCTGCCACTCCATGAGTTTGCTAAATGCACCTTCTTTCTTCTTTGAGAGTTCGGAATAAGTGCCTGTTTCTGCTACTTTGCCGTCGTTGCCGATGCAAATGATCATGTCGGAACGTTTGATTGTTGACAAGCGATGGGCGATCGAGATTGTGGTGTTGTTGCCTGCGAGGAGGGCGGCGAGGGCTTGATTGACGAGGGTTTCGGATTCGGCGTCGAGAGCACTGGTTGCTTCGTCTAGAATTAGAATGTCTGGGTTCTTGAGTAGGGCGCGGGCGATGGCTAGTCTTTGTTTCTGGCCACCGGAGAGTTGAGTTCCCCGTGCACCGACATGTGTCTCGAGACCCTCAGGCTGAGAATCGTTAGTACCGTGTATGACATTGTAGAATGTAGAAGAGACTCACGAAGTCGGAGATGAACTGGCAGTTGGCCTGGCGTGCTGCAGCAATGATTTCGGCACGAGTCGCGAGAGGGCGACCATAGGCAATGTTCTCAGCGACGGTTCCAGAGAAGAGCACGGGCTCTTGACCGACATAGCCAATCTTTCTTCTCAACTGCTTGGCGTTCATGGTTGTCACATCTCGTCCACCGATAAGAATGTGTCCGTCTGCAGGTGTGTAGAAGCGCATGATCAAGCTGGCCACGGTAGATTTACCAGCACCTGACGGAGCAACAATGGCAACGTTGGTACCCTGCTTGATCGTGAAGTCTAGCTCGTTGAAGATGGGCACAGCAGGACGTGTCGGGTAGGCGAAGCTAACGTTCTTGAACACAATATCACCTCTGGCACTCTTGACAGGTTCACCCTTGGTAGGGCTGATGGTGGGCTCACGATCCTGTAGCTCAAACAGACGTGAGGCAGCACCGACACCCTTCATCAGCTCCGAGTAGAAGCCAGAAAGACCGAATAGTGATGATCCGGCGTAAGCGGTGTACATCAAGAAACTGGACAAGTCTCCGACACTGATGGCTCCGGTCTTGACCATGCCACCTCCAAAGTACAGGAGAGCCAGGAAAGTCATATTGCCCATGAATCCAGAGGAACTGAAAAATACAGCACTGATCAGAGCTTCCTTCTTGCCAAGTTCGAAAATCTTGCGGACTTGAGTGTTGTAACGGTGAACTTCTTGTTGCTCTCCAGCAAATGCTTGTGATGTCCGGACGTTTCCAAGACGCTCTTCAGCGATTTTGGTCAAAGTTCCCAGGTTTCTTTGAATGCGCCTTGAGAGAGTACGGATAGTACGACCGTAGAAGAAAGCTCCAATAGCGACGGGAGGGAACATGAGCGCCAGGATGCCAGTCAACTTAAGACTGACATAGCCCATGAGACCGAAGCCAGCGACTGCGGAAACCAAGGATCGCAGACCATCCGAGACGTTCTGTGTAATACTCTTTCCGACAATGATGGTGTCTGAGCCGAGACGTGAAATCAAGTCACCTACTCGATTGGCGTCGAAGAACTCGGCATTCTGAACAAATGTGCGCCTAAAGAGCTGAGAACGTAATCTGGTGACGATACGCTCGCCGACAATGCGGAGAATAATAATGCGACCATAGTTAGCAGCGGCACCGATGGAAAGCACGGTACCAAGAGCAATGTAGAAGACAGGCATTGTCATGCCAAAGAGAAGGTCAGCGCCTCCATCCTCAGCAGGCTTGGTGGCAGCATCCAGAATCTTGCCAATGGAGAATGGTAGAGACATGGAGATGGACGACGAGACAAGTAGGAAGAGGAAAGCCCAGGACAGGACCTTGATCTCAGGACGGGCAATCTTGAGCAGTCTCCAGATCTCATTCTGACCACCGGTCTTACCAGTACCGTCTTTGCTCAGCTTTGCCGACAAGTTGAGCTGAGCAGCGCTCTTTGCTTTCTCCGAAGGCTTGAAAGATTGATCGTCCATGGCATCCTCATCCTCTGGGTCTGGTTGGTGCTTGATCTCATCTCGGTAGGAGCGCGCAGCCTCTTGTGACTTTGCAATGATTGCAGATTGGGAAAACGGTCTCCTTAGGGCCAAGGATATGGCATTTTGAGCAGAAGAATGTAGCGAGGGGCGTGACAGGGGAGCCAATCGCGCGCAGGAGAGACCGAGAGAATGTGATGGTGATGATAACGGCTGGAAGGCTTGCGTGTTTAACGAGCGAGCGTATCTGGCGGGCGCGAGCGTGGTCCTAGACAGGGTGGACAATAGAGCGGACGAGTCCTGGCATGCTCTTGAGCAGAGCCATTGCCGAGGGTGCATGGCTACCCGGCTCGGAGATGGCGATGACTGTCGGGAGCGAAGGGGGCGGAGGAGAGGGGAGGGTGAGAGCGAAAGGTCGTGGTCGTCTACCACAACAAGAGAGATTGGCGAACAGTGATGGGCATGCTTGTCATGGATGTTTTGTGGTATGCGACATGGACGATGAACTCTAGACCCCCAGCCGTCTTTGACTGCTGCTCATCGTCATCGTCCACCCACGGGCCGCACGCGCGAGGATAGATGACGTAGTGGTCAAACAACGAGCGTCCGTTCGACAACACTGAGCGGAAAATTGTCCAAACCTCTTGACATTTATTTTATAACGATTATCTACGACCCCTATGCCATATGTTTCATGCTTCCTTACCGAGTTGCAGACAGCTACTAGGGTCCCTTAATCGCTAGGGAGATGTTCGATCGGACTCCTTACTTATTCTCGTAACACGCTATTCTTCTAACATCGTTAATGCCATTATTAGAATTGTGACTAATCCATCGTGTTGTCCTTTCCGGGTGCAATTGGTCCTATTAGGATAGTTAGTTATGTCCACCTAAGCTATTTAGACTACGGTGAGTATTATACCCCTTTCATAGAATAGCTTAAAATGATCCTTAATCGCATCTTAAGAACCCTTCTATAGGCGTCTCATCTCTTGTGCCACTTTTACGAAGCGGGCCTAGGTAGTAACGTAATAATCAAATCCGTTATAAGCCTAACGTAGGTAATAGCCGTCTTTATCGATGCTCTTACTTTCCTCGTCTAGCTTCTCCTATAGTACATTAAGACGCAGTTTTTCGGGATCTAGGTCGCCGTTAACTAAGCTAGTGCCCTTATTAGCGAAGAGTAGGTCCTCGAGGCGGTATTAGAAGAGGTCTCTTTAAGGTTTAGTCGTGTCTTCTACCTCTACGTAACAGTTCTTTAAGAATGCCGCCTTTAAGTTTCTCTTAGATGCGTAGCGTTTCTATAGGGTTTATAAGGTAGCTAGTCGATCTTAGTAAGGACCCTTAGGGCCCTATTCTATCTTAAGTAGTCTTTATGTCTAGGTAGCCTTCTCGCGTAAGACTAGATGTTTCTTTATACTAGCCGAGCACGAATTGAATATTAGCTAGAGTAGAATGCGACGGTAGAAGTAAGGAGCTATGTCGTAGCGACTAAACTTATTAAGCTTCTTATCTCTATTAAGCTTAGCCGTAGTAATAGGTTCGCGGAAGAGTTCTAGGTACTTAATTGTAGTCCTAGTAAAGAGCGTACGGAAAGTTGCACCTATATCCTTGCCGGTAGTAAGGTAGAAATACTTTTACATTTTGTCCTTCTTACATATGACCTTAAGCTCTATCTTCTTTCCTTTACTAGTGCTAACGAAGGCAGTAATGTCCTATAGTGCCCGTAGTCTAGAATCCTAACGTAGTAGGTCGTATATAAAGAATTTAATCTCGAACGTCTTAGCNCGTCTCTAGCTTCTTAAAGATGTCTACTTCTTCGATAGGCTTAAGCTATACTATCTATTAGTCTAGGTTCCTATAGGTAAGACATTTGCTACTCGCCTTTTATAGTATCCTATCCTATAGATCTCTAAGGGTGCTAGAGTCGACTTGCTCGAAAGATTCTACGCCGAGAATGCATTTATTGCCGAACTCGATTTAGGTATAGGTAAATGCGATAAGTCGGAACTTACCCTTAGTCTTCGTCTACTGCCTCGCTAGCTAAGAGTATAGCTATTCCGATCCTCTATAACTTCTAAGTAACTATCTCTTACGATCGCATTTAAAAACTTTAATAACATTACTATCTCTAGTATCCTCGAATAGGTTAATCTTATACTAAACGGAATAATAAGTAGTTCGAAACTTAACCCTATCGCTATTAGGTTTATAGTCGACCCCTCTAATTAGTCATTCGCTATAGATAATACACTTACTCTATTAGAGGACAGCAAAATGATGGAGTTACTTTTGCGAGAATTATAGGTCCTAGTAGTCGATCTTAGCAAACAAACAGTTAGAGGACGTAGAAACATTAATAAGGTCGTTATAAATTAGCTTTCCGACTATAATATAGACGGCAATGTTAACGATAACACCGACACTATCCGATAGGCAAAACTGCGCCTTAGTTAGATCTCGGGTCATCGCTTTAAGCGTATAATGTCGTAAACTAAATCGACACATCGCATGTCGTTGTCTATAGCTGTTAATTAAGTATTTTCCTTTATATCGTTTTTAGTTCTAGTTTTAACTTTGCGTTTACTTAATCCAGTTTTTCTTTCTACATGTTAATGTGCACGCCGTAGCTACATTTATGTTCGTACCTTCTAGTCTACCATTTACACCTTCCTTATATCGCACCTTCTTCCTTAAGTATTTATACTAAGCCCGGCTAGTCACTAAAGCTTACGTCATTCCCGAGGACTCTAACATAACAAGGAACACTCGACTTTAGCATTACTAAGAGCTAAATTTACATTATACAACACCTAGCAAATAGCAATAATTAGAGCACTATTACCTCGACTTTCTTTAGATTAACGTAGCTCTTATCGTAATATACTACATATATATGCCTACCTAAATATCATCTCCTACTACCCCGCCGACTAGGCGTAACTATAATGCCGCGCGCATTTCGAGAAGACGAGCTAATTATTAGCAACATTACCTTTAAGCTAGTAAAGTAAGTGAAACGTATAGACCTTACTCTCCTACATACTAACATACCGTTATAGAAGGAGGGTCTTACGGTCGACCCGTAATAACCTTAAAGATAGCTAGGTCCTAGGCAATAACATCTAGTAGGTATACTGCACATATTTATAGTAGTATAGCCTCTTCATATATTACTAGACGCGACATCTAATAACTAGTAATAGTATTATTACTATCGGTAATTCTCGCTACTCGCCGCCGCCTACTAGCCGACTACCCGACCTTATATACTCTATCGTATAAGTAAGATAATCTCGAGAAGTAAGACAATCTCGAGAAGTAAGATAAGTACGAGAAGCACGAGAAGGACGAGACGTAAGGGAAGTATAAGAAGTAAGATAAGCACTAGAAGTAAGCTAAGCACGAGAAGCAAGAGAATTAAGGGAGGCACGAGAAGTAAGAGAAGAATATACTAGTAGTTATGTTAGTTAGACGAAGCCTACGGCTACCTAAACGATATCGCCTCCTACCGAGTAAGACTCGAAGCGATAGAGGACTAATTCCTCCTAGCCGCCGAGAATTATCTATAAGTATAACGAGCAAGTCTAATGTTATAGTACCGTACCTACTATCTGCTACTTACTACTAGTAGACTCTACTAGCGACGCGATGCTTCCTCTAGGAGATACGGCCTATAGTATTTCTAGAACGTCGAGAGTTTTTGTAATAGAGGTAGATATAACTATAGT